CATCCTTGACACCATCCTTGACACCATCTAGCGATCTCTCTTTATAGTTGGGCAATTTAGAAAATTTCTTCGCCTCGATTACACAATAGACAAGTTCATCTTTACTTATGAAAACATCAGTTCGACATTTTAGATAAACACCATTGACAGTCGGATGAAATAAAGAAGGTCTTTCAGTCTCAACTTCCAAAGGAACATCTAAAGTAACCTCTAGCAATGAACATGTGGGTATAACTAAATAATCTCGAAAAGCCAATTTATACAGATCTTCTTGAGATCCATTACGACGAATAAATTTATATTTATGGAAAGCATAATCTCCTAGGATAAGCTCCAAACATCTGTTGTCCATTGATAAAATAATGTTTCTAACTGAATCGATAACTTCCTTGTCTTCTATTTCAGTCATGTAGTTGTCACTGTACTTAAATTGCGGAAACTTCTTGGTATATATATTGACAGATGCCACACTATTACTTGCAGACATATTTCTGATGTACTCCAATTCATATTCACACATAGGAAGGGATATCACAAACCTAAAGACAAGCTTGAACTGTTGAGGCTTCCATTTCTTGATATCTCCAACAAAATCCTGATATGTACATCTGACTTCGACTAGAAAAGCACTTACTTCTCGTTTCTTAACCTGAAATAACTCTTGCACGATAATCCGAAAATTCACTGTCATTAATCTCCATCCGGGGTAAAACTCATGATAATCGTACGAGTCTAGCTCATCTTCAACACATCGTTGTATCGCTTGATAAAAGGGGTGCTTTGGAACGGTCTCATCTAAATTAATAATCCCAACCATTGTGTCTGATGTTAAGTTCCTCTGGAATATTATTTTTCTCTCGCTTTTTGTACGCCTCTCACTTGCAACACCTTACCGCATTTTTTTATAATTACCTGCATATAACGACATTGACAGAATAATCTGCCTAAAATCTGAGCGCACGATTATGGGCTAACGTTGTTAATACCTAAATTGTAATTTTCAACAGTTTTGCCAGTTCATGCTTCTTTTCATGGAAGAGATTGTTGTTTAGCAATCAAAACGACTCAGTTTGCATTACTTTGTTCAATATTTCAAGATTCTTGCTTTTTGATCTCTCAGCTTCAATTATTTGATAAAGGTGAACCTTTTGCTGTAAAAGCTAAAGTGCTATAATTACAGAGACCATATTAGTTATTTAGAAAGTTCACTGCAAAAAAATGAGATAAAATACACTGTCATGATGGTTTCTTGTGTGATTTTTGCGAGCTAAATTTAAAGCTTCTTGAATTGTGTCTCGTTGTGCTGTGCATTTGACCAAGATGAGCATTTTCATCGAAAAAAAGTTTTTTCCCATCTTTTTCAACGCACTATCTTCCAAATCTGCACTTAGGGTCTTCCTCAGTGGCTTAGATTGACCGCGCAAGTCCAGTAGAATAAAGCTTATTGTCAGCAAGTTCCTTCATACTTGCTTCCTTCGTAACAGCTAATATCGACAGAAACTGCGCCTTCAAGAAGAAGGGATTCATGGTATCGCATTGCTTGTCGGAGACGGAAAGTGATAAGACTTCTTGCGTGATTAAAGAGATTTCATTCGTCCTCTTTAGGAATGAAAGAACCAAAAACGGCGAATATGAAAACTTTTGATTTGAGGGTCGTATTACAAAAAATTAAGCGAAAACGTTGTGCTGCAAAAATTAAAGGATTACTAATCTTTGGTCTAGATTGGGAAACGCAATTAACTCACTATCACTATTCGCAAAACCACTGACAGAAATAAAATCTCGAGTGCTACGTAATTTCGCATTGAAAATTAAGCAAAGCGATATATAAAGAAGCATATTTATCGTCTCTTAACAAGCATTCAGTAAATATTTCATTCAAGTTACGATTTCGAATTAATCTTGATATCTAGTGCAATCTTCGAAGAAGTCACATATTATATGCAACTAATCCCTCTATTGTCAAAGGCGTTAGTGTTGAGCTTTGGATTATTTCAAGCTGTTCAAAGTGTGCCGACCTATCCATTTTCAGATTCAAATTCTTTTGTTGGACTAAAGGCTGGCCGAGCAATTTACTTTCAAACAAACGAGCACACAAATAGTATCGTCGCTCTTAAAATTCTTGAAAATGGTACTTTAGTTGAAGGAACTATTACAGCAACTGGCGGTTTAGGTGCTAGCTCTATCAGTAGTGCCACGAATATCACAGCTAGTCCTGATGGATTGAGTAGTCAAGGGTCCGTCACGGTAGCAGGAACAACTCTCTTTGCTGTCAACGCTGGAGATAACACGGTCTCCATGTTTTCCATTGATGAGGTTGAGCCAACCAACTTAAAGCTTTTAGGAGGTCCTTCCAAAGTACCTGGAGAATTCCCAGTAACTGTGGCTGCTTCTACTTTAAATCGCTTGGTTTGTGTTGGAACTAGTGGAAAAAAGGCTGGGGTGTCTTGCGCACCGTATTCACCCTACGTAGGTATTGGTGAATTAGACTTCCTCAGACCCTTCGATCTTGATCAATCAACTCCACCTGTGGGTCCTTTGAACACTGTTTCCCAAACTTATTTCTCAGCAGATGAGTCTTTACTTATAACTTCTGTGAAAGGTGATAGCGCAATAAACAAAACAGGGTTTGTCTCGGTATACTCTGTCGTTGGTCCTTCTTTGCTTAGTCAAAGTAGGCTTTCCGCTGGCGAAATTAGAAGTGTCGTGAATGGGACAGGTGCATTATTTGGGTTGCAACAAATTCCTGAGTCAGACAATTATTTCATTGCTGATGCTTCCTTTGGTGCTGCCATCATCTCAGTCAATGAAATGACTCAGGCTTCTGAGATTCTTTTTAAGCAGGATGTTCCACAACAGATGGCTACATGTTGGGTGGCAATCTCTTCCTCTTCCAATTCGGCTTTTGTCACTGATCCATTAGTAAACCACATAGTAGAGATGAGCTTGGCGGATGCTTCTATCGTCTCGGTTATCAATACGACAAGTAGTAATGATGCTACTGGTTACATTGATATCGCTGCTGCTGGAGATTATGTTTATGCTCTTTCACCCGGTAGCAAGAGTGGGTCGGGTGCTGAGATTGGTGTTCTTTCAGTGTCAGACAGCCAAAACAAGTCTATTATCCAATCTTTAAACGTCAACAATTGGGCTGGATCTAGTGCTCAAGGGTTAGCAATCTATCCATAGTAAGAGTTAACTGATTTACGTGGGATACATTTGACTTTTGAAGATTTTCGGGAAGTGATATATTAAATCGATAGAGATAATTGAACAAAACCCCTAGGCAGCTAAGTATACCAATATAAAGTTTTTTTAAGTACCCACTGTAGTGCTTCATATAAAAAGCGGCTTCATTTGGTGAATTTAACTCTTCATCTCCAGAGCATGATTTAAAAACCGATTTATTTACTCAATATAAAAAGTAGTACTTCAAAAAATGTGTGACGCAAGTGATGATATATGAAAGTAGATGATTATTCGTCTAATATTTTCACTTCTTCTTCTCGTTAACTATAGAGTTTATATTCCCTAATATGAAATGCCTCAGTTTCGCATCCTCTATCTATATTCCAATTGTTAAAATTCGGAATAGCTGTTCGCGGGCCGGGCAACGATCTCACATCATTGGTAACCTATCACTCGTAACCTATCACTGGTACCCCATCACTGGTAACCTATCGCTGGTAACCTATCGCTGGTAACCTATTACTGGTAACTTATCACTGGTAACTTATCACTGGTAAACTATCACTGGAAATCTTTCATTAGTAACCTATCACTGGTAAACTATCACTGGTAAACTATCACTGGTAACTTATCATTGGTAACCTATCAATCCTGCATGTATTTTCAACGTTATTATTCGATTTGTAAAGAATGCGGCTAGGTTCGGACAAATACAAACAGGATTGCTGAGACTTCGCAAATATCCATTTGTAATAATTGCAAAAACGTATTTCTAATCGAACATTATAAAAAGCACCATGTAGTTGCAATAATTTGAAATGATTAGACAGTAGAATTAAACTCACTTAAGTTCAATTAAACAAATTACAAAACGCGATGTTTCAACAAACAGTCTTTATTTCAGGTTCCAACCGTGGAATCGGATTTTCCTTAGTCAAGTTATTCAGCCAAGACCCTAAAACAAAAGTTCTTGCCACGGCTAGAGATCCTGCCTCAGCCACCGAGTTGCTAGAGTTGGCAAATAAGAACAAAAATGTTCACGTGATTAAATTGGATGTAAACAGCGAAGATAGTATTATTAAGGCAGCAGCGGCAGCTGCTAAGGTCGCTAATCTGATTGATATTTTTATCTCAAACAGTGGAGTTGGCGATATCGCTGGCTCTTCCTTTGCAACAGAAAGAAACAGCTGGATCAAACACTACAATACAAACGTTCTTGGTCCAATTCTGTTGTTTCAAGAGTTTTATCCGTTGATCAAAAAGAGCGATACTAAAAAGGTGTTCTTTGTTTCTAGTGTAGTTGCATCCATTACCATGGATCTTCCAATTCCTCGCTCTGCTTACGGACAATCAAAAGCAGCACTCAACTACACAGTGAAAGAAATAGCTAACGAGTTGAAGCCTGAAGGATTTACTATAGTACTTGTGCACCCAGGTGTAGTGGGTACCGATATGGGTAAAGACTTCGCGGAAAAATTGATTGCTCTTGACCCTAAGATGGCTGATTTCTTTAGTCCATCCACCGTAATTACTCCAGATCAGAGCGCCGAGGCATTGGAGAAGATTTTTGTTTCCTCAACGTCTGAAAGTAATGGTAAATTTTTGAGTTACGACGGCCTGGAACTTTCATGGTAAGTTGGTAGGATTGCTTTGGGCGATGCTCTTAATTGAATGGCCGCATGTTATTATTTTTTAAGATGTCCGTTATATGACTGTCCATGCTGGAATTAGATTATCTACAAGACATGATTCGTCATGATAGAGTTTAGTTGTATTAAAGTTTTATTATTTATTTTTGTAACTGATTTTTTTTACCTAGTGGAATAGATAGAATATAAAGCTGTGATTAAAAGTTGTCTATACGTATTTTCGGAGTGTTTTTTTTCTTGTAGATTTGTGACTAAGTTATATCGAAGTCTTCATCTTCGATTGACTTTGCTTTCAATGTGCATGTGTTTATCTGCAGCAATAATTTTGAAGGTCTGATTGGAATGTCCCTTGGAAGAAAATGGAGGATACAACAAATGTAAATCGACGAAGATGTTTAAGATCGAAGAATATCAAGTACCCTATGTTAATTCAATTTTTTATTAGCGAAAGCTGATATATTAATGTTAAGCTCCCATGCAGCAGTTATAGTAGTATCCTAATCGTTGCTGCTTGATTATGCAATCTTTGCATTTAACTAAATTTATGTGATTTTTCGACGCGGAATTGTATTTATGGATTACAGAATTTTGTGGTAGATATTGCCAAATGTTATTCATCTTTTAGTTAAAATGCCAGCTGATGCCAAAGAGAGCAGCTTTTATTTTGTGACCAGTAATCATATTTGATTCATGTGCCGAAAATATAAATTTGATCACGGAGAGCCCGACAAAACCAACAAAGATAATTTCCCTAAGCAAAGTTCTTGTCTCTTCTGAATATATTCGTACCTACTTCGGCGAGCTAGGTAATTATTAAAAACAAACGTTAGGAAGCTAAAAGAGGCTAAATTGGTGTATGTTTAGCTGCCATGTATCTTTTCTATTGAAATGTGCGCTAAGGCATTACTATTACAATTTTCCGAACTCACTAAATATATTACAATTACGCCGAAATTCCAGACAAAGAATAGCGTAAGACTCTATTAAATCCCAGAATATCTTGACTTTGCTCTTATTCTGGGCCCAAATTTATAAAATGTTACTGGTATTGCAATCATGCCCACGCAGATGCAAGCTAGGATAGTAGAACCCCATCCTACAGGGTATTTGTTAATCTTCAAGTTGTTGAAAAGTGGAGCACCAAAGAGAGGAAAGCACCCAGCCATAATAGATCTAAACAAGGCATTTCCCCCAAACACAGATGCTATGTACCGCGGAAAAGACATGGCCATATAATTGAAAAGTGCTTGTATGACTACGAAGCCACCCATTCCAAAAAGAGCTGCCCCTATCATAGGACCAATCCAATGTAGACCAGCACTAGCAGTCCAACCAAAGATAAAGATACCTATGGGCATTATTACGCTCCCAGCAATCGTTGGGGGTAGGAAAACTTCTGGTGAGACATCCTCATGTTTGCCTATCAAAAGCTTTTTAGTATAAGCATAGTAAATATAGCCAATGTAAATTGATGAGCCCAAAAGCATACCAATTGTCACACTAACATAAGATACTCCCAAATCTACGATAGTGAAACGATAAACCTCAATAAATACTATGGGAAATGCTTCGAACCATAGATACAAGATGGAGTATATCAAAGCAATATAAAGATCAATCAGTAGAATAACGGGTTCAAAAAATGATATCTCAAAGGGCCTCCACAAAGTATCAACCACCACCTCACTGATAGACATATGTTCATTCTCAAGTTCACCTTCACTTTTAATATTGGGATTCCCAGTAAGTGCTCTTAACCTTTGAGCTTTTCGGCGTAAGATGGTCTTGGACAGAGACTCCGGTAGAGTGAATCCGAAAAAGATAAATGAGGCGCATGATATAATCATCATGAACCTAAGTGTCCAAATCCACAGACCATTCGTGCCATTTATTAGAGCCGAACCAACCAATGGTCCAAGTGTCGGTCCACACACAGCAGCCAAGCTCCACGCAATAATTCCCATGGGCATGTAAGATGCGGTTATCACATCCCCAGCACTCGCACCGCCTGTACCTAATGCTGGTGAAGCGAAGATTCCACTCAAAAGTCGAAGTACACAAAGAGAAGTAAGTGAATGAGTTGCAGAGCCAAAACTCTGGGGAATTTGAAAGATAAAGAAAATGAACACCGTAACGATGTAAATGGAGGTGCGACCAAAGATCGCATTTTCTGACATCGGCGAAAATACCATCGGTCCAATACCATACCCTATGACAAACATAGATAATGGTAAGGTCGCTTTAACTCTAGAAATGCCAAGGTCTTCCATCAAGATATCGATACCAGGCGTATAAATTGCGGAGCCCATATATACAGATATCGTCAAGAACCCAATCCCACTTATGAAAAAAATTTTCTTGTAAATCGGCCAATTATATGGATTATCCGGATCATCTGGCCCATCGTAGTCGACAATTATATTTGGACTCCGATAACTGGCTTTTTCAATTTCTCCCGCTAGTGTTACAGAGCTTTCCTCAGTATTAACTCCTTCGTATTCCTGCATGAAATCTCCAGATAAGTATTTTTCCGGTATTACATAGTCTTCTCTTTCTTCTTTATATTTAAAAAATTTTTTATGATCAGAAGTGTGGTACAACAATCGGCCAAAAAAACTGTCTCTTATAAATCTCATAGTAATACTAGCTCCGTCAGATACTTCACAACTTCAAACGAAAAAAAAGATGTGGCTTTTATTATACCTTTATATGTATCCGACATATTAGTAATCTCCCAGCGATAGGATACCTTGATAAGAAACATTGATAGGATACACTGAGCACAAAAATAAAGCCACAATTGATAATCAAATTATTTAAAGTTTTCATTGCTTGATAGGAAGTGTTCAAGCTTAAATCTATGAGAGAGCCTTTTTAGACAGTTCAATAAAATGGAATGTAATTTCCTGTTTTGTAGGCGCTGTGCAATCTTGAGGTTTATCATTAAAAAATTCAGCTGCTGATGCTGAATTTTCGCTGCTTACACTTCGTTTGATAAACTTTACTTGGATGCAGCATTGATAACTAACTTAGCCCATTCTCAGAGGGGTATTTGATCAACTGATAGTACAACGGACATTGCCCTTCACATTAAAGATGACCTATAGGGAAAGACCTTTAAGAGGTTGTCTATACAAAATGATGAGCAAAACGAAGAATATTTTACAAAGCTAATCAGGAAAGGAAAACTGCACCACGAGTTCAGAAACAAACTCGAGATTCTTCTTCTTCCTAAAAGATCAAATGAGAAAGCCATTTTAAATTCACTAATACTCCCACACAATATGCCCTTTGTTGACTATTTTGCTACCATTCTGGAAAACGGAATCATAAAAAAACCCTAATCAATGTGCGTTTTGAGCAATCAAAAAGAGTTAGAAGCATTTCAAACTAGGGTATTGTGGAATTGCATTTGAGTTGCTATCGCAAATCTCAAGCTGTCGATAATGAAGAGAGATTTACTGATGGATACATTTATTCTTTATTACTGGATTATGATAATATAAACTAAAGATTCGCTGCTAATTTACAATCTCGAAATTTTCGAGGCTCAGTAATCTGATGCACTATCTCATGTGGTACTTCGCATTAAGTTGTGGCCTTTAAATGAGCTAGAATTTAAAAGCATATGCTCGACGGTTTTTCTATTCATCTGGTTTTAATTCGCATTTCATCCCACGTTTCGATTTCCTAACTCGAAATCCATATCCAGCATTAAAACATTTTGTAATTGTCAGATCAACATTCACGACTATAAAGATTATCAATTAACCGTAATTCAAGAATTCAAAATTTCAAGATTCTGGCAACAAAATGTTCGTGGGGGGTTTTCAGTTGCTTGAAAAAATTGAAATGAAGATTTAGGTGACAAAAGGAGTTAGAAAAGTGAGTGGAGAACTTGAGAGCTCACATGCATCCATTGACTAGATTGCCTTATTAGTTGTGGACTATACATGTCGATTTAAATAAATCAGTAATCGAGTGCAATAAGGGTTTTCAACGTGCCTCCAACTATTAACAACTAAGATAGTTGATTCATTTGGTTGGTTATGAGAGCTTCTCGCAAAAGGACCAGCGGTGCTTTATTGTAGGTGTCAGATAAAAAATCGTGCAGCTTTATCATTTCAATGTCTGCAACGAAACTTAACCCAAATGACTAATAAATCATGCAACTGGCTCGTTTTATGAGCACAATAACGCGTTATACTGTAGTTAATGTTGGCACTGCGATATAAAAATTGAGCAGAAGAAAAGAAACTTGGAACGACCTTAAAAAAAAGACTTTGAGAGCAATTTATTTGAAAAAGCTAACGTGTGTGGTCTAATAAGTCAAAGTTTTGGTGGAAATTTATTCAGAGGCTTCTTCCATAGCTTGCATTCTCATTTCGCACGGTATTAATCAGAAGTTATTCGTTGGTGCAAAATTTTATGGGATCAACATCATTGTCTCTTGCTATTAAAAAAATTGCTAGGTGTAACCTATAAGATATAGCTTTCAATAAAAGGCAAGAGAAACAAGAGCAGCACAAAGAAAAAGGAAAACATAAGCGTAGACTTGACTGTAATAATTCTGCTCACTATATCTACTATCTCCTTGTCTCAATTACTTCTCAAAATTGGGACGAAATTTAGAACAATGATGAAGGATGATTTGAATTCACAATTTGACAAAATCCCAACGCCTGCATTCACATTACCTTTGCAGTGAGCTCCTCCTCGAAGGTAAGTAGTTAAGCTTTGAACTATTACTAATATGTCATTTTTATGACAATGGCGACGAGAAAAGGATATCGCATTCACAGCAGTTCAGTAGCTTATGCGATGCATACAGAGGTTCAACTAATCCAGTTCGAACAACAATTTGAACGCTTGCAACAGTATTTCGAAGTAGAAATCCTCTGATTTCCATTCGTGTCTCTCAAGGCAGAGACTTTGACACCTACAATAGATTTAACAAAAGGAATCATCCTCCTATTATTTAGGATTTCAAATTTGTATGGGGTCATATTTTGTACTCAGGGAGCCTCATAGAATCAGGAGCGCAAATATGGGAACAAATTTGATCACGATTTTTCTGGGAAATCTTTATTTCCAACTACAAGAGCTGCTCTTCCTACAGCCGCATGTAATTAGACTTATATTGAAAGAGAATCGAGTCGTAGAAATCTTTCCTTAACTTTTTCGTTTGATATTGCTTAACAACTTTCTGTCGCCTAAGCATGTTATCGTAATTGTTTTTGCCCTTGGATTGAGTTCCTTAGCTCCTTTTGATATAACATGCCTAGACACTTTGCCTTCAATCGCGTCAGGTGTCATTTGTCGGGTGATAAACTGAGTCCTGAAGCTGGCTTTTCTGAGTCCGACATTTTCTTTAAGCCCCTAACTTTGAAGCCATCTAGTATTATATTTCAATTTTATTTTTCCCCATCAATACTTATAATTGCGCATATTATGCCGCAAGACAGAGTCAAATTGAGAATACAACTCTTTAAACGGGTCTTCTCAATAGCTGCCGAAATAAAAGAGAAGCAAAACAAAAAATGCTTTTCTTTTCTATTTCAAATAAGATTTTTGGATTCAAAAATGAGCGACCTAAAGCTCATAGCCGCCTGAATAAGTTGAATTCTCGTCCAGACATAAGACTACATTATTTCCAGGCCATTGCCTAAGATCATCTGAGAAAGTTGAAATATAATAGACTTTAATTTAATACCAATGTAAAAATACAACAACCAAGCATCAAAAAGCATCGTGTTCGAGGATGAAAACTAGTCGTGAAGTAAGAAGCAGTTAAAAACTTTCATTCAAGAAGTCGAGTGCTTCTGTCTTCGTTCTCTATGAAGTCCTTTTATCGAATGGCGAGATATCAATGGGGTCAAGAAAGCTAATGATCACAGCAATCTAAAGTAATTCTTGTATCATAGACGCTATTTCGGCTTTCAAGTGTGTACTAAATTACGACTGATAGTCCTTGACAGTCTGTGGAAAGTTTTCTAAAATCATTAATCTTCAAAGAATCTATGTCTATCTTGCATTAACTGAGATACAATAAAATTGCCATTAAGAAAGAATTTTTGATAATTCTTTACTGGAATAATCCAGGGGGGACAAAGTAATGGGATGTGTCGTAATGAGCAATCAAATGTGATATAGAGTCGTAGGGGTCATTATCAGCACACTGTGGCTCTTTACAACGAAGTTCAGAAAACAGTCCTCCATAATTTTGTTCATACCCTACGGTAGAGGGTGATGTCAAGTTAGAGTTCACCGAAATAGTACTAAGTGCATTATCCTCTGAAGACAGCGCTGACCCTATATCACTCGTTATATGATTGTCTAAGACGTGATTCGTCATATCCTCACCGGAGGTGAAGCACAGTCCGCAATCATAAGGACACAGTAACATAGTTTTATGAGTGTTTAAGTGGCGAGTCACTTGTTGTTTTGTTATGAATCCTTTGTGACACACACAGCACTTTAATGGCTTTTCTTTATCATGTGTGAATTTGTGAACTTGTAAGTGAGACTTTCTCAAGAATCGCTTTCCACATTCTGGCTCTGAGCAAATAAACTGTCGTTCATCGATGTGTGATCTACGATGTTGCTGAAGCAATGAAGGCCGGGTATATGCCTTACCACATCCCTCAAATCGACATAAAAACTTCTTGACCCTTCCATCCTTGGCGACTTTTAGTTGATTCAGCATAATTTTCCCGGGTCTCAATTATTCAATGATGGTATCAGATATATTCCAAGTTTTTGATTTAATTGAATAAAAATTTTTAATTATTATCCGTGACTGCACATAACAAAGTCAGCCTCTTGAAAGATATCAAGCCTCATCCTTGCCAACAAAGGCTCCAAGAGGTCGGTATGCACTCTTATTTGAATGATATTAATTGAAGATGCTGCTCTATACTTATCATAATTTACTGTTGCATTAGTGTTTGCTACCTTTCTTAAGTTGGACCCAGATCACCCTGTATAAAATATCGCTCGTTCAATCAAAAAAGCTACAGCGCTAAGATAAAAAAAAGAGAAGAATTAAACGCAAAAATGAATGTTGACTCTTTTTCAAGTTTAATCTTCATGGATTCTCAAAAAAATATTCTTCGAATCCCTAAAAATCTGTACTTTCTATGATCGTAATGTCTACTAGATGCGCTTCATGTTGAAATGGCTTAAAAATCCTGAAACCAAATCCTTGCTCTTTAAAATCTGAACTTTGTCTTTAAAAAAGTATATTAAAATCAATCAAAGCTAAGCCTAAAAGCGTATACCATGACAGAAATCGAAACAATCTGTAGCAACCACCAACAGAAAAAGTATCGGGAGGGTAGTATTGGATAAATGACCAAATATAAGTGAATTCGTTACATCTCTATGAAGTTTTGAATTTCAACCGCGAAAAAATCATTTTTGAAATATTCAAACATTTCTTCCTCAAAAAAATTTACTATTGACAAAGGATCAAATGATGATTTGATATGCGCATAACTTGGATATGTTTCCTCCATGCTATCATATATAATATCCATTTTTATTTGATCAAAATCCAGAATAAATTTAAGAGTAGACTCTTGCTTAAAAAATAATTTAAAACTGCTCACTAAAGCATTTATGACAAACAAACTGTAATTATTAATATACTTTAAAAGCTTTCCTGGTTCTTTTTCACCATTAGTATCCAAAAATATCAAAGTATCAATAAAACGAGTTATTACCTTCATTAGCAATATGGAATTTTTTGTCACTCCGTATTCCTCATCCTTTATATTCTGGTTTTCTTTCTCATTAAGTACAAGCTCAGATAAACGTAAAACAAAGTCATTATGTGTTGAGTTTCTGTCGATATTTTTCTTCTCAGACTTCATGACGGTGATAAGCGAGAAAAAGCAAAACACTATGGCTCGCCATTTATTTTCCATGCCCATAAAAAAAGTATAAACCTCATTTCTAGTTGCTCTCGAATAAATTCCAGAATCTAAAAGCTTCGCTTTCTTAATGAACTCAACATATGGTATAAGCAATAAAATTGTATACTTGGTTGCAAGATTATGTGACCTATTGCTAAGTTCCTTATTTGTGTCTTTCAAAACGTAAAACAATAAGGAGTACCCGTGCTGAATCATTGCAAGTAAATTATTTGATAAGAAGAACTCTAGTATTATATCAGACGAAGTGTCGAAACTAAAAGTAACCCCAAAATCTTTTATTAAGTCAAATGATGATTTAAAAGTTCGGTAGACAAAGCTTTGTACATCCTCCAAAGAATTCACAATATCGTAATAAGTTAAGTTTGGTGACAAGATGATATTTAAGTGATTTCTCATCATGAAGATGGTTTTAACAAGTTTATCATCATTATCCAAGAATTGCTTTCTCAAGTATTCATCTGAAAGATGCAAAGGTACGCCTAGACTAAATGAGTTAATAGCATCATAATAAAGCAAGTATTTCCAAACATTCTTCAAAATACGTCTACTATTGTCTGACTTTTTGTAATATAATCTATCTATGTTTTGATGTAGACCCAATGTGATTCCCATTTCGAAGCATATTGCAAAAGTTATATTACCATTGCTTCCATCACCCCCATCACCATCCTTTATATTAAACATTCTAAAAATACGTAACATAAAGAGCGTCTGTAGGGATGGCAAAGTAGTCTTCACCAAATACTGAGCGTGATCCAATAGCTTTGTAATAAACTCCAATAGTATATCATTCTCATCTTCAAATTTGTTGAAACTTTCGCTATACAGATGTGAATTTGAATTTAGAGAAAATTTAAAGATTGTCAACAATAAGGCTAGATTGGCAAAGCCTTGTGAATTTTCTGGCAGAACAATCTGATATCTCAAATTGCTATGGGATAAATTAAAATGAGTTCTAAAAGTTCGTAAAACGTCATCTCGATCAACAATAGGCAAAAATCTGAACCAGAAACCATTAAAAAATTGCGTTATGTATTCTAACAATATCGAGTATTCTGGTAAAAAGCTTTCTAGTTCTATCAAAACATCTACGGATATTGCATATTTAAGACTATTGGACTGAACCGCTTTTGGCCTATGCATAAACTTCCAGTCTTTTCTTTGTTCTTTGACTAATTTGTATTTCGACATGTAATAATCCCTCGCCATCAGATTCTGTAAAAAAACCCTAATGGAAGTAGGACCGCAGAATATTGACCGAGTTTGCTTAGCGAAAATCATTTGAAATTTATCTAAGTCAATTTTTATGCTGGTGGTTGGATCCTTAAAATCTCTTCGCTTCTCTAATTTTTTAATAATTGATCTTAGATTATCATTTTCTTTCTCAAGAGATATAGCTTCTTCGCTGTATAAATTAACTGCATACGGAGTTGACGCTTTATATTCACAGTGATCCATTCCCTTTACCAAGCAGGCTGTACATGTTGGTTTCTTGAGATCGCACCTGGTCTTTCTAGCTCTGCAATTAGAGCACAGTTTCACTGCTCTCCGTCTTTTTTTATGACCCTTACTTCCTTGACAAAAATTATCTTTCGTGAAAACTTCCATTGGTTCAATTAATTCTTGAAAGACGATAGCAGTAATTTTAATCAAATACTCCTCAAGCAATATCCGACATGGATTTATTGTAATGTGCAGTACAATATACAAAACGATAGCTATCAACAAGATTGTACAAAAGGTATTGGCGAAATTCGAAATGTCAAAACTTTATACGAGATTAAAACCACATAGAGAGAAAAAGAACGAGATGCTCCTTAGATCAATTTCATTTCAAATAAAATCTCTATTCAAGTTTTTTCCTTAAAACTTTGATTATCGGGGAAAGAAAGAAAAGCTGAATCATTGATTTTACCCATTGGATACAAAATCAACAAATTCAAAAAACTTGTTTGAGTACACCGTCACCGTAAAGTTCGAGCGGTGACGCTATTTGGGCGTTACCATATCTAATTCCGTCTAGTAAAATTCATGACCCAATGAGGAAACTATCGTACGAGACATACTCAATTTGATTCGAAATTAAGTCGGATAACCGCATCAAGAATTAAACTCCGAATCTTTCTGAAGATTAATGCTTAAACCCCAAACTTTATTACAATTCACAGCGCCAATGGCGATTGACTCCATAAGCGATTACTGAAATCAAAAGTATATAATGGTGAGCAAAGTTGGCTTAAATTGACAGTCTTCAAGATACATAGCCTGCCTGAAAATTAATAGCAAAGACACATCGCACACTAAACTAAGAGAATTAAATCACCGCATGTACATTTTCAACTTTTTTAAAGACAAAGCACGACAATTGAGAAAATCATTAAATGATGGTAACAGAAGACACGATTTGAGTAGATCAAATTGTGATCTAGAGCTGGCTAAGGTATCGGAAAATGTTTGCGAAAGGGCTCAAACGAATGAACCAGTACCAGTTGAAAAATTAAACTGGGATTCATCTGAAGATAAAGGAAACCCATATAATTGGCCCCAGTGGAAGAAGTGGTACGTGACTTTGACAGTAGCTATGATTTGCTTGTGTGTGTCAATAGGCAGTTCGTTGTATGTCGCAGGTGTTCCAGACATGGTGATTCGGTTTGGTGTATCTCAAGAGCTTTGCATTTCTGGTTTAAGTTTCTACTTGATTGGTTTGGCTATTGGTCCAGCAGTTGCAGCTCCATTATCTGAGATTTTTGGGCGTCGATTCATCTTTTTCTTTTCTTTGCCTATTTCAATGCTATTTGCCATGGGTGTTGGGCTTTCCAAAAACATTTGTTCTATTTTAATCTTGAGATTCTTCTGTGGATGTTTCTCATCTCCAGCCATGGCTGTAGCTGGTGGTTCAATAAGCGATATTTGGAAATTTCAAGATATTGGCTTTGCTATGTCTATGTTTTCCTTAGCTCCATTCTTAGGACCTATCTTGGGACCAATTATTGGTGGCTTTGCCGTTGAGAAAAAGGGATGGCAATGGACTACGTGGATATACTTAATGGTGTCAGGAATCATTCTTCCATTTGTATTAATGTTGCCAGAAACCTATAAGCCAATTATCTTGTCTAAAAGAGCTGAAAGGGGTGGCATCGAATTAATTAAACCTCCGAAAGACAAAGATTATGTAAAGAATATGGCCACAGTAACTTTATTGCGTCCTTTAAAAATGTTGATTGTTGAACCTATTGTGCTTGTTCTTGCGATTTATATTTCTTTTGTTTTTGCTGTTTTATTTGGTTTCTTCGAAGCCTATCCGATTATTTTTGAGGGTGTATATCATATGAGTCTTGGAATTTCTGGCTTACTGTTTCTTGGTGTTGGAATTGGCTTGATGTGTGGGGCGGTATTTTTTATCACTATAGATAAGATGGTGTATAATCCTAGAAACGCTGATGGAACTAGAGGTAAGAGAGACAAAGATGGAAATCTTATCCTAGGGACACCGGAATCAAAACTGCTTTGTGCAGAAGTCGGTGCTGTCAGTTTGCCAATAGCATTATTCTGGTTGGCATGGACGGGTAGAACAGATTCGGTTCAATGGATGGTTCCCATTGCGGCTGGAGTACCATTTGGTTTTGGCTTGTTCTTAATCTTCCTTTCTGTCATTTACTACTACTCCATGTCATATCCACCAACCACTCTTGCTTCTGCTATAGCAGCAAACAATTTATTGCGTTATTTATTGGCTTCGGCGTTTCCGTTATTCACCGTAAAAATGTACAACAGATTACATATAGAATGGGCCACTTCTTTGCTTGGTTTCATTGCATTAGCTATGGTTCCGGTGCCCTTCCTTTTCCGAAAATTTGGCGCTAAATTGAGAAAAAAATCTAAGTTCGGTTATGCTGCTCTATTTAAACGTTCTCCAGAACAAAAGGCTCATGAATATCAATAAGCTGCCCAAGAACTAACTTCAGAGAGGATACTAGCAAAGAAGTACCAAATGAAGAAACTCAGGATACAACAAACGGATTTGATGTTCCTCATATGCTCGCTTGGTTAGCATAGCTGCAAACATTCCTTCATACTTTAAAATATAGACATGCTTGATTAAGTGCATTTTATCTTAATACTAAAACCGATATCGATATATTCCAGCGCTCAATGAGATTCATCATATAATTCCATGGAAATTCGTTACGGATGATATATAAAATAGGCATCTATAAATGTCCGGTCACGTTTTCACAATTGATAAGAACTTGAAAATCACTGAAGATTGTTGTTCAACGAGCCCAGCCCATTAGAGGTCGATGTTCTTATGAGAGTTGGACATTCATAACTCATATACTAGATTCGATTTAAATTTCATAGGGTTTGAGTTTCAAAAGTATCAAATCGAAGACCTTGACTATGACTACGACTTTGGTCATGATCAATCCTTTTATTCCTTTTCGTTAAAATTTTCTTTTTTTTCATCTATGTTTCTTTCACTTCTTCCCCAGTAGAAATAGCGAAAAAAATCTATTAAAATCTCAGCAGTGGAAGATCTACTAATTGCAGCCGCGTCATAATAAATAAAGATTTGCATATTAAAACTATGTGATGATTGAAGAATTTCAGCATCTTAATAAAAGCTAATTCTTCTTCTTAACGAGTCACGAAGTGACATCAATGACATTTGATATCCCATAAATAAGGTGACTAATCCCAATGACACACTCAAAGTAAACATGGATGTATAACCTCTAAATTCAAAGATTTGTACCACTGGCTCTGTTGATTCCATGAAAATCAACCCTCCACATAGCAATGCGAAGCTTACTAAAAGCTCAGAAAATGGGCGGCTTGGCTCTGTTAATGATTTGGGGACCGGGCCAAGCAATGCCATTAAGTATGAAAGTAAGCGAAAAGCACATCCAAACATGAACAAACTTCCCCATTGAGTATGAATATCAGTAGCTAAATGCAGCGATTGTTCGTAGACATCGACCTGCATATGCAGTCAGACCTTGAATTTGGTAATCTAAACGAAGCTTTCTGATTTGAAACTTTTCCCACACTCGTTCTCTACATTTCAATCGATAGCTGCGATCTCGATTATTATTTCAGGTACCTCATAGACACCTTTTTATGGCTTCCTTTTTTCTCTAGTTTATATTTCGAATGGATATTTACGAAGTGCACCGCCAATTCTTAAGTCAAGTATTACTCCAAGTACAAAATGAAAGGAAGAAATCATTGGCATCTTCGAATCAACTTATGTGAACATTTTTATTCACCCCGAGGTGGGATGGCGAGATGAGACATACAAGAATCCCCGCCCAATTGCCATTTACGAAAGCCTACATGTCAAGAGTTATAATATTTCAGTTTTTTCGTATTTGCTCCAATAAATAATGTGCAGGTCATAATAATCACCTAAAATAAGCTACCTTTGCAATAGGCAACCCAAAACAACTTAAATTCGACCCATAGCACTATAGAGTCGCAAATGTTATCACTTACAAAGACAAGCTTTCTACCTCATAATAGTTAGAGATACCAAACTGCTTATACTCTAGTTACCGAGGAATGTTACTGATCAACCAAAAAGAAACATCTACCTTTCGGAGAGTTGGATTGAGCTCCTGCAAATCTGGAACTGAGTACTGCAGCAGAGCATAAGTAAATGAGCGCTGTGTACCAGAAAACTTAATGGTGCCTTCATGGATGCTTAATCATAGGTTTGACTAATCCAATTATCCTTAGTATCAAGGTGACTTTCATAGCTTATGAAATGTTCCAAGTTTTACGCTACATCAATGACCTTGACACCTAATATATACTATTTAACGAGAAGATTTGAAAGAAGGCATATTGATCAACCGAACTCGAAATCTCGACCTTTTCGAATCTCCGAAACTACCCCCAAATATTATGCCAGTAGATTTCATTCGCTTGGTCCATTAGGATCTTGGCTAAATTGCCGCACGCAGCAGCCTATGCATCGATATATTCCGACGTAGCTACGTCTGGTCTTATCATCTTAGCCATATTTTGAAGAAGACACTTTTTAACAATATGGTACGCTTGCCATAAATCTGATCAATAAACGTCTTTAATACAATAGAGTCATCAATGTTATTTGCATAATTAAATAACGCAAGAGCCGACATCTTTAACGGCTTTTGATTAGACTGGTTGAAAAAACGCTACCTCGTCTAGCTAGAAGGTCTCAAATCTAATTCAATTCGTCACTTCTAGAAGAAATTTATTCCCAGTTCTGGCCCAGATGACTACAGCTCATCATTGTAAGAATTTTTAATGATTGTAAATCGATACCATGGAAAAAAGTGCGAGAACATTTCAGTGCCTATTTCATGATAACTGCATTGAATAGGATCTCTTATGGATTCAATGAATATTTTGCCGACTTGGATCAACCTTTTAGTACTTGTGTAGGTGAATAAAAAGCAACGCAGCGGAAGTTGAAGAGATAACACTATTCAGTGAGCCCATTTACTTCACGAATTAACTGTTAAGTCACGGCTGTACTTATTTTGGCTAGTTAGGCCAATCAGGTCCAAGTACATTTTAAGCAATTCTGTTGAATTAATGCGAGATGTCTTATTTCTTCGAATTCCTTAAAGAGGGACCCGAGTAACCAAAGCAATATTCAAAAAAGAGAAGAGATTTTTTTCTTTTTCAAGCAAAAGAATACTGTTAGGCTTCTAATTGATTTTTTCAAACTCACATGAAAATGAGTTTCGAATTTTGGGAAAAATGTCATACGTGCAACGTGTAACGTAGGATAACAGTTAGTATATAAGAAATTTGTATTGCTGTGATTCTATCTTTTGAATAGCGGGAACTTGTAGCTAGTGATAAATGAGACTTGTATCAAGCATAATTTGGTTCGCTCAGAAACCAGTCAACGATCCATTATAAACCCTTTTATTATAATCCCAGAAGAATGAGACCGTATCAGTAGTGTTAGAAGGATTTTTGCAATCTTTGTTGTAATTTAGCCCTTTTAATCTATAGTTGGCAATTTTTTCAAAATTGGATAAGCTACAAGAAAATCCAGGACCGTCGGCACACATCTTGATTGGAATAACAGCATCGTTCACAATGTATCTGACAAAAGATTCATTCAGACATTTGTACTTTTCTAGCACAACCCTAGCACCTTCAGGGACTAAATTTGTTGCAGTATAGATATTAGGGAATGGTATGTAATCAGGAGTTAAAGGTTCTCGAGGCTTTATAAGTCCTAAGATGCTATGAAACATCAACAATTCAGTATCATGAGTAAAACTGAGCCATATCTTTTGCTTAGCCGACGGGTCTTTCAATAATTTAAGAGAAGCCTCATACAATGGTCCAAACATAGTTTCTGATTTGTTGTTACCTGGACCATACAAGTAGTAATCAGCTAAATCAACCAGGTATTCGTAGCGAATAAACTCTTCATTAGTAAACAAATCACAAAAAGGAGAGTAGCCTCTGACATTCAATTCATAAGCACACCACTTAAACATATTGTTCACATCATCCGAGGTGAGATTTAAAAAGGAGTTACCCTTGAGTAGCCTGTTTTTTGCAGCGTCTAAGTACAGAGTATCGTACTTCTTCGATACTGGAGTGCTACTCGAGAAGGCGAAATCTGAGCAACCAGAATCTGGCGTAAGCGAGTTTGCTCCAAGAGATGTACCTTCGTCAAGAATAACATTTTTAACTTTAGCTGGGGTGTAGTCATCACCTAAGAATCCTCTCGCAAAAGCCTGAGAAGTTTGGAAAACTCTATCGTTACCGGCAATAAAAAGAGGAAGAGTCTCATTCAGGTTATATAAGGATCTATATTTTGACCTCAAAACATTGCCAGCCTTCTCTGCATCAGTGGTTCCAGCGAAAATAGCACTACCTGTTGCGGGTGTTGATTCTAAACCGTAGTCGCTTTTCTCTGTGACAAAATATTTATAATTATTAAGGAAGGATAACTCTCCAGTATACTTTCCCTTAAACTTCGAAAACTTTTTCAAGAGAGCTTTGAAGCTCTTACCTACACCTGACGTGGGGAACCTCTCGCCATGTCTCATAAACAATTGAACATTCTCTGGAAAACATTGATCCGGAATATCTGTGGAAGCACCTATACCAGGAAATTGAACGTAAGGACCGGCTCCTCCCAAGTATCTCAATTTTTCATATTGATCTGTAGCTGCTTGTTCAGGAGTCGCAAGGTCTTGGAACATGTTTGTGCCACCTATGGCTAAGCTACCTGAAAGTACCTTCGAAAGGGAGACCATGTCGAGCTTAGTTGTTTGGTATGGAAGAAAATCGATTTTTAGGATTCGTATTGCTTTTTATAGATGTTGCATCTTAATCTTATCGATGTTAAGAATATAGGCATTAGTTCGCAGGTTTGTTGAAGTTTTACCTAAAATGAATAAATATTTCACTAATTAGGAGCGATATTTGCGCATTTGTTACAATCTCGTTCTCATTTGTAAATTGATTCCTCTTAGATATTGGCTGATAGTGCCGTCCCAAACGATGGCCCTTAAGAAGTCAATTGATCCGACAGGATCACAATTGAAAGAAAAAACTAGATCAACTATATATTTCTCACACAATTCACAGCGTCATACTGTTATTGACGAAAGATAAGAAGTGTTACTTAACCCTCCCATCAAGAAAAATAAGATGAAACCGTCCTCCATTTATTCTAAGTTCCTCATGGTATACGTGTAAATATGGAATGTACAACTCTAGGCACGTAATCGAGTCTCTTCCAGAAGTGGATACACAAGTATACAACTATTGATGATACTTAAATGATATTTAACATGCCATCGCTGATCAATGTCAAGCAAACTTAATACAAAGTCGTCTAGTTGATGAAATCATATCACAATTCATAAAAATATCGTAAGCATCCTTACTTACAATATAAGACTTTCCATCCTATAAAATTAGAGCTTGGGTAGATTTTCAAATGTTCAACAATTCATACTTAAAGAGTATCGATCAAAAAAAAGTAGAAAAGTTATAGACTGCTATAGACTGCGTAAGAGTAAAATTCGGGCAAGATATTCAAGTAACTTCAATCCATGGAAATTTCGTACTCCACTTACCATTGCTCCTCTGCAGACATTTACTGAGATATTGAGTCAAAGCTATAACTTATCTACTGCTTTGATCAGCAATCGCGTTTCTTGTCCTCCAAAATTTACATGACTACAGTAGATCACTCTCCTAGAGTGCTTAATGTTATGCGAATTTGTTAAAGAGGAGCAAGTATAGATAATAACGTATAATTACCCTACTCCATAACTCTGGGCTTTTTATCATTACATGTTCAAATCTCTTAGAAAAGAAGAGGTCGAGAAGTTCTAGAGACTAATTTACTTAATTGATGCCAAAAACACTTGGGCAGATTTATGATACTGTATATAAACATACAGCCAAGAACTTGTCTTGCTTGAAAAGGTATCCTAAGGTAATACTTATAAAGCCCTTCTTGGTCACTATCACTGTATCAACAGCGTCACCTTTAAATAAACTGAGCTTGTCGGGTGGTACGTTGTGGACTTTGCGTGTCACTCGGGAGATTCACTTACCCCGTTCAGTGTAAGAGCATGCAGAATTAACTTGCAAACTATTTAGCCTTTTGAAGTCAAACCAAATATATTCAATTTGCAATGAGATGTTTAAGAGTCCAAGTATAAAAAGAAAATTAATCTAACGGTGCGACAATTAGAGGATCTTTCCAAGTTGTTAAATATTTTGATAAATAGGCACAGAAACATTTGGTTGTTCTAAAGCACTTCATCTAGCTAGAAGGAATTATACCAACGTTTTATGTCTTGATAAATATCCTGTAACTTCGTCAATCTTTGCAAATAACGACGTAAAAAAGGTGGCAAGCTGTTTTGAAACGATGGGTGACGAATCATTAACGACCTAACGGAGGATGAATCAAAAAAAAAATTCTCCTTTAGAACACAGATCCTGTTTCTTGGGCACTTGATCATCCAGTGGGGATAATTGATAAAGTTACTTTGGAAGAACCATTATCAGAAACAAAAGATCTTAATGAAAGAAGATTAGGCATAGAATGAATCCATTTAAATTTATACTGTTTTCTGATTTATTCAAAAAATTACTCCTAGTTTTAAATGGTCCAGTAAAAGGATGGAGAAGGTATTTTTATTAAAAAATGTACCTAAAAATGAATAGGTGATAGCCAGGCGCACTTCAGAGGCCGTGTCAAAGGAATTAAAATGCTTGGGCGTAAAATTTGTTAGTGGATATGATGGCATGGTGAGTTGTGTCAGTGTTGAGACCACTAGCGGTATAAAATATAATGTAAATCAAGTTGTCTTGTCTAGTGGAGCAAGTTCCGATTTGATTACGGATTTAATAGGACGACTTGGGGCGAAATGTTCAACACTTGCACATTTTTACATTGATGAAGAAGATAGATCATAATATTAAGGCTTTCCTGCTATTTCAATGCAGAAAAGGGTTTCTTCTTTGAATCAGGTTCTTAAGGCTTAACAAAAATTTATGATGGATTTCTATACTTTGACCCAAAAGCAGGAAAGTCAACGCCTATTCAACGTGATGCTATACCGAAGGGAGTAATAGACGGTATAAGAGATTACCTAAAAGAGACTTTGCCACAGCTTGAGTTGTTGAGCTTAAAGTTATGCTTGTGCACCAACTCACCCATTCGCCAATAAATTCTTTATGTGCACCCTGATCTTTCTAATTTAATTGTGGCGACAGGCGATTCTGGAAAAATTTTCAAAATTACCCAATTACTAGCAAGTATACCTCAAATTTAACAACAAAAGGAACAGATGCACTCAATCTTTAAGACTTGACGATGGTGACTGGTGACTAGAGTGAAGGAGGAGATAACAAGCAGCATAGATGGAGAGGTTCTGGCAGTGTCGAAGACCTGAGGTCGATCGAAGAGCCCGAGGAACCAAAAGAGATTCGTAGAATACCATGACTAAAGAATGAGTTTCTACCCGGTCCGCTATAGTTCTCTACCGTCTTGGAGGCCCTTTTCCTATCTAATCAATAGTATAAAAATTCACAATATCTTCGCGGTGATATCCATAAACAGAAGTGCTCGGAAATAGTGCTCGGTTATTACTGAAGTAAGTATCTGCCGACAATTTCAAAAAAATAACCGCATGACTATTGTGTATGAAGGTTATTTCTTGTGGCTCCTTCCTTGTAGAAAATCTGCTTGTTTCCTTAACGTATTTGACAAATATACTCGTAGTAAAGAATATGACTACAAACCAAGATACCGCCGCAGAACTTCTTTGGAAGGATATCACTTTAACTGTTCCTGATTCGAAGGATAGTTCATTAAAAAACTATATTCTTGATAATATCTCAGGACTGGTAAAGAAAGGAGAAGTGATGGCCCTCATGGGACCTTCTGGTTCTGGTAAGACGACACTTCTTAATGTTTTAGCTCACAGGTCGGATCCTAGACTGTCTCAAAGAACAGGCAACGTTTTGATAGACGGAAATAATGTCACTATGTCAATGGTAAGAAAATTGACATCTTTTGTGGAGCAAGAGGATTCACTTATTGGATCATTGACTGTGGAAGAGACCTTGGAGTACAGTGCTAAGTTTAAGAACGTTCCTGCCTTCTATATTAAAGATTTAGTCATGAAGACTTTGAAAGATGTCGGTTTGTATGATCAAAGAAGATTAAAAATAGGTACCCCAATTCAAAAAGGAATTTCAGGGGGACAGAAGAGAAGAGTTAGTATTGCTTCTCAAGTTATTTCAACACCTTCGATTCTTTTCTTGGACGAACCCACTTCTGGGTTGGATTCAGTTGCCGCAAAGGAAGTAATTCAGATGATAAAGAGAATCGCAATAAAGGAAAATATTATAGTCGTGTGCTCAATACACCAGCCATCTACTCAGACTTTCGAAACTTTTGATAAAGTTCTTTTTTTGGCTAAGGGAAAAACTGTATACAACGATGATGTGGATAAGTTGGTCGGGTACTTCAATTCCATTGGGTATGTAATTCCGCCATACATGAACCCTTCGGAATATGTACTAGATCTAATTAGTACTGAGTTTTCAGGATCACTGGAATCAGAGGATAATGCTTGTTCAACTAGTGTGCTTAAAGACCTAATTTCAAAGTGGAATGAAAAAGGGCCGAGAATTTTTGAATCAACTATCTCAAAGGAAAAATATTCGATGGCTGATTTTGACGAAAAACTGTTCTGTAAGCCCTGTGTTAGACTTAGAAACTGGATTCTTGAAGAATACCGACAAACATCGATTTTGCTCTCTCGGTCTCTTTTAAAGGCCAGAAGAGATGTTTTCGCATATTATGTCCGGATGATTATGTACTTTGGTTTGGCTATAATGATGGGGACTGTGTGGTTACGATTAAACAATGACCAAAAGAATATTCAGCCTTTCATTAACGCAATATTTTTCTCTGGTGCTTTTATGTCTTTTATGTCTGTTGCTTATATTCCCGCATATCTTGAAGATTATAATTCATATAAGAGGGAAAGATTAAATGGGATGTATGGCCCATTTTCTTTTGTACTTTCAAGCTTTATCATTGGTCTCCCTTTCTTGTTTATTATCGCTTTGATGTTCAGCATTATAACCTACTTCATGTGCAACTTCAGGCACAGTTCCACAGGGTTTAGCTACTACGTTATGTGGTTATTCTTGGATTTGGTTGCTGCTGAGTCTATGACCACATTTATTGCTAGCTTATTTCCAAACTTTGTGGTTGCCTTGGCATTGACTGCGTTTGCTAATGGTCTTTGGATGTCAGTTGGTGGTTTCTTAGTTTCTCAAGATATCTTAAATGTGTTCTGGTACTACACATTTTACTGGGTTGATTATCAAAGATATGTCTTTCAAGGAATGATGTTTAATGAGTTTTCAGAAAGAGCTTTCAAGTGTGATTCTAGCTGCCACTGTATGTACAATTCCGATCTTGCAGAGCAATGCAAGATTAGAGGAATTGCCATATTACAGACTTTAGGTTACTCTTCTTACGAAAAAGGTCAATGGATTGGAATTCTAGTAGCTTTGATTTTTATCTATCGAATTGGAAGCTTAATTTCTCTTAAGCTTAAGAAATAGGCTGCTGATAATACTTTTTAAGATTTAATGAAATGCTTTAAAGAAGCATTATTTATAAAGAGAGAAGGATCTTGTAGTAATAAATTTGATAAGTTTGTTAAGTTCCTGTAAGCGTCATATTTTTCATTTTTTAGCAAAAAGATCAACCTGATAATAGATTGAAGCAGACGAAAAATCTAAGGCTCGAAGATATTTGATTTCAGAAAGATGAGTCGCAGGGATAATAAGTGACAAAATTGAATCACTATCTGAGGTAACCTTCAGCGAAAAAAAATCTTCGGAAGCCAAAAAAGACATTGCTTGATTACCAAGGTGAGACAGACAAGCTCCTACAAATGTGTTTGCGTGATATGAATTAATCTTAGAATCAAAACTAAAACACATTGCTTGCTTGGTTATTTAGTTGCAAAAATGTTCCCACAATTATGTATCACATGTAGTGAAGTTACCGTGATTGAATCAACAAATCAATTGTAAAGTATTACGCCCCTCCAAATTCTCTGCTGCGGTAAACACTGTGCACTATACGTAGTAAAGTATTTGGCTAGGGAGTACGTTGAAAAATCTATATTCATGGTCGTGGAAGAAGGTGGCCGAGGTGCTCAAAATATCTATGGATCAAGGTTTACTTTACTTTCCACAAGGAAGAAGGGATATATTGATCTAGAGGTGGGTCTCACCTGTATTCAAGTTGAAAAAAAAGGGCCACTCTTTCTCCATCTGCTACGACGGGAAATACATACATGAGACACTATTGGAATTTTACCTACAGTCTTATGAATTTACTCCTATGGAACTGTTTCATACCTAATTTATTGTTAAGTTTTCAGATACCTTACGTCATTCATTAGGTTCTTCAAAAAACTCAGAGCGATTATCTAGATAGAAATCATGACGGTATTTTTCTTGACTATCCATGATCTGTAATTTTCTGTAACATTCTTTTAACATCGTCGCTATTGCTTAAGGGTACTACTTCAATTGGACCTTCTTCCTATATTAAAAAGTAAGGACCAATGCAATATGCTACTCGTTTTCCAAATCAAGGATATGCCACTTTGATTTTCGAGCCACGGACAGTTGGCGAAAGCTCAGGAGAACCAGGACGATTGGAGAATCCCAGAAGGAAGAACGAAGAAGCAGTAGCTGGAATAGATTATCTTGTCTTGAGAGTTGATATCGACGAAGCCACCATCTTTCTCGTTGAAATTTCCAAGGCGGACCTGATTGTTTGGATATTGCTTTTTATGATGATAGAGCTGTTGACGTGGCATCTGTGTCTGGCTACTACCGCGACCATGAAACCGACATTTATATGATTTATGCGGGCTGCGTTGATTAGAAACCAGGCTTAGATATTGCGACCATGAAGATGCCTACCCTGGAACAAGGAGAGGCGCTTTACAAGACACGGATTGAGAGAGCAAAGAAGGCTAAAAAGCTTTACGAAACAACGGGAGAGATTATCTACCAACCATTAGTTGATAAACTGGCAGCAGACCCAAAAGTTGATTCATTAGCAGGCTTAGCAGGACCAGTCATTTGGTCATGGTATGGTCCGTGGACTTTGAAGAATTTTCATACATTCATGAGAGAAATTACCCTTTAAAGAAAGTATAAGAGAAGAAAGATAGGAACTCGAACCCGCACTACCTTACAAGGACACTGAGAAAAACACTGAAATAAAAACTCGAAAGGATGAAGAAGCTATCGGATAATATCTTTCAGGTATTCTTGTATATTAGGAAGACAAATAGTTGATTGATTTGAATCAAAAGATAAGTCGATTCAAGATTAGAGTAAGTCCTATATATCGGAAAAGCTAAATTATATAATCGTAAAACTAATGCTCTGGAAATGTTCAAAAGCAGACAACAGCCGCATCAGTAAAAAATTAGTTTAAACTTACCATAATCCTAAATCAACCACAAAACTAGCTATTCTCCTTAATATCGGATAGGAGATCGAGTTTAGTTGGAACCCAACCCAAGACACTTCTAGTTTTCTCACTCAAGATGTGAGAATTTACCTGAATTATGTTACCAATGAACCCCAATTTTTCGACGTCCTGAGCTGAGCTGAAGGAGTCGACAGCGATATTTCTAGCTTCTGAAATTGCCATTGCGATTTTCTTCGCTGGAGCAAATTCCGTTACAGCATGAAGAATGGACCCTACAGGTGCCTTTTCTACAACTAGCCTGTAAAGCACTGCAGCATCGTCATGATGTACTGCTGACCACAAATTTTCGCCGTCCCCCACATAATAAGACACGTGGTTCTTCTTTGCATTTTCCATTAAAAGACCAATGAAAGTACGGCCACCTTTATCATGAACTGAAAGAGCTAATCTTACAGACACAACTCTAACCCCCTTACAATCATAGGATAACACAAGCCTTTCTGTGTACTTACGAAGTAGAAACATGCTATCTTCATATGCAATTGGGGTGGACTCGTCAGCAGCTTCTCCTTTTTTTGTAGGTAATACAAGAAGACCGTTCGTGTAGGCAAAGAATTTATTGCTTCCCTCAAAAGTCTCAAGTATAGCCTTTACGGCTCTTTGATCTATTTCTAAAGAATTTTGAAATTTTCAAAATCCTGAATGAAGGTGCCCCGACAAAACCTGTGCCACCTGTTACAAAGAGCTTCATTACTACTGACCGAATTAAATGGGTTCACTGATTCTCAAATTAGATTTTCTTCAATTCCTTTCATAATTGACAGAATGTCTCCTCAGAAAAACTAACATAAGTACAGGCTACGCTGCGAAAAAGCATCTGGAAGAATATATTTGTAAGCGATTTAGTAATTTAGACTGCGCAAGAATGTTGTATCTTTTGACGACCTAGAAGGGCGACTATTCTTAAAAAACGAAATAGGGTGGCGAGTTAATATCTTTGTTCTTTGTAAACATAATTGACTTGCAAATTTTTTATTGCAGTGATCAGTGTATAATCCTAAGATGTACAATTTTTCTTGCTCTAACTGTAGGTTTGTTTCGATTCTTGCCATTTATTAATCATGTCACCATTCTTTTCTGAATATAGGATATTTTATTTTTGACCTCCCACATTATTTAAAGAGATCCTAATTGCGATACTGCGCGTATAAGCCGAAGAAAATGGTTCAGTACTGCAAATATAGATATGCTCATTTTGATGTCCCAATTTTGTAGATCATTCAAATAATATGTCTCATCTCCTAAAATGCTCTATTAAATTTAAAGGAAGTAGTATCATCGCCATAAAAGCATTTTGCTCCCTTAAACCACGAAGAAAGCAGCAACAAAGCTGTACCACAATATTTATCTGCCTATATTTGGTAAAAAACATTTGTGCTTATATGACTAAATAACTTCTTAATTATTGTGTTGAAGTTTCTAGAACTCTTTCCAGATAAATTGATCGTGCTAGTTGCATACAGTATAAATCGTTTATGACTACATTTTTTAAGTAAAAAAATAGCTAAAAGAAATATAATATATACCGTAACCAGCTTTAATAGACTTCATGGTTGTGGCATTATAATGCTTGGCTTCATCTTTATCAATAACGAAAACCATTCCTAATCATTCCTTAGATATATTTCTTAAGGGGTATTCAAGGAAAGACATCCCGATCATGTTTGGTTATGAATTCCACAAATATCAGGAAATAAGAACAATAAAGACAAGAGAACTGAGAGATAACATCAATGCTAAAAATAGAAGTTTGAAAGTTTTTTTTTGGCATACATTGCAAGCCAAATCTCCATTCCCCTCGACATTTATCATAAAAAAAGCATTATTGAGGCAACAATAATAAATAAGTAATCGCTCTTTAAGTTCAATTAAAAAGAAAGCAAGTTTTTATTATGTTTGAAAATTTGAGATCTTGTATAAGTATTCATATATATCTATATATAAATATTTCGGATACTTTAAGGTAAAATCAAGCTCGAGACTTCAAAATGATTTATGCATACAGCACAGTCACAAAATCTATATTCCCCTGCTTTTTCGCATTTTTATATGCGGTAGCTGCCAGTGATTCCGGTGGAATCTGATAACCAAAAATCCCTTGTGGATCCAAACTACCTCCGGTTGTCAAATTGAAGCAGCCACTTTCACTGATATTCGTCGCAACATCCACGATAACATCGTCGCATTTACGGTCTTCCGATAATTGAAGTCCAACCTGATAATCCAGAGTCCCAGTAAATTCCAAGTAAACGCTATTAGTGTTTCCTTTATAAGTACAAAGATTGTCACCTTTTTCATACATTGTCCAAATTGTACCAGCTTGATCTCCTAAACAATCGTCACCTTCATAAAAGATAATCCTTGCAACTTCAGGTCCCTGGTCTGCTAATCCGCTCTTAAGTAGAAAGCCGGATAAAAATATAATACTATTCAACAATTTCATCTTTTGTAATGTAATATTGATTAACTAAAAGTTAGTTATTGAGAATTGATATGAATAGGTGCCTATAGAAGCTTTTTTATATGTATTTCTTTGGTTCATTTTTAGAAATGCTTTTAGGGTTCGAATTGTTTTTCTATTTTTGAAAATTTTCTATTTTTGAAATTTTCTATTTTAAAAGTCCCGCTATTAATATGAAATTCCTATTTCTTTAATTTCAGTATTTTTGGCTCTCAGTGAAGACGACATAAAATGCGGGCCCACATGCAATCCCGAATTATCGAATCTCCGGGCAGAAATGAATAATTTCTTTACAAGCTTTAGATGCTTCAAACTATACGTCTAATCTTATTAATTACATCTTGATATCTTGGTCCAAATATTTCATTTAATCGATGGACACCTTGCTAACTACTGAAAGATCAAACATATAAGTTAGTGAGAATAAAATGCCTTTTGCGTTCTTTATGCTGTCCTCTAAATAAGGACTTTATGACTGAAAAGCTTACCAAGAGGGCAATGGGCCGACATAGTATATCTCTTTTCTTCAGTAAATACTCTACATTTCTTTTACGCTCTGTGACCTGCGACTCGAAGTCTCCGAAGAAGAAGCACAACCTGACAAACTACCAATGTTTCCCTTTCTTGTATCTGTTGAAAGATTAAGTCAAAAATACCTTTCTCAGACTAAGTCACGCCATTAACAGCTTTTGTGAATACATAAATTACACTGGTATTCAAAGAATAAGACTTCCTGCGGGCATTGACCTTGATGTGACGTGAAGTGTAATTTCAAATTACGTTCAATACCGATTTAGATAATATATGCATAGTCACGCCAAGATCTGAAATTGTTATTATTTTCAACAAGAACCAGCTGCCCCTGAAAAATCAATTAGTTAGAACCACTTAAGATGCATCTAGCACCAATTGAATACAATTCAAGTAAAAGTGGTCAACGAAAAAAACGTGACTGCAGAAAAATATAGAGGAAGGCTATATGAGTATCATGCTTAAACGACAGTCACAACTCCAGAAAGAGCTCTTAAAGCAGAGTAGACAATTGACTTTAAAAGTGTAACTGCATTATCGTCGATAGGAAATTTGTCTTAATCCTTTATACTAACATGCTTGCTTTTATTACAAATTACGAAATTGAGATTAGACAATGTTAATACATTTTTAATAATATGCATATAAAAGTTTTCCACTAACAAAAAAGGCGATAACCTGCAGAATTTAAATCCGAAGTCTCCACTTCTAGTGTGTTCCCTACAATAAATACAGGAATTAACGCCGCCATAAAAAATGTGAATAATATGCACAAGAATTAAATACTTCAAACGAAACTATAAAAGTTGAACTGTACAGATAGACATTTTGATCAACACGTATGTCAGATTTATGACCGGTATTCATTCACATAACCCACAGGTTTCGTTTTAGGTTTATGGGATACAAGATGGCAATGTTATATAAAAGGGCGATATTCTTCGACAATCTGGGATTAGATTGAACAACAAGCAGTATTTTGTTAAACAGATTACAAAGCTAGCTAGCATTTATATCTAAGATGTCTTTAACCCACGCCAGCAGGGAGAAGTACAACGGCATTGCTGATATCATGACTAAGAGGTTCGGAATCCCAGTTTATAGACAATGACGAATTTGGATTGAAATATGAGGATGACTTTTTCCAGTCACTAGATGGAGCTGGACTTGTTGGCACCATTCGTTTAATAATCAAACCTGTCTCTGCTCTTGATTTACTCGATCATCATTTACTAATTCATTAGAGTATCTAGAGATCTTATTAATGGGTGTAATTTTGATACTGTAAGTCTAACACGTATCGAAAAGCCTAACGAAATTTCGAACTCACCTTTAATAAATCTATTTATATCAGGACGATTAGAATATAAACTTGCATTTACTTTACGAGAATAGATGAACGGACTAAAAACTTTGAGAAGAAAATTGCCTCTTATGATGGTGAATTAAACGCTTTGAGAATAAGTCAATTCAAGGAAACATGAATATTAATTGCTGTAGCAACTTCGTGCTAATACGCTTCGGAGAAGAAAAAAAATAAGAGTGGAACTCATAATTAATTTAAAGAACTGTGTGTGTAATCTACGCATGAATCTTAGAAGCGAACAGATCCTATCAGGATTACAATTCTCATCAGCAAGGACGAAGAGCTCGTCAGATGTTACACCATCCCACGAGTTCGCGTCATAGAAAAACAAAATTGCTGTCTCAGAAGAAATGTTGCTCATGAAAATCAATTTCTTGTTGCCGTTGCCTGCATTTTTGCAAAAATTTTTACTTATATCGGTTTTTTCCGGCAGCTTTAATTCGATTTCATTGCATTCGGAAGCAGTTATCACCAGGAACAAGTAAAACAGGAATAATTTAAACCAGTACATGTTTTATGTTAATTTTTCAATATTACAACTAGAAAATATGTCTCGATAGATAGCTGAACATAGCGTTTAAATAGTTTTATGAGTCGTTTGCTAATGCTGAAAAGCGAGAGGCTAGAATAGTAGAGATATACTATGGTAGTTATGGTAATACTTGTTAAAAACTAGTACCTAAATAAATACAAGAAGCTCTTTGTTATGTGAAACAGATAGAAGCAATTTCTTATTGTCTCGTTGAATAAGAATAGTAATTATGCAGTCTGATTATCCAAACGCGTTCATAGAGACTCTTTGGTTCTTATTATTGTGTTGCTAAAAGGCTCTTAAAAGAGATATAGCTTTTTCTCTTTTAAGATCTCGCTTAATAGGCTAATAATAGCTGAGGGAAAAAGTCCCTGAGCTCATAATTTCAAGAAGGAGCAAAAACTACCCACTTCAAAAATAATTCGAGAACTTCCGAAATCGAAGCTAGATGTCGCAGTTGAGAATTTAAACAATACAAAAACATATCGGTCAGCTAATATGTCAAACATCTTCTGCAAGATATTCTAGTCGAGGAAAAAAGGGTCGGATGCAACAACAGAGAAAATTAGTTGAATTCTCGCTTTATTCTTGGCAAATGAAGTTGCTCACTTATATCTATATTGGTAAACATGTTTCTTTGGATATTAAAATGATGAAAAACGATAAGTAATAAACACATATTCTTCAAAATGACTTTTGAGCTAAATAAATAAACGTCGACAAGAGAAAACCATCAAAAAAACAGCCTCATTGACCTCTCATGATCAATCTATTCTATTTCAGAAACGATTGACTCTCGAGGTACATCTATTTAATATAAAATGTGCAAGGGAAACAATGCCTCTATAGTATTGCTAAAATATGCGCTTCTCTATATTTCTTTTTGATGGTAATGAGCCAAAGCAGATTTCGACATATCGTCTACTGACGAACCAGCGCGAAAGCAAACTGGCTGTACCACGTATTTGCTCTAGTACAATTATATGTTTTTGAGATGTTTTACGTCATCTTTCATATCTAATTTTTGACTAAGCGATCTTGCAGGAAGGATTATTACGTCATTATGAAAAAGTGGAGAAATAACTTCGCACTTTGTTCCACAGAAAATTTGTACCAGACAATTTATAGCTACCGTTATTATTGGGACCCTGTAGTATGAGAATTCTTTTCATTTTCATATTCAATGTTTTGAAATAACTAGGGGTATTTCAGAATTTTTGATTAAGCTTATTCTTTTCAATTTAATCAACAAATTTGTCCAGAATTTAACTATCAGTTTATACTTATCTAACGACATCTCTGAATTTCCATGTTTTTCCTCACCAATAATACCATTGAAGATTAAGGGATGAATCTATTGTTTTCAATAAATAAGTTTATTGAATATTTCTTCGAATTGCGAAACTCACCAGTCAAGAGAAATTCACATTATCCTTTTCGTAAGATTCGGAATGCGAAGCTATATTCAGGTTAAGTTTAAACGATACAACTTCATTAGTTGTATCTTTGAACGGCGCTTGGTAATCAAAATTTCAAACATCATCAAGAAAAGCTTGGGCGATTTTGAATCCGGTGCAATCATACCTAGAGTCTTGTAATTAATTATTTGGTGTTCGAAAATTGTTGATCTGACACTTTTAAGGGAAGGGTCTAATCATTATATATTGTCACTATACCTTTTTCATCAAATGGAGCATAGACTGGGCATAATTTAATGCTAAAGAAGAAATTTAAATTCAACACTATACTTTTGATTAGAATACTTCTAAGTTAAATAATATCAGTCTGAAGACTTAAATTGCTAACTCCATAGAAAAAATTGGACTTCTAAGCTATGTTTTCATTATTTTTTTCTTTGGATATATCTGAATTAAGGATAGGAGATTTAAAAACAAGGCATTTTGATTTCAGTACCATTTAACGAAATAGATGTAATATCATTTCTCAAAAAGGAGGAAAGCTTGGTTACCGAGTATTTATTTTCGTGCTAGAGAGAATCCAGATCAAAGTCTCTTCACTCCATACAAATTACAGGAAGAATGAAATCGTTCTTGAATGATTCGAAAAATCTCACTAATGAAGCCACTAAAATTTTTGGCGGTGCCACAGTGCAAGTATGGTTCTTGTTTATACTTGAAAGGGTGGGGGGAGGGGGGGGGGACATTCAGCATCGTGCCCTATTCAACCTTCCATTTCCCTTTAACATGAAGATCTTCACTATGAGCGACCCTATTCAACCTCGATAAAGTAATTATTGAGATAAGAATAGAGAAAAGCGTTCAAGAAGTCGGAAGGACAAGAAATGGTGAAGGAGTATAAACGCCTATATAATTATATCGAAGACTAGTTTAAACGCGCTTTCATCTTCGTTTATTGAAGATGCTATTGTTAGAGATAAAATAAATAGCGCGAACACCAACGACTGTTTCTGTAACGAAATCTATTACTGAGTGCACAACACTTAAATTTTATCTGCTTTGCATACCATGAAATATCACTGCTGAACTTGGGACAGAAATAAAATAGTAAGCAAGGGAAAAATGCTATCAACATAATGGCTGCAAACGAGCCACAGCTTTGGTAAAAATGCTTACAAAATAATGAGGCAAGTTCATCCGAGTAAAACAACGTCATCTAAGCAAAATATATAACTAGAGATATGATTCAACAAAACGTGAACGATCGCTTATAAGTTGTCAATATTATAGTATGTATAATTTTTACATAAGCACTGCTTCTTTCCTGACCACATTCCTGGATATTTTTTCCAAGAATATGTGTTGTACTTATAGCAGCCACTATGATTTGGTTTGATAGTGTACCATCGCATTCCCCCATCCCTACGTAGGTGGTGAGGCCCACCACAGAAAGTCAAAACTTCAGCGCACCTAGCGTTATGCACCCAGATTGACTTTGTGATTGGCTACTTTATGGGAGAGTAGCATTTATAAGTTAAATAACAGTGTTTTACCTTTCTTGACTCATCCTTACATTCATTGTTATTCGAATGATAATAGCCTGTTATGATAACCTCTTTATAACTTTTACGCTTGGCTAAATGATTTCCAAGCTATACCCTTGATTAACTCGTTCAAATGCAAAGTGGGAAATATCTGAGCTACTAGTAAAATCGATAGTTCCCAGCCAATCTGAAGAGATATTTGACAGATCATAATTGAGTACTGATCTGTCAAAAGTTATATGTAGTGGCGACTCTGAACTAGCAATACATTGGCGTAACTTCATTTGTTTTTAAATCAATATCACTCCCAACATTACGTAAAATAACAAAATTCTCTTCACCTGAGAGCATCATTGTATAATTAAGCTCTAATAAATCTAGACACAGCGATAAGTTTGTAAATAGTTTTTGATACTGTATAATATACTCAGGTAAGTTCTAATCATATTATGTTATATTACTACCTAAAACGATACCAAAAAGGTAAATTAAAATAGTAAGGTAGCACTTCATGGTATAATAGTTTTTGTAAAATATTAATCTCAATAATGATTACCGCAAATGTTGCCCTTATATTTTTTATATTCAGGCTCTATTTTGAGTGCCAACTTAACAAGTTTGAATTGGTCTGTGTCGTGAACGGACTGGTAATTTTTTCGTCTATTTTCGAAAAGAACACACTATTGTCACTTCAGCGCTTCCAGCCTCAATCCCAGAACGGAAATTGAGAAAAAAAGAAACCATCAAGGTACACCATCCTTGACAAGTTCACCCGACTACTAACCGAGTCGCTCTAAAAAATAGTCTCGTGTGAGATTATATGCCCCAGGCGTAGGCTCATGACTTATTGCCCATATGGATCTTCAAATTTCTACATTTGATGAAAATATTAATTTCAGCATTAGTCTCACCAAAGATTATTATTTCCTTTTAATGTACGTTTTCCACAATATAATTGCAATGATAATTACACTCATTTAATCTGAATACTACTGAAGCTAGAGCTCAAAGCAGATGGTATGATCAAACACCCTAGATATTAATGATATATAAGAAAGCTCTATTATTCTGAGCCAAAACCTAAACTAAAAAGCTCAAGTGTTAGATGTCTTAACTGTGGAAAACTTAAGATCAAAATAACTAGAAGTTTCTTCACCATGTAACATTCTTGCTGACCCATTATAATGCGAAACGACTAGTACTATATGCGAGTACTGTATAACCAAAGGAGATAATGTATCTATTCAGGTGAGAAATTTATTGGAAAAAGCTCTGCCAACAGAAGAGGATAAAATTCAGTGAGTCTACTGAACAAAGTTCAAATGATGCTCAATTCAATGTCGAGTTTGATCGGCATAAATTTCTTTCAACATCAACTAATATATTATTCGAGCCAAAGTCTAAGAGTGTCTATTAATCTTGACAGCTGGCAGACCTGAAGCTGTGGTTTTACGTATTCTAGAGGTTTTGGTTTCAATCAGAGTGTTGGAGATTTTGTTACGCGCAATTGATACTGTGAATTTCGGGAAAAATGATTTTAATGAGAAATATATGCTCTTAAACTCACTAGTTTCAAAGAAAGGTACTTTTTTGAAGACATATCAAAAAATTTTTGATACGGATGAGCTAAGAGAATAATATGATAATGAACATTTTTCAAAAAAAAAACAATAGATTATTTTGATTGCTGTTTTAGCAATGCCATGATCATGATAAATGAAGTAGAAACAGGGAAAAATTCAATTTCTGTTTTCAGTGCAAAAAATGTTTTTCCGCAGCATTCTTATCTTTAGCTTGATGCTGCTTCAACTGAAGATATATATTCTTTTGTTTTCCTTTGCATGAGGTGAGCCTGATGTGCCATCCATCCGCCAAGCGTGTTCTAATAACATTTTTCCCTTTCTATAAGGGACTCTATATTTTGCCATATTTGAAGACAGCGGCATTCAACAGGGGGAGGCAATTGCATCTACCAGTGGTAGCTTACCTAAGAGAATGTAGAGAGAATATGGATCAAAGCATAGGTGATCTTTCCTTGGAATCCATTGTCTACAAAGAAGCAATGGTCTCACTTGAAGTGAACTACATAGAGCCATTATCCAGGAAGATCCCCAACCACTTGGGCATGAATATTCAAATTAGATGATGATCATTTGATTCGCTTGTCAAACAGCTACATTATTAAGCCTAAAAGTTATTGTTTTACCACTCGTCATTGGTATGCTTTGCACAAAATGGTTTTTCTTTAAAAAATGATTTGTTAAATTATTGCGTTTGGTTCAAAGATTTCAATTTTTCTTGTTATAGTGAGGGGCAAGACGATGAAGACAAACAAATCTTTTAATTACGTCTTTGGATTATTAAAATTTTAGATATAGACTCAAAACATCTTTTACCATCTAGGGAAACAGTAAGAGTAGCCAAAAAAGCAACCATTTCAAGGAATTAATTATAATTATTATTCCTAGTTTTCTTGATTTGTACTTGTCTCTTTGAGTATCACTTGAATATAATCAGGATTATCGTATCATTAATCAGGGTCGTCTCACCTGCGTCTAATTTCGATTCTGTAGTCATCTTGCTATAGTTAATTCTCTGCTCTTTAAACACAAACCACCTCTAGCTCTTTATGCGGTAACTATCGCGGCCTGAGGAGGACATTATTCCTTTCATTTTGAGTATTACTCTGTTGGTAAAGAATCTAGGCGGTGGAACTCTTCGCCATTTGTCCTTTGCTATAAAGGTCAATGTGCTATCGTGGTATGCTGTCGCCAAAAGTGTGAAAACTGGGGTATACCATGATTGGGATGATTGCAAGTCAATGGTAAAAGGGTATAAAGGTGCCGTTTATAAAAAGTTTTCGTCTCTTACAACGCTATAAGATTCGCCAATATTAAATGTTGCATGTTCTTTAACGGATAATTAGGTTTTTTTTAGCTTATCGTTGAATGGTTAAAGTGAGTAGTTTTGACTTCGCTACCAAAATTTAAACGTACTGTGTCGTCAATAAAGATATAGAGTGCTAGACTCCTATATGCTAATAGAAATTCAAATATTTGAGATTACAGCTGAATTAAAAAATATGTTCACCGGAAAACAAGAATTTAAAACGATTTATCTTCGAGTAAGAAGAAGTCGCTATCGATTTCCGCAAGTGCTAATTCCAAATCAAATGGAATTTCAGCACACAAGCTCTCACGATTGCTATCTATATTCATACTACATATTACGTCATTACGGTAATAAGCCGCATAGTATATGAGATTAGTAGATCATCTCGGTTATAAGCCGCATCCGATTACATGAATTCGCGATATAAGAATATAAAGCAGCCTGAACCCCAAAATATCTACCAAACTATTATAATTAGTTAAAGCTACTGGCAGCCGAGGTCCATAGAATAGTGGCATTATGTCTTTTCTCGGAGATTATACTACGAATACCGTTACTTACCCTTCCCAGGGCGAAAGTATAGCTGGCGTCTTGTATCGCCCAAATAATGTTTCCAAGCCACCTGGTATTGTAATAATTGGACCCTATTCCTTTATTAAAGAGCAAGCACCGATGCAGTATGCCACTCGTTTGGCAAACCAAGGATATGCCGCCTTAATTTTTGATCCACGTACAGTTGGCGAAAGCACTGGAGAACCCAGGCGATTGGAAAATCCTAAAATGAAAAACGAAGATGCTGTAGCCGGAATTGACTATCTTATCCTGAGAGGCGATATCGACGAAAGTAAGATTTTTCTTCTTGGAATTTGTCAAGGTGGACCTGAATGTTTGGACATTGCTTCTTATGATGATAGAGTTGTCGGTGTGGCATCTGTGTCCGGCTACTATCGTGATCATGAAACCGACATTTACATGATTTGTGCGGGCTGCGTTGACTGGAAACCCGATTTAGATATTGCTACTATGAAGATGCCAACCCCAGAGCAAGGAGAGGCACTTTTCAAAGCTCGGATTGAGAGAGCAAAGAAAGCTCAAAAACTATATGAAACTACCGGCGAGGTCATTTACCAACCATTAGTCGATAAAAAAGCAGCAGATCCCAACGTCGGATCGTTAGCAGGCTTACCAGGTCCAGTTGTTTGGTCTTGGTATGGTCCATGGACTTTGAAAAATTATGAAAACCGATATGCTGTCCTTAGTGACTTGGATCATTTTAGTTATCAAACTGTCGAAAATGTTGCAAAACTTAAAAAACCTGCTTTGCTTATTCATGGTGATAATTGTATGAACGGAGCTGCGGCAAAGAGACACTTTGAGTCTATTCCAACTAGCAAGAAGAAGCTTATTTGGAACAATGATGTCTCTCATTTCCAGCACTACGACCAACCAGACGTTGTTGATCGAAACTGTGGAGAAATTTTTTCTTGGTTCCAAAAGATTTGATTAGGTACACGAAAGTTGGTTTGCAATTCTTGTGGTGATGTTTCTCGAAGAAGCCTACAAATCTAGTTCTTTTTCTTATAGTTTAAAAAATTAGTTCTTGAAAGGTGTTAGTTTATTTGTCTCATAAATATAATTACTGATATCGTGATGAAAAATGCTTTATATTTGTCTATTGTAATAATCACGGACACAGCTCACAGCTGACAGTTATAGCCTTCAGCTAGTGTCCTGATTCAATCTCTCGGCTCAGAGTAGACCAAAAGTATTTAATAATCTGAGTCTTGCCCACAACTTCTATTGAGCTTATGCCTTACTTATTTTTGAAAGGTTCTGAAACCTCAATTTAAAACTCCTTCATTAAAGTATCACTTTAACAGAGGGTACCAAAGAGAATCGAACTCATACAGTCATTAAGGCAAAGACTGATGGAGTATCATTCAACTGAGGTCATTTTTACAAGAAGTGCTAATAGTTGCTTTTAGGGCTACTGTTGTACCTGGCTGATACTTATTATACTTGACTGCTTTAAGCTTCTGTATAGTGTATTACTACCTAAAATCCTTTGTAGAATGTAATCTTCTACTATTGGGAGTATGAGTACCTCGTGCTTATATATTTTTGCAAAATTCATCACGTTGTGTATACTTACAAGACTGGCACTGCTTCGAATTTGTAACCTTGGAATGTGTCAAGATTGTCATAGAGATTCTGCTCTTATTTAAGAACAATTGAGTAACAAATCAACAAATCAACAAATGAACTTCTATCAGTCTTACTTTAAAAGTGATAAGAATGGATTGTAATCATAGTCATGATTTAAATCATCATTACTATCGAAATCAGGAAAATTTTTGAGATTGGGAAAGCTCGGAGGTTGCCTTCAAAGCCCCGTAAAAGTTAAATCTTGACACATTAGTGACATCCCAACTCTTAAAGGGTATAGAGAAAACCCCAACAGCCTTTCTGATAGAATCAAGACCAGCCTCGGAAATAGAAATATCGTCAACTTTACCTGCCTTGACTTATTCTGCAACACACCCAATAGTCTTCTCATATGAAACTTTTGGATCACACTAAAAGTTTCGAAGACAGTTTTGCGTCTCAAATTAGGACCTTTAGGAAAATAAGATGATGTCTTCAATTGACCGGACTTCTTCCTTGGATCTGCTTATGGTAAAATTAGTAAGTTCCAAACCTCCTTTGATACTAATAACTAGACTGCGACTTAACTCTGGCTCATTAGCATCCACAATATTTTCAAGAGCTTCAAATTAGCGTCCTCAGCCCCATAAAAATCACCTCTATTTACAAACTTAACGGCAAAATCAGGATTCGTAGTTTACATACTTGAGAGTTTCATTAAAGACTCTTAATTTTATGCAAGGTAGATATCAGCCTATTAAGAACCATGCTACTGCCATGCTACTGCCATGCTACTGCCATTGGGAACCCTTTCTGTGTCTGTAGATTCGGTAGTTGCAAACTGTAAAATAGTTATTTTCCACGAGACCCTTGATAAGTGGAAATAAAGTTCTGACTTACCAGCTTATTAAGATGCATCGAGTTGACCTTGTTGAAAAGATACGGAAATTGGACATTACGATTAAGACGTCTGAAGGCGTTTGAGATAAGGAAATTGAACATGGAAATTATACATTAGTCAGATGCTGCATATACTCCGAAATCCTTCAGTGGCGCGCCGCAGGGAGGTTACTATTTAAACTTTGCTTGTCTCTGGTTTGCTCCTAAAGGACAAGTCATATACCAATCTTATTGAAAGAAAAAATAATGACAAAAGTACTTATTTCTGGTGCATCTGGTTATATTGCTCAACATATTATCAAGGATCTATTGCTTCAAGGTCATGCTGTAGTGGGTACAGTCAGATCAGCAGAAAAAGGAAACAATTTAGCTAAATTGTTTAACTCCAGCAACTTCTCTTTCGAAATTGCCAACTTGACAGAAGAGAAAGCTTTTGACAAAATACTTACGAACAACAAAGATGCGACAGCGTTTTTACATACGGCCTCTCCGTTGCCTCATAATGCAAATGATAATGAGAAAGAGTTCTTAATCCCAGCTGTGGAGGGCACTAAATCTGTGTTACAATCAATCAAGGATCATGGTTCCCAAATTGAACATGTAGTGATAACATCATCCTATATTGCAGTTAAAGACTCAAAAAATAACTCTCCTTTACCATACACTGAAGATAGTTGGAATTCTATTACGTGGGAAGAAGCAGCCAAGGAAAAGTCTCTTGGATATCCTGGATCAAAGAAATTTGCTGAAAAGGCTGCTTGGGATTTTCTTGAAAAGGAAAAACCGCATTTCACATTAACTGCTGTTAACCCAGCATATGTGTTTGGACCCCAAGCTTTTGATGAAGAAGTCAAGGAGAAGTTGAACTTTTCTGCGGAGTTTATCAACTCAATTGTTAGACTGGTTTCTACCGGTAAGATGCCACAGTTTAGTGGGGCATTTATTGATGTTAGAGACGTCGCCAAGGCTCATATTACTGCCTTCACCAACGAAAAGGCTTTTGGTAAAAGATTAGTATTATACAATGAACCATGCAATGTTCAGGATATTGTTGGCTACATTAGAGAGAATTTTCCTCAATTAAAAGTACCAGCAGTTGAAGGAAATGGGATAAGAAACGATCCAAAAGTGAATGCAACAGTTGATAATAAAAAAACTCGAAAAATTCTTGCTTTTGACTTCATTGACTTCGAGAAGTCACTTCGGGACTCAATCAATCAAATTTTGAAAGTCTACCCTATTTCGTGATTCTAATTTTGTATGAACTTTAACTTGCAGCACACCAGGGCCCAGAGGATGTTATATGAGCCACCTTTTTAATAATTTTCCATCTCCTTTAGAATGATTATGATACATTCAGCTCCAAATTAAATCTCCAGATTGGAGGAAGAACAAAAAATAGCCCTGATTTGTACAATCTCATCTGCAACCTGAAACCTTAATTGGATATCTCATTCAAAATTTATATTTTGTAAAATTTTTCTTAAGTCCGAAGGACTAGCCATTTATCGAGGACTCATCAATAGTTCCGCTGAAGAAGGCTTTGCTTTATACTTCATTTATCGTTTTGACGATTTGTTTATACGTATGGTGGCTTTAACGCATATGCCCCTGGTTTATAGAATCTTCTGTAAAATTTATGTTTTTGCACCTAAATCTTATGAAGGATTGGCAGTGCAAATACATACCGGCAAAGAAGCCATTTTCTTTCTGTAGATGTGATTCTCATTGCAGCAGGGTTGCTTCTTGAAATTCAGTCAAATGTCGCTCCCGTTCTATAGATTCTGCATCCTTTTCCTGAAATTTTATACTTATCAATGATACAGAATCTTAACAATAAGGACTTTTCAACCATGGAGTCAAGTCTGACAGCTGGGCTCGCTGAGAGAGATTTTGATTGGTTTGCTCATTGAATAATTTTAGTGTAATTAATATAAAAATAACCGAATACTAGATTTTTTAGGTTTTTTGTAACACTTTAAAAATTTGGTATATTTTTCCAACCTTAAATACCAAAATTATGGGTTCTGGATTGGTCAGCATGTATAGTCCCTCTGAGACTTGAAAATTCTATACATACTTCAGATAATATAATATTTGTCAATGTTATAAAGAAGACTGAAGTCGCAAACTAGAAAAAAGTGTACTCAATGTCATCTTTTTCAAAAAAGGCAAGAGGGACTTGAGTGAAGTAATAGGAATAGAATGTATAGTTATTTTAAAGTTTATTTCGAAGGGCATGTCTTTTTGAGAATAATTTCTCTTTCAAGCCTTGGGTTTATTATTCGCTTCTTCGAGCTTATCGTTTGCTCAAAATGTATTAGCGTAAATGGTACTAGATTATATTCTTCAATTTATTGGGTTTATACAGCTAGATATATAGTCCGATGCAAAGTTTCTAGTGACAGGCTTGACCTTATGACAACAACAAGGTTGGCCACAAACTAAGTACGGCTAGCGGCTGAATTCGAACTTCAACAACCGAAGGACATGAAAACAATAGTGGCTGCCTGAGTAATTTCAAGTTGCGGCAAAGACCGCATATTAGACTAGTTATTTTATGGGCTGCAGACGCTACAGGCATATTAGACATTATTTCTAGATAGAAAGATTCATTTCCCTTGAGCGTAATATGCAGTCATCAACATATTTTGAAACGGATGAAATAATAATACGATAATGAGTTCAATCAAAGATCTGTCTATATATATAAAAAACATATATTCAGTATATAGAGAAAGTATGAGATAAAAATTAATAGATATCGCAAAGAGTATCTGATTCTGTATTTTTTTTCATCACTTAAATCAGCGAGTTCAACGTTTTCTGGGAGTCCGTATTTGTCTCCCACTGTTTCACAGTTGAGCAGAAATAGGCTACTTTGACATTTGAGCAATTTCTTATTACTTTTGATAGAGAAATCCACCATAAACCTTACAATTCCTTATTACTTCTATTCAAAAACACTAATATCTTTTGCTTGTCTTATCTTGGTTCCTCGATCCTTCGCCTTCTATGAAAGCAGGCAGAGCTCTCTTTTAGAACTTGAAATGGCGTCAATACATAATCAACATAGAGGGACTCTAACAGAGAAATAAAACAGAAAAGAAAAGGTCGAAGAAATTCAGTAGAAATATTTCCTCGAGACAATAAGACTGAAATTAAAATGTGACGAGAGGACGCCCCCTCTAGCTCCATTTTCTAAATGAAACAATCGTTAATGTGGTAGGAGTAAAGATCCGTTCTAAAATAGCAGCTATGACCATATGTTTAGAAGGTAATTTGGAATAATTTTTCAAAAAGTTCTTCATTTATCCAAATGGCTTAGGACAAAACTTGGTTGTATCTGTTTAGACGTCGTCGAACTTCTCTTCTTCTTATTTACTCTTTGTCGTAGCATTTTTTCTGCTTTTGCTCTTTTCCCTATATTTTGTATCTTTCTTAACAAAAATTTCCCCATTCAAAGTATATAAGCCCAAGTCTTTGAAAATATCCTCGCTTTGATTTGATCCGTTCACAGCTTCGCTCATATGTGCTACAAAGTTCAAAGCTCGGTATTTTCACTTAGATAAGGAGATGATGATAGTTTGACATAAATGATCATTCGCATCGATGCACGACCGTACACTTATCATAAGCTGGTTCCATAAAATCTTCGAAAAATTAATAATTCTAACTTAAATGCTTGAAAGGGTACTTTTAATCAACAAATATTTTCATTCATATATAAACTTTGAAATATAAATCAGTTTTTCATCAGACAATTTTTGTCTGCTGCAACGATCAGACCATATAAGAGCTTCGAAATTGATGAGGAATATTTGATGGGGACTGCGAAGAGGGGCTATGATGTATTATGTAAATGTATTCCATTTTCAATTTTGCCTTTTCTTGCCGTTTTTCTGGCTTCATAACTAGCGATCACTGAGTTGAAATTCTATATTTCCCACCAAAAAAAAACTTGGCTACCTGTTATCAAGAATGATGACTATGTAGAGAATCGATAGAATTTAAAGCTATCAGTGTAACAATACCGAGCCACTAAAATAATTAATATAAACTTATATTTGCACCTGCCCCCCATTTGTGCAAAGGATCAAACAGCTCGTTAGTTCGTTTTTTGACTTTTCTTATGACATACCCTATCAGGATGGGCCCCAAAAATGTACAAAGCACAATAGCCCATGTAACTACAATATAAATTTCAGAGCTCTTTGAGCTCTGATTAGATTGTGCATCGGAGAAAACACCTTTAGATTCAGCTAATGAAGATATCAAAAACCCGATCTCACCCCGAGGTACCATTGACAAGCCCAATAAAACGGCAGTATATAAGCTGCTAATATGAACCATATCTTTTTCTGATTCAGTAGATCGACGCTTAGAAAAATAACCAACTGCAAGAACCCAAAGACCACATATCAACTTCGAAAAAAACATCAATAACGCATAAACAAACCCTCTCCAAATTAGACGACCAGTAAACATCTGCGTTATAGGAATCGAAAATCCAATTGAACCAAAGAAAAATGGGCAGAGAATTTTATTGAAAACTTCAGCATAAAACTTATTAAATATAAAATGACCCGTTACCCACTTACCTGTAGTACTTTCTCGTGATATTTCAGAATTTATTTCGACATTTGGCGATGCATCATTAATACTGGAGACAGAGGAAATTGGGAGGTTTCTCAAACGAAGTATTTCAGAGTCCCACCACGTAATTGCAGCCCCGGTAACGTAAGCAGCAGTCAAACCCGAAGCTCCTCCATAAGTAGCACCAATTACCAAACCAATTAGGATGAGTGTCTGCACCACAAACATTGTCTTCTCTGCTGATAAAGATTTAAACCATCCAGAATGAGATGATACGAATTGAATTACCCTAATTGTTACTGGAAGAAGTGCAAAGTAACAAAATATAAGAACAACGAGTATAAGTCCTAGAGAAACAAACACTGGGCGCAACACACTTGCTGCCGTAAAATCCCCATCTCCAAGATTTGAAACTACCTGCATCATAATCAATCCTGCTATATCATCAATCACCGCCGCATTTGTTAATAGGACACCAAGCTTTGTGATCTTCAAATTAGCAGTTGACAAGACAGTCAAAGCAGTACCTAAGCTTGTAGAACATAAAGCAGCACCTGCTGCAAATGCTGCAACGGGGGATGCATTTGAAAAACTCATCAATGTAAAACTTAATCCTATGGGAGTGATTATTCCTGTAATAGCAACACCTAGTGAAAGAAATAAATTGTCTTTCATTGTTTTAAATGGTGTAGATAAACCACCTTCGTAAACCATCAATGTTAATCCGATATACCCAAGTTGCATTATCGTTTTCTGTGCCGACAATGTGAGCCACTTACACCCTGGCACTCCAAAAGTGACTCCTATAAGGATTTGTCCAACTAAACCACAACTAATTAAACGATCAAAAACAAACTTAATAGCATTAAGAAGTAAAATAAAACCTGAATAGATCAAGATGGTCACAGGAGTAGGCTCTTCATATGCGAAATAAGTTGACGAATGGGACATGATGGAGAGATGAGATGAGAATAAAAGTCCCCTAAAATTGATGAAATGTGCGCACTTTAGATCTTCACTTAAAGTAGTGGATGCCTCATTAATCAGAAACAAAAGACAGACCAGTAATATCATACCAAGAGCTTTCTACATCTAAATTGCAGTATCGATATTTGATGCCGTTTGTGAAGATCAAAAGTGACATATAAAATAGTCGGAATCGAAGTTTTTGCAAAGAGACAATGATAGCCATCATCTGCACCTTGATGGCAGAAAACTGATGAGTTAATTAGCAAAAAACCAAAACAAACCCTCTAACCATAAAATGGAGGGCCAGCAGATTTTTACATGTTTCTCAGGAGTACGATTTATATGATGAGTCGTGAATCTGTTTCTCCTCATTTTCAATACTTTTTTTCAACAAAGTCAACCAAAGTCACAGGGTGTCAGCCGAAGTAGACGAAGGAAATATTGAAGACGAACTTAGCTTGTTCATTATTGCAACATTCACTTGCGACGTTCTGCGGATATCTTCCTCAGTTTTTCCTATAGTTTTGAGAAGAAAAATTTAGTTTCAATTAAAGGAGGTCTTAATGGCGAATTGTTATCTAGCCAGTAGTAATCGCCTAGCTTGTTCGTAATTTCGACGACGAAAGAATGTGGCATATTATCCGTAATTACAAGAAGAAACCTAACAAATTTAGACCATTTCTCATGTTCTTATGTCTTTGATTCACCTTTCATGGAGTCTGTATAATATTTTACCAAATGGCTGAAGCAAATTGTAAGATGTTGGGTACTTCTTATCTGAAATATTATTATCTCCACCAAATTCGTATTTAATTTGAGCAATTCAGCTTTCTTTATACGAATATCGCCGGCACTATCCTGTGGATTGTCGTTCCATTGCTCTAATGCTTTAATTAAGTCATCTATCAACTTGATTCGACATGCATGGCTCTGAATAAAAGTCAATTCATCAATTTCGCGAACTAAAGATCTCGCCTTTGAAACATTTTCAATTTGATGGTCTAAGAAAATTTCGTCGTAAAGTTCTTGAAGTAATTTACTTTTCAGATCTTCTTCATCTTCGCTTTTTATGAACAAACTTTTGGTAGATTTGTTAACATTCATTGAAATATTAAATATTTGATTCCCTAAATCTGAAATCAAGATCTTCAATAAAGGAACATCAAAAAATGTCCAAGAAGCAAAAAAAAATACTTCCAAGCAGAGAAATACTTTCAAGTTCTTTTGTGGGTTTATTGCATTCTTCACAGAGGACAGATACGGAAGACGACTTTAATTGACGATTAGTGGTACTGGGATGGCATGTTGTATTCTACTCTTCGCGATTTTTACCTCACAGAAAGGACATAGTGCAAACATTGCTGCAGTTTTGTTTAAATTCGCTTTCAACTTTTTTACTCCGATAGGTTCCTTAGGCCTTAACCGGTTGTATGTCACAGAAATCTCTCCCGCAGAACTCAGGAATTACATTATTGCCATTCTGAGTGGTAACAATTGGATATGGAATTTCTTTGTGACCATGATAACGCCAGTTGCCATCACATTAATTAGATGGAGATATTACATAGTTTATGCTGTTATTGGGTTTGCGATCCCCATTCTCCTGCTCATTTTTTTCCTTGAAACGCTGGGTTTAGAATTAGAAGCGATCGACTTGATCTTAAGAAGGGCATCTTCAGCATGGAATGTAGTGAAAACGGGAAAAGAAATCAGGAAATCATTACTTTCTGAAGGAGAACAATCAAATATCTTAGAGGAATTTTCCAGTAAAGCTGAAGTGGAGCATTTCCATGAAGGCAAGTATCTAAATATAGCGAAGAAGCGGTCGATAAATGGATTTCAGAATGTTAATAGTTGTAAGTAACCAGCTATGAGAATTATGATGTTCCTTTTGGGACTTAATATGAGGACAATATATGGTGTAGACATATACTTTTTTATGCCATAAATTTCATTCTTCGAATCGTTGCATTAATGAATAGGGATGAAAAGGTCATGGTTAACTATGATGAGTTAATGCAATAAACAAATCTTTTTAATCTACAACTTGACACTATCGATCCCAAGAACTTGTTCTATTCTTGTTCGCTAAATGTAAAGGACACCGAAGACTATTCAGAAAAAATCCTAAGGTCCTAGCATGATACAAGCAAGTACATTGTTATTATAAATGACAGTCGAGTAATTGCTGTGCGTCTTGAAGAGGTAATTTCAATTATATGTTTGTGCGAATCAGGATATCAAGATTGCATTATATCCTAAATTCTTCTCATTGCTTCAAGTTTTATTGTTTTCTGCATTACTGAATAAGATTATTATAGAAAATCTATAGATAAGGAAAGTTATATGATCATGCTACTTCCGGGTAAAAATTAACATATTAAGCACTATCGTTATTGAATCAATATTGCATACATTGTTCTTCTTTCCCTCAATTCATTTAACACGTTAAGAGCTTTATAGCGGAATGTACTTTTGAGCACTACTCCTGAAGCCGTTGATACCTTTAAGTGAGAAAAAAACGCTCAGTATTAATTCCAAAATTTGGTAATACTTCACTTTGGGTGTAACAGTGTTTAAAAGAAAAGAGAGTTAAATGACAATTTATTATTGTCTGATGAAATTTAGCCCTCAATTTGTACTTGTCGACTTCGATGTTTCCTCTGAACAATTTTTTTATCATCGAAGGACGGTCTAATTTATGATGCCTTGAATTTTAACTGATGAGTAGAATAAGAAGTGATAATACAAAAATCTCGAAACTCTCCTAATCGGTTGAGGATTTGCAAAATGTTTCAAGAAACCTAGAGAATTACTTCTGGATAGTCATCAAAACTGGGTATTGGTATTCCGATAATGTGATGTACCCATAATAATTTTTTTAATTTCTATGTATGTCGTTATATCGTCTATAAAACGGTTGTCAATTTATTTTTTCATCGATCAATATTGTTTTTTTAAAATTCGTGTTCAACCTCATCATCATTAGTCCATTTTCACTAACTTTGTCAATTTATACGAAATCTCTGTCACCCGCTAATTGTTTTGGTCTAGATTCATTTAAAGAGAGTTTGGTTGACCAGCTCACATTCCTTTAATTTATTTTTGACCGCGCGGGGTTCATCAGATATAGTAGTCTAAATAAGTCTTTTTAGGCGCAGCACTATTCCACGCTTGTAAAGTCGATGTGGGGAAGTAGTCTAACAACCCCACCACTCTCGCCTACATCAGATATTTATGCATATACAGATCGATGAAACAATTAAATTTTTCAAGATCCGGTCTGAGATACATTTCATTCTCCGCATTCATCCTCCCAAATCCCCGAATATTGACCCAGAGAGCGAACCTGAATAACAGTTTTTGACGAATTGAGCGTATTAAAGATAACATCTTTTAGCGTCAGTGATATTTCGGGGAATTTTTAGAAATTGAGGCGTTTTGATGGGATACTATATAGCTGCTTTCTTTTGTCTTCAAGTCTGACAATTTTTCTTGGCGATTGGAAGATCAAATATGTCAAATGGACCGCCAAGCAAAGGTGCCTTAAATGAGGGGCAAGCAGAAATGAAGTCCCTGTCTAGCGAAATGACTGACAAGGTAGCGAGTCCCATTGAACTTGAACGCATGAGTTCACTAGATGAGGATGATGACAGATACAATGTTTTAAGGCAATATTCTGAGGCACAAGTGGTTCAAATGGGAATACACTATGCAAATACTCATGGATTAGACGAGGAGCTATTTGCAAGAGCCGCTGCTTTGGCGCGAGCACCTAAAGATTACGAGAATAATGTATCCTTAAATCAGGATGAAAAAGAGGCTTTACGTAAGGAGGAGAACTCAAGGTGGAACGTGCCGTCAAAACTAATTCAAGTTATTGCACTAGGATCGGTTGCAGCTGCAGTACAAGGTATGGATGAATCCGTACTTAACGGAGCAAATTTATTTTTTCCGACAGCCCTCGGAGTAGACAAATTAGCGAACTCGGATTTAATACAGGGATTGATTAATGGTGCGCCGTATTTATGTTCTGCATGTATATCATGTTGGATGTCAGATTTTTGCAACAGAAAAATAGGAAGAAAATGGACTATATTCTGGGCATGTATGATATCTGGCCTTTCCTGTTTCTGGCAAGCGTTTGTTAATACCTGGTGGCATTTGCTTATTGCTAGATTCATATTAGGTTTCGGAATTGGTATTAAGTCAGCTACCGTACCTGCTTACGCAGCAGAATGTTCCCCAAAACGGGTGAGAGGTTCTTTAGTGATGATGTGGCAATTTTTTACATCAGCAGGTATTATGTTTGGTTACGTGTCAGGTTTGGTATTCTACCACGTTCCCGATAGAGGTATAAGTGGTGGTCTTAACTGGAGATTGATGTTGGGTTCTGCCTGTATACCTGCAATAATTATAGTATTTCAAATTCCATTTGTTCCTGAGTCTCCCAGATGGTTAATGGGTAAGGGACGCCACATTGAAAGCTTTGAGTCTTTGAAGGCATTACGAAGCAGTGAAATATCCGCTGCAAGAGATTGCTTTTATCAATATGTTCTATTGAAAGAAGAAGGTTCTTATGAGCTTTCTTTCTTGAAAAAGGTCAAAGAAATGTTCACTGTCAGGAGAAACAGAAACGCAGCTATCGCTTCCTGGATTACTATGTTTATGCAAGACTTCTGTGGAGTGAATGTAATCTCGTTTTATTCAAGTTCTATTTTAGTCGAAGGAGGATTCTCTACTATCGCCGCCTTGCTTGGGTCCTGGGGCTGGGGGACGGCTGGCTTAGTATCGCTTATTCCTTCCTTCTTTATAATCGACAGTTTTGGAAGGAGAAACTTACTTCTTGTATCTTTACCTTTGATGGCCGCATTCTTATTATTAACAATGGGTGGGTTTTGGATCGACCAACATGGTGCTGACTTAGTTGTTGAAGGTCTTCAAAAACATGTTAGTTCAGCTAGAACTGCAGTCATTATTTTGGGTATGTATTTATTCGTGATCGCATTCTCTCTAGGTGAGGGACCAATACCGTTTACATATTCTGGGGAAGCATTTCCCTTGTACATAAGAGATGTTGGTATGAGCTTTGCTACTGCCACAGTGTGGTTTTTCAATTTCATTTTAGCATTCACATGGCCAAGAATGCAAACAGCGTTTACAACACAAGGTGCGTTGGGATGGTATGCAGGTTGGAATATGATTGGCTTTTTGTTAGTTCTATGGTTTTTACCAGAAACTAAAGGCTTGACGTTAGAGGAATTGGATGAAGTATTTGATGTAAATGCCATCTCCCATGCGAAATGGCACACACAAAAGTTGATTCATGATTTCAAGAAAAATATTCTACGGAAGAATGTTCCTCCCATGGAACCAATATACAAACAGATAAAACTAGATGTCACTAACTCAGAGTGGAATGAGAAAGTTGAAAGCTCTTGTATCGAATAGTTGCTTCCTTGCAGATTCTTCAAAATTTTTTTGTGTTTTTTGTTTTAAGTAGTATAAGTTACTATTATTTATACATTTTTTAGTGATCATTTTAATAATGTGCTCTAGAGAGTGAATTTTATCCGGGCACAAGAACGATGTAATAAAATTGCAGTAAATATTATTGCTCACTGAGCGAGTCATACTGAGCCAGTAATAGTCTAATAAATCTCGCTTGATAAATAGCAAAACCTTGTATTTTAAATAAAGTAGGTTTCTTTCTCTGCTATGAAATTTGCTATTTTCCAAGCTCAAGAATTTGATAGATAAATTACAAATCATTTGATCACTGAAGTGTCTAGCAATATATATGCAAAAATTTAATTTCGATGCTTTTCATTACAATTTTTTATTTATATACCAAGAAAAAAACAGTAAGAGCTATACAAATTAGCTATTTCTTGATTAGATCACCAGCTCATGAATTCAAAAAATTGAAACTATATGACAGGATAGACTCTCGAGAGGCTTGGGATTTAAGAATGTAAGGTCAACCTGTGCTTTTAAAGAGCCTAAATTCAAGTAAATAGAAGGTTTTGGAGTATATCTGAACGAGGAACAAATACTAATCAATTCGAAGCTAAGTTAAAGCTTTATCTACAGAAAGAATTATGGGTGCTTGTTACAGTGAACTTGAGTGGAAGATCATTTAATTGAGCTTGCTAAATACAAGTTGAAGTCATATTATAGATAATATTTTTACCTTATGAGGAGCAGCCTACAAGCCTTCTCTTTTCAAATTATTTAGTAGATTTGGCTATAATCAGACACGAGGTAGTCAAACTCCAATTTGAGTTCCCAAACCAATAACATAGTTAATAGCTTCTTTTCTGAATCCATCTTCTTCCATATGTGACTTATTATTGAGCTCAAAAACAAAATTTCTCTCCTGACTCTTTGAAAAAACTTTCCATTCAGGAATATTCTGAATACCATGATTATTAGGATCTAGTGTAGTAATAAAGGAAATCCATTGTTTACTAATTAGCTTTGCTAAATCCGGACTTGATTTATCTTTATTCCAGGGCGCTGCAGTCACGAATTTTTTTGATGGATTGTCGAAAACGTAAACCACCTCTTGGAAATGAGTTGCACCTATCGCTTGTTCAACGTCATTATCTGCTACGTTCCACCTATATTTGTATACTTTAATATGACGGCTTGCCCAGCTCCTAGCAAATGCCCTACTCTGAGCAATAAACTTAAAATCACCAATTATGGATGCAAGCCTAGTAAACTGTGAACCAAAAGAGCTAGGAATTGTTACGTTTTCTGAACCATAGAGATCCAGAGTAAAGTTTCCTGTATATAATTCACACAACTTTTTAATCGATGAATTCCTCAAAAGAGGATATGTCTCCAGTAAGTAAGTTTTCGCCTGGTTTGAAGTGTTCAATCCTTTTGGTGCAAAAGATGTTCCTTCTGCTGTATTTGTACCTATTATTATAGGAATTTCCGGAATAAAGAAAGGATGATTCATCTTTACGGAAGAAAAATAAGATATAAAATCACCATCTACAAATGGATACGGATTAATGGCTGTATCTAGGACCTTGGTTTTTCCAGAAAAGACCTCATTTAGACTTGATGCTTCTATTTTCTTCAAACAGCTTAACGCGTTTTTATCTGTACAGTTGAAAAATTTTGTTATATTGCGAAAAGCAACTTCATCAGCTTCAGAGTCAACATCGGAGTGAACTCCTGACATTCTCCCTGAACCGCTTTCCATAATAGCCCCTTTGATATATGTGCCAATCTTACCTGAAAGTAATAGCAATCCTACGCTATAGGCCCCAGCACTTTCACCCCATATTACTATATGGTTAGGATCCCCTCCAAAGCTTTCGATATTTTCATGTAACCATTCAATTGCTTTCAATTGATCACGCAAACCAACATTGGTGTTTCCGCTTTTCAAAACCTCGTCACTTTTCAAGAACCCAAAACCTCCCAATCTATAATTCAAACTTACTCCAATAAATGGTTTGCCCATTTCAACCCCATTTTCAACAATGTAAGACAAATTATAAACATCACGTCTGCTGCTACCATCAGAAAAGCCTCCACCATGTATCCACAAAACGACAGGCAAAGGATAATCGGGATTTCGACTAGGCTTTATGATGTTGAGTGTGAGACAGTCCTCAGAGGAAGGTAAACCAGAACTATCGCCAAACGCACCGTCATTCATACATACGTCTGAATATTCTGTAACTTCTAGACCCTTAGTAGGAAATGTTGAGTTGAGTGATTGCGGGTTCATAAATCTCAAGTCGCCTATTGGCGGTTGAGCATAAGGAATTCCTAAAAATACATCTTGATCGAAGTTAGGAAGATAACTGCCAATTAAAGTACCATTTTTCACTTCAACTGTTGGAACATCTGATGAGATGTTAATAGAATTTTCAATCGGTTGCGTCTGTGTTGTCAAAACAGGAGCAAAAAAATTTGCTAAAAATCCATATACTAAAATATATCCACATTTCATTATGTTACTTTTTTTTTTTTCTCTTTTCCAATATGTAGAAGAACAAACTCGTATCTACTGAAAGCGAGATAATCTTTGCTGCTAAAGCATCAAGGAACATCTGTCTATGAATATGGTAGAATGAACTTATATATATAGAAATAACTTTCATTGCTAATTCTTTCTCCCCGAAAGTATCGATTGCTTTAAATGGATGAAACCGTTTGTCTGGAATAAAAGGAGTAGCTATTGTCTATTGTAAAAGTACAATGCTCCTATTATTTTGAAATTGATCCGGTGCATTCTGGGGTCAGGTTGCATTGAATTTGGATGAAACATAAGTCCCCACTTCAAAAACTCATTATCTTCGGAAACTATGCATTTGTTCCGCCATCCAATTTCCCGGGAAAAATTCTTGGTACAACCCTATTGTTTGTGGTTCAGGGTGCCGCACAAGTTTATTTTCACGCGATCTCTCGTATGGGCATTTGGAAAACTGGTTGATTCTATCTTACTTTAATCAAGCTGGCCACGAAGACTTTCTTCAGTTCGAACAAAAGTAAAATTTGGAACTGTGGGGTCGAAAAAGCGAACAGTATTAGTGGTATGCAAGAAAGCCTGTATTCGCGGTGTTTGAGATTCCGTGATTTTAAGGGATTAAGGACGCTTTTTATTTTGGAGATGCATTTTCAATCGAAAAGATAAGGGCATGAATATGATTTCAGGAGATAAAGCAATAAAAGAAGATTTTCGCTAGCGCGTGATATTTTTTGTTGAAAGTATGAAAGTTACTTATTTTCAAAAAAAGCACAACGGCATGCCAAGCAGTGTAATGCAACTCGAAGACACCTCTCAATGAGTAAAAGCTTATTAGTTTCCTGTTCTATCTTCTGCCCTTTTTTTATAAGCTCTTGCCAACCCAGAAGCAATTCGAAAAAAAAAAAACTAACAGAAATTAGAGGAAGCACAGTTAAATTCTTTAAGAAGAATCAGTATAGTGAAAAAATTGAACAGCAGAAGGTAGAATATGAGTTAATTAAATTGAAGGCAATGAGGTGCTCTTTGTTTCAAGTGCAAGGATGCGCATTATATTCCAGCTCTATCAATGAGATATAGAGGTTCTTTGATTAGTCTCTTTTTTTTCAGTCTTGTTGTAATTGTTATTGTTGGTATTCTTCTCATTCTGTTTTGTTGCCGTAATTGACCCCACTTTCTTAAATCATACAATGCCCTAAACTCAATTCCTACTATTTCTCAGCCTTCTGTGATAACCCCAGATGCCATAAAACGATTCTCAATTATCGCATTAACACTGCAAAATAATGTTCTCTTATGGCTACTTCTAAAATCATTTGAGCAATATTCTTTCTATCTATGAATAACTAATAATATAATACCCATAGTATTGTCAAGCCTAATTTAAGACAGCGAATCTATTTGTAGATCTTGTAGATAGACTCCGTTCCAAAGTTACCTGCTGCAAAATCTTTTTTTATTATATATACTGCATACAACTTTCAAAATATTTTTGATTAGAATTCCAATGTTCATATTGGGAGCTACTTTACAGTGGTTTTGATGTTATTTTCTTGACTGTGCGATTGGCAAATTTGGTAACAGATTTCTTTGTAGACATAAAGTTCCACTTATTACGGCAAAACGTTCACCTGGTCTGGCATTAAGAGGAATCGGATTGAGAACGCATTACCTATTACAACTGGTGACAATGTATGGCTTTCCGCAAATGTGTAAGCTGACAATGGTTCTGCTATTGTTTCCAGAAACATCGCCAATGGATATCATGCTGCCAATTCTATTGTAGTTGGGGTGTGCCATAGAAGGACTTTAAAACGTTGAAATAAGAAGAGCGAGGTCTTTATCTCGGATTCCTTCTCAGAAATGAATTGAAAGAGACCAGATTGGATGAATCTTTGAAAAATTGTATACGGCTAACCAAAAAGAGATGAAATGATATTTAAGATGTCTCGAGAATAACTTCAGAGAACTCTCCCATATCTCATGCAATTAAAATCGATGGTAATAATTGAAATTGACTTTGAGAAATGTTATTTCATTTTATGAATGAAGTTAGGACTTATTTTCTTCTAATCTCGATCATCATTTCTAAATGTATTTTTACTGAGAAGTACACGTGTGCTGTCACTTAATGGTGCCATGATATTCCCTTCATTTGATTTATTTGTACAGGACTTCATATGGTGAGATCCAAACCGCTAACTTCAAAAGCTTACTATCAGTACAGCCAACTCTATATTTCGATCTTTTGGTCTCTTGACTATAAAATGCAGAAACAAAATGGTTGCTCCAAATCCAGAACTTATTCAAACCCATGGTAAAGTCGGAAACTATGTCAAGGACTATGTTATTTAACACCATATCCACACTTCTATCGATTCATTTATGCCAACTTCTTACCTCTTCTTTCAGCATGAAAAAGGAATGCAGATATTCTAAGAGAAAGCTTATACTAAGATTTCAATTTCGAATAAAGCATAAAATTTTGAAAGCAAGGGGTTCAAATGATAAACTTCCACTATTTAATGAGCGAAAAAAAAACATGAAGAGACATTTTCGGCCTATCAAACCTATCTTTTGCTCATAATGTCATAGCTTGTATTCGAACTCGAGAAAGGAAGAAATAATATAGGAAATTTTGTACTTAAAGAACAGACTCCAATAAGCTTTCAGTCTTGGCACACAACGACATTGTAAGTCCAATATGTTGAATAAATATCTAGCTTTCATCGACCATGTTGATTTCTGCGTAAGAATATTATGATTCTCAACAACACATGTAGCCAACGAGAAATGAAGTTCAATATTCTATTAAAGGTACTAAACTTCAGATATCGATCTGTCACTTAATCCACTTATTAAAAATTCACGAACCTCGTTGAAACAGAACTTGGTCTCCGTTTTCCCTGCAAGAGCTCTTTTCATACCATCTTTACTTAAAAAATCCAAACTTTCAACACAGAATAAACAATCATGGATTCCGCCTTTCTCTAAAACGAAACAGATGTTCTCTCTATTTCCATCGACAAGATCTAACCAATCTTCGATTCCTTCTCTAAGTATTTCGCGTTCTCCACAAAGCACCAATGTCTTATTTTTCTCTCTTATAGAATCAACCTTGTTCCAATGTTCATGAAAAGATGTTTGAGTGAAATTTATCCATTCATGAGCATCATCTATATAGATTTTTTCTACATACCAGTCACCTAATGTAGTTTTAGTTGAGCATAAATCACCCTTAACATCTATTGCGTCATATTTTGAAGGAAGTTTCGGTTGGAAAGTGGGTTCCACCCAAGGTGATATCAAGATATTGAGCTTTGGTTGGGGCAAATGGGAAAACTTTAAGTCAAGTAATGAAAATTTGCTCAAGTGAGAAAGCGCCTCATCTGGATATGCTAAGACCCTACTTAAAGCGAGGGCCAAATTTGCGCCAGCAGAATCTCCTATGAAGCTCACATTTTTAACTCCATCCTCAATTAAAGCACAGTAAGCATCTAATGCTTCAATTATCTGAGTAGGATACCTATAACCATCAACAGTAAGTGAGTAGTCGACAATCAAAATTGATAACTTTTGTTGGATTTCTTTAGGAAGACTCTCATATAGCGCCAAAATCCCAAGTAAGTGAGAGTCAAACATGCTAACCGCGTAGCCCCCTCCATGAAAATACATTAATACATGCTCCTTAGCGCTTTCGTTATCTTCATACTCAGATCTAACGAACCAATAACTCTCTGATGTGAACCTTTCCCCATATTTCCTAAGATTATGTCCAAGAGCAATATGACCTGCTTTGTAATAGTCAAGTATCTCAGGAAACTTTTTGTTAACAAAGAAAGTAAGATCGCCCTTAGTATAAGAGGACACGAATTGCTGCTCAACTGATATTACGATATTTTTCCAAAGAGAATCTGCAAACTCAACATTTGTTCTAGAAAAGATTGTACCTTTTGTATAAAACTGAAGGATGGTTCGCACCACCACTACAGGAATGATGAGAATCTTCCACACAAACAAGGCAGAAATCATAGTAACTAAATTGCTTCACTCTAAACTTCACTTTTCAATAATGCCAGCTTATTTAAGTTAAATTTCTCATATTTAGTGTTCTATTTACTTGAACTCTATTTTCACCTATCCGTTTCCGCTGGATATGGCCCGTCACAAAACTGAGAGAAGCTCGAGAGATAATGTGCAGTTCAAGAAGCTGGTGAAAGAGTTAGCGAGCGTAAAAATGCGAAGCAAACGTGACAGCAAAAAGTCATATTTCAGAGGTGTTCCATCTTTGCTTTGGGGTTTTAACTCTTATGAGGCAATAGGGATTTAGTACAACAAAACGCTTAATTTGCTTGTTACGTGTTGAGGTATCGTGAATGATCGAATATGGTGTATGGTGCGGACACGCTCGCGAAAGAGAAGCTTTTAAATAGAAAAGAAACCGGTAATTTGGTTCACTCTTGCCCAAGACTGGCACTTCTACGTAAAAGATTTACGTATCACTAGCTTTTTCTATTTAAAGTTTACCTTTACTCGTATTTATGAGGCATGTAAATAAATAAATCTGCTTGTGCATGGTCCTTATCGAAGCCATCTCGATTTCAATTTTTATGTGCTATTTATAACAGATGCTATCAGTCTCCATGTGCTATTTATAACAGATAATGTCTGTCTCCATGAGCTATTTTTAACAGATACTGCAGCTTTAGTACCTTAGTTTGACTTCAAATTTCCTTCAGTATACCTCTGAAACCCGTTAGTCTAGATTTGAATACTTTTTCTTTGTGTTTGTCATCCCGTGAGGTTTTGCTGGAAGGATCGGAAACCCTTTATTAAATTACGCATCGCAATTGTTGTAGTTACGCACCCAAAAAAAAAAAAAGTTCAAAGCAACAAAACATGTCTAAAACTTGAACAGTAGCTGATTCGATGAAATATTCTATAGAATATAATTATTTTATTGCTCTTTTTTGATATTGTCAGGTTAATGATAATAATATTTCTCAACTCTGTCATCTAATTTATAATTGTAGGATAAAATTAATGATTTTTCTCTATGTTCCTGTATGTATAGTCAAGAGCACTACGATTTCCTTTTGCAGATGACCGTGTTTCCCGTAAATACATAAGAAGAGCTGTAAAACAGAGAAACTTAATAAGTACAAGGAAAAAAACTGTTATTTTGATTTATTAAAGTTGGCAACTACTAGATGTAATATGGGATACCTTAGCCATGAATAAAGGGATGCGAAATGTCAAATATGTAATAGAGGTAGCAAAAAGTTGCAACATCTATTTATATAGAAGAGTGATAGAGTTAAGAATGAAAGACTGGAAAACTTTGGTCACCAGTCAATGGTTTTTCATCGGAATGCAGATTCTTGTGAATCTCGTTCAATATTTATTATCATACATTTATTCTCAACCTTACGGGACACGATGTGTGGCAGGAATTCTAATAATTCTTGGAGACATTCTTATGATAGTATTCCTTATAGTTGAAAGAGTAAATAGAAAACGCAATATGGAGAAAAGTCGTTTATTGAAACTTGTGGCTACTTTGAGAAGAATGATTTGGTTTCTCTTCATGGTGCTCATCGTTTATAAGGTAATAAGCTTGGGATTAGGTACCATTAAGGATCCTCTTAACTTAGGGAAAGAAGCCGCAAGAGTAGTTAACTTAGATTTAGCTCAAAGACTGGCGATTATGGCATTTACAATCATTTCCATATTTTTTGACTTCGCTGCACTTACAGTGTTGTGGTCTTTTAAAATAAGTTTTGCATCTTTGGTTTTTGGATTTTCCTTCCTGTTTGACTTTGTTTTGGGAATTCTGGAAATTCAGCTTACAGCTATTCAAATTGCCAATGTACCTCACGAGGGATTTCACATCAAGGCCTTCTACTTGTTTGTAGGAGCTTTCACTATTGCAGGTGCTCTCTTGGGATTTAGTATCATGATGACTATGACGCCATTCAATCGCTTTTCACCAATTTTCCGAAGACTTGTTCTGTTTCTAGATCTTTGCTTCGTTATATTGACTTTACTTACTGCAGTTGCTTTTGGAACTGCAGTATATATGCTGCAGGAAAGTGGTATTGAGTTGACCAGAGCTATACCGATTATGTTTGGCGCATGTATGTTTATAAATATGGCGGCAATTTGGAGTTCTAGGAAACTATGGGTACGATTTGCACGTGAACTTATCGCAGAAGAAATCGATCTCAGTTCTCTTAAGCCATATCAAAGGGCAGCTTATGCAAAATTGATTTCTTCAAATTCTAGGAGTAATGCTGGGGTTTCGGGGGAAGAAATTCTTTCCCTCATGGATGCCTACAGTGTCTCAAAGTTAGATAACCTTCGATGTGTGGTGTTGAGGATATATGATCCTCGGAAGTCAGGCAGTATAAGTTCACCGGATGAAAGAAATAGACTCTTCGAAAAATATCAAGCGGTTGATTATAACGAGAAATTCTTTTTCGATGAGGCAAAGGAGGATTTATCCGTTGAGATTCTAGATACCTTGAAACCGATGTCTAAGAACCAAAGAAAACGATTACTTAAAAAGGCTAATGCGAAAAAAAAAGTAGTCGAGTTCCCCTTAAATAGCGTTACGTCAGACGCTGAATTTGAGGATGAGATGAAATTTTATTCTGACTTAAAATCAACTGAAGCTTTGGTGCTATTCTCAATCGTAGACAGCTATGATGTAACATCGTCTATCCCCGGACGGCTTGGGAAAATAATGTCAAGATACTTTGGTGCCAATTCATTTTCAAAATTTTTATGTATTAGAGTGGGACTTTTGGCATTTCATTGGCCCTTTCGCCATTCTATTTTTTACTGCAGCTCAACGAAGAACCTTGGCTTGCGTAATGCTTTAATATTCAAGGCGATAGCTAAATATAATAATCGTCAGAAAAGAAAGTGCACAATCATCATTGACCCAATGTATTCTTGCCCCGCCACAGATAACTCAATAAACTATAGCTCATGGGTGGAAGTCAGCCTTCCTCCTACCAATATAATTGACCTCAGACCACATAAAAAAGAGAGTCCGCTGGAATTTTTCAAAAGTATTAAATATAGAGTACAATCTGATGCATTTTTGAATGCTGGAGGCGTTGTTTTTGAAAAAAAGGAATACTCTAAAAGCAGCTGCTCAACAGCTCTAGACTTGTGGTCGAACATAGCAGTTTCCCGAATGGAACATGGATGTAATGGCTATTTTGCCAACCCAAATCTTGATTTTTTCGAAACATTAGTGAGCTACGACAATGAAATGAGTAAAAGATCGTTACTATTTTTAGAAATAGATGGTGAGGCAATTGCTTCTTGTGTACTTTTCAGACTCGGTGAAACCATTACATCAGATCTTCAGGGTCTTAATTATGAGAAAGGCAGGAGACACAAAGCGTACTTTGTTATGATGGAGACAGTAGTTAAGATAGCTATGAAAGAAGGTAAAAGTTTCGTTGACTTTGGCCCCACTACAGATGCATCCAAACATAGTATTGGGTGTCAGTCTGTTCATTTGACAGGGGCTCTATATACGAGTCTTCCGTTTGTCTCCGGAATCATAAATTTTGTGGCAAAGAAGATAAAAATCTGAAGGGAAGTTGGTTATTGTTTCAACTATGAATGAGTAAGGTGATGATCTAGTGAGTGATTATTACGACCTAGAATTTCTTTTTTGGATATACTTGCTTTTTTAGCTAGCAACCAGATAAATAATATTTCAAACTTTTAATCACATAAACCATTTTGGTAATGAAATTACCGTAGAATAAAAAGATTAGCCTATAGCTGTGTATAAGTACGTAAGAAAGTCCCTTCAATTAAACTTATCGCAAGAGTTCAATCTTTTGAAATTTCTACTATACACAGGTTTGGGTGCAAAAAGTTAACTGAGAGAAGAGATAAAAGAAAGGCGTACATCGATCGTGCTAAGTTAAGAATCATAATATTCACTATAGAGAAGTGATATCAAGGCTTATATATTTGCTTTTATCTGCAATACTTGTCTTTGTTCTTGATGTATTGTATCTTGCCCAATTGATCTTGTCAGAGAATTCAAAGTGCAACGAAAGCGAAAAAGCAGATGGCTTGCGTGCATTTACGCTAGCATATTAATAAATATGAAGATTGAGAGTATCCTTAGCTTTCATTTTTTTCTCTTGATGTAGTCATGATATACTCCTTTTAATATTTTAAGTTGCGAACTTCTTCCATGGATCAAAGGATAAACACCAATCACTAATAGTGCGGCGTACACCCAAATAAGCGAAACAACGATGTATCCTTTGAAATAAGTTCTTCCCCAAATATAATCTCTATATAAAGGTAACGGCCATAGCACCCATGTGATCAAAAGAACAAAGAAAAAAGCTCCATAAGCAATTTTCAGATAGACTGATAACAATCTCTTTTTATTCTCAGGAGTCTCCAATACTTCTTCCAGACCGGTCGATATCACATCACTAGTGTAGCCTTTCTCTACCCCATTTTTGATGGCATCAATTGACTTGTCTTCGAAGGAGTCAGCGCTCTCTTTGCCCTCAGTTTCTTCATCGTGAATGATAAGATCAGGTTTCCGTAAATCATTCCAGTCAAAAACAGAACGTTTGATCGTGAGACTTAAGAAGACGCTTAATATACCGGGCAAAAAGAGAGCTGCTATAGCACCGAACATGCAAGGTAATTGTTCTCCAAGAGACGTAATTGTCACAACTCCATAATAATGATACGCCGTTCCAAGCCAGATTGCGAGCCCAGAAGCCAATCCTACGATAGGAGAAACAAATGCTGCGATCCTTGTTTGTCTATCCCAAGTAATTGTCAATACTAAAGGAATGACGCCTAAATGTTAGTAAAATCTGATTTCATACTCTAATTCGAAATTTCTTGTACTTACCTGGACAAATTATCATAGATAAAAAGTAACCTAACCATGTCATGTTTACTCCCACGTAGTGCAACATAATAGAGAATCCAGCCGAGAAGAGTCCAAAAAATACGACTCCTATGTGTGATACCTTGATCATCTGGTGATTATCCGCATCCTTGTTAATATATTTTTTATAAATATCAAATGACATTATACTACTAACAGATATCATTTGAGCACTAACAGTGGAGGTAACTGCTAAATATATGATTAGTAATAAAGCACCAAGCCCACCTTTTCCTAGTAAGGCTTTTATAGTATAAGGTAAAACCAACCCACTTCCTATTTCGTCGGCAGTCATTGCTTTAGGATAAGTGGGAAATACTGGACTAGATTCTAAAACAATGCTTGAAATTCCGACAATCGACCCAATTCCCCAGGAATTTGCAAATATAAGTATAGCAGCTGTAAGATAGCCAGGCAAAGTCGCTCTGACATCGGCACTGAAACTCTTTTGCCAGAAGGACGAGTCCATCACTGTTAATCCAAAATTTCCGATAGTAAGGATTATACCAAAGAAAATTGCCCCTTGTGACTTTCCAGTCAAAAAAGATCCTTCGTAATTACCTTCAACGTATCTGTCCTTATCATGCTTAAGAATTAGGTCAAAGAGTCCGTCTAAACCTCCAATCTCCTTTGAAGTAAGAACAGAAGTGTCTATGTAACACAAAACAATAAGCAATATCAAAGAATGAACAAAATCAGTCAAGAAAGTAGCCTTCAAGCCGCCAACAGTCGTATATAATAGGACCCCGAATGGAATCAACATTGTGCTCGCGACAATGTGAAGATTACCACTAATAGCAGTAATTGCTCCTGCTGCACCAAGGATCATTGTAGAACAAGAGATTAGGTTCGTCGTCAAAGAAAGGAACATATAGAGTAGATGGCATGCCTTACCATATCTTATGCTCACAATTTCTAACGAAGTATGACTAGAGGGTATTTTCTTCTTTGCTTGAACTCCTAAAACTGTCATAAGGCAAATTTGAATAGAGAGCCCGGCAGAATACCAATAAGATGCCATTATACCATAATTATAGACCATAGTTGTTGCCCACAAAAGCTCAGTAGCCCATGTCCAGCTCAGGTAAACAGAACTAGCTACCAAAGGTGTACTCACACTACGGTTAGCAACCATAAATACTTCTGTTGAAGTCGAATCTTCATGGAGATACTTCAGTAAAAGCTTCGTTGTCAATATCATACCAATTGCAAAGAGTGCACCGACTCCTACTAAAATTCCATAGCCACTCGATTGACCGAGCATTTCAATTTCTTGAACCGCCATTTTTGCTTTATTATGATAAAAAACTATGAAACATTGAGATCAAATCGAACAATTACATGCTCTTTTATTTAGATACTTCTTGAATCTCGTTAAAACTTTTTTTTTTTCAAGATTATTGTGGCTTCACGAAAAGCAGCACATTTCATCCACAGTTGTTGTGTCAAACGATTTAAGAACGCGGAAATGCGTGCTCACGTCAAAAGATCTGCAAGATATCATATTATCAATGTATGTGTAGAAGTAAGGACTCACAGCCAATAAGTTTAACAGCAGCAAAAACGGAACACAGCCTAATTCAAGAAGACTTCAAAAAAATAATTTCAACTCGGGCTTAAGATCAACCAGCGTGAGTTTAAGAAAGACAGACTTACTGCTTTACATTATTAAGTGTGTTGAACACGAATAAGTTGCAATCTGTCTGCTTTATGACTGAACAAGAAAACGAATTTTTTAGGCTCTCATTATTAGGACAGAAGGAACCGAGGTCAAGTCATTTAAGGCCGAGACATAATTCTAAGAGAAGCAACATTCTGTAAATAATAAGACCAAATAGACAATAGTCTCTACGACTAATAACTTCGAGGGATCCACGTTTCAGGCGTTCTATCACAGAAGCGAGAGAATGCTTGTGTTCTCAAGTCTTTCTTTTTTTTTTTTCCTCCATGGTCTATAAGTCCTACAATCATTTTGAAGCCAGGTAGAATATGCGATCTTTCACAAATAAATCTTTTAAACCAAGTTTCTAAGCAATCACGAGCAAGAATCAGATAATTGAAAGGTTCAAATTCTAGTCATAACCATCATAACAAGAATCGAAGAACTCAATCTCTAAGTCTAACACTCTTGTGAAGGTTTTTTCGCATTCGGTCCTGTCACTCTCAGTTATGACAACCCTGTCTACTTCCTGTTTCAAAAAGGATACCCAAATCGAGAAATCGCAGCCACTATGAAGAGAAACCCATTCTTTATATTTATACGATAAGTCAGGGACTACGGTACCTTTCAGTAGATTATATTCAGCCCATCCTAGATATACAAACTCCATCACACACAAGGTAGTGATCAATTGCACATAAGACGAGCATTCGTGAATTAGGTATCTCATATAATCTAGATAACGCTGGACTGAAGGAAAAGTAGGAGAATCGTTACCAAGTAGCATTGCAGAACAGTATTTCTCCAACTCTTGTTTGCTGGTTTCTCTTATCTCAGACAAACAATTTTCAAAGTAGGAATTTTCAGAACTAGCTAAAAACCCAATCTGCTTAGCTAAAATTATAGCAGATTCTCCGTTGTCACAGAGAGAAAGCGTTTTACCAAATAGATTCATTCCCAATTTGAAATATTTCAAGTCTTGAGTCAAATACGTAAAAAGCTTGTGATCAGGTAATGTGCCTAAGCAGAGTTCATTCGTTAGAGGATGCATAATAGACAGTTCATATTTTTCACGATTCGTCTCCACTAAAAGTTCAATGATACTCATATTGTTGTTTTTGGTGTGAATCTGTAAGTTATCCTTGAGAAAAAGAATCGCAGATTACTGTTAACAAAAAATGCCCAATACAAATATTGCACTTTAGATGTCAGTGCACGTATCAAGCTTTTGAAGTTATGTTAAAAAAGAATGAAAGACGAATGCGATAGGATCCCAATATCTATTGAGCAGCTCTTATCTTAATAGTATTAGTTCTTAGCGCATTTTTATCTATTTAGTTTGATTAAGCTGATATATTTAACTGAACCTATTTTTGATCATCAAAGCTAGTGTAAATGCACCCATTATTTAAAATAGATAGAAAAGATCAAGAGGAACTCATGAACCCGATCGTATCAGTTGTACAAATGATCATAAGAATGTTCAAAAAATGCCCTGAATGGAAATTCAGAGCCGACCGAATCCAAAGTAGAGACATCTTCAGGATCTAGCTTGAACTCGTAAACGGCGAGACTTTCGTTAATTCTACTCGGTTTCGATGAAGTAGTAATAGGGACAACATCCTTCTCTAAGCAGTATCTAAGTAAAATCTGAGCATCCGTTTTTCTGTATTTCTGAACCATGGAGTCTAATACCTTTGGTAAAGGGTGGTCTTTAATTTCGTTCCCATTCTTAGTTACTCTAAATAAAGGAGCCAATGGCGCATACGCTTCAATTAAAATATTATTCTCTTTACAAAATTCAATGATCCCGGGACTTTGTTCTTGTAGATATGGGTGAAACTCTATTTGGTTTACTACAGGACGATCTTCAGAATTGAAGGCACCAAATATCTTTTTCATATGAGGAACCGCGAAATTGGAAACACCAATATATCTTGCCTTGCCCTTTCTCTTAAGTTCGACCATTTGTTTCCATACGTCTTCGATCGTTAGATCGTCTTCTCTTTCGTCAAAAAATGGTTGATGAATCAAGAACAAATCAATATAATCAGTGTCCAATTCCTCTAAAGCCTTTTCTAAAGCATCTATTGGGTTCTCAGATGTTCTAGGAGCTTCATCTATCCCACCATTAAACTTGCTTGTAATGAATATATCATCTCTATTGACTTTGCATCGCTTTACAGCAGCACCGATTTCTGGATGTGTAGTGTAAACTTCAGCAGTATCGATATGTCTATAACCATATTGTAATGATAAAACAATTTGATCAACCAATTCTTCAGTCAATTGACCATCCTGACCATCTGATCTATCGAATTTCAACCATTTCCACTTAGTGCCAGTACCAGTTCCAATTTTCAATGGTTTGCCTGACTTTGTTTTAAGTCGCAGGTCACAAGCATTTTCAATTGTCATTCTTGCTTAATAATATTACTGATAGGTATGGGAAATCAAATAATTAAGAATTACGAAGCATAAAGTTAAAGTTATATATATATATGTATGTAAATGCTGTTATCTGAGAAAAGATGGTTAAGCGCGGAGATACAGGTACGTGGTTGATTTTGAATTTCTCGCAAAGTGCGGGATCATTACCATAAAAGACAATTTCCATGTTCAAGTAAAAAATTCAATTCAACACCACTCAGACGAGAGTAACAATATAGCTCAGTTGCTCCAAAATTTAGAAGAAGGACCGTGCTATACATACATCTTGCTCTATTCCTGTCACTCTATCGTGGTGTTCATATTATATCAACATCGAAAAACTTGAATAACAAGGTAATGTTTCTTATTCAAACGCTACGATGAATGAATCTATACGAAGTTTCAAGGATTCAAAAAGATCAAGGACAAAATCATTTATTGGATGCTTGAGCTGCAAAAAGAAGAAGAAGAAGTGCGATGAGACTAAACCTGTCTGCTTAAGATGCAAGAAAGGAGGAGGACCATGTGTATGGCCAGACGTCATGCAAAGATTAGGGAAAGTAGCAAAACAAAACAAGGCTACTAGTGGAAGCGAAAGGTCCCTCAAAGATAATGTATATCGGTTCAACTACGATTTCACTGGCTCAAGTATTGCTGCTACAAATATTGGAAAGTTCAATTACTTTCCAGCACTTTTACTTCCTGACATGCGAAATATAATGATACCAGGTGTATCTCTATCTGAAACAGATGCTATTTGCTATAGATATTTTATCGAGAAGTTTCTTCCTTCTTTACTGCATCCCTTTACTCACGATTCGTCTGTTGAGACAATATTTTTGACTGCTTCTTCTCAATCCCAAACACTCAGGAATATTTTCTTTGCATGCGGAGCAACAATGATATCCTTTGAGAATATTTTTTTTAAAGAAGTAGCCCATAAGAAATACATACAGGCAGTGAAAATATTGATAGAAGAAATAAAAAGTGGTGCTATTCTTGGATCCGAAGATTGGCTTTTCATGGCCGTACAAACCTTACAGACACTATGTTTCAGAGAGAACGTAGTCAAACTACCAGCAATAACTGTGGTGCCACATTTTTCTGCGGCATTTCATATAATTAGGCAAAAGTTCAAGAAGATTTCAAACAAACAATGGACAGAAACCTCCAGGATTATAAGACCTGATCCGCTTTCTGTTTCGCCGAAATTGTACTCTTCTTTAGATAAAGCACTTATAGAAAACTTCTTGTTCAATTATCCCATCGCGATCTTCTTTGGGAGGTCTGAGAATTTGGAGGTTACTGTACCAGATCCCTTTTACGTTTTCAACTTGGCTAACATATGGCAGGATTTCAGTCACGAATCGATTTATCATAATTTGAACTGGTATTCTCAATTTGCTTTTGAAACTGCGGCAAAGAGTACTTGGATGTGTCGTTTGAAGCTACCTTTAAATGACAAAGACAGATCTCTTTGTACTACTATTCTCTCTACGGCATCCAACGTATTGAAGAATTTCTTAACGATTGATGTTTCGGGATTGAGCAATAAGGTCAGACAGTCGGTCTCTATTGCTATGGTCACTCTTAGAATATCCTTAATTTTGATCAGAAAAATGCTTCAAATGAAAGAGCTATCAGCGAAAGATTTTCAAGGAGAGATAAACCTCATAATAAATGAGATCGATAAGCATGAAAATTTAATTCTACCCGGATGGACCTTACTTATAGGGTTTTGCACTTCGTTGGAAGCGAATCAAAGAAACTTTTTTAAGAATCTGTTCAATAAATTATTGTCCAACTTGAACTCAAACATGTTGTTACAAATCATTAATTTTGTTGATTCAGCAGCACCTGTTAATACGGCACCCGATTACCCATTTGAGCTATTATTTGATACCCAGGTTTTAAATATGATATGTCTGTAGATCATAAATACTAACAGTTGAGTAGATAAGTTCAAATTATTGTAAGAATTGCCTAATTCACTTTTCTGCCTCTAAGATGTGAGCGCGCTCCTACATTTTATGCATGACGATAACGAGCGGAATGGATTCCTCTTTGGGAATTTAAATATAATATAAATGCGACCAACATACTCCGGTAGAGAAAGAACCAATTCTTATAGAAGATAAGCTGAAGTGAGAACCTCGAAGATGAATTGGAAAGAGGTTGCGGCAAAAGCACGTCAAAATTTGGATGACTCCATACCTAAGGATTTAAGAATTGAAGATGATAAGTTGGAAACCAATATCATGCGTCACTGTTCTGTGGATGAACATAAAGACTTGATCTCTCCACGAGAGAGAGAGATTACCTCCTTGGACGCAACCCAGCTACTTCAAGCTATCAAAAATAAAAAATATAAAGCAGTAGAAGTATTCAAAGCCTTCTGCACAACGGCTGCGGTAGTCCATCAATTGACGAATTCGTTAACTGAGTACTTTCCAGAGGAAGGTCTCCAGAGAGCAATTGAGCTTGACGAGTACTACGAACGGACAGGAAAGCTTTTTGGTTCTCTACACGGACTTCCAATAAGTATTAAGGACCATCTCGAGCTAGCTGGACACCTCGCTAACATGGGCTTTGTCGCTTGGGCTGATAGGCGCAGTCCTGCAAAAGAGGATGGAATAGTGAAAGCTCTTCGAGACGAAGGTGCTGTCTTTTATATAAAGACGGCCATGCCTATGTCTGGAATGGTACTTGAAACTGCAAGCAATCTCTGGGGAAACGTAAGGAATCCATACAATCGAAGACTCACTTCAGGCGGATCTTCTGGGGGAGAAGCTGTGATGGTAGCAATGGGAGGATCAGCGATTGGGATTGGGACTGACACAGCTGGTAGCATTCGCTGTCCTGCTGCGTTTTGTGGTTTATATGCTCTTAAGCCTACATGTTATAGATTTGCTTATACTGGTATGCTTTTTCCTAGTCCAAGTCAAATCTCAATTGCGGGTTGCCCAGGACCTATTGCCAAATCGATGGCAGATGTAAAGATGCTTTCAAAGTTTCTAGTAGACTCCGAGCCTTGGGAAAGTGATCCAAATGTTGTGCCAATCCCTTGGAAAAACGATGTAACATACTCCGATTCCAAAAAATTATGCATCGGGGTAATTAGAAGCGACGGAGCAGTCACTCCTCATCCTCCTGTGCTAAGGGCTATAGATTTGGCTGTTGAAAGGCTCAGGGAAGATGGGCATGAGGTCATAGAATTAGATCTTCCATTTGATGCCTACGAGTTAATGGAACAAGCATCTAAAATGTATTTTCTCTCAGGTTTCAAAGAATGCAAGGAGCTTTGCGCCCAATCAGGCGAGCCTTTAATACCTGCACTCACGACGATCTTGGAGAGATATAATATCAAAGAATTTGGTGGATCTGTTAACTTCAAAGTTAATGCCTATAGGAATGGAGTGCGAAAGAAGTTTTTAGAAATGTGGAAATCGACAGCATCAAAGTCCAGTTCAGGTGGACAAATAGAGGCCATTGTAACGGCAAACTCAGCTTGTTGCTCATTTCCACATAACTTTTTACCTTGGTGGGGGTATACTACAACCTATAATGTATTAGACGTTCCCAGCTTGGTAATTCCTCTTAAAGATCAAATGTCTGATCCTAAAGTTGATTTAAAGGATAATCATTATGAACCATTAAATGACTGGGATAAAAGCAACTACGAGATATATGATCCTGAATTGTTCAAGGATATTCCTTTAAACATTCAGCTAGTGGGAAGAAGATATCTTGAGGAGGAACTTATTGCAATTGGGGAAGTAGTCGATAGTTCGTTAAATAAAAAGTAAATCGCTCTTTTTGCATTCAAGTGCGGCTAATTTTTAAAGCATTCGGTATATAGTACAAGATTTAGCTGTAAATACTGAAAAATACACCAATGAAGAACTGATATCACAGTGGGTGCACTTGAATAACGGAAAGCGGTTCTTAGCGGGCTATATAATGGCATGAAATCCACGTATTCTTTTCGAATTCCAAAATTTTTTTTTTCTTCACTTTTAAAAATTGTCTCAAAAATAAATGTCATTAAAATTCACTAACTCCAAAAAAGCAGCAGCCCCAATTGCTCCCTATTCACACGCCGTTGAAGCAAATGGTACGTATAAAGCTGGTATTGTTGATACATCTTATACTTTTGAGCTAACAAAGAATTGAAGGTTTTCTCTACTTATCAGGATTTGGTGGGCTTGATGTGGAAGGAAAGTTAGTAGGTAATGGTGATGTTAAAGTTGAAACCAAACAAGTTTTAGAGAACATCAAGAATGTGATAGAAGAAGCTGGCTCTGATTTCAAAAATATCGTCAAAGTAAACATTTTTATTACTGATATGAGCAAGTATAAAGAGCTCAACGAAATTTATGCCCTATATTTCACTGACAACAAGCCAGCCCGTTCTTGTATCGAGGTAAAATCTATCCCAATTCCTAATGGTACCGTTGAGATAGAAGTTGTTGTTCTCGTTTAAGGTTGCAACTCAGCTCTACATCAGTTATTTCTAGCGATATTGATTTAATAAAATTTCATTGTTTCCTAGATTCTAAAGAGTGAATATTGCAGAATCAATATCAAAGTGAACTTCAATAAGAGATGATCTAGTTAGGGTTAATAGTTCTACATAAAATTTTATTTTAAATTTTATTTTTGTCTTTTCAGCTCGTTCTATAACGATTTCAACTTACTTAAGGTGGCAGAGCAAAACGTGCCTAAATATAGGATATATTAATATTAATTCTCTTTGTAAAAGTTTGCTGTACGTTTCTCTGATTCTTTTAATAATTGCTCTAGTAATTTCGGATCCCGGGGAACCAATTTCACTTTGAAATCTCTGGGAATGGCGACCAAAGCAGTTTTGAATTGATTGTAATCAACATAATCGGTATTTGGAGGCTCAGAATCTGATGCAACAATTTTGAAAACACTCAAGATTCTAACGAGAGAGGCATATATTAACCTCTGCGCAATATACTGCCCAGAACAAGATCTTGGGCCACCTCCAAAACTTTGATGGGGGAGGCCCTTAATCTCTTTTTCTTGCAAACCACTTTCGTCCATGTAGCGGTCCGGATTAAATGTACCTGCATCTGGTCCAAAGTAGTCGATATCGTGATTAGCAGCTTGAGCATTAATAAGTACCATAGTTTTTGGTGGTATTACAGCTCCATTCCAAAAAACTTGTTTAACTGTTTTTCTTGGTAAGCTCATTGCAGAAACCGTATAATAACGACCAGCCTCCTTTACAATAGCATTGATATATGGTATGCTCTCTTCCTTGATAGATTCTGTCCAAGCATCAGATATATTAGGATAATGTCTTTTTATATCTGCATAGGCCTTTTCTTGATAAGATTGGCCTTCCTTGGTGCAAAGTGAACCAAGACATGAAGTTAAAGTACCTGGAATTGTTTCAAAACCACCAGAAACAAGCGACAAGCAAATAGAGTTTACTTCCACATTGTTCAACCTGCTTTCATCATCTTTTAAAATGGCAGCCGCAATACACGGCTTATCAGTTCCATTATCTATCATCGTTTTCACCTTATCCATTAACTCATTTAAGTAAGCATCACGGCGATCTCGAAGTTCCTTTGATCTCTTATTCTTCTCATTATTCGGAAGGAAACGAAGTATAGGTACATAATCTTGAAGATTCTCTGATGCTGACCTCAATAATGATATTGCAGAACCCACTGTCAAGATTTCTCTCAAAAGATCATCATATACGTTATCCATTCTAATACCATAGCACAATGTGAGTGTTGTATTCAAAGCTAATCTCTGAATAAATGGTCTTATCATAACTTCGGACTTACCTTTATTAGAGTCGCGTGTCAATTCTCTGACAAGACAATAAGTCTCTAAATCAAACATATCAAGGTAATTCTTCAAAGCACCACGATTTAGAGTCGATCCAACAGCCTTACGCTTGTTTTTGCATGATTCATCCCAAGGCGACGAGCCAATAGTAAATCCTTGGGTCGAAGAAATGAGCCCGTGAAATGTGTACAAAGTTGGACGATCAATAAGAGCTCCTTGGGTTTTGGTCACCATTTGATTAACTTCGTCCCAAGAATTGACTACGACTGCTCGTGTATTCCCTAATTTAATTTGAAAGATGGGCCAATTATAGTCCCTCCACCACTTTTCACAAACTGTCGCATGATCTTCTCCTAGCTTCAATAAATGTCCAAATATTGGCACCGCTCCAGGTATCTGTGGAATACCTTTGATCTTTCCTATATCTGTTTCAAAACAGTACTTATGTATCAAATAAAGTATAGTTAATACAACTATCAAAACATAAATTGCTTTTGTTTCCTCAATGAACATATTTTATTTTGAAATCTACTCTTAGTGCCCTTGAAAGCGTTCGTCCAATATCTTATCTGGGCCCTCTTATACTATTTCTATTTCGTAAATTGAGATAAGATACTGTATGTAAAAAAATCATTACCCTTATACCTTCCCTTTTAAGTAGTGAATCCGCTCTCAAATCCTGTCCGCGAAAATGGGCAAGAATCAATCTACATGTAGTATGGAACCCGATTGCAGCAATAGAAACAAAAAAGAAAACTTTTGAATTGATAGCAGAGTTCATTGACAAAGTACTTATTTCATAGCTAAGAATATAAAGAATAGGCCGGTTTCTCATAATGTTAGAATTTCTATCCAGCTCAATTGAACTTATTGTGGACGAATATCGGCATGAAAATTGCTACTTTAAAAAATTGTTTGAAAGAAGAAATAATATATATTTCTGATGTAGAATCTCAAGCGAATAACAGAGCAACAGGGAAAGAAACCTTGAGACGAGGAATGGACCTGCGTCATATCCAAATGATTGCCTTAGGTGGCTGTATCGGTAAGTAGTATCATAAGGATGGTAGAAAATCTTGTTCTTCATTTCCCAAAGAATATAGAACTAACATATCAGGTACCGGATTCTTTATCGGATCGGGTGTAACGTTGCTGGAAGCAGGACCAGGCTCTCTTTTAATTGGATACCTAGCAATGTCTATAGTGATGTTTTTTGTGATGAATATTTTAGGAGAAATGACCACATTTTTACCTATAGCAGGAAATGGAGCTCAGACGTTTGTTGGAAGCTATTTCGAAGAGTCTTTAGGTTTTGCTATTGGCTACAATTATTGGTATGCGTTTGCTATCCTTGTGGCTACTGAAATTACCGCAGCCGCTATTATTATAGAATACTGGATCACCTCTATTAACATTGCAGTTTGGATCTCAATATTTTTGGCTCTTTTATTGCTACTTAACATGTGTTCAGTGAAGGTCTATGGTGAGTCTGAATTTTGGTTTTCTTCAATAAAAATATTCACTTTAGTTGGTTTGTTTATTCTCGGTGTGGTCCTATTTTTTGGAGGTGGACCGAACCATGATAGACTAGGATTTAGGTTTTGGAGACAGAACATGGCATTTAAAGAGCACTTGGAAAAAGGTTCAACAGGAAGATTTCTTGGAGTTTGGACTTCAATCATAAAGGCTGGATTCTCGTTCGTTTGTTCCCCTGAATCAGTATCTGTGGCAGGATCAGAGAGCCTGAAACCAAGAAGAAATATTCCAAAAGCTTGCAACCGCTTCAAGTACCGTTTGGCCTTCTTCTATGTTTTTGGCAGCTTGATTATTGGTGTTATATGTAGCTCCGAAAGCCATAAACTCCTCGGTGCTTCTAAAGATGCATCTGCTTCTCCATTCGTTATCGGTATACAGAATGCAGGGATACCAGTACTTAATCACATCATTAATGCTGCTATTCTTACTTCAGCTCTTTCCTCTGGTAATTCATTCTTGTATGCTGCATCAAGGACCCTTTATTCGCTATCCAGAAAGAAAATGGCTCCCAAAGTATTTTCTACCATTAATCGCTACGGGGTTCCTTATTGGTCAGTTTTAGTCTCCTGGTTCGTGGGATGTCTAGCGTATCTCAATTGCTCAAGCAATTCGGCCAGTGTTTTCGCTTGGTTCACTAATATTTCAACTATTTCTGGTTTTATAAGCTGGATCGCCGTTTCACTAGCATATTTAAGATGGAGAAAAGCAATTAGATACCAGAATCTAGAGGATAGAGTCACTTATAAGACATGGCTACAACCATATGGAACATACTTTGTGCTTATTTTCGTCACTATCATAACCATTACAAATGGCTACGCTTCTTTCATTGGTGGTTTTGATGTAGCAGACTTTATTGCTGCTTACGTAGCTTTTCCCATTATAATATTTCTTTATGTTGGCCACAAACTTTATCGTTATTCGAAAGGCAAAACATTAAGGTTTGTGAACCCAATCGACGAAATAGACCTTACAAGAGATTTAGAGGAGATCGAGGAAGAAGATAAAAACACGAAAGAAGCTGAAGCGAAAAATTTTGCAGAGAAGGTTTGGAAATGGGTAGCCTAGCTTGATTGCTATTTAACTCACATTAAAGCTTTTTTGCATCATTTAATTTTTTTTTTTGGCTGATATCTCATCATACAAAAGCTTAAGTAGCTTAAGACCATGTAGTATCTATCATAAATAAGAATATATTACAGCCTCTGTTTTGCATCATTTTTGATTCTCAAATCAATAGCTGTATATATTTATGTTATAATACTAAGTCGGTAAAGGATTGAAGTCTAGTCGTAATATCCAACTCCTTAGGTTTAGATTATTCCGGGCTTATGAACCCTTAAAACTATACTCTGCATACATTAAGACTTTTATAAGTAGATAGATGTCACCGATTAAGTGGCTCAGTAGTTCAGTAGCTCAGTAATTGTGAAAAAAAGATTAAAGAATTTGTTTATAATAGAATCAGAATATTCTTGAATAGCGGCCGGCGGAAGTTGCATAAACGCGTTATAAAGAACCAGGTCAAATGAGATATGTAAAGTAGTGCACTACTCATAAATATTTAATGATGATTTGTGCTGACTGGAAAATGGTATTAAAAATATCACAGAATCAAGAGCAATATACACGTATACCTAAGAACAAATAACGGTTTTAGAGCAAGTCTTAATCAAGAATGAGTTCATCGGAAGATGAAATAGTTCTTTCCAGAAGAACCAAAAAACCTCTCAATAGTGCTGATCTGGACCAGGAAGAAACTCCATTAACACAACTCAACTCTCGTCGTAAAGAGACTTCGTCGCCTCTGAAATCTAATGGAATTAAAAGGCAGCATCCAATTATTAATGGATCTAATTCAAAGAAGATAAAAAAATCTAACGGAGTAAAATCCGAGGATGAGGACGAGGACAAACCATTAAAATCAGTGGCTCTGCCAAAATTGAAGAAAGTCAAAGCGAATGGTGTTAAAGATAAGGGCACCCAAGGTAAGATGAAACCTTCCAAAAGTAGGAGCGCATCCAGTAATCCAGGTAAGCATAAAAGTGAGACGCCCAAAGTTGATGATAATGACGAGGAAGAAGAAGCGGAAGCTTATAAATGGTGGGAAGATGACTTGGATGGCGAACAAAAATGGGAAAGCCTTGTACATAACGGAGTTTTGTTTCCACCAGAATATGAGCCTTTACCTTCACATGTGAAGCTATATTATGAGGGTAAACCTGTTGATTTACCGCTAGAGGCTGAAGAAGTTGCAAGTTTTTTTGGACAAATGGTGGAGACAGACCACGCAAAGAATGCAGTGTTCCAAAAGAATTTCTTTGAGGATTTCCTCGAGGTGCTAAAAGAAGCAGGTGGGTGTAATGTCACGATCAATGAGTTCAAAAAGATGGATTTTTCTAAAATGCACGCTCACTTTGAAGAGCAGAAGGAAAGAAAAAAGGCTATGTCAAGAGATGAGAAAAAGAGAATTAAGGAGGAAAAAGAAAAATTCGAGGAACCTTATAAGACTTGCATGTTGAATGGACGCAAAGAACAAGTTGGAAATTTCAGAATTGAACCTCCAGGATTATTTCGAGGAAGAGGTGCTCATCCCAAAACAGGAAAGCTTAAAAGAAGAGTTACACCTGAAGATGTCACATTAAACTTGAGTCAGGATGCTAAAGTCCCAGACCCGCCTCCTGGACACAAATGGGGCGATATTAAACATGATAATACTGTGACTTGGCTTGCTATGTGGAAAGAGAATATTGCAGACTCCTTTAAATATGTTAGATTTGCTGCAAATTCCTCTATAAAAGGTGTTTCTGACTACAAGAAATTTGAAACTGCAAGGAAATTAAAGTATCACATAAGCGATATAAGAAAAGATTACAATAAGATGCTTAAGGATGAATTGATGCAAAATAGACAAATGGCCACGGCTACATATCTAATTGATGTCTTCGCTTTGAGAGCTGGCGGTGAGAAAGGAGACGAGGAAGCGGATACTGTTGGTTGTTGTTCCTTAAGATATGAACATATAACGTTGAAGCCTCCAAATACTGTAATTTTTGATTTCTTAGGTAAAGATTCCATCAGATTCTACCAAGAAGTCGAAGTTGATAAGCAAGCTTTTAAGAACTTGAGAATTTTCAAAAAACCACCTAAGCAACCCGGTGATAATTTATTCGATAGAATTAATCCTCAAATGTTGAATAAGCATTTTCAGAATTATATGAAGGGCCTTACTGCAAAAGTTTTTCGTACATACAATGCATCGAAAACCATGCAAGATCAACTAGATTTGATTAAAAACGAAGGAACAGTTGCTGAGAAAGTCGTTAAGTATAATGCTGCGAATAGAACTGTTGCAATTCTATGTAATCATCAACGTACAGTTAGTAAAAACCATGAAAATAGTGTTCAAAAGATTGGAGACAAATTGAAAGAATTGATGTGGCAGAAGATAAGGCTTAAGAAAATGATTTTAGAATTAGAACCCAAGCTACTTAAGCAACAGCCAAAATACTTTGAAGAGATCACAGATTTGGCTAAAGAAGATGAGGAGCATATTCATCACAAGATAATTGAAAGACAAAAAGAACTGGCTTTTAAGAAGTTACAAAGGGACAATGAAAAGCTTAAGGCAGAGGGAAAACCTACACTAGATGAAAGTTCCATTAAAGATAAGCTAGATAAGATCGTGGAACTTCGCAAGGATTACGAAGAAGAATTGAGAACAGGAAAACCCCTGATTAAAAAAGCTGCTTCAGTTGAGAAATTAAAGCAGCAAGTCGAAACAGTCGAAAATAGAATTGTCAATACAAGCTTTCAGTTAAAAGATAAAGAAGACAACTCCGAAGTGTCGTTGGGAACGTCAAAGATAAATTATATTGACCCTAGATTAACAGTTATGTTTTCGAAGAGATTCAATGTTCCTATTGAAAAGCTCTTTACGAAAACTCTTAGAGACAAATTCAATTGGGCCATCGAATCTACTGATGAAAACTGGAGATTTTAAACTCTATAATCACGATATTTATGATATTTGTAGCTAGATTTATGTATAGAATAAAAAGTTTTTCGTGATCGGACTTGACGCGCAATATTATTATTTTTTTTTTGCGAGGAGGCTAGAAGACAAAGACGCGATTCACGTTACAAATTACAGATCCTTACATTTGATACACGCCTAGATAGGCACTAATATGAAAAAAATGAATAATTTTGGACAGCAATGAATTTGAAGATGCAAACGTGCAAGGCAAGGCTCATTACATATGTTGTGGCCATGTCCAAGACATTCTGAGAGGAAATATCTGTTTCTATATTTTCCGATCTAAAATATTACTAACTAGCCTCTTGTATTCATAGCTTCAACCATGAGGCCTCAAATCATAGTATCAATTTTAGCATCGACTGCGATGTATTCACAGGTTGAGCCTTCCACCCCAATGTCAACCAAAAGTGGAACCGTGCCAGGAGCTTTAACATCAATTGAGCATAAACATCACCATAGGGCCCCTAAGATAACGACGGCGCCAACAATAACTATCACAAAAAGGGCGAACGATGAAACCACAGATGATATGCCAGAAATAACCGACGCCTCCACGTCATACTCATACAGTATTGCAGTCCCTCAAGCTAGTGAATCAGACTACACAAATCCATATATCCAAAGAACGCACCTACCTCGCAACTTAGTATTCATCATAGTTGGTGCAATAATTGGTTTCATGTTGGCCATACTTTTGAGCTATAGAATACTATCCTATGTTATATCTAACAGGAGAGCCAAATCAGAAAAGGAGGTTTATTTTAGCAATTCCGTGGGCCGGTTTTTGGACATTAATGGCCCCAGCAGTTCAAGTTCTTCCATTTTGGAAAAGAGTTCATCGAGTTCAATGCCCAGTTTGTATTTACACTCCCGGCAAAGTTCAATTTTTAACCAACAGTTGAATGATGCAACTCAACAAAATGCTCTGTCACAGGCAGGCCATTCGTACAGGGACAACTCTACCAATAGAGGCTCAATGTTCATCAGTCCTGTGTTAGAAATTATGAAGTTGAATTCGTCATCTCAACTAGAGCTTCCTTTATATCATAAGAATATTCAACAAAGCTCTTCCTCATCCCTTATATTGAATCAACATGATTCTTCAAATCATTATGAGACTGAAGTGTCTTCTGAAGAAAATATCAAAGATGAACACAAGAATCCAGCGCCTTCCACTCTTAGACGTCCACCAAGCCAATACTTAGATGATCTTATTGACTATGCTGAATTGTCTTTTGATAGCAAATCGAGCATATAACATTTAAATTGTAACAATAGCACCTACTTCATACATATTTAATAGACGAAAATAAAAGAAGATAGATAATACTTTTTGGAAATGAATCTATTGTCATTTCATTCTTCACTTCTCCCCTACTTTCGGAATGATTCCATTTTCAGATCCTTCACTTGAGAGATGCAGCTTCATATTCGTGCACCATAGTATTTCAGGAACAGAGTTTATTTTCTATGGCCTATTTGGGCTGGGAGAGCAAAGCAAAATCTATCACGTGATTTATTTTCTTCAAATCCGGAGTATTCCCAGGACCACTTAAAATCGCTTAGAACCCCCCGAAACCTTAAATCTTCTGAACCAGACATCCAATTCCTTTACCAATTCATCGCCAAGAGACTAAGCGTAAGCGGAAGTGATTTAAAATGCTCAGATTAACAAATAGATCGATCGTCAAACAATGTGCTAGCAGAGTGGCGTTTAAAAGGACCCTACAAAGTACTCCTTTTTACATGACGAAGAATGATAATTCAACGATCGATTCTTACAAATTACCGTCTCAGTCTTCGATAAATGAATGGGAATTTAAATATGACTTCATACCAAAGACCGCTGAACCAAAGATTCCTCCGGTAACCCCGGAGGCAGTCAAACAAGACGTTGCTCACCAGAAGAAGGCTAACATCGAAAAGGAATTATCTAACAAAGAGCAAGCATCATCAGTGAAAGTCGAAGCTAATGCAGCTCAGGTTGTTCATGGCGGCGAATCTGTAGGATCCGAGCCTGAATTTATACAAGATAGGGGGTCTAAGCCAATTGACGCTTCAATCAGTGTTTCTTCAGCGAAAGGGAAACCAGCTAATAGAGACAAATATATCCAGAGTTCAGCTAATCCCCACATCAACAAAAATGAAGTAGTGAATTTGGGTGACAACGAAGTCGATCACAAAACTTCTTCTGTAGAAAAGCAAACTCAAGTCGTTGATGATATTGAACATGACAATTTGCATACCTCCGAACAAAGCAGACAGGGCCCGAAGAAAAGTTCTAATTCGTCCGCCGTTGGAATCTCTTTAGGTTTGGGAGTTGCTGGAATCGCAGGCTTCTATTATTACACCTCATCTAACGATCCAAAGAAAGCGGACAAATGAAAGAGGCGGTTAACTATTGCGTTACATAAATAGAGAGTATATATATTCAAATTCTTGAATTTGACAAGTGCGTTTATTTAGCTCAAAATATTTACAGTCAAAACATATGGCCATTAAAGAGATGCATTTATAAATATATGGCCCAACTCTGGTATAACTACTCGGACGGACTTAGTATTGACGAGAAGCCTCTTGACATGCCTTCAACTGCTGTAAGTAGTATTCACAAATTTGCATGTTTCCTCCATTGTCATCCAAGCATCTGGTAAAGTTTTTTGCGTCAGCATCACAGTGTCTAGCTTCTTCTTGGTAATTTTGCTGTTGAGCTGAAGCTAATTGTTGATCTTGTACCTCAGCTGGGGCAGAGCTGCTACCTCCAAATATAGAACTAATACCAGCTCCAAGTGTGTGCCCTATTGTAGATCCAACCGCCACTCCGGCAGCTGTAGATGCCATTTGACCAAACAAACCAGGTCCTTGACGAGTTTGACCCTGAGCAGGATGAGAAGCTTGTACCGGATGAGACGACGGATAATGAGCAGCAGTAGATGCTGATCTAGTCTGAGTTCTTTGAGTTGGGGATGATCTTCTTTGTCTAGGCATGTTAAATTATAATGCTATATTCTATCATTATTCAAAATTTTGCTTATGTACCATTTATATAGGAACAGCATCAGTGGCGAACACGTTCAGAATTCCGGTTCTCGAATCTACCATCAAATTACCTAGAATATCCATACTATGAAAGACCGGAGGTCAGATGATTTTCGAGCTCTGTTAGTGTCTCTCTACTGGACGTGTGTCATCAAAAAATAATTAATGCCACTAGGAAAAAACCGTAGAGTCGAGTAAGTCATAAAACAAAGATCAAGTAGATAATTAAGTAATATATTACATAAACACAAAAAAAACGTATCTAGATGTATATCGTGATATACCGATCTTTTAGGACTTGCTCTGGAGACAAAAAATTGCATCTCTGATCGCGTGAGTCTCTCATGGAATGAAGACATAATAGGAACGACTGGATTCACTTTGAAAAGTAAAACATATACATAAAGTTAAATTAAAGTTATAAGGTGCATATGATTCCAAGAGGAAAGAGATTCACAAGTCAGTTGCTTCGTGGGTTTGGAAGGAATAGGCTCTTCTTTCGTCAAAATAGCAATGGTGTAAGCTTCTATGAGCTCTTAGAACTCCCAGCAAATGCCACAATAAAGGATGTAAAAGCCCAATTTAAGAAATTAAGTAAAAAATATCACCCTGATTTGAATAGTCATTTACCACCTGATGATAAGGAAAAAAACAGCTCAAAGTTCGTTCTGATAGTGACAGCCTATGATACCTTGAAAGATGCTAAGAAGAGAAAACAGTATGATATGACTCTAAAAGGACAAGCCGGCAAACATATGCAAGCGAGAAGAGACGACTGGAATAATCAATATTATGGCGAAGCACGATATTATTCGAAATCTGGGAAAAGCTTTTCAGCTTCCGGATTAAACTCTAATAGGCATCGTGTGCATCGTCATTCTAATCATGAAAACAGGTCGTCATTTGACGGTCGTCACATGAATCATGAAAACAGGTCGTCATTTGACGGTCGTCACATGAATCATGGAGATAGGTACGATGTACCTCACTTCAATTACAACGAGCATTTATCGAGGCTTTTGAAGTTTGAGCAAAGGCTTATCAATAAAAGACTTTCTGATGAAGATCGAGAAAAAGTTCTCAAGCAACTAAGCAAGGACGGGGATATTTCTAAGCTTTCAGATGAGTTAATAACCAAACATTTAATGAGACAAGTACATCATAATTACAATAATCAATATGGATCGCAGACATCCAGACCCATGGCAGCGAACGGTTACACGCCGTCTACAAAACACCAATATATGTACGAAGGACCACATGATAGAGAATCAGGCATATTTAAAACACTTATGCTTTTAGGAGGAGCATCGGGATCTCTTTATTTCCTTTATAACGCGATATTTTAAAAGTTTATATATTCAAGTCAAATATATAGAGAAAAATTACGAATAGTTTCGAGTTTACCCATAACTAAGGGGCAATATGATACAGGAGCAAGATGTCATATCAAGCTCAAATCAATTGCTCTCAATGGGGAAGCCCAATATATTACATTAAATTCTTCATATTCAGTAGATTGTAAAATTCAACGAATTAAACAAATGCAATTGTGTAATGATTCAAAAACATTTCTTATATGTAAAAGTTCACCTTTATGGTACCATGGGACCACTATCGATCAACTTCACCAAACACCAAATCCATGGTACCAATAATTGCGACGGCATCTGCCAACAAATTTCCTCTCGAGATATGGTCAAACGCAGCCAAGTGAGCAAATCCTGGGGTTCTGATTTTACATCTATAAGGTCTCTCTGAACCATCTGAAACAACGTAGACAGCCATCTCTCCTTTCGGAGCCTCGATTGCAGTGTAAGTTTCACCTTGTGGAACAGCATAGCCTTTAGTATATATCAAAAAGTAGTGGATCAAAGCTTCCATATCTTCTTTCATAAGGCTTCTAGGAGGAACAGAAACTTTATAATCTTCTGTTTTAACAGGACCTTCAGGCATGTCGTTGATACACTGTTCAATAATCCTCAAAGATTGCCTAAATTCAGCCATTCTACATAAATAACGATCATAACAATCACCGTTCAAACCAACAGGAACATCGAAATCTACCAATTCATAAGCATCATATGGCTGCGCTTTCCTAATATCATAAGGGATTCCAGAGCCTCTTAACATAACCCCAGAGAGGGAGTAGTTCAATGCATCCTCAGCAGTCACGACTCCAACATCTTTAGTTCTAGCTTGCCAGATACGGTTATCCGTAACCAACTCTTCGGTCTCATCGATTCTATCACCGAATTGAGTGGCCCACATATAGATATCGTCTAATAAACCTGCTGGTAAATCTTGAGAAACACCACCCGGTCTGACATAGTTTGCATGCAAACGGGCACCCGAAACTCTTTCATAAAACTCCATCAATTTTTCTCTTTCCTCGAAACCCCATAAGAAAGGAGTCAAACCACCAACATCCATAATATGGGACAAGACGGACATACAGTGATTCAAGATTCTAGTAATTTCACCAAACAAAGTTCTAATATATTTGGCTCTTAAAGGAATATCTATGTTCAAGAGCTTTTCAACAGCTAAGGCAAAAACCAACTCATTCGTCATCATGGAGACATAGTCCAATCTATCGAAATATGGAAGAGCTTGCATGTAAGTCTTGATTTCAATCAATTTCTCAGTTCCTCTGTGCAATAACCCGACATGAGGATCGGCCCTCACAATTTCTTCTCCATGAAGCTCTAAGATCAACCTCAACACTCCATGGGCAGCAGGGTGCTGTGGTCCAAAGTTAATTGTGAAATGCCTAATTTTTGTATTTTGTTTCTCGACATTCTTGGGATCATCATCTCTACCCCATGTCATATCCACTTCATCCATTACTTCTGTGAAAGTGGTCTTACCGAAAGTACCTGGTTCATCAGAATACCTCTTTGCATCTCTGCCTAAGGCATTGGTATAAGGCTTCCTGCCAGAATCATGGCTGGCATTCAAACGAGTAACGCCAGATGAGAACTGTCTCGCATTGAAGGTTTTCCTAGCACCTGATATTAATCCAACTGCTCTAGATATGTTCTTAGCACTCAACATTCTGAGCTTAAACTGTGCCTACTTTACTTAATTTAAAAGGTACTTGACACCGTTGTCTGCGCTTATAGCATTTTAGTGATTGAAAATAATAAAATGAACTTTATTCATTGGATAAAAGACGACCACGTGACATAGCACGTTAACGAAAAAAGCGGTCAATGAGTTCACACGACTTGTGAGTCAGCTGACCAGATCTCACTTTTACCCGCACATATAGCCGCCCTGCCACTACTTAACATTCGATGTGTATTGCAGCCGCATCGCACCAAAAGTACTTTTATCATTGGCTACTTTCAGTATCCGCACTAACTATCAGTCACGATATAAGTCGTGGCTTGCACTACGCACACGCTAGAGGGAATATTCTAACCAGCCAACTTTCTTGTGCCGGCCTGGACATAGCACTGCTGTTACGCTCTGGAGTTTGGCATTTCTTTTTCATCGCGAGGGTGCAGAAAAATTCACCTTAACTTGTGTAATATTTATATCTAGTGGTTTGCGCATTTTCGCAGTTGCCAAAAGAAAGTCACTGCGGCCAGTGGGGGAGTTTAGAGAGTAAAACACGTCGAGGACAAGTTCATCAAGAGTTGATAAAAATTCAAGGAATATAAAATTGGAATCGTCTATTAAATAAGACAAACAAGTCTTATCGCTGAGTAGAAGACTTATTAACAAAGTCCCGACGCACTAACATCGTTAGAGTGAAAAAAGACGTAAAAACCGATTGAAACAAGCAGAGAGCATTTACAGGCTACTTCTTTATTGTTTGCGGCTACTATGCCCGAAATGAGCTTGACGACCAAGAGAAAGAGGGATGCAAATGTATCTGATACGAAAAAGACTAAGAATCTTTTAAGCGAAAAAGAGCGCCAGGAATATGCCACCTCCAATGAGTGGCCAGTATATAATCATCCAGATGGTGGTACAATCAAGATAACTCCGTGGGGTTCTTTGAGGCAATATCAAGACTCTAATGGCCAGAATGTGACCAAATTTGAAGATTTGAGTTTTCAAGACTATTCATTTGAAGGTTCCAAATTGAATAACATATATGAATTTATGCCCAACACTCCACAATCGCTCTGCCAGAATGGTAGTCCGTCCCCTGACCGAATAAAACTAAGCCCTGGAGATGAAGCTGAACACTATGTGATCAATGGATATGAGGAGGTTAGTCCAATATCAGAAAACAAGGAGGGATTTATTAATCATGAACCTTACTTCTCTCAAGAGCACGAAAATTACTTTGGAATGGAACAGCAAGATGATGTTGACTACAATTGTTTCACCGATAATGGTAATTCCAATGACGACGAAAATATGATGACGTGAAAGAATATGAAGCCGAAAATGTTATTCTATTTTGCATTCTATTCTAATTTTGTATAATATCTATTTCTATTAGATTTAAAAGTTGTTGATCTGCGTTAAATATATAACAATTGCAAAATTATTTTCTAAAATCTTATTTCGTAAATTTCGTTATATGCGATTAGTATGTGTCGTCTTAGTCGATAACGCTGACTAGTCCCTCTTCATGCACCAAAAAATTTCGGCAGCAAAGCAGGTTATCACTTATTTTTCCTAGGCCAGAATATTTCTCATTGCGATTTGCAATGTTTTCTAAGTTTAGAACAGATATTAATAAATTAGCCTTTTGGTTGCTGGAACAATCCTTCTTCTGAGCTTCAGACAAGTATTCAGAGTAGCTTGATATCGTTAAAGGAGTACCAATCCACTTATCATAGGAATTAAGGTCGGGTATGGTATTAGAAATATATTGCTTCTCCAAGGTCGAATAATATTGATTAAGTGAAAATAGTTTCAAATTTTTGAACTGAACAAAAAACTTCTCTGAGGTATAAGACGATAGAGACGTAACGGAAGTTTCGTTTGAGACGAGACTCCCCCGTTCATTTTCGGAAAATACCGATCCATCAATAGATGAAACCGAACTACCGTTATGCTGGGGAACCAGAATATAATAACTTTTGGAGTTATCTGAATCACTCGTACAGCGGTCGAAGCAAACCTGGCTAGGATTGAATACATCCTCGTATTCAGCACCTCCTCCAGCATAACTGGCAGCCGCAGCTGTAGCATATAGGAGTGCGTTATTGGTTGTGTTGCATCTACTTGGAATGGTTTTCATCTTCGAAATCTTTCGTTCATCAACTGGCAATGCCAAATCTTTACCGATCACCAAGTTTCTAAACCAATGCAACATGCCATAGAATGACCAAAACTGGAATAAAAGCTGTTTAAGCTCAACTCTAACCCTTAAAACATTTTTATACTTCACTAAAGTGGCCATATTACGGTCCAACCCTGCAATATAGTCCTCTTTGTACATTGCTGATATCAAATGATTCAAAGATGGAGCTTCCCCAACAGCCAAGTTCGATAAAGTGTACGAATGCATCAAAGGGCCCTTAAATTTGAACTTTTTGAACTCTTCTGACGAATTAGTAGGCTCAAACAACATTCTATTTTCTTTCAATATGGAATAATACAACGGCAAAGCCTTATCAAGCAGCAGCAGAAATTTTGACTTCTGCCACTTCGATTTGAGCGAATCAGTCATGCTGAGACGGAAAGAGTTCTGAGTACTACCGCCATACGCGTCATCTGTTAAAAAATCAGCATCCATAAGTGAAGAGTCACCCAGCAACCTACGTTGTTCAGTTATATTTTGTGCTAAATCGTTGAGCTGATTCAATTCATTGTAAAGTGCAATTATTAAAGTCTCAAGCTTCTTATCAACGTCGAGATGATATATATTAAGCTGTGTTGAGTTTATTTCTAATAGAATAGGCTTCCACGACCTCTTCCCATCGTTATAATGGTAAGGAGTTTTAAACTCAGTCTTCATCAACGCCATTCCATAGAAACCCACACTAGGAGCATAACCAGGAAGTTGCTCATCCTTATATACTGGTGGCAGTTCTGGGGTATTACTACTCATAGTAACTCTCGCAAGCCCTTTTATGGTTAGCACTTCTCGAGGGTTTAACAGTTATTTAGGATTTACTTGACGCGACGCAAATATGTTTCCCGTTTTCACTTTAGTTAGATGAAATGCTTAAGTACTGGCCCTTGAACTCACAAACTGTAATTCAAATTAATACTTGAAATTGTGGCAATAAGATTGTATTTGTATGACTAGATTGTAATCTTGACGTAAAACATCTGTTCCCCATTTTGATCATTCGGCACTCCTCTCGGATCGCCCGAAAAGTAAGTCGGACAGTAATATTACTCATGACGCATGGGAGGTATCTCGCAGGCTGTTATTTTAAAGATGCCACTACTATTTTTAGTGAGCAAATGGTACCTTGGAGACATGATCCCCCTAATTATTCCCGTGGGGAATGCTTTTTTAGTCGTAGCAAGTCTTGGCTGCTGCAGTGACCGTTGCAGAGTTGCGCTATTGCATTTAAGCGATGGCCCATCTGCATATCAATAACCAAGTTGCTGCGGCTTGAAAAAACTTGCTCTGAAGATCAATACTTGCTTACTAACAACGCTATTACATCATATATGCTCTACTTATTCCTAGCGATAAGACGGCAAATACAAAAAGCCTTTACTAAAGAGTAAGTTTTGAAGTTATAGATCTGAGATCGTATCTTGTCGGGTTTAAAGTTTATGCCAAGAGAGCGCCAAGATTTTACTGGAGGGCTTTTATTAAACATGAAGAAATTTCGAGGCTTTGAAGTATGTAATAGATCGAACACCGTCCAATACTAGACTAGCAAACGAAAGATATATTTTCCTGCAGTTTCAATGAGTGATAGTCGAAGTGTAAAGTCGGGGCCTATAACTCCATCATTTTTTTCGTTTACACAACACAACTTTTTTTTATGACTTTCGAGAACTTAGAAATTCGATGACGTTATCCACCAAGTCTTGCTTCTTATGACCTACCTTTATTGCATTAGGGTATCTTTTAGCAAATTCTTTTAACTGCAGTACTGTGAAGCTGTTCAAACTTTTAGACTTCCAGCCCTCAATGATAGCGCTCTCTGATATTGAATCCGTCTTTATCCTCTTTGGAGCCAGCTCCTCTGATAAGTTTGTGTTATAAGTTGTAGTTTCGTGCGCTGCAGCCAAGGCGTCTATGGACTCGTTTATGAGTCTAATTTGGCTAAGCTTTTGAGGATCTTTAGAGAGCTCACTTCGGATATCAGCAACTTTTCCCGCGGTAACATCATTTTCTTTCAATGCTTTCTCAGAAGCGGGAAGCTCTATTTGAAGTAGATTATGCTTTATGATTTTGTAAAAATAGTTCAAAGAAGGATTCGGAAACTCTCCAGGGTTAAAGCTTTCAAATAGATTAGAATCTATGAGATTATGAAAACCTTTGATTACTTTCTCGGGCACTTCAGACTTGCAGTAGTTTAAATCTGTAAGAAAATCATTGGGCAAAGAGCGTATATCTCCCAACCATGGCATTCTTATCAACAAAAATCCTTCTGGGAATTCTCTTTGATTTGGAACAGCCCTTGACGAAAATTCAATTCTTGTTGGATACAAAGCATATAAATTTGGTAAAGAATTTCTTTTGGTACAACCAAACACTATTACAAATTTCTTAAGTTCCACACAAGACTGATACAAGGAAGAGAAAGTGGTGAAAGAATTTTGGAACCCTCCGAGACTATTGCTAGATCTCAAACCATCATAAAGATCAGGAGTCACCAATATAGGAGGGCTGATATTATAGAAGGCTTGAAATCTGGAAACGTCGCGGAATCCTAGTAATTTTAGATAAGGAGGTTTACTAAAAGAGGGAACATCATTTTCTTCTTCATTGCTGCTCTCGCTATTATAATCTTCATCGCTGTCATCAATATTGGTGCTCTGCTTCATCTTCACTGTTTCAAGAACACCGGGATCGTGATCAAAAGTATAATTCTTCAAAAATCTTTGCTGCTGTGAATTGAGATATAGCACTCGACCTCCTGAGAGCTGAAAACCTTTCTTTATATTTGCAGAATCTTTTTTCTCAACTAATGGCTTTTCTAAGTCTTCATCTAAGCTGATCTCCTCATTGGTTTCTTGATCTTTTAGTACGGTATCCAAATGAACAGTCTTAGGGTGCTCGCCTTTGGTGTATATATGCTTGAACTTATTGACTTTGGATTGCAGGTATAATGCATAACCTTTCACAGAGCAACCAAGGCCCCTAGATTCCCCATCACCTAAATATAAATTACAAGAAAACATAATTCGTCTTACTTCTTTAAGTCTGAATATCGATGATCTTATTCTTCTCGATAACAATGTACTTTGAAACATGTAAGAATTCTTTGAAACACCCTGAAAAACATTGTCGCGGTATTCAGATCCTTGATGAGTGCTTTTCAAGTAATTTGTGTTAAGGAATATGTCTTGATAGAGCTTCATATTAAAGGGCTCCTTCTCTCTCTGGTTGGCATCCGTATATTTTTCCAAGAATATTGGCTTAATAAAATACCGTAGACTATCAAAATCATTGATAATTCTCCATAAGTTTTCTTTGGTTGAATTCTTTGTATAAGGCTTATCATTATTAGTGAACCATATTAACTTTTTGCTGTTATACTGTTTCTTTCTATTAAGCTCATCCATCATTTTATTCAATATGACTGGTAATTGCTCTGAATCTTTTGGAGGCTTATATATTATTTTTTTATCTATCGGACTAATGCCTCTTGCATCGTCCATAATAGCATCACTCAAGGTCTTCATATTTGGAACATTCATATCATTTAACGTGAATATACGAGTAAGACCAGGAATTTTTGTCTGTTTCGTCAAAGAGGATGACTCACAGTTATAAATGTAGATACCAATACCAGTCTGCGGCATGGTGATGATCAATTCTGACATCAAATCATTTATACTGGATAGAATCTCGAAAAGTTGAGATGTATAATTTAGTTCCTTTAATGGTAGCAACATTTCAGGAGAAAGCCCAATTAGAAAAACAATTCCATCATGTGTTTCAAACTGTTTGTATGACGGATCATCATCATTATTATCATCATCCTCATTGTATCTGTTATCCATTTTACCTAAACTAAATAAAAAAATGTGACTTGAAATTTATTTATTATTTCATGAATCATAAAAATCCGAGCTATGATATCTTTAGTAATTCTATAGAGTATGTTATTATGTCGATACACTTTATAATAGTCCTAAACAGACAGGGTAAGACGAGGCTAGCAAAGTGGTTCGATCAAACTACTACGTCGCAAGATAAGCAGCGGATTACTACGGAAGTTCATAGACTCATATCATCAAGAGACTCAAAATACCAGTCCAATTTTGTTGAATACAGGCAAAATAAGCTAGTTTACAGAAGATATGCTGGGTTATACTTCATTTCATCTATTGATATGACCGACAACGACTTAAGCTACTTAGAGTCATTGCATTTTATGGTAGAAATATTGGATACTTACTTCAATAACGTTTGCGAACTTGATCTAGTGTTTAATTTCTATAAACTCTATGTGATAATTGATGAAATATTCCTTGCAGGCGAAATACTGGAGATTTCGAAAGAGAAAGTACTAGATAGATTGGCCCTGTTAGATAAGTTAGATTAGACTACATAAATTTATGTAGAGGTTCATTAGTTAATGTATTCATCAGCTTTTTCGCAACAATATCCCATATCATTTGCTTGACTTCGTCAATTCCTTTTCCTTGGACATCCAAAATTATCACTGTATCATCTTCTTCCCATTTCAAGGTCAGAAAGAAACACTTTTTAACAATTTTTTGAAATTCTTCCTTTTCGTACCTCTCCTCGCCCCAGCCTTTCCTATTTCCCAATTCTGTTAAATCCAAAGTAAGGAATAAAGTCATGTCAGGTTTAGGTAGACCTCTGTCAGGAGCATAGAGCCAATCAACTTTAGACATCTCTGATTGGGAATCTTTATGGTAAAATTCCAGCTTTGCCAAAGAGTAGGCAATCCCAGAGTATATGTACCTATCTACAACAAGACTCACTCCATTGTTTAGTTCCTTGGTCATATTTTCTGCAACCTCCCATCGGTTAGCCAGAAACAACAAGTGTGCAGACTGGTCACTAAGGTTGAAATCTTCATTAGTCAAATATTCATCAATCACAGCTCCTATTTTGGTTGATCTCTCAGGAAACTTGATTACCTTGGCATTAGTGAGTTCCAGAGCCAATAAAGATGCTTGTGTCGACTTACCGGTCCTATCTAACCCCTCTATCAAGATGAGTCGTCCTCTTTCATGTCCCATGTCTGTGAATTTCTTAAACAAACTGTCTAAATTGTAGTCGCGTCGCTATTTACACCTATGAACCACACTACAAATTTCCATACCTATGTGGCCTTGTCAGCACGTTTTTAAATAACGGTTTTGAGATCTCAATAGTTAAAACATAAAGAGGGCAGACAAATACACATAATTTGGCTTCCAATCTTAGTTAAACCTTACAAGAAGGTTTTGTAACTGGTGTTTACCAGTAACATAGAGTAACTATACTAATTAGAATGCATATGTTCAGATTTAAGGGAACTAACCAGAAAGTTCCACATGTGTCGAAATCTATTATTCAATCAGATCGTATTACTTGAAGCTGAATTGTGGATAAAATAATTTACCTTTATTGAGCTTGGTTGATCAGAATACGAAAAAACTTAAAAATACAATGTCGCAAGGTTTTCGATTACCAAATGTCGTACGAGCGATACGACATGACCAAGAGTCGCTACTACTTGACGATTTTTTATTTCAACGAACAATCCCGTCTCCCACATGTCAACGCATCAATATACGCCTACAGAATCTGCAACTTGTATTTGACATTTGATTTCCTAGATAGTATCAAAAGAGAGATGCAAACGACTTTTATTACCTCAAAATTCTTTGGGGAATAAAAAATGAAAAATTGTTATACTTACCGTAGTGTTAAAAGAAAATTTTATATGCTTAGTAAAAATACGGACTACCTTTAAACAGTATACAAGGCAATAGTAACACCATGTCAGAGGCGTAAATACGCCTGCAGAATAAAAGTAAACTGCAATGTTCCAAACTGTGACTTAACCCTATTTAAATTATATTTAGGTTTCATCCGGTTACCATACATGTAGACACTGCCACCTTCTGAAAGTGGATTGCCCCCCCCTCCAGTGAGACATGCCCAAGAGACCGTAGAAGCATCCGTCCTGCCCTTCGAGCCTAGCGAAAGGCTCCAGGACAAATCGAGTGCAGGTAATGCAAGGTTATACCGCTTTTATTAAGCCCTACCGACTAAACCGACCCTGATCCCTTCTGGCGATCCTTCTCACTACCCATAGAAATTTTGCATTATATACAAAATTTACCTTGCTTTCAACTACTCTCGAGTTATTTAAAACACGTCAACAGCGAGCGGAAGAAATTTTTTAGGGAAAGCACTTGACAAACAATCAGAGACCCTTTTGGTATACATAGATGACCAGCATTCAGTTATTAACAAGTAAGTGTTGATTTTTTCGAGTAATTTTGGAAGGGGATGACACATCGTAACTTTATACTAACATATCCTCATAGTTGGATCTAATCCAAATTTGGTATTCTATGCCTGGAGGTTACAGGAAACGAAATCTGTGGAAGTGACGGTCGTAAATCCCAGTGTCAACTTTTCAGGTGGGGTCAACTTTGATTCTTCGATCTCAGGTAAGATCAACTTCAAACCTCAGAGTAGTTCCCAAAGTTTAGAGACAGTGGCACGGACAACGAAATATGACATCGTTATATTGAGTTGCGTATCTTTACAAGAGTTTCAAACATTGTGTAATGACTTGAAAGAGTATATTTCCGACGATACTCTCTTTGTTGTGGAGAGTACAGGATATGTAAATTTAGAACCATTTATTCAGCATAGTTATCCAAAAGCCAAAAATTTAAAGGTATGTGCAATAATGAATGAATTCGACGTCAGACAGTTAGATGAAAAAACCTTCCAGCAGAGAACACGAAGCAATGACTCTAGAATTTACTTTGGTACTTCTTTAAAGAGTTCGAATATAGCTAAGGCATCTAATTTTCAAAGAATGTATAAGTTACTTCAGTTGGTGCATGAGGACTCCTCGGAAAAAATAAGCTTGCTTAAGTCTGTTAATACTAAAGAATTCATGACATATCAGTGGAAATTGGCTCTTCCTAGGATTGTATTCAATCCTTTGTCTATAATTTTTGAGACTGAGTTTCCAGAATCCTTGTCGTCTCAAATTTTGTGCAAACCATTAATGACTGGAATCATCAATGAACTATTCAAAATAATCAAGAAGATGGACTGTAAATTGGTTAAAGGATACGAAAACGAAACAAACTTGCTAAAAAACTGGTCTAAGTGCTACCCTAAAACCACTAACAGTGATTCTTATATCGATTCACCTCAATTATTCTATGATTTCTATATGCAACATGAAGTTGAAGTTGATTTATTATTACTTCAACCTATATTATTAGCAGATGATCATGGTATAAGAACACCATATTTGGAAAACATATACTCAACGATGAGCCAGCTTCTCAAGATAAACAGTGCTGAATCAAAATCGATATTTTTTGAAAGAAAGCCTCGTGGCATTGACCGTGATCAGATTAAAAATACCTATGAAATGAAATTAAACCAGATAAGCATTATGGATTCTGACTTGGCAAAAAAACAAAGTGAAAAACAACAGTTGGAGGAGTACCTAAATGAGAAGAAGTATTCTAAAACTCAATTAGAAGATGAAATCTCGAGAATGAGAGTTGGATTAAATAACTTGAATTTGAATATGGAAAAAGGCAGATTGGATTACGAAGCTCAAATGAAGAGGAATGAGGATGCTCAACTTCAACACGAAAGACTACTTTACGAAGCTCAAGCCATCAGTAATGGTAATGGCAGTAAAAATGTAAACGAGGTGCAGAATGACATCGCCACACGTAACGGAAATGAAGAATTTCAGGGCCAAAGAATTGAACAGCCAATTCAAAATCAAGTTACCGATCCAGTTTATAATGGCGTGAAGCAGCGCGATGTCAGGAGTTCAGTCGTACCGGGTGATGATTTACATGATTTGGCCGATATTGCTTTGTATGGTGATACATTGAATGGTCAACAAGTCATTGCAGAGAATGAGGACGGGTCTAAGATGGGCCACAACAACAATTTCGGTAACCAGCCCCCGCAGAATTTCCAAGGACATAACCATCAGCCTTCATATTCTAATGGGCATGCGAATGCCAACGGTGATTTTTCTCAACAATTACGAGAGAAAGAACTAGAGTTACAAAGAAGAGAACAAGCACTCTACAATAAAGAAAGCATGCAAGGACAGGAGGGTGCAGCGTACGGCTCAGAATCCTTACAGTCTGGCTATTTTGATGCCTCTCAATATCAAAAAGGATCTAAGGGATATCCTCCACAAATCCAACCTCATTATCAACCTCAAGGCGTTAACGGATATTATCAGAATGGTATCGGTCCTTCGCCAATTGAGCAGCAACCTCCTCATGGTTTACCTTCTGGTGGTTTGCCACTTAATGGCTTACCCCTGAACTTGAGAGGACAACGTATGCAACCAATGAATTATCAGCCTAGAAGACAAAGCTCTTTTCCTTCAATTTATCATTTGGACTCACATGGACATGGCTATGGACAGCAACAATATCATTCTGCAAGTTTCCAAAATGCAGCACCCATTGATCCTTTAGTCGAACAAAGATTTAGAGCTAACCCGAAGAAGCTGAACCGTAGGTCGGCTTTTCCTCAAATGAATGGAAACATGGACGGTCTTGATATGGGTGGTAGAGGGGGAATGCCTATGCCAGGGTCACAGGGGAAACACAAAAATGGAAAAGTAAGACCTTCAGTAACGTCATCTGTAACAAGCCCAGTCTTGCTGCAAAAGAAAGACCCCACACCGCCCGGAAATGTGTCTCAATATCCTCAGCAGTTTCTACAACCTCCTGCAGTCCAAGGATCAAATGAATCCTCAAATTCATCTTCCAATTCAGCAACAAGTGGCGACACTCCAGTAACAGACCATGCGAATGAGGCTGCTGAAACGCAACAAGAAAGTATCCAGATAAATGTCCCCATAACAGAAAATTACAAACCACTTGGGAATATCTCGGAAGCAAATAAAGACGGTGAAAAACAAAAGAAGAAGAAGAAGAAGGGATTATTTAGTAGGAAGTGATATCTTACTCATACTCATATGTAAAAATGGCATACTTTATAGGCTGCAGTTCTAATAGTCGTTAACCTCTAAGTTTATATATTCATTGTAATGTATATATATATATACGAATATTTGACGTTTTGAATTTTTGTGACTCCGAGGGAAAATAAAAAGCGAATCATCATAGGTTCAAATAGCGAATTAGCGATTTGGTTATATGGAAAGCGAATAAAGACACAATGGTAGAAAAGAGAGCTTTTTATGAAGACGATGAGCTTATTATAAATAAGCCAGGCGTTAACGTCGAAATTTCGCCTGAATTAAAAAAGCAAGAATCTTCTCATGGTAATATTACCTTTGTAAAAGGCATGGGTATAAGGTCAACGCCATTCTTGGAAAAGTATTTCAATAAGCTTAGAAATTTTGTTTATGACAAAACTGTTATTTACAGAGCAGAAATTGAAACGCAAGCCTCTGCCCTTAAAAATGAAGTGAACTGCGTGGAAGATAAATTCAATCAAAATATCGTTGAGCCAGTGTTACCTAATTTGACTTACATTTTAACAGCCGCTTTAACAGGCTCTATATTAGTAAACAGAAGGAACTTTGCTCTTAGGTTCATCACGCCAATTGTTTTTGGTGTTTCAGCATTTCGCTATTATATGCCTTCATCCTTCAGAAACGTTTCTGATTCATACACAAGATACGAGGAGGCGAACCTTCCAAAACTATTCGAGCAACGGACAAAGCTAGTAGCCGGCATTAAAGAGAATAGGTTGATAGCTAAAGACAGAACACAAGACATCAAAATAAGTTTACAAAATTATATTCATGATGGAAGAGTCTATTTGTATAAACAATTAAAATAAGTGCTAAATGCATATGCTAACTTGTTATGATATTATATGTCGTGTAGACCATTGAAACGCCTCCAATCAAGACCAAGAAATAATCCAATATCCCTAGCCAAAACCTTTTCCTGTTCTCATAAGTTGTCAATTTCTGGTCAGGTTGACAGCAGCTCTTAAGATGTAAAATTGGGGGATACATGTAAACCAAGGGAATGCAAGCAAAACATCCGACAAACGATACAAATTTATCTAAATTTTGCCCCCCTACTATAGCGATCATGGCCGTCGAAATGACAAAGAAAAACCTAAAGAGGTTTTTTGTCCACTTAACTTTAAGTGAAAATTTTCCTGTTTCATTGAAAAGCTTAGATTCAATCAATCTGATAGCCGGAAATAATTGAATCGGGCTAGACAAGAGAATAGCAAACGAATATAAAAGCTGAATGATACTGACAAATATTGAGTCCTGTGGCAAGTTCAAGATAATGACAGTCTCTATCTTATCCCCGTATGTCATGTACCCTAAAGCCCCTATCGCGATAAATATGACAGATATGGTGACAATCACTTGAAACAAGACCTTAGGAAAATCTTTGGGATTTACCATTGAGTCCTGAATTGGTATAATTAATCCTATACCCTCAAATGCAAAAATTGCTGTTCCAATAAATAACGAAAAGTCCTTATTATTGAAAACAACATTAATTCCATCTCCTAAAGACCGCAATTCCAAAAGATCACCAATTATATAATAGATAATTGTAATTAAACCAATAAAGATGAATAAGTTGGCCAAAAGAGCCAGTAAGGAAAGCTTCGTAATATCTCTGATTAAAGACAACGGCAAAAGTATAATGACTTGCCAAAAAATGTACCAATTTGCATCATGCTTGTAATTAAATGCGTTTATAAAAAATGCCCTCAAATTTTCTGACGTGAACACAATATACGCAGCAACAAAACCAATTTGTGAAATGACGATTGATGATAGTATAAGCCTTTGTAACCACTTTCCATAAAGCTTGAGACCTATATCACCAAAGCTGGACACTCTGGTTGCCATTTTTGAGTAAGCCAAAACTAAATAGCACCAATAAGACAAGAATCCAAATACGAGTAAGACCACAACTGAAAAAATTAAACCACCATTGGAAAATGCTTTAGGCAAAAACAATACCCCAGTTCCAACAAAAGCCTTTAGCAATAAAAAATAAGCTTTAGTATTGGTGGCAGTTCCATGAGACCTGTTATATAACGGCAACGTTTCATCATCAAATACTGGCTTGTAGTGGCAAGCGATATCATCATCATCTTCTAAATCCTCACCTGCAAAATGTCCATAAATACTCAAGAATTCAACAAAGTTCTTAGTAAGAATATTTGGATTTCTATTTTGATATTTATTTCTCACGAAACTTCTTCTGAAACCACCAGGAACATTGAGAGAGCTAGCAGTAGAGCCACGTCTCCCCTGCTCCCAGTCTGTAGACGACAAACTTCTAGAGCGTCTAAGCAGGCGGCGATCTTGACCCAATCTATATAAATCTCTCGTTATATCTCCTCCCTCTAACTGTAATGAATCTTCATGGGGCAAGTGTTTGCTGACCTGTTGAATAACCTTCGGATCAGTGGCACTATAAGGGTAGTCCACCGTCTGGGCACCTTCTTCAATTAAGTTAGATGAAGTAGATGTATGTGATGCTGAATCGGCCTCATTTCCTGACTCATCTTTCTTTAAAAATGGAACATTACTCCCTATAGAATTTGAGAACTTGCTAGGAGATCTTGAAGTAATTGGAGAATTGGATAATGGGGATCTCGTTAACTTTGCGATGGATTTTCTCCTCGAGGAATCTTGAATGGTTTTGGGCAGAGACATACTAGGTTTAAGCTAGTAAAATGTCTAAATTCTCTATGGTCCCTAACAAAACAAAACAAATTTTTGATTTATATGATGCCATCCAGATAGAAGGAAAGTGTGCGAAGAGACATTTCTTATTTTTGTCAACATGACATAATCATCATAACTAACATACATGCTAAAACTATGCTTTATCTACTAACAAAGAAATTACATGAAACTATCACACCAATTTAGATGTAGCACCTGGATGGTGGAGTTCTTGAGCCTTGTCATACCATTCTTTTGGATCGCTTTTCACTATTCCTATTTCAGCCAAATAACCCATTTGAAAATATGCTTCCGGTATGTCAAATTCTTTAAGGGCCCTTTCACACCACATTTCAGCTTTCTTCGGGTCAGGTTTTGGAATGTATTTTGATTCTTTATTGGTGTCGACTAAGTACCATCTGCTCAAACCTAGCATTGCATCAGGATGTCTTTTGAAGGGCAAAGGAGAACACGAGGCTTTCAAGTACCAAACTATTGACTTGCTTGGATTCCGCTGCCTGTTTAAATCACCATATTCATATATAGTCCCCAACTTCACTTGAGCTAACAAGCAGTTCATTTTCGCTGCCTTGTTATAGCAAGTCAAGCTTCTACCATAATTAACAGGGGCCATTTCTAGGGCTCTTTGAACGAAAGGATCATCGCCCGTTAAATCACCTGGATAAACACCTTCATATATTTTTCCCAATTCATATGAAGCAAGTCCCACTACTTCCTGAAGTTCTTCTTGGTCTTCCTGGTCTAAATGTGCTTGTTTTGGCTCGATGTTTGAGAGTTGAGAGAGATATTTGAAGAACTTGAGAGATCGAACCTTCGACACATTTAAATATAATAAAGCTATCTTATAGATAGCTTTATTGTAGCCGATTTTGGCTGATGTCTTGTAATAGTCTAGAGCGGTGTCAAATTGTCCATCAAAATCGTATTCGTACTCGTAAAGTTCGCCAAGCTTATACAAGCTTTTGAAATCGCTTGAATTTAAATCGAGACATTTCTTAAAATATTCCTCAGCTAATGGAACATCCTTTTGAATGTTGTAATCCTGATAAAATTTGTTGACATAGTCATGTTTCAACAAACATGCATAGACGTAATATATCTCTACTGCAAGATCGTTTTCGATTTTATTAGATTCACAATCTCTTAACAATTTAGATATATGGTTCATAGCAGATTTGACGAACAATCCCTTGTTCATATTAGTTTTCTCAGTGAGTATTCTTTGGCCCTTAATATCAATGTATGAATAGAGCCTATAGTTGATAGCTTCCATTAACATTTTAGCCCATCTCAACCTATATTCGTAAGATTTCTTCCCGTCAGCAATTGCTTGACGAAGCTTTAGAAAATTGATAACCTTTTGGTTGCTTAGACTGTCATTTATCATCGCTGGCATAGATAATGGTGCTGGAAGTGGCTTTGAGCCCAAATCATACGAATTCATTTGATTGAACCCCAATGACATCCTTTTATCGTCAACAGTAGCAATACTTTGTCTATTTCTCTTGGTAAAATAGCCACTCACGCCATAGTTTGGACCCTGTCCAAAAGCCTGCGAATTTGGCAGGGGCTGTCCTTGATTCCATACCCCTAGAGGAGCCGCCATTGATGCTCTATTGGCGGTGTCCAATGCACTTGTTGAGTAAAAGCTTCTTGTCATTTTCTTTCGGCGTCTTTCTGCAACTTCAACATTTCTTTTTTGAGAATAATCAAAGAAATTAGGTACCGCAGTCGATTTCCTATTTCCAGAATTGTCTTCGAATGATTCAGCCGAGTCTACTTGAAATTTACTCGAAGATTCTCTCTCAATAAGATCGTTAGATGAACTTTTGGAGTTTGAATCTTGCGATCCCTTGATGTCTCCACTAGTTTCAGATCCCCTATCAGGAAGGATAGTATTATCTTCTTTTTCAGATTCAGGTTCTTCAAAAAAATATCTATTGTAGTCAGAAATATGTCTCTCTTCTGGGAGTTGTTCTAATTTAAGATCAGACAATCTATACGAAACAGACCCGACTCTCTCCTTATCAACTTCGACGGATTCATTAGATGCTCCGTAATAATCTTGCAAAAATGAACTGTTGTTACTTGAACCCTCTAGAGTCTTATCATTATTATCAGGCGAATTAAATCGATAAGTTGGTCCCGTTTCAGAGGCCGATTTGATATCTGGCTTAAAATTCACATCCAACGAGCTTACTCTACGGTTGGGATACCCGGATACTTCACTCTCCGATATCAGAGATGGAAGACTAGGATATCTCTTAGACTTTGCTGCCGAATGCCTGGTTTTTTGCAAGAGCTTACTTGCTTTATAAGAACTCTGTCTCAGATTGAACGAGCTGATGAAATCATTTTTCATAGATGGTCGGCGAGATATCTCTCTGCTCTCTACAGAAGAGCTTTGATTTGTTGATATCGACATGTCTGAAGACTGCCGGGTACCTCTTTGGCTCTGGTGACTATGGGAGAGGTTGGGAGCATAACCCGCGCGTGCAATTCCTCTGCACTGTGCTGGGTGCTCTATATTATCGGGGTAGGAGCTTCTTTGCGATATGCCTTGGTGTTGTTGTTGTTGCTGTTGTTGTTGCATTGCTAACTGGGCATAGTATTGCTTCCATTCCTCGTAGTAAGGATGTTGCTTTGCAGTTCTCAATTGGGACGATTCAGAAGTATATGAACAATCGTCGCTCTCGTCCTCTTCACTCTCATCTTCTTCGTCTTCGTCTTCGTCTTCTTCTTCCTCTTCACTCTCATCATCATCTTCTTCTACTTCTTCTTCATCTGCCTCGTCGTCCATACGTTGGCCATTCGGTACAACTTGGCTTCTCTTTAAGTCTGAATGTGAAACTTTGGCCCCATCCCATCTGGGAGTTGGTTGCATAGCTATCGAGTTTTCAGACAGAGGGAATCCATGCCCACCATATGCATATGTTTGATCAGCCTGTTTGCTTTTAATTTCCAGGAGTGGTCTAGCAGCGTTCGTATGTGGTGCTTGAGTCATCACCTTGGACAGATTAAGGTCAACAGGTTGGACTCGGAGAGGGACTTGAGGTCCATAGATAAATTGATTAGCTTCACCAACCTCGTAGTTCCTTGAAGCTCTTTCAAAGTTATGGGAGTCGTTAGATGTATACGATGACTCGGATCCCATGGGCAGAAATTCATTGCCATTCAGCGAAGAGTAAGATTTGGCACCTGGAGTATGTTTCATGGCCAATCCCTGCAGCTCTATACTGGGGTAATTGTAATTTCCAATTTCCTGAAAGATACTATCTTTTTCTAAGCCAAGTCTTAAGAACTGGGTTAGAAGTAGTATTTAAAAAAGTCTGAGCCACAATAGGTACGATGGAAAACTTCTATAGTTCAGCTCCGGTCAAGGTTCAAAATATAGTACAGTTCTTTTGCAGATTGTTCCTGAAATCCCTTTTGAAAATGCAAAGACCGAGTTGAATATATAAAGATACAGTTATATATGACACTGATGACCGCGATGCTCTTTACGCTTAATTACCTATATTATAATAGCTCAAGTTCTCAGCAGCAAAAATATTAATAGTCTCAAGAAGTTGCATTTCCGTTTTAGGAGTTTAAGAAAACAATATTTTTTTAGCATTCGCAAAAGCCCTCAGTTAACAGAATTCTTCGTTCCATCCAAATTTCAAGGGCCAAATTATTGATAGAACGGGCGAATTTTGGTCTGCCTACCCAATTGCAGCGACAAGCTCTTCTTGTTGATTTATCAGTCACACATTAACAGTGATGAAGAGAAATTTAGTATACTGTAACATAAAGGGCGAATGATCCGACTGTCACATGTGAGGTACACAACGTGGGCAGGACGTTAACAATTCACCATTTGGATTTCTATAACCAGCACCCCTTTCTATCTGATTTGATAAAGGGGCTATCTCTAATAAACGGAACCTGAAAATCTATTTTTAATGCTCATAACAAACTTTCAATATGCTGCTTTGTTTAAAGGGTCTTTTTTGCGAGAGACTTCGGAAATAACGGTAGGAGCAATAGTAAAAATGTAGTGAGGGACCGATCAGAAGATTTTATATTCGATAACCTCAGAATAGAATTCACACATTAAAACCACATATAATGATTATAAAAGGAAATGCGGTAACGTATACCGAGTTTGGAGAACTCAAGAAAGTTTTGTCGTTGACTCAATTCGAAATTGACTCTTCCAGTTTAAAACCGAATGAGTTTCTTTTGCAGGCAATTGCCACACCTATCAACCCATCTGATTTAGTTCAGATTCAAGGAACTTATCCGTCTCCTCCTACACCATATAATCTAGGAGGATCAACTGTATACATTGGAGGCAATGAAGGTGTTTTCAGAGTTATTGAAGTAGGAGCAGATGCTAAGAAAGTTTATAAAAAAGGTGATTGGGTTATACCTAAATTACCAAGTTTTGGGACTTGGAGAACGCATGCGTTAGTCGCAATTGAAGAAGATAAAAAGCCTCTTATAATAATATCTTCTGATGATGATGAAATGACAATTGAGCAAGCTGCAGTTATAGGTGTAAATCCTTGTACCGCGTATCAACTTATTCATAACTATATCAAAGACTGGAAAGATGGCGACTGGATCATTCAGAATTGCGGCAATTCTCAAGTCAGTAGATATTTGACGCAAATTGCTAGGTCGGAGAATATCAAAACAATTTCTATAGTAAGGAACAACAAGACAAAGAAACAAATCGATGAGTTATATAACTTGGGCGCAACCAAAGTCGTTAATGAAGAAGAGTTTTTGTCAGAAGATTTCAACAAGACATTGAAATCGTGGGTTGGAGACGGAAGGGTGAGGTTAGCTGCCAACAGTTTAGGTGGTCCTACGGTGTGGCCCTTAGTGAGAAGCTTGTCGCAAGACGGTTTTTTGGCAACATATGGGGCAATGTCGAGTCTTGAGATCAAGTATTCCTTAGTAGATCAGTTATTCAAGAATATTACGACTGTGGCATATTGGCTCTCTGCCAATAACAAAAAGGATCCAAGCTCGAAAACTAAGACAATCGAGGCTATCATTAAATTATACAGTGAGGGTATATTGAAAACGGAGGGGATCACAGAGCGGTCGTATGATAGTGATCAAAATTTGTTGAGTACTTTTTCGGATGCTATTGAAGCTTCAAGTAAAGGAAAGCAATTAATAATCTTCAAATGAAGTCCTATGAAGCAAATTTATTAATACATTAAATATATGCCATAAACTCTAAAGCCTTTTCAGTCAAAAGGCTCTGCTACCCAATAAAGAAAAAAATAATTATTATAGTAAAAATAAAAAATGCTACTACGTAAACGTCTTGTTTCTCTCACGCTTTGTTTGTTTATTGAAAACTGTTAAACATTAATGACCTCCCAATGATGTCGGTCCGAAGTCTAACCAATCCCAGGAATTGTTGTACTGATTGTTTGACTCAGCTCCATTTATATTATCTAAGACCGGCTGCTGGAGATCGTATAAAGTCTTTTGGTTGTTGTGATTGTGGTTACCTATGGTATAAGTTTCAGACTGAAATAAATTCATATTTAGTAACTTATCTATTTCATCTGTATTACCACCGTCTTTTCCATTTATGGGACTCAACTCATTACTAAAAATATTAGTATTTATATCACCAGGTTTATCTCCCTTGTAATAGCTTTGGCTAGTAGAATGACTGTTAAGATCGCCACGATTATTAACAAGCTTTGATATATTCGGAGAACCATCTATTCCTCCAGCTGATGGTGATATATTCAAAACCTCCCCATTAGAGGTATCAGTTTTACTTAAATCAGCAAATGAATTCACATTGCCGTTCAAAAAGGCCCTATCGCTCAGTTGTTTCAGGGTATTGAAGGGTCGCAAAACACCATGTAATTTGTAGAATAGCCCACATGCATTACACAAGAGATCACCATTGTTAGACTTCCTCCACAAAGGAGTTGTTCTAGTTTGACAGTTGGTGCATTGCAAGATCTTTTTGCTGGAATTTAACGGTGAATTCCCAGCTTTGCTTTTTGGTGGGGATTGATCCATAGCATAATCTTGCTTCAACGATGACTCTAACGAATTGATGTAAGTTGACAAAAAATTATTCCCATTATTATTCCCACTGTTCCCAGCGACATCCGTCTTGAGAAACGCACTCCCGTTATTGTTCGCCAGGATACTTGGAGTGTTCACGGATTTGATATTGCTGAAAAGTGACGAATTTTGAGAAGTCAAAGAATTAGAATTTGAGTCGGGGGAATTAAATTGATTGCCCATGTTCAATGGAGTTGTAGTAGCGTTGAGAGATATGCTATTTGTTTGACCATACTCTTCTTGACTAATCATACGTATATGGGCCACATAGTCGAATTCATCTAAGTTGGGATCATTTACCTTGTCAGCATATGAAGTGGAGCTAGGGAAACTACTTTGTTCATGTTCCTGACGGTATCTTTGATGCATCAACTTTTTATTCTGTATCCTCCATGCGAAGTTTGATATTCGCTGATTGTGAGGTAAATAGTTCTTCTTCTGATACATCTTGAATACTTCAATAGACGAGTTGTCCTTGTCATGCAACAAGTCAGATAGATTTACCGGCTCCTTAGCTTTCAACTTCCCTGTGCTACCATCCTTTGGATTGAGCTTAGAACGTATTCTCTTGTTGAATTTTAATGGTGGTGCCATCTACTTAATTCTCAAATTCGTGACTAGCTAATTCGTACTCTCTCTTTTAGATTATATCTTTCTTCTTTAACCACCGATGCTCAGTCACTATCTTTTGGTGCTGTTCTCTTGCCTCCCAGGATTTAATTATATCAATAATTATGAATCTTACCTTAGCGTCGAAGTCGTGTACGTCCATATTATCCTTAATAGCTTTCCTGATTCCGCCGCTTAATCGGTATGTACTGGGTGTGCGTTAACGGTTAAAGGCTCTTTTGCGGTCACAAATGCCGGTTCCCCATCCTGTTTTGGAGGCGTAGACCATGCCGGATCGTACATTGGGCGGTCAACTTGTTCGTGCTAAGGCTAAATACCTCTCCCTACTGATTGTTAGTTACAAAAACGGGCCGGTCGAGCAGGCGACCATGCAGATCTGAATAACCCGCAGAGCAACTATGCAAGTCTAAGTGGAGACGATCCAAAGCTTTGCTTGTACCCAGGCTTGAATTCCTAATTTGAAGGGATCGAGCTGTAGATCACGCACTACTCGCATTTAATACCCTCGCTTGCTTTCGTCTAGACTATAGATGGTGAGGGGAGGCCGCACATACTGTCATTCTGTTTAAAAAGTGAGAAATTAGGCATGCACGATTCCATGACATGTATTCTATCACATCAAAAGTAATAGTGCATTCTATATTGTAAAAGTTGCAAAACTATAGATAAAAAGATCACAGAAAACAGAGCTTCTTTTCAAGGACAGAGATCATACTTATTTCGTGCATTTAATATAAAACTATGGCAGATAAAGTAAAGGAGTTCAATCAGTATAACCTTCTCAAGTCCAAGTATCTAGGTTTGGGCAATCCAGACTCGGACCGCAGAGACTTCCTTAGCACTATGCATAGAGACACCTACGCTTCCTTGGCTCAGCATGACAGCTTGTTGCTCTACAATTCAGTGGCGTTGAATGAGAATCCAGAACTTCTTAGACAGAAGTTAATCAAAAAAATCGTGAATCCTATCAAAGTATCGTCACAAGAATAAAAATTCAGAAATCATTCATGAAGATTATAATTTCAATTTTCTCTAGCATAGCATATACAGATATATACTTATACTTATCAAAGGATGTTATAATTTTAGCTTTCTTCGATCAAAGGAGCACTTTCAACATCTGTTACTCCCCTCCTAGCGTAGGCACTGCCAGAAACAGCTGATACAAGACTGAAAACGAATAATAAACCTGCAATAACGAATGCAAAAATCCATTGCAAGGCAAATACTTTAGTGAAAAGCTGACCAAGGGCCAATCCAAACACCAAAATGGAAGAAGTAAGACCAACACCCCAATCATTGTAGATAAGAACGAAGAATCCTGGAACAAGTAAGAAATCCCAAATCAAGACATTAGAAACAACTCTTCCCACAAACTTATGGACATGGAACAAAACAGCACCGTTCCAAAATATAGCATAGAAAAGCCAAGATAATGGAAGAGCAGTGACTGGCATATGCACCAATAACCAACTGCTTAAAGGCTTAATTTCATAAGTTTTATGGCTGAAGTAAAGAGACAACACATTGAGGAAATTGATCAATAACACAACTTCACTGAAAAAGAAATGCTTCTTAGCAAACAAAAGTGACCAGATGAATGAAAGTAAGTTGAACATGGTAAAATGCCATCCAACGAGTTTCACGACATCTGCTCTTGCTCTCAGATTTTCCAAAGATGGAAGAAAGATCTGGGTGACAAACGATATAGCCATGAAGTAAAAGAGACCCCAGTAAACTAACGTAACAATAATGTTTGCAGTGAAAGGAGTATCTTTTACGTGAAATCCACCATGAGAATCATACGGTGTCCTACCTACAAGGTAGCGTACGTTTCCGTAAACCGATAAAGCCAAAGAAATAATTGTTGAGACCTTGTGGGTCTGAAGATCTTGCTCGGATGCCATTATTACTGAATTGATGGTTCAAATTGGTATGTTAAGCTAATAAAGGCGATTTTTCTTTTAATAAATTCAAGATTGCTCTTAGTTCAGCCAAAATTATTGCGAAATTCCAGATGCATCTTTTTGATCATTGCTTAATTACGGGATTCAGAGACATACATTTAGACTAAATAAGGTCAAAAAATAAAACGATTATTCACTGTCCAACCTACAATGAGGATTATACAGAAACTTAGTTTCTCAACAGGTACTACGAAAGCCAACAGTACCAACTTTGCCCGGTTTTTGCAAACTCGTTTGTTGGATGCTATCCAAGTCTTCCAATCCATTTGCGGCAAGCGAAAGCAAGACTTTGTATACAACATCTGCCTCTTCTTCAGCACTCTGAGCTTGTGTTCTAACAATGGAACGCGCATTCTCACAAGCACCAATTAAATATTCAGCAGTCGTGACACAGTCTTGCATGAGTTTATCTAATAAGTTCAAGCTCATTGAGTGACGAACAACAACCCTTAAAATCTCCTTTTCATGCTCATCTGGCGGCAAATGATAATTCGGAACTATGTATCCCTTGTTTCTCAATAAGAGTGAGAAAATAGATTGAGGAATCTCAGGATACTTATCTCTGACGGTCTTTGAGAATCGCCATGCAACGACTGGCAATCCTGGATAATATTTATGGGTATCAAGACCATGGAAATATTTACTGTCATCCACAATCTCCCGATCATATACTTCGCTAGGATTCTTGAGGGGTTTGTGAATAACAGACAAGACTTCAAAGTATGAAGATTTTTCCAAAAAGTTTGAAAACAACCTCGCATTGGAAAGACAACCTTGAAAAATCTTACAATACCCTTCTCTTCCGTAGGTCAAAAAATTGTAGTACTGATGGATTACTGGAAACCCTGCTCTTGAAAAATTCAATCCAAAAGTTTCTTCTTGTCCTCCTAAGTAGTCCAACGAAAACTTCAAGCTATCCGGAAGAACTTTTCCATTTCTCCAAATCACCCAACCTAAACCAGCTGTAGTTAAACCGTATTTATGTCCCGACGTATTAATTGAATCAACTCTATCAACCGCAAAGTCCCATTTCAAGTGAGGATATAAAAATGGTGCAACGAAACCACCAGAAGCTCCGTCAACATGAATTCTGACGTCAATTCCTCTCTCTTGTTCCACTTTGTCCAATATTTTTGCAATTTGTTCCACAGGCTCAAAAGCTCCAGTAAAAGTCGATCCTAATATAACAAATATTCCAATAGTATTTTCATCTACATTTTCAGCAATTTTTGTGGTATCAATTGTGTGACCTGATTCCTCGTCAATTCTAATTAGTCTGTTTTCAACGTCAAAGTATCTGGCAAACTTTTCTAAAGCAACTTGAACGCAAGATGCCATTATAATATTCGGATTTTCCGTCGACTTTCCTTTAGCTTTTTGCTTCTCCTGCCATCTTTTTTTTAAAGCCAAGCCCCCGAGCATAACAGCTTCAGAAGAGCCTGTAGTAGCAGTACCGATGCTATGAGTAACTCTCAGGCCATCGATCTCTGTGTAGGGGGCATGCCATAAGTTACTCAAGATAGACACGCATCTTTTCTGGAATTCGATCAATGAAGGATACTCGTCGTTATCAGCCAAATTCTTGACAATATTCTTAGTAATGAGCTTCAAGGGAGTTTCGTCAACATCAGTGTTAACGAAAGAGGCTAAATTCAAAGTAGGAATGCCATCTAAAGACAATTCTTCGGTCAAATAATCGTAAATCAAATCACTCGATGATGAATGTTCAGGAATCGTGTATTTCGGGACACTTTTGTTTGCGCTATAAGAATCGATATATTGTTCGTGCTGACTTAATGCAGTTTTCTTGCTTCTTTTCAATAACACTTCTTCTAGGTGTTCCGCATCCACATGTTTTGATAAGGTCATTGCGCTAAGAAGTTGAAGTTCTTTTGTTTCTTTTAAAGATTGTTAACAGCTGTCAAGTAATCTTTGACATTTCAAATCGGAGACCCTGAAACGGAACCTATCCCTTATATAGTATAGAGAAATTATCTGCCGGAAACGACTGTCGCAACCATTTTAGACACAAGTGGGAGCAGCAATCGTAGGCCTGCGGCTACCCTAGCCTCATTACTAAGAAGATACGAAAGTTTAGACAAAAACATAGCTACATTAATCAGTTTATATTGCAAATAGATACGTTGTAATTTCTTATTTGATTTATATCTTTTTTAAGGCTAATTGTATTCTTTCGTTAGTTTATGTCATTATGCATAATTCCTTGAGATTAAACAGCCAACAAAAGAATGGTTACTATTAACAAGTTATGAATGACAGGAAATAATTTGATTTTTAAGTAAAACTGTTTATTCTACGTCATCGAACTTTTGCCCTTCAACTAAATCAGGAATATTCTCATCACCGGGGGCATCACCTTTCAATTCACCTGGATTTTTACCAGCTTGGATCTGTTCAGCTAACTTCCTCAAGATTTCTAAGTTTTCAGCTCCAAGCTGAGGTAAAATTTGAGGAATCAATTGAGTAACATCTTTCTCTTGTGGGTAACCAGTAAAAGCAAAAGTGTTGTTGGCTGCTGCTCCTTGAACACCAACCCTATTGAAATGCAAGACCTTGCCATCCTCTCTGAAGAAGTTCGCTTCCTCAATGCCATCGATCTTCGTAGCCTTCAATTTTCCTAAAGTTTCCATCAATTTGACATCATCCTGTTCACTCTTAGAACCTTTTTTAGTCTTGACTCTTGATCCACCAACTTTCTTTGCTGTAGCCTTTTGCAACTTTGCTAACTTTTCTGGATCAACAGGCATATTGCTCAATCTATCTCTTGTATTCAATTATCAATTCTCAAGAAGTGTAGAATAGAGGTTGAAAAATCGTCGACAATTCGAACCCGACAACACAATCCAAACCAGGCACGACCAAAAATTTTTACCTTAGATTTCTGCTTAGCACGTGATAACTCCTTTATGCTAAATATGTGATTCTTTGATCTTTCCTACATTTTTATAATATCCAGATTGAGGTAGTTTATTGTAGCTTCGTTGTACCAAACGATAGAGGTTTGGTGAACTTTTTATATGAATGCTTAAACTCGGCTAGATTCTCTGGAAACAATTTGCCATAGCATATTGGTTTACCTAGTTGCAGATTCAAGAATAAAAGGAGCTCACGTGCCAAGAGACTATATCAAGACTTATCGGTTCAAGTTTGCCATTATTTAATTGCCAGATATAGGGACCAGTTAATATACCTTAGATTTCAATGGATTCTATAAATAGAAGGATTAAAAGCTTGAATAGATTTCTTCCGCAAACAAATCCGTGGCTCATCTTGATGGCGTCTGTGCCTGTGGCACTTGCAACTGGAACTCTCTTCGTTTATTCGGTTTATGCAACTCAATTAGCTGAAAAATGCCACTTAGACACTTCACAAACAGCCAACTTAAATATCAGCTCAACAATAGGTACAGCTGTAGGAGGAATTATGAGCGGATTGATAGCTGACGCTTACGGGAGCCAAATTCCTATGTTGTTTAGCTGTTTCTCCTTGACATTAGGTTACAATTGGCTCTACCATTTGTTCGAACTTGGTTCTCTGGCTAATTTACTTGCATTAGAGAGTGCAATGTTTTTTGTTGGTTTTGGGTCTTCTTCTGGATACTTTAGCTCATTGAAAGCGGTTACCGTTAGCTTTCCAGAGTTTAAGGGATCCGCTCAAAGCATTACCATAGCATCGTTTGCCATATCTAGTTTAATTTTTCTGAATATAGCTACAAGGATATTTAAAGGTGACGTTGCAGGTTTTTTATTTTTCCTAAGCATTATATCTGGAGTCACTACTATGACTGGTTTTGTTTTCGTTAGATTCAATGGCCATCTCGATGAGACAGGAGAACACTTAAGTCTAATAGAGGAAGCTCGAGAAGAGTTAGAGATTATCAATTCGTCCTCACGCAACGATTTGAGGAATATGGATATAAATGGATCGGTCTGTCATCCTATTTTTTGGTACCATTATTTTATCTTTACTTTCATTCAAGGGTTCGGCCAGATGTATATATATTCTATTGGATTTATCTTGAAAGCCATTAATCGTTACTATTCAGATGAGTTTGACGCATTATCATTGGGTGGTTTGCAAGCGCTACATGTGTCGTTGATCGCCGTGTCTTCTTTTGCTGGTCGTCTCTCTGCTGGTCCCCTGTCTGATTTTTTTGTGAGAAAACTTAAATGTCAAAGACACTGGATTTTGATATTGGGAGTAAGCATTATGTTTGTGGGGCATTTCTTGATTCTGAGATCTATCAACAAAACAGCTGGCAATCTACATGAGGCTAATACATATTTACTGATATCTTCTGTTCTCATAGGATATGCTTATGGATTTTCTTTTACAGGATTTCCAGCAATTATATCTGACATTTTTAACATGAAAAATTATAGCTTTATATGGGGGTTAATGTATTCAAGTACAATATTTGGCTTGACTTTAATGACAAAATTATTCGGCATTGTCTATGACTCTAATAGCGGAGAGCATGATGGGGAATATGTCTGTACCAAAGGTTCTGAATGTTACAATTATACATTCAAAATCACTTCTTACTTATGTTTGTTTGTCATCATCTTGCTATTAGGATATATTTGGAAGCATTCTCTAGCACACCATCGATAGACGTTAACAACAAAGAACACATGAAAACAAGAACAATTGATAGAATCTCTATTTATTAAATTTTTATTACCAATACCATAATATTTTTCTAAAATTTGATTGTATTTGTACTAATTCAACTAAGTATGTTGAAGTACTATGACTGAATTCTCTAGCACTTAAACTTTAAAATGTTCTACTAGCATCTAGTACCATTACATCTTATTTAAAACCTAGACTAAATGCAATTATGACGAAGTAGTATGTAACGAAACAATGTGTTTTGGCTATTGTTGATGCTGTTTTTAGCACCTTTTAGTTTGCAGACAAGAGTGTTGCGAAACTCTTTCTTTAACTTAAGTGTAGAAAAACTTAGGGTAATTTATATATTGTAATCATGTCTGATAGACCAAAAGCTGTAGAAGACATTATAAATGAAAGTACAAATATCCGAAGTATATCTAAGCCTACTTATTTATCGAAAAGAAAAAGGCAGAAGTTAGCTCTTTTGAAAGAAGATGATGCTAGGAAAAAAGTATCAAGAATAGAGCAAATTAACTCTAAAGTTAAACGGGTGCCACCTGATGAGAAAGAACCTTCCAGAGAAGAAAAAAGAGAAAAAACTAATGGACGAGACAAGAGAAGCGCTAAAACTTTCAATTTTGAGTGGGATGAAAATGACGACACTTCTGTTGATTACCAGCCACTAGTAACGATTCCTAATTTGAACTCGAATGTAGGGCTTCTTGAAAAGCATTGGTCAGAAAAGCCAATTCATGAAATGACGCCGAGAGATTGGAGAATATTTAAGGATGATTATAACATAATCTCGAAAGGTGGTGATATTCCTCATGCTTTACGATATTGGGAAGAAGCAGAGATTCCTCCAGAATTGTTGGGGGTGGTTATCAAACTTTATAATGAGCCAACCCCAATTCAGAGAGCTACAATACCTTTGGCGTTGCTGCAGAGGGATACGGTTGGTGTAGCAGAAACTGGGTCAGGAAAAACTTTAGCATATCTTATTCCCTTGTTGGCGTATGTACTAAATACAGATTCTGATTACCTTAAGTTTGAGCATCACCAAAATGACCATAACAAACCTCTTGGTCTTATATTAGCACCTACTCGAGAGCTTGCGTTACAAGTTACGTCAGAAGCTCGTAAATTTTGCGAAAAGTTCAATTTGACTGTAGTTAGTATTATCGGTGGACATCAGTTCGAAGAAACTATTCATTCGATAAGGGATGGAGTCCATATAATAGTTGCAACACCAGGGCGCTTGATAGATTCCATCGAACGTAGCATTATCAGCTTGGACAAATGCTATTTTTTTATAATGGATGAGGCAGACAAGATGATTGACATGGGGTTTGAAAAATCATTGCAATCTATAATGAACTATTTACCTGACGATGACCATTTGAAAACTACCATTGATCTGAAATTATTTCATATAAAAAAGAGAATTACCTTAATGTTCACAGCAACTATATCACCTCCTATCGAACGGCTAACTCAAAAATACCTCAAGAATCCGGGATATTTGTTTATCGGAAGCGCTGGAGAAGCTGTGGATAAAATAGACCAGCAGTTTGAATATATAGCGAAGAAAAACAATGAGAAGAATGAGCTCGATTCAGATCGATTCACAAGAATACTTTTTCACTTGAAAAAGCATAAGAAAAATGATAAAGATTATTCTATCATTATATTTGCGAACTATAAAGCTACTTGCGAGCAATTGGCATACGAACTTTCCAAAGAAGGATTTAAAAATACGGTGATTCACGGTTCCAAATCACAGGAGGCCCGAGAAAAAGCTTTAACGGAATTTCGTACTCATCAAGCAAGAATTTTGATAGCTACGGACGTTGCTGCTAGAGGAATTGATGTTCCAAATGTATCTTTGGTAATTAACTTCCAAATGCCAAAAAAATTTGATGAATATATCCACAGAATTGGAAGAACTGGAAGAGCAGGCAGAGAGGGAACGAGTCTCACCTTGATAGATGAGTCTGATTCCGATATTTTTCTAGACTTGAAAAGATTTTTATCAAGGAGTGGTAAGAAGTGCCCCAAATGGCTCTTACAACTTTCACAAGAAAGACACGTAAGGGATTAAAGTCAAAATGGATTAATCTTCATCGCTACTTTCATAGCCCAAAATTGTGGATAAGTTTTGGGTTTTCAGCTTTGGTGGCTCTCTTAATTGCTCCAATGATCTCATTGCGATAGGATGAAAAAAAGAACTTTGAGACGATGAATCTTCGATTTTTTTTGGTGATAAATCGATCTCTTCTTCGTCTTTAGATTCCACTTCCTCCACAGTGACATCACTTATGGTGTTTGAAGAAGAATTAGTTTTCCTTCTTTTCTCCGATTTATCCAACAAGTTTTTGACTGTATTGATCGCAAGCTCTTCTAATCGCCGCTTTTCTTGTTTCTGAGCCTCTGGATTTGGGTCTTCGCTTGCCCACCTTACACTTAAAACTTCATTATCATCAAGTGATTGGTTAAGCATAGCTTCTTTGGCGAACTGTGCTTCTGTTTCTAACCGGAAAGTAACGAAAGCGCATCCTTTACTGTACAAAACTCTAATTTTATCTATAGAACCAAACTCTTGAAAATGTTTAGTTAAAATGTTTTCGATATTTTTACTCATGTGTATGCCTCCAATATATAATGTTCGATTAGATCTATTAAATGAGCCCACACCTGACATGTCATCCTTGTAATCCGCTGTTTTATCTCTGCCGAAACAATCTTGTGTGGGTGGATAATAGTCCTTATCGGAGGGAAGTCGATGAAGATAAGAACACTTTTTACCTAGATAACAACATCCTCGAGCAAAGAATAAGCATATAGGGCTTTTATAACTTGCCTTCGTATATCCAGAATCCTCTTTAATATTCACTCTAAATTTCAGTTTAGAATACGACTTTGATGAGTCGCCACCAGACCATTGTAAGAACCATATATTAAACACCGTTCCTGTCTGTGGCGGCTTGTCATCATCTGATATCGTATCAGGATCAACCTGAAGTCGTGCCGGCTTTTCTTGTATCGTTCTCAGCATACAACACCCATCTACTTTAAATTCTTTTAAAAACTGACATATGTAGCTATTAAATATTTTTCTTCAATACAGGACCGATTTCTTAAAAAGAGAAAACTTATCATTCAGATACTTAAAAGCTATACATTAATTCATAGACCCTTTGTAGAAGCCCGCATTCTATATAAATCACATAATGTTGAAAAGGAAACTAAAACCAACAATTCCTGCAACAGCTGCTGCCCTCTTCCATGATCCGATTTCAATGTTGGCAGGAGAGGAGCCTGATGATGATGATGATGATGACGATGAATCTGAGCTGGATCCTGAACCAGAACCCGAACTAGAACCTGATTCTTCAGTAGAACCTCCTGAACTAGATCCGCTACCAGTAGCCTCGGAACCGGAACCAGTGGCATCAGAAGCTCCAGCAAGTGCGGAGGAGACATCGAGTATAGCGGAGCTTGCTGTTTCAGCTCCAGTTTCAGCACCAGAAGCTACTTCTGAAGTGAGAGATCCTAATGCTCCACCACCGCTTTCAGAAGCTTCTGAAGCAATACCCTCAGCAGCTGAGGTAGCAGCACCTGCCAATGATTCAGCTCCACTGGCTGCGGTAGCAGCAGCACCAGAGCCTGCAGAAGCTGCTGCGGAAACAGCGAAATTAATTGCGTTAAGACCTGCCATATTAATTTGTTATTTTATTGATTCAAAATATATGTTCAGTAATCAGTTCAATCACTAATGATGAGATTGAAATTTAATATAGTAGAAGACATGGAATACTTAAATAGTGTTCGAGTATTGCTACTCTCACAGCCATGAAGAAGGATATAATAGAATTACTCTGGGGTTCATGATCTCACATGTAAACAGTAAGCTGGATAGTCTGCTGCTCATGAGCACTCCTGCGTCAAAACAATTGCGGCCGAGTTTTAGTATACTGACAGCCAGCCATTTAGAGTATATGGGGCTATGAAGTCGTTTACAGGCTAATAAAAGGTACCTCGATGGTATCAGTGATCAAAATCACTTGTTTACCGAGCGTATCCGTATGCACTACATGGCTTGCAGTAAGCGAAAGGGTTGCTCTTTTTTAACGTAGTAAGACGAGTTTCAACTGTGTTCAGTCTTCAAACCCGTTCCTTAATATACTGTGGTTCACTGAATCCTTTGATTTGTCCTAAAGCGTTAATAAAATAAGTTTCGAGGAAAAAGGCTTTTGAGCAATGCCACTTAGAACCTCTATACTGTGGAGAAGATCAGCAAACACGCGAGCCTAAGTTGCTCAATAGATTCAGCTTCAGGAAAGGCGCAGACGCTTCCTATCTATTTTTATCACTTCCTAACTTTTACTCAGCTAACTATGAAAGGGCTGCTATATACTTGACGCTAAAGTAAAAATCCTTGAAAAGAGCTCTGAATCTAGAGTTTCAGATCAAGTACAAAGATATTATTCTCCAAATGTAGAAAATGCCACGAAAAATGGGTAGATATTTTAGTGGAAGAACATTCGAAAGTTCATTTTTGTGATTACTATGGAATGCAACACGGTCAGTTTTCTATTCGACTCGTATCTTGATCAAGCAAGCACTCCTTTGGTGAGAATTAAGATCGTGAACAACTGACCTAGATCTAGACCCTAAATCAAACGATCTAAGTTCTGAAACAGTATGTGGACCGAGTTCTAATTTTCCTACGAAACATTGTACCTATTCTACATCTCAAAAACATTTAACAATATTAGTATGTATCAATTTTAACTTAAAAAAACACGCCAACTTTGAGGATAAGCTCACAAATCAGCATCATCTTCATCTGGCAATGGCAAAGCGGTAGCTTGTTCCATTTCTTGTTGATATTTGTGCATCAAGTCAGCGTCGACTTGAACTTCAGGTGGTGCCAAAGCTGGGGAGGCAACAAATTCTAATTGTGGGTTACCTACTAATTTTCTGGCAAGCCATAAGAAAGGCTTTTCGAAATTATAGTTGGACTTTGCGGAAATGTCATAGTATTGCAAGTTCTTCTTTCTATGGAATGTAATTGTCTTTGCCTTGACTTTACGCTCTTTGACATCAACCTTATTACCGCACAAGACGATTGGAATGTTCTCACATACTCTTACCAAATCTCTATGCCAATTAGGAACGTTCTTATAAGTAATCCTAGACGTGACATCAAACATGATAATACCACATTGACCGTTAATATAATAACCATCCCTTAAACCACCAAACTTTTCCTGACCGGCGGTATCCCAAACATCGAATCTCAATTCACCATAATTTGTGTGAAATCCTAGAGGGTGAACCTCGACACCTAAGGTGGCAATATATTTTTTCTCGAACTCCCCCGTCAAATGTCTCTTAACAAAAGTAGTCTTACCGGTACCACCGTCTCCGACTAAAACAAGCTTGAAAGTTGGTACTTCTTGTGCCATTCTTGATCTACTGCTTGAATGGAAATAGATTGATTGATTGATCTATGAGTGTGCAAATGCTGACCTGTAAATCCAAGGATGCGTTGCGCTGATTTAATTTACAGTCTCTGAGGGAAGAAAAATTGTTGGTGAGATTTTGCGAAGCCCGTCTGCGTGCGCGGGCAACAGAGACAGAATACTAGAGAAACTTCAAAAGAAAAATTTTAAAAGATATATTATGTCAGCATTCGTCACCATGGTGAATGCGACTATAAAACTGACAATTAATAACAAGCTCTAATTTTGTCACGTGGTAATAAAATCAGACACTCTTCTCTCTCCTCACAGACAAAACTTGTGAAATTCCAATTTTTGAGAAAGACTTTAGAGAGTGTCCGGAAGTGATGCGCTTGCTCATAAGGAAGCAGACCGGTTAAAGACGGTCACACCGAAAATCGCATTAGAGAAAAAGGTAATTTGTAGACTTATGCTCGCAGTTATTGCTACGCCCGATAGGGCAGGAGGTGCAGTTCGCGTTGTACTCGACCGTGTGTTGTTGATAAGTCCTGGCCCAGAGCGTATAAGAGTTAAAAAGCCTAACGCGAAGCCCTTGCTCCTGGATCACGGACGGATCCTACAACTGGTGCAATGCAACTGAAGGGTGAAAGCGACAGAAAGACTACCAAGGGTAATTTGTAAAAACACGTCTCTCCTCGCGACAGTTCCAATCCAGGTAACAGTAGCATGACAATAGTTATAAAAGTAATGCTTCAGGTAAGGGCAGCTAAATTTGGCTTCTAACATCGCTTTTGTATGTCTTCTCTTATAGCCAGTCTTGCTCTTTTGTGCCTCTCTCGCGGAATGCGGCTAAGGCAGTGATTAAAAAATGTCAAAATCGTAACTAACTCTCTCTGGGTCGAAGAAGGTTTTCGAGACTTCGCTCTTTAGCGGGTAAATTTTTCTGCAATTGAATTAAGTGTAAGAACTCTAAGGCACGCTGTGAATTAATAGTTGATCGAAAGACATAACAGGACTAGAGTTTTATAGTCTGATAGGCACTCCTAAAGAAGCTCAGGCAATCAGCTGATAAGTGGCGGACCTCGTTCACTAAAGAATAATAAAGAAAGCGTGAATACCTGCAACAGGCAAGGTAAACTAAATTAACAGCATAAGAGTTGGAAAACGCCAAATTATCTAGCTAGGAGGGATAAGAGAAGCAAATCTTTTCAGGTGTTCTACACTCGCTATTTCAGTAATTGTTACGTTCGTTCATACTGCTTTAAGGACTGGCTTCTAAATTTAACTTGACTTTGCAATAACGGAATATCAAGATCTTCATCTGCAATTAAGATTTAATTTTTAAGAAAAGTATCCGTGAAAGATAACTTGAAGAATGTATCCACATTATCAACAGAATGTATATTATGGACATCCTGATCCAAGATATTTTCTGTCGCATGAGTTGACTAGTCAGCCTTTGACTCCAATAGATCTCGCATACAGTCATTCTATGTTACCTTCCAATTTGTTGATGAATTCGCCATATCAAAGGCAATACATGCCACCCCAGGGATCATTTTTTTATCCTCCAAATCCAACTCCGAACATGGCTTCTCCATCCCTGTCTCCTTACTTGACACAACTAAGTTCCAATAGTAACTTGGATCAATTGAATTTATCACGGACTATTATACTCAAAAATTTATCTAACGATCTTACCCTCAATGAGTTACTCGATGAAATTGACTACGGTCCTATCGAATATTGTAAAATGTTTTCAAAGCCAGCTCCTTCCCATATGAAAGATGTGGATAATCTCAAATGCTGCTACATATCATTTATCAACTCGAAGGTTGCAGTAAGCTTTCAATTGAAGTACGCGAAGAACCTACATAATTTAACGAAGTTGAAAGAGAAGCTCAAAAATTCAAAATACTTGAAAATATCGCTAAATGATCCTAATGCTAACAATTCCTCGAGCATTAATAAACAAGATTATATCAAGTTGAAAACTTTGAATTATATTATGGAGTTGAATGCAACTAGATGCCTTGTTGTCAAAGCTTGTTTGAGTTCTAGCTCATTGTTCCAACAACTTGATAATGATATACTTGAAAAGTGTAGAAACTATGGTGAAGTTGAAGACTACAGAAAGTATTTTAATGAAGAAAAACTGGAAGTGAAGGTGATAGTGCATTTTACATCAATTGATGCTTCTATTAAAACTTACGAATATTTTTTAAAAAAAATACAAAGCGATAAACAGGATCAGATTGACCAAGAAGGAGCAGAACCTCATGAAAGCATCAAATTCGAACATGTCTCTTTCCACAAAGATAGATGCGACAGAACTATTATTGACAAGATTAAACCTCATTCTCTTCTGGTTCAAAAAAACGAACAGCTAAATAATCTAGTAGCTAGAGATCAAAAATTGGCTACAATTGAAAAGAGCGATGAGGATTCACTCAATAGAGCTTTAGAGAATAATGAATCATTAAGAAGCACGTTGGTATCGAACAAAATTGATGATTCAGAAGTAACTACTAGCAACGATAATATAATTCCACTGGATATATCATGTTCGAGTAGCACGTCGCCGATAGTGGATTCTGCTAATGTTTCATTTACATCACTAAAACAGAATGGTCATCATTCCGGAAACTTGACGCCGTCTATGACACCACATATGAGGCTTCATGCCCATGGAGGTCAACTACCGCCAACGGCACCATCACCATCGTACCAAATAAATCCTGATCCTTTTAATATTGGAAATCGTGCGATTTATTTGGGAAACTTACATCCAAACACTACTGTTGAAGAAATTGCAAACAATGTTCGAGCTGGTGGCTTAGTTGAATCCATTAAATTTCATCCTGACAAGAGAGTTTGCTTCATAACTTTCATTGATCCGACTGTTGCTTTGAAGTTTTATGTTAACCATCAAGTGTTGCATCAATTGATAATACATGGTTACGATATCACGGTTGGGTGGGCAAAGAATCACTCAGGACCACTAAGCAGAGATATTTCCTTAGCTGTCACTGCGGGTGCATCCAGAAATGTATACATTGGCATTAAAATAAATAAAGAAGTGAATCCTGAAGAGAAGTTACAGCTACCTAGTGATCAAGAGTTGAGACATGATTTCAGCCGTTTTGGGGAGATAGAACAAATAAACTTTTATCACAATAAGGACTGCGGATTTTTGAACTTTTTGAATATTCTGGATGCGATCAAATTGGTGGAATTGTTTGAAACAGATTCTATTGCAACAATAAATCGAATCGTGAAAGACGACGGTGCGTTCTACAACAAGTATAAGAATTACAAAATAAGTTTCGCCAAAGACAGATGCGGTAATCCCCCTAAATTCAGCTTCAGAAAGCGTCCTGCAAACCTTGGGAGGAAATCAAGTAAAGATGAAGAGAGAGAACAGAGGACATCGAGCTCCAAGCCTAGTGGCCCTATGTCGGAAGAAGCCGCAATGGTATTTGGCATCATTAGTAACGGTGAAAATAACGAGGAGCTTAGTGAAGACGCTGTGAGCACAGCACAGACTCAACTGTCCTTAGACAAACCTTCCTCTGCTGAGGCTTCTTTCAAAACAGAAGAAGTTTGTTTTAAAGATGACGACATAAGAACAAGTAAAGAGGGTTTGAAAAAGGAAAATATTAGCTCTATTGATCGTGTGAATTATCTGACAAAGAAAAAAGATGTTAAGAAAGATAAGGAGGGACATCATATTGAAGATCAAAGGGAAGGAAAGTGTGACAAAGAAGGTTTCAGCTGTGACAAAGAAGGTTTCAGCGATCATGAAGATACTGATACAGATAAAAAGGATAAAAATATTGACGGTAGTGATCTTGATGGCGAGGAAGAAGAAGAAGAAGAAGAAGAAGATGATGATGATGATGATGATAACATTTCTATCATCATTGAATCAGATGGAACAACGTCTACCAATACCCCAAATCACTTTAAAAGGGGGACTAGAAAGGTATATCATAATAAATTCAACTCCACTGAGTCTTTTGGCCCGATAAGAAATTCATCTAGGGCATCTTCGAGTAGCTCAGCATCAAATTATATGAAACATCATCATTCTCAACTTAATTATGGCTCACCTTTCTCCCAGCAGCAGCAACTTTACTTTAATCATCGGGGAGGAGTGAGAGCACATCCTCAAGCTGCACCAATGTATGCAAATGGATATGCAAATAACTATTATATGCAATACCCACAAGTTCCTCCTCCGCCTTTTCCTCTTAACTCAATGAAGAATCAGTATTCGAGTTCTGGATCTCAAGTAATGGCTCAATATCTTGCGAAATCTCAGCACGATAATTTGTACTATGCTGCAAGTATATTATCCAATGATGTTGAAGATGAGTATGATAGTGATTATATACAAAGACCCCGCTATTCAAGATCCAACTCCAGAAGGTAGTATGAAATATTTTAACAAAAATGATAAATACATTAGCGCTTAAATAAAACAAAGCAACGAAACTATTTACACCGGATCTATAAATATGGAGCCATATGTACCTATTAAAGAACATATGAAAGAAATCGCTGCGCCAGTGCGAAAGAAAAACTTTTGATAAGATGTCAATTCATCCTCAAAGATGCTGGAGTAGAATAGTAAAGGAAGAGTCAAACAAATAGTGAAACATATCGCACTTCCCAACAAAGAAACGACTTGTCCAAAAGATGTGAATATGACAGATATAATAAAAATAAATGTACAAAAGATTATTCTGCTTACTATCCTTTTGAAACCAAATATCTCTTTTCTTTTTCCGTATTCTACCAATGATTCTGATAATCCAAAATAGCTCTCGTATACTGTAATTAAAGGTTTTGCTATTAGAGGCAACTTCGAAATGGGCAATAAGCCCATAAAGACACATATCAAAGGACTTATTAATTTCGGATATCCTTTATTTGTCATGAGATTGCTTGTAATGGAATCTTGACAATCGTCTCCAAACATTAAATATCCTGCAAAAGACAAAAAGAAATCTAAATCAAATGCTGTAAAGAATGTCACATTGCAACATATCTCAAAACGAGATGGATGAACCATGTCTCTGTAAAATTCAGGAAAAACAGGATGTCCACCCCATGGCGATAAAAAAATTCCAAAGCTTAAAAATACGTTCTTGTATTCAGTAGGAAAAAGCCTTGTAGTAACAGGAGAAAGTAAAGATCCTGGACCAGCTGTCGTCAGCAAGCCACAAACGATCACGATAATTAGAATGGATGATGTGCATACTATTCCTAGCAAGCTGAATAATGACAACACCGATAAAGGTAAGAAAGACAAGACGAAAACTATTGACACAATCAAACATTTGAAGACGATCACCGATAACGATGGGAAAAAAATGTTAAAGGAGTTACTGAATAAGATAATCATTGATATCATTGCTCCCATCAAATCCAACGAAAAAAATAAAGTAACTATTGCTTCAATTGAACTTCCCCCATATAGACGTGCAATGTCACCATAGCTTTTCAAGTTTGGATGCTTCTTCAAAATTCGTCCTAATATTTTTGCAGTAAAACTCGTTGTGAAAGCAATGACTACTAACAGCACAGAGCTTACTATCCACCCGGATAGTTTGAATGCGAATGGTAATGAGAGCATCCCGACACCCATTAACGTATTGACCGAGTTAAATATGGTGTGAGGTACCGTCGAAGACCCATATGCTGATATTTGTGTCTTAACAGATGCCTCATCCTCCAAAAGACGACTCTCCTCATTATGAGGAAATGTGAAAGAACTTATATGGTCATAACCATGATTAGGTTGCAGCTCGCCAGCTAGGTGGACATCAATTGTTGGCGAATCCACTGCCTCCAAACGAGGTGATGTATTTGGAGAAACATCATCAAATTCGTTTGCCAGAAGTAAACTCAGTCCCAAGTAAGATTGTGCTCTTTTATACGATGAAGCAAATTGCTCACCTGCTTCCAAAAACAGTCTTCTTCTCTCACCCGTCTGCCTCGAAGAAGGTTCTGGTTCAGTATAAGACATAGCTTTAGAAATCTAATGAATTAAATTTTAACGATGAGTACTTGCTGCCTTTTATGTCTCTTACCTATCTTTAATTACGATGTTCGATGATTAAAACATAATCTTTTCCCTTTCAGTTGGTTCGGAGCCCGTTTGGAAAGGGTCTTTGACATTATACGAAGGTAGATAAAGAGAATAGATAAGCAAATAGTTCTCTACATAGATTGCATGGTTGAGCTTTCACCCCTTCACTACAAATGTATTTTCTTATTCAAAAGAGCGGTCCTTTAGCTTATTGATCAAAATGTGCGTTTTCATTCTTCTTTATTAAGTACATTTTGAAGCGAAAACAATAACTCGGTACACAAGATGCGTCAAATAAGCAGGTCAACTTCAAGCTACGCATTAAGAAGCATGCTCAAATCTTTAGAAGTATGAGATTGTAAAACAACGATAGAGCACATACTGTAATTTATAGACGTATTTTGCATTTAATAGATGAAGAAGGTCTCAAGTTTCAAAGGGTTTGCTTCTTGTTTCCTCGAACCAATACTGTCCATTATTAAAGCTACCAACAACTCAATGGAAAACATAACTTTAAATTTCAAGAAAGAACTTAAATTGTTGCATATTAAGGCATCTATTGACAAGAAGCTAACGATAGAGCCTAATAAAAGGCAGAAAAACGAAGTTCATGACCACGACATAAAGATATCCTATATAATATTACTATTCCGAAGGACCGAGTTGACTAGACATCATAACAGTATGCTTCCACATAAATTATTTCGGACTTTCTACTCTAAGTAAATAAATTGTAAGATACTTGCTGAATAGAATCTTATAGCCTTTTCAAGTAAAAATTGGAATCTTATGTAGAGCTTTATGTCTCTTTGATAGGATCAGCATTCTGTTTTAATTATTCTAATGCATTTTTCCAGTCTAAGCCACGTATTTGAGTACCCAGGTTTTGATGTGACTTCTAGATCAAACTATCTCAATAAGCAGCAAAATTCAATGAAAGAGCCAGTTATTTCATTAAATTTCATCTTTTTTTTTTTGTTGACGGCTTTGCTGACTACGTTGATAATTCCGTCTGATAAATTCGACAATGTTCATTTCGAGAGGACATTTTATATAGGTAATTAGACATCATTAGCTCTTCTAAGTAAGCTTTTTTCGGATCAGTCAGTCTTCTGGAACATTACTTTACTTAGATGGAAATGTCGGTAAATTACCTTATTCAAGCAGACACTCTATTATACCTCCATTTAGTGAGATTTAATCCGGAAACATTAATAACTGTTAGGCTCCCAATTGCAGAAAATGGCAGAATTAAGCAGAACAGGGTTCTGATATTGAAAGTGGTATTACATCCGAATATTTCCTTCTACTGTGGTCAGAAAACGCCTATACTTATAGAAATGACATAAAAGTAAAAAGTGAGTATCAGGAAGAGACACTGGGCTGGATCAAGGAGCCAAAAAAAACATACGTGACTCTTAAAAAGTTACTCCTGTATCTATATCAAGGTTGCAAAAAAAAAAATGAGTGCGTTTTCATCTTGGTGGCACACCTACTGTAATCATCATGTAGTTCGTTAAAAAAGAGTATGATAGCTTAGTTTTGATTTCACTAGGCGGTTTATTTGACTCTAGATAAATATTAGATGGGGCCTAGTTCTTGTCAACTAAAAATTTTGCATGAGCTTGCATAAAGTAGCATAATATAATGATCGTGACAGGACAATACGCAGTGCAAGTCAACTTCGTTTGTATACGGATATCCAAGAAATTGATCCCGATGAATAAGAGCAAAACCTTTCATTTAAAGAAAAAGGTGAATAATGATTTATAGTTTCCGCTTTCTGTGTTCATCGCTTATTTAAAAAGAACATCAATAAATTTAACTACTATTCTGCTTCTATCGTATTCACCGATAACAATCGAAAAGAGTTAAAGTTTAATAAGCTAGAAAACATAGGTAAAAGTCACATAAAACTAGGCTAACTTTAGATTGATTATAATAAGTTAACGGAATCGACTAAAAGTCACTAAAACAGTCACAGATTTAACAGACAAAAAAACAATAGTTTGAAGTCAGCTGTGATGTCCACTCCTTCACACCCGGATTACTATCCTCAAGAGTATGTCGCTTCCTCGGGAGAACAGCTTTTGGGAACGAACCAAATAGATCAGTCTCACCATTCCAATCATCCAGAACAATTCCATTCCCTTCCCACATACGACATCTCGCAGCAAAAACTGAAAAATTATACTTTTAATGAGCCAAATATTTACTCCCTTCAGCAAGTTTATCAAACTCCATCAAGTGATTATTACCAAGGTACCGAACTAACATCAATAAATGCCAGCCCTTCAATGCTGAGTAATAGTGTCAGGCCAGTTTCATTAAATATCCAGCAAGGTCCCTCCATTGTTCCTTCTCTGCAGCAGCTTCAGCAGCATCCTTATGGCAATTCAATGTATGCATCAACTGCACTAGGGGGAACTTCCAATCATATTGCACCCGTGAGATATCATCTGCACCATCATTCAAACACTTCGACTGTATCTTCGTCCTCAAACCCTTCGCAGACAAAACACCTGAGGACTTCCTCAATCAGTAACGATTTTCCAGAGCCTGTGAAACCTAGAATTGCGACCACGTATTGGGAAGATGAAAATACTATGTGTTATCAGGTAAAAGCCCGTGGTGTTTTAGTTTCTAGAAGAGAAGATACAAATTTTATTAACGGAACAAAGTTATTAAATGTCATTGGAATGACAAGAGGAAAGAGAGATGGAATATTGAAGTCAGAGAAAACCAAAACCGTCGTCAAAGTAGGTTCAATGAACTTAAAAGGAGTGTGGATACCATTTGAAAGGGCAGCTGAAATTGCTAGGAATGAAGGGGTTGATAATGATGAATTATTGGGGCCATTGTTTGTTAAAGATTTAAAGACGTACTTTAATTTGAAAGGGTATAAATTAAAAATCGAAGAGACCGATCAAGAGCTAGAAAATGGGCACAGAGAGCAGGGAAACTCATTTTTTGAGTCAGCTAGCGTAGAATACCCTTTGTCAAAAAATAATGGTAATCGCTTACAAGCCGGTGTGCCTACGAAACCAACCTCTTTACTTCGTCAAAATTATTTTGATGCGAAGCCTTCCGTAAATTTGGGTGCGAAAGAATAACATCTTAAGTTCAGTTCTATGTTTCAATAATTTAATAGTCTAGGAGGGATTTACCTTTTGAAAATTTTTTTAGTCTACATCTGTATTAAATGAAATTAAACCTTACCTTTATAATTTGAATGTAATCTATCTATTTTTTCAAGACGATTTAACGTTAAGTACAGTATTGAGAACAAAACGAATGAAAGTTTGCTAAAACCCTTCATCAGCATATTCTTCATTAATGACTAGTGTACCTCTCAATCTCTGTTGATGTTCAATAGTCTCAAACAAACCCTTGAACGTTCCTTTTCCAAACCCGTTATGATGATATCGTTGAATAATTTCAAAGAAAAGAGTTGGACGATCGTGAAAAGGCTTAGTAAAAATTTGTAAAATGTAATTACAACGTTTAGAAGACTTATTTCTAGTGGTCGCATCATAGTCCACAAGTATGTTCAACTGTTTCAACTTTTCAAAGCTTTCCCTTAAAATAACATCATCTTTGCGCAATCTCCTTTCCAAACAACTGTAATAGTGTTCAGAAACAGTATTAAATTCCACGCCTCTACTTACTAACGACTCAACAGTAAATATTATATCATTGGTTCGAAAAGCGATATGCTGAACTCCTGGGCCTCCGTTGTAGTCATTAAATTCCTCTATTTGACCTCTTTTTCTTGCCTTAGCAGGTTCATTTATAGGCATTTTTATTTTCCCATTCCCAGAAGCCATCACGATAGATCGTAGTGCTGTCTCTCCAGTGGATACATCTTGTTCATCAATTGACCAGAATTTATGAAAGCCAAAAATATTTGCATAGAATTTTGCTTGTGTCATCATTTGATTCCAGGAATAGTTTTCAACACAATGATCGATACTTTGAAAATTAACACTTGAAAGGCTCAACTTGGGGAGATTGTTACTTTTGGCTTGTAGTGGTAAAAAATAATTGGGCAAATAGGGACCACAGTAATCAATGATTTGAACCAATGTATGTTGAAGATCCGTATCAGGAATTGCAATGGTTGCTAATTTTACAGAGCCATATTCATCGCTCAGAACCCTGGGTACTTTAATTATCCCAGCACCAGCATTGATAGCTTTAGCAAAAGAAGCATCCACATCGGTCACCTGAAATGCAATATCCATAACTCCTTCAGCATGGCTTTTAAGAAATTTCTGTATTAATGCACACTCAACCATGTCTTCGTATATGTTTTCCGAATTTGTCATGGACTTCTTGATGACTTTTTCGTAATCGCGAAGGGAACTCTTGTAAGTTTTAGAATTCAAGATCTTGTTATATATCTTCCTGCCTAAATTTTGGGACTCATTTGAAGTAGACAACACGCTTACTCTGTCTGTCACGAATTCGTTTGCAATCTTATTTGCAATTTTGGTAGACAAATCCTGTTTCCCGAAGTGTTTAAAATTTGAAATATCCTTTTGGTAGTAAGGAACCTTCAATGCATTGTCTTCCTCGACTGTTTCCAAAGTGTTGACAAGCTCTAAAATTATATCACCATTTTTCAAAACATGAGATGCAATGAATCTGGAATCAGTTTCTAACCCTCTGTAGGCAATTTCTTCGAATCCCATAGTTAGCTGCAAATTTTTTGACATTTGTTTTGCGTTCGAGCTACAGATCTTCAAGGAGTGAAAACTTAGAAACCCATCACTCGGATAGGTGGCATTGGTATGACCGTTTGCAAGTAAGTCGTCGATGGTAATGTCCAATATAGGATCTGAAGTCAATGGAAAGAAAGGCAACTCAGCAAAGGTAATGTCATCGTATTGCTCTTTAGCAGATTGCTGCGAAATCGATTCAAATATAGCGTTCATAAAAGGTAAATCTCTAGTTTTTGAAAGAACTTAGGTGGATAGCAACTTATTACTGTTTAATTAATTTAAAGCAATATAGATTCAACAAAGGCAAGGCACTAGATAGCTAATATTGTTGTGTTTTTGGTTTTATGTGGACTTTTTGATATTTGTAACTTAACTGGCTTCGCATGCAGATGTAAAATTCGTCGACCACAAATACAAATATCCTACAAATCATGCATGAAGCGATAAAATACAAGATTCTAATATACTATTGAAACTTCCAGTAAATAAGCAATGCCAGCGAAAGGTTAACCCAGAAGAAGGAGAATTGAGCTGAATAAAAAACCGCAATATTCCTACTACATGAACATAAGAACTTAGGGACCAATCAATATAGTCTATCCCAAACTAAGAACATTCTATATTAATTTTAACGAGGACACATTTAAAGAGAGCATAACTGAAATTGGTCCCGATCTAGTCAAGAGAGCAAAAATATTTCTCTACAGTTTACTTCAAAAATCATATCCTGCTTCAAGGAAAACTGTCCACCTATTTTTTATAGAAATTATGCTAGGTCTGATCTCGAATATTCCAGAACAGCTTCACTTACCGTGGCTTCGTCCTTCTCGTCCAAATTCTTCTTAATATGTTTAACTTTTATCACATTATCGGCACCGATAACCCAGACTGGGTGGAAGGGAATAAACACTAAACCAGCCAATGCAATCATAAGTGCATCTAGAACCATTAAAAATACTTCGTGTTCAATTAAATATCCAGAAAAGCCTTGCGCCAATTCTACCACCCTGTACACTGAACGAATGTATACAAATATAACTGCCAAAGTTATAACAAGTGGATACCAATTAAATAAAACTCTGTGACGGATGTGACGATACTTATCATTGTAAAACTTCTCTAAGTATTCCTCCCTATACACTCTCACGGACTTCAAGTTCAAAACCAATTTGAAAAAACTAGAAAGTGATCTCTTACTTAATTTTGAACCCGACTCCTCAAAGTTGGAATTTTTGAAGTATATTCTGTTAATGAACTCAAACCAAAACAACAAAAAGACTGACATTGAAAATACTTGAAAAGCAATACCCGCGATCATTGTATTGGTACCACCTGAGGCATCTCTATTCTCGCTCGTAGCTGCACTTGCTGCACCACCACCAGCTGCCTGGATGAACAATGAAACCACATCAGACACAATGAACATATATGAGTACCACATCGGTTTCAATACTGAATACTGTCTTCCATGGATGATGACCAACTGTGCAAATAAGAAGTATATTCCAGCCATGATAAATGCAGGAGCTATAGTCAATGAAACAAATTGCAACAAGAAGTAATTCATGTTAGTATCATCTGTGAACGCTAAGATTCTTCCAAGGAAACCTAAAAATTCAAGAGCAAATCCACAGAAAAAAGTAATGTTGTACCAATGAAATCTTGATTTAATTAACATGAATACGATGTAAAAGAAAACGAATGTGAAAACAGTAAAATAAATTATATTTCCAGGCCTATTCAACCTAATTCCGTATAAGTTCTCGTCCCAGGCCAAGCTATGCAAATTGACCGATGCGTCAAATATCGCCTGCGTCGCAGCACTCTTCACAGAAGATTCAGTTGCTGTAGCCAAAACCTTTTCAGCCAGTATGATTGTCAATGAAGCTTGTGCACCCCTTATGATTTGTGAAAGGGATATCAATTCATAACCTGTCTTCGTCTCAGCGTTCTTTAGTGCAGAACTGAGTGTCAGTGCTAGGCCAGACGCATATGTCGTTTCAATCGATCTAAGAGTAGTTGACGTAGCCAGCGTGGAAGGAGACCATGTTGGGAATGCGTTTAAAGTAGCACTCATGCTTGCTCACCTTTAAGTTGAGCGTTACTTTTAGTTAGTCTTATTAAATCTTGATATTTAATAGGAAATTTAAGGTTTTTATAGATCCACATCTAAGAAAAATTCTCGTAAACATTGTAAAACCAAAACCGGTAGTACTAAAAATACTTACGGCAAAAGTAGCTTTCCTAAAAATGGAAGATAGGAGTTTTCAGGGTTGAAATCTACGATTATTGTTACAAGGCTGCGCATATCAATTACTAGCGTGTTGCAAATCTATTTTACGAAATCTAAAAGACGGACCACCTTATTCAATATTCAATTTTTGTAGAACGGGGTTAATTTAATGGTTACAGAAACGGTAGTGGCGATTTATCTCCAAAGGAACACAGCCCTTCACAAGAAAACACCCACTAAATATACATTTCGAAAAAAAAAAAAAAACAAATGTGTGCAAATAATCACGCCTTACCTAGCGTATAATATCCTATCGTTGAGACATCCTATATCTCGTTATGTGGAGTGATTTGCAGTTGATGCGCTTGTTAACGAATTATTTATGCGACTGCACATGAATAAATCTACGATGTCCTGATTGCTACTATTTATTACTAATCGCGTAAGAATAGATACGAGCAACAACCTTCAATAACTAAATCACAATTATACAAACGTGAAGCCTTATCACTTATTCGAACATGTAAATTCGCATTTATGTTCAATTGCTATTCGAGCATTCAATCATATGGAGCTCATGAGCTGCATTTTTCTGAAGTTTCCTTCCCCTTATGGCTGAGTTCGCATACTACCAATCTCTGCTGTTGGAGCTTAAAAAGTTCCTGATTCGAGCTTACATTCAGAACCATAGGGTAACTCATATTGAAATCTCATCAAGGAACCACTATGGACAGCCTCACGATCAAGGAACCCGTGCGATTACTAGTCAAGCTGTGGCTATCTCTCTTGAGTTTTTACATAGAGAGAATCATGCATAATTTTTTATCTATTATACAGTCTTTCGCTGACTTAAAATAAGCTACGATTGTGAATTTCGATATCAAAATTAAATGGACTATGAACTTCTATTTGTGATTTTGAAGTCATTCTTTGAATTACAGGGGTTTCAGTTGTGAGTCGATGCTCTACTTTGTTACAAACAAGTGTGAAAACGTTCAATTTTCGACAATATTTGTTTGAATTGGTTCATGCTCTTGCTCGTACTCAATTTCAACCCTAGGTCTTCTACGCTTCTTAGCCGATGCATTATTTGAATCAACAGCACGCTTCCCTGTATTTGGACTATCATTAGGCGTAGCAGTTACGTCATCTTCTTCATCGTCTGATACCTCACTATCAGGCTCCTCAGCAGACGAGTCATCGAGCCATTTCTCGAGTTCTTCCAAATCAACGAGCTCATCATCGCCATCATCTTCAACATACTCAACTTGATCAAAATCGCTTTCATCCTCACTTTCTTCAATTTCTTCATCTTCATCTTCATCTTCATCCACATCCTCAGAACCAATCTTTCCTAACACCTTCTTCCAAATACTATCATCGACGTTGAGTGGCTTGTCTCCATATGCTCCGCTCTTCAACCTCTCTAGTAATTCCTTTTCTATTGCCTTTTCTATCCTAGCTGCAGCCAAAGCCTTTCTTTCTCTATTTTGTTCTCTCCTTTTGACCTTATGCTTCACACCTACGTAATGCCTTTCATCTTCTTTCAATGATAATCTTCTTTCAGTGATAGCAACTTGAGTCAATCTTGTCAACCTCTGCTTACACTTATGAATCAAGAATTTCTGCCAATACTGTAATCTGCTGTCAATCTGCTCCAACGCCTTCGCATAATTTTTTGATAACCTGATCCTTTCCCATAATCTAGATGGCATGTGTGCCCTCTCTGCTGTTTTCATGTATAAATATAATCTTCCATTTACACTTTTCACAGTTGCATACCTCGAGTTTGCCAAAGGACAAGATTGGCGAGAGCAGAAACCACTGACATTGTACTCATTCCTGCAAAAGTTCTGTTCCTTTGTTGTTTTGATTTTAAATGCACAGAACTGCTGGTTTATGACCTGCCAAATCACCTCGTCAGACATATCAATTCACTTATTATAATAAATGACCTATGCAAAAAAGAATAAATAAGCAAATGAGCAGAATGCAATACGTCCTTATTTTTCCTAAGCAGTGAAATATAGGAAAAGTAGTTTAGATGGACTTTGTTATAATATTTATTCTGACCAACAAATGACCTTAGGTGGAATAACGAGATGAGTGCAGCTGAAAAAAAAAAAAAAATTACTGAAGTCATCGTATTATATAATCAAAATAATATACAAATACTTGAAGAACGATATATTGTAGCATAAATATTCTGTGTACGATTACAATCGAGTGTTTTATCTAAGATCGTAAGTTTATTGGCTTCTTTGGAATACTTGGCTTAACCTTGCTCACCCTGGGTCCAATGATTATAGGAAATTTGAGTGGATTAATCTTATGTGCAACTCTGGAGAATGCTATGATAGTGACGACTACTTGGTAAGGATCTTTGCGCTCAAACAAATCAACAGTTTGAAAGATCTCGTCTTGAGCAACACCAATTAGATGACATAAGCTCAAAAAGAACGATATGTTTTCCATTTGCACAAAAGACATTTTCGAGTTCTTGTATTTTGTACAAGGGTTTTCAGGAATCTGAGTCAAGCTTCCCAAATTACATAGTAATTCCCCATCCTTGAGCATATCAACTAAATCCATGTCTCTTTTTTCATATTCAAGTATTACCTTTTCAGGAACATTCAAAATATTTTGAATGTATGACTTGACTTCGTCTTCACTGTTCCTATATTTCAACAATCGTGACCTTTTGAGGTCTTGATCTAAGTTTGAAAAAGCATTTTGTTCTTGCGGTGAATTTGGTCCAATACTCATTGACTTGGGCTTAAATTCAAGTAATCAAACGTAGTTAAAGATTAAAAGCAAAACGAGAGTGCGCGCCTGTACGTATAAAAACTACAAATAATTCCTAAGACCATTTCTTTTTTAAAACAGTTACATAAAAGAAAAGCAGTTTCAAGAAAAGAATTAATCATGTAATCTCTTTTCATATGAATGTAATCCATGAACTCCTCCCTCGAATTGAGCAGAGGCAGTTCTGAATTCAAACCTAACTTCACCGTTGTCGACTTTGGTTCTCAACTCTCCCAAAGATTGAACACCAATGTCCTGTAATGAATGCTGCAAACCATTGAACAAATAAGGAATAAATTTCACGATGGAACCCTTATCTACCACAGATCCGGAAACACCTTGCGCAACTAAGACATTATCTGTCTCAGAAAAATACCTTGAGGTGGAGGCGTTCGCACTGGTAGAAGTTTTCTTCATAGCATCTATTGAACCCATTCCTCTGTAACTCTTCAATCTCTTTCCATCACGGTAAAAGTAATCACCTGGGGTCTCAGCAGTACCTGCTAATAAGCCTCCCATCATAACACATGAAGCACCTAAAGACAAGGCCTTAGTAATGTGGCCAATGTTACCAATACCACCATCAGCGATACATGGAACACCAAACTGATTTGCAAATTCAGTTACGTTGTAAACAGCAGTACCTTGGGGCCTACCGCAAGCCATAACTTCTTGAGTAATACAAATCGAACCCGAGCCCATTCCAATTCTTAAGGCGTCAGCACCTGCCTCAATGAGAAGTGCTGTTTGCTCTCTTGTGACCACGTTACCAGCAATGATTTGTAAATCTGGGTACGTCTCTTTTATCCATTTAATCATGTTTAGTTGAAAAATGGAAGATCCATTAGATGAGTCCACAACGACTACATCTAAACCAGCTTCGACCAATTTATCCAATCTTTTTCTATCAGCATCAAGAGTCCCAATTGAAGCACCGCATAATAATTGTTTCGAATGGAATGATTTGGATGCATCTGGGTATGATTGGTTCTTTTGCAAATCTGTCAAAGAAATAAGAGAAATTAAGTTACCTTTAGAGTCAACAATTGGCAATTTACCCTTCTTAGAAGATCTCAACAATTCATTGCCTTCCGCCAAGGTAATACCCTGTTGACCTGTAATTAAGTCAACCGTCATAACCTCGGAAACGTCTGAGTTATTGTTATCGTGAAACTGAACATCACGTGAAGTAACAATACCTACTAGCTTGCCGCCAACTTTTCCATTTTCTAATGAAGTTAGTACATCCTTATAAGTGATCTTTTAGAATAAACAAAATTATGTTTCGAAGTCAGCAAAATTAATGTCCACACCATCGTTTGATGAATTCGGTAGAACGAAAGTTATTTAGAGTATAGAAATCATCATCCAAACATTTTGTTATTGTTCCAAGGTTGAAATTAAAATACTTACCAGTAACGGGAAACGACGTGAATCCCATCAAATTTTTCATTTTCTTCACTTCTCCGACAGTGGTAGATGGAGCAACTACCACAGGGTCATTGATAAAACCATTTTCAAATTTTTTGACTTTTCTGACCATTTCAGCTTGATACTCTGGTGTGCAGTTATGGTGAAGAATACCGATACCACCTAACAAAGCCATGTGGATCGCCATATTTTCTTCAGTGACAGTATCCATGGGAGACGAAACGAAAGGTGACTTCAAAGTGATTTTCTTAGTCAACTTTGTCTCCAAGTTTACTCCTGACGAAGGGAGAGAAATCAAACCTGGCAAAACCAAAAGATCGTTATAGGTCAACCCACCGAAGTTAGTAGAATCAATCAACTCTTTGATAGATAACCCATCCTTCTTGGGGTAGTTCTTCAAATATTCTGTAGCGTTAGCAGTATTTAATGTCATGTTGTTTATAGCTAAAAGGGCAAGGCTTTGCCAAAAAAAAATTTTTACAACGAATTTTTTATGTTCTCTCGCTACGTATTTATGGAGATGAGATGGAAGCGAGAAAAAAAATAAAATTTTAATTAGTGAGGATTTAGCGGATTTTCAATGCACTTTTTCGCCGACTTTAAGGCCAACCTTACCATATTTCATTCATAAAAACGCATCTGATCGAGACTTTTCAGGTCAAACGGACTGAAGAACGGACAAGATACAATAATTAAAGGATTACTCAGGACAAAAGCGAACTTTCGTCGGAGGCTCCGAAGGATTGGAGCACGTGATATATGAAAAGATAGGAGGAAGTTTGCGGAAGAGAGTGTGTATTCAAAAGTGTTGAAAGTTTCGATTACAAAGATTTAACTGTACTCTTTTATTTAGAACTTAAAAAAAAAAAAATTAGCTTGAGAAATAGAAAAGCTCATATATAGACCGGTCTCAATCGTGCTCAACTTTACAGATTAAGCAATGAATGCAAAAACATTTCCTGCCGATGGAGACAAGTAGTAAACCGAGACATGATAACATCAAGTTCTAGAATCTAGTACAAAGTTATTTCTTTGCTGATTCCTTTTCTTTCAACGATTTGACGTATTCCTCAATTCTTCTCCAGCCTTCTTTTCTCAATTGTTCTCTAGCTTTCTGTTCTTCTAGTGATTGATGATATAACATGGTGCAGTGATCATATAATATTGGATTATGATCCATGAATACCTTCAAAGCTCCGAATGCCAACAGATGGATGCTTCTGTTCCAATTCGAAGTGGCTGAGTTATGAGGTGGAATGCCTGTACCAAACTCATCCAACTGATTAGTCTGAGGAGACGAAAATGAATCATAATATTCTTCATCTGACATGTCTGTTATTCCATGCGAATGCCCAGTTTGGTGGATATCATTTAGTATTAACCCATTGTCAATTAAGTTTCCATTCGCATCGGTAGTGGCTGCTGGGTTCTCTAGCAACTTTTGTTGAAGTGAACCATTTGCTACACCGGGCTGCGTAGCATTCGTCAACTCATACAAAGCGGCAAATATTATGGGTAATACAACTTCAGCATTCTCAGTAATAAGGGTCAAGAAGTACTCATTTGACCAATAACAAAGAACTTTTTCGCTGACTTGGAAATGAGGTGACGAGATACATTTAGATAATTGAGCGAAAAGAGGTATCTGGATTTTCAAGAACTCGCTTGGCTCCATCACCTCAAATATATCTTCAATCTCATTCAAAAACATAACCTCTTTAGGTGAGTTTACCTTTGGCCAATAACGTAACAAACCCATTATAACATCTTCCGTTAAATTAGGGTCCTTCTCTAAAAACTGTACGATACAATATGCCAATTGAGGATGGTATAAAGATAAACTTTTGACTTTATGCAATGGTAACAATACTCTCACCAAGAAAATTTTATGTTCCTCCTTTAATGGTAATGCAAACCCATTTATGATAGAGCCCAATATTTCCAAAAGCTCGCCAATACCATTAAACCGTTCAGTTTCATAAACGAACTGTAGAAACACGTTGTTGATGGACTTTCTTATGAAGCTTCTCAAGCTTAAAAATTTCCCATATATTCTATGTAATGTTGTCTTTAGGCAATCTCTTTCTCTAGGATCTTCACTATCAAATAATTCCAAGATTCTCAAAATGAAATCATGGTCAATGTATTGCTTGGCAAGTTGATGCTGAAAATCAGGCAGCTCGATGAATCGCAAAAAGAATTCATAGATGGCTTGCATATGAGGCCAAGCCAATTCGCTGACAGGTTCATCTTCATCAGGATCATATATATCGCCAATCGGATTAACTGGAGGAGGGATTGGACGGAAGAGATTAGTACGGAACATTTGAACCACATGCTTATACATATCATCAGTGTAAGTGAACCTTTCGTTGGATATGAATTGAATCAACTCTTGCAATGTTAATCGCTTTATTTCTTTGCCTCTCGCATCAAAAGTGGGATCGCTGAAATCGAAAATTATGTTACATTGATCAACCTTTTGTATAAACAACGAGATTCGTTCCTCCGGAGGAACCTCATCAAAGTTAGGCAACTTAATAATTTCATGATACTTATCTGAAGAAGGCTCGAATCTGGAAGACGAATGCCTTTTTGGAGTAGCAATTAAGTCAATATCGAAACCTTCCTTATTTGGCGAAGAAATATTTAATTGAAGTGGATGGACGGGCGATTGCAGGCTATGGTGTAGTTTCGATTCGAAGCCAGAAGAACTCAGGAATGATGTGGTAGGAGATGTGGGTGTCGGAGTTACTGGAGTTGTGGTGGTTATAATAGTCGGATTTGTAGCTGAGTTATTTGCGCTCTCCGAGTTTATGACAATTTTTGGGGACTCTTGCTTGGGCAGTTCTCGAGGCAGAGTGCTCGGCTGAGCACCTAAAGACCCCACAGAATTGTTGGACTTAATAGAACTAGCACTGGTATTTCTAGAGGGACTAGGCGAGTTTGAAATTGAAGGCGAATTTGACAGTGAGCCTTTTGATGATTGCAGTTTCTTGGATGATTCTTGCTTATTTTCTTTGTCTTTGTCAGATCTTTTTTCCAGCTTCTTACTTGAAGACTGGTTCTTGTTTCTAGTTAGCCTATTCTTAAAGCCTTTCATCATTTTGGTAAAGGTAAAAGTAGGTGGTGTACTTAGCTAAGTTAATGAACTTAAGTCGAAAAGCAACAGACAGGATCCGACTCCTTCGTTTCTCCTATCACTTTTGCTATGTAGACGCCAATATTAACAGAGAATATATAAAAAGCGTGCTTGAAATCTTTGTGAAGCGTCTTGTACTTCAGTATTTTATATCTCTGCTTTGATGCAAAAGTCCAATGTCCTCAATTCAAGTTTCTTTCTTGGACTTTCAACCTCAGTAGAATTTTTTCAACCAAAATTTGATCTTAGACCTACCGGTTTAGTATTCAAGTATCTTCTAGGCTGAAATTGGCTCTATAAATGATATTTTCCCAGTAGAATAATGCTAATTGATTGCTACAGCTCGAACAGTACAGGCTTTGTTGGCATTTGTTTTCAGGTGATTCTTTGAGAAAACACCGATAATCATGAATCGATTACAACACGACCGGCTCTATCGCACGACTTACTTCACGTTGATATATCAATCTAAATAAACCCTGAAGAGAAGGTAGAGTAAATACTTTTTCCATATACTGCTTTCAGTGAAGTATGCTAATAGTAAAATACAAATAGGATTATTAGTCGATCATATTTGAATTTATTCTATAATACAATAATCTTAATAAGGTAATGATGCGTACTTAAATATGATATATCAAATGATTTTTGTTTATATCGCCTCAGATAGTAATTTGGTCTTCGCTTTTAACCTCTGCTACTTGATTCAAAATGTGCCCCTCTTCACGATGATTGAAAACATAGCTTAAGTAACAGTTCCAACTGATGCTGAATAAGTTTACTACCAAGAGCCTGAAATTTACAGGAACAACAATGAAGTTTACTAGCTGGAAACCAGGCCATATAACCCAATTGGTTTTTAGGGTATCCCACCAACTTCTAGTAAGTTTTATTTTTGCAGTCTCCAATGGAGAACCATTGAATTCAAGAACTGACATTGAAGTATAATAAAGTGGAATTCCAATGAATGGCGCAAATATTAGTTGATCCATAGCAACGGGAATCATGGCGTTTAAAATAGATATCAATTTGGGATGAATACTGGTATTCTCTTTTATAAATGGATTTTTAACCCGTGAAAGTAATTTATACCATTTATCTCCAATAGGGGAGAAAATAAAGGTTCCGAAAACTGCTGCCCTAGATGTCCTGGCATAGTCATATCTTTTACCCTCCTGGGAAAAAAATACTTGCGCAAGATAATCACCACTTCCAAATAAAAAACCTGTGGTTAATGCATTTGTAAGAAAGGGATGTCGAACTAACAATTTGTCATAATTTGCAAATAACCTCAGCATAGTACGATTGTCTGTCAATAACTGTATATTTTATATGGCTGTAGTATCATCTATGAGGACAGTATGGCTTTTAAATTGCTTTAGAAACTTAATAAGGCAAGAATCAAAGTTCTGGGTAATTCTATGTATTCCTGCATGAATGTTGACAGTTTCTGCCGCGCTTCCCTGGATATTTCATAAATCAGTCAGCATCTCGCTGTGGTGAAACCTTTAAATGCATGATCTTACCGATACATTGTCATCTATGAAACTATATAGCTTTCCACGACTAAAAAACATACTAAAAGAGTACGCTTCATACGTAAGCCACAGATTCTGGGTCCTCTACCGTTGTAACTTCTTCCAAAACCTTATTACTAACTCTTCTGGAGTTTCCTACATAGCTGATGAAGCAATTCCATCCAACAGACCACAAGTTGGCACACACAACTCTTATATGCACAGGTATTAGATACATGTTGACCAACTGAAAAGCAGGCCACACGATCCAGTTTGCTTTCAATACATGCCACCAGTTGTTACGTAGATTCTCCCTTGCTACATCAAGGGGGTGTTCATTCAACGATAAAATAGACATCGAAGTTACATACATAGGGATCCATATGAATCCAGGGACAAAGAGCTGGTCTAATGTTACCCTAAAAAGAGTGTCATACACATGTAATTTTTTTTGAGACCAAGTATCCCTGTGTTTTCTAATAAATGGATTCTTAATCTTTGGAAGCCTTCTACCGTACCAAGTCACAGCACAAGGAGCGAAAACAAACGCCCCATAGACCGCCCCCCTCAAGGTTCTTTTATAATCAAAACCTGAACGACTCTTAACACTTTCCGAAAGATCCTGATTCTTGATGTCGTGAGATCGAGGTGGAAACGATAACTGAGCTATGATGTCACCAGTGCTAAAGAACAAGCTCGTTCCGACCATATTGGTCTTGAACGGGTGTGCCTTTAACAACTGATTATACTTGTGAAAAAATCCACTCATTTCTCTCTATCATCTTAATGTCACACTAAATTTCCTGTTCGAACGGGCGCCTTTCGCCTAGGCGTACTGTTTACATCTCGTCTAGTATTCAGGAATACTTCCTAATTCGGCCTTTGCTATCGACATGGCTGGCTTACATTAGGGGGGTTTTGTGTAATTTCACCCAATTTGATCACCTTTTTCGCCCAAAACTACCATGCTTAATTTCACATTTAATCCCCTTCGTTCCCGTTTAAACTGAAATTGTTCACCGAAAAAGATTTAAATATCTTTATTAATTCTACTTAAGGCATCGGATAAACTGAGAGCCATTCGAGTTATAAGTAACTCATTTCCTTCAACGAGTTTTAAGAAATAAAAGGCTGCAAGATAGAAGATGCACAGAACTTACTCCTTAAGGTCTCAAAGAGCACCGACAGCTGCTCAATTGCAGTCTCCCCCCCCTCCTCCATCAAGCACTAAATCAAAGTTCTTTGGTACAGGTTCCCTTTCTCACTCTTTACGTAAGAGTACCGCTGGTAACTTTGGCCCAGAATTGGCTAGAAAATTGGCCCAATTAGTCAAGATGGAAAAGAACTTGATGAGGTCAGTAGAACTCACTGCTAGGGAAAGAAAGGATGTTGCAAAGCAATTATCACTCTGGGGTGAAGGTAACGACGACGATATCTCGGATATTACTGATAAATTGGGTGTTTTAATTTACGAAATTGGTGAATTAGAGGACCAATTTATTGACAGATATGATCAATACAGACTTACTATGAAATCAATCAGAGATATCGAGGGATCTGTTCAACCATCAAGAGAGAGAAAACAAAAAATCACCGACCAAATTGCTTACTTGAAGTATAAAGACCCTCAATCACCAAAAATTAACGTTTTGGAACAAGAATTGGTCAGAGCCGAAGCAGAGTCATTAGTTGCTGAAGCTCAGTTGTCAAATATTACCAGAGAAAAATTGAAGACCGCTTTTAACTATCAATTTGACTCCACAAGAGAACATGCCGAAAAGATCGCATTAATTGCTGGTTACGGTAAGGCATTGTTGGAATTGTTAGATGAAAGTCCAGTCACTCCAGGTGAAACTAGACCTGCCTATGATGGTTATGAAGCCTCTAAACAAATCATTATTGATGCTGAAAATGCTTTGGCTTCCTGGACTTTTGATTCAGCTGTTGTTAGACCAACTTTATCCTTGGCTGCCCACGATGACTACGATACAGATGATTTGGCACATGAAGCTGATAATTTGCAACTTACTGAACAACAGTGGGACGATGAAGGTAAGGTAACTGCTTAAATACTTCAGCTTGCTGAATTTCATTAGGAAAACTATTTATCTTCTTGCTTTCGTTCGTTTTTGAATTTACAAAGAACCCCTCAAAAAGATGTTTGGTCAAAAATGGAGTTATGTATTATTAACTGTTTGTACTGTGTACCTTTCCAGTTTTCACCATCTAATAGTCAATAATTTGATAGTTTGTTTTAAAAAAATGATTTTTTTCGTAATCCATTCGTAATTCATCTTATGAACTCCTCGCCACAACATCTATTCATATTTGAAAGTCCAATATAGCTGTAGTATTACCTGATCATGACATGAATTAAACTGCGATAGTAGTATTGGTGAAGACACAAAGATGTTACGAGAGGTAGGACAGGTGAGAAAACGGTCTGTGTAGCTTGCTTTTAAAGCTTAGTACACCCAAATGACAGGGAACATAAATTGAAAGTTTAAAGTATTAGGAATGAGTTCTCAAGCAAATATCAGTTGTCGTTAATGGTGCTCATTGCAACAAGTGGTGTCAAATGACCATACTGCACATAGTGAAATTTATATATATTTCGACAGGTAGTATTAAATACTTCAACTCGCTCTACTGACAGGTTCGTGGTATAATTCACTTAGTTTAGAGACCAAACAACATCAGCATGTTAGTGCCTGAGAGAGGACTCCCAACGGCGTCACCATATTTATTAGTTCGATAATTACGGGGAATTAAATGGACTGATATCAAAAGTATTTTAAATAGAGCTTATCGCCTTTTATTGACAAAAGAGAGCTACTGCAGTCGAACAAACCTAACAATAATGACACAATTCGAAATATCCCGCTACGCTCCGAGGTGTCTCATATTACCCTTGTTTTCCACTGTCTGTGGTTATGAATCGAGAATTAAGTTCCTTTATGAAGGCACCCGTGTGTTACACAAAAACACGATTTTAGTGCTCTCTGTTTACATTTAGTGAATTGAACCAGCGAGACAGAGCAATACACAGAATCGCTCCTCTCGGCTATTGATTTTAATAAACAAGCTATAATGCTAAAGGGAAATAAGTTTTTTTAATTAAATATTGGGTTAGTAAACAGAACGGTGAACAGAATATTAAAAACACAAAACATACCTAACTATAAAGCATTCGTGGAATTCTATACTTATTAAAAGACCCCCCAAAGGAACACTTGCTTGGCCAAAGAAGAACGAAGCCTCATTGACTGACTAATATCTCACTCATAATACTGCGACGATACATATAAGTTCACTTGGTTATTGAGGGAGACACCAATACAAAGATAACTGACGCATAACGGAAGACAAAGATATTCAACACTTGGAGCTAACCATGTCAAACGAATTCTTACAGTCATCCCCGTCCCATTCTGCAATTGATCCTATTATGTATAGCTTTGTCAATGCTGGCCATGAGAAGGAGAATAATAATGCCAATCAGCCAAGTAACGTGCAAAATAATGGAAATAATAATTATCAACCTAATCCGCAGATACCCCCATCGTCAGTAACCAAAGTATATGGTGGTCCCACAAATTTGACAGGCTGGACCCCTCTAATAACAAGACCAGTATATAGTGAGCAGCTTATTCCGTTCGGTCTCACTCCAAATAAAGTTGGGGCGATTGGAGATCAGCCTGATTACTCACAAGGACTCAACCTTACTCCCTTTCTTAATCATAACATTAATCTTTTGAACTCGCAACCTGGGCTGCAATTGCATTCAATCACTCCATTTCACGATAAGACCTTACATTTAACAGATTTTTTTATGGATTCTCCCATAAGGCAAACTCCAGTTAAAGATCTGGATACTATAACACCTTCAAAATTTAAGTTAGGAAGCGAAAAAAAATACTTTAAGCAGTCAATCTTTCAAGATCGTAAAAGTGCTAACAAGCGATCTATCACGCAGTTGGGCACACCACAAAGACAACCTCGAAAAATTTCCGTTAACTATAAGCCTACTGGAGAGGATGAAGAAGAAGATGATGATCGCGATCAGGATGAAGGTAGCGAGCGTAATGATGAAAATCAAGATAGAGATATTGAAAATGATATCGCTCAGAGTAGAGCAAAGCTTTATTTGCAAACTCCATCAAAGACACTCAAAAATGTAACAAATCTAACCAGAACGCCCATAAGCTCTACGGACGCTCCCGGGGCATTTATTACACCTGCAAAACAAATTCCAAACTCTTCGCCATCAACGGTCATCTTATCGGCGAAGGAGAGGTCAGCGGTAAGGGTAACCAAAGAACTTGAAAAGCAGCCTACTAGTCCAACACCAACAAAAGCGATTCGTGTTGCGCCTTGTAAAAAACTTATACAGGGCGACGAATTTAAACCAGCAATGGGCGTTTTCTCAGAAAGAAAGCAAAATCATAACAAAACTTCCGGCTCGTTCAAAAGTTTCGTTAACCTGGGGTCAAATGAAAGCAATCAGCATCATAACAAAACCAAAACCAACTCGAAAGCCCAAATGCAAGCTGGTATGAACAAATTTCAGATTGTGTTCACTGATGTTCACACTCTAATGAATAATAAGAACAGAAGTAAAGAATATTTGCCGACAGGCAAGAAGGCTTCCCGATCTGGCAGTGAGCAGCTAGAAGCTAAAAGCGACAAAAAAAAGGGTTTGCCAAGATCATCTACACTACCTGTTTCTCAAAAGGATTCTCCAATAAGTCATAATCAGCAACCTCTTCTGCAACCAGTGATGTATCATCAAGTTGCACAACACACGACTTCAATGCTATCCAATCAAGATCACAACTCTACTATGAATACTAGCAAAGAAATAAGTGTAATCTCAGGAAGCTCCAGTAACCTTAATTCTTCCTCGAATACTGATCATTCATCGTTTGAACTAGGAGGTATTTCTTCAACTCCCAATGGAACATTTTTTTCCGACAAGATGTTTGAAAAGCCATCACCCCAGAGCATGAATCCATCAACTCAATTTTACATTCAAAACCAATTTAATAGTATGCCACCGCCAAGGCAACATGCTTTTCTACAGTATCAACAAAATCAGTCTATGATGATGATGAGTACGCCCCAGCATCACAATATTGTTACTTGCGGCCCAAACATGTACCAACCTCAAAACGATTCATCTCCGAACGATAGTACAAGCAACTTGTCTGTTTTTTCGTATCATAAAATGCATAATAATGGCACACCTCAGGGTAAGCTCAAATGATTGAACTGAAATATAATAGAGAATCTGACATGAATTTTTCTAAAGCAGTAAGTTTAAAGTACAGAGACAATATTGTATACGGACTTAATTACAATTCATAAACTTTGAATTAGGTATCTAGATCTTGTAAGTTATCTTTATATAATCATAAAATCATGACTTCATCAAAGAATGAAACGCCAAGCACTATACATTGGGAGGTAATAGTAATGCTGCAATAACTCCAGGTCTTTCTGTAGATAGAAGATCAAAAATTTGAGCTGCATTGTTGGAATCACTGGCTTCAATTTGAATTCCCATTTTTGAGATAAATCTTCGGTTCGATTCAGAGAGCATCCTAGACTGTTTACCTAGTCCCACCACTAAAATCTCGGGCTTGGGATGCACTTTCCTAAATATCAGCAAAATTTCCTCCTCGTTGAACTCAATAATAAACCGATTGATTAACTTGAACCCTGCAGTTAAGTTCACTTCGAAGCTCTCGGAGTCTATAAGTAATGCACCAATGATATTACCATCTTTATCTGGGCTACGAATTAATATTCTGTTAGCCAAATGATATCCGTTATGTTTAACACTTTCAATATAGTTGACCGGCTTAGTGGAAAACATAAGTATGTCATTTTTTTTTAATAAATCAACAGGATTTGCCGACGTCTCTCCCTTACCTGACGGTGGCTCGAACTTCACTTTATTCAAATTTTTTGTGCCTCCAAAAAGGTCTCTGGTGGGAGCACTCCATGTAAACGGTCGTAATAAATGCTTGTTAACTCTCTGGTATGCTATGCCAAATTTTGTCTTAAGCATGATTACAGTATAATATTATGCTTCTTCTAATGATGAATAAAAAATGCTCGCTCTGAGATAATGTGCTGCGCGAACTATTAAGCTGCGAGAGTCCAAATGGGTGCAACGAACAATGTAAGAAAATCTGATTACAAGGCCACGGAGGCAAGGATCAAAGAGGAAGAGAATGAAAAAAGAGAACCTTCAAATCGTGACCAGATATGCTTTAATGAAGTATCTGAATCAAACACAAGCAGACAGTACCAAGAAAGACTAGTAGCCGCAATACATGATAACCAGCGTGATAGATCCCAACGGATGACAAAACTTACATCAATAGCTAGCAAAGGTGATACCAAAGGTAGTTGTGATGAGTTATGCGATTACTTCTTTGTGGATGGAGAAGTGCCTACGTCATCATATGAGCCTTTGAGTACTTACAGTGATATTTGGACTCTATGGTTTAACCTTTGATATCCATCTTACAAGAAAATAGACTCTCAATTTACACATTCTACCTATATGGATCACTGGCCAAATTAGAAAAGTTTTGGAAAGTGTTTATCGTTGAATTGAATCTTTCTAAAACATAAAGCGAGTAACGTAATATCTTATTTAATGGCCGTAGTTTATCCTTAAATCTGTTAATAGAATCAGTCGCATATCACAGGAAGATTCGAATTCTCCCTAGAACGCTTCGATTATGTTTCATTATTTAGCTTTTACAGATATCTCATCTCGCTCTCAGTGGAGAATAATAGTAGTAGAGCGAACTTAAGACTGCGAATCCCAATTAATTCCGATTTATTATCGGAATATCAGAAAAGCTAGGTGTAATTGGAGAACCATCATGTCAACACAATCAGGTATTACTGTATCAAAGGAAATCATAACATCCTTGAGTGACAATGGGTCGAGCCCATTGGTTATCAAAATATCGGATGATAATACAAAGTTAATACTAGATCCCGAATTCTCACATAAAAGCATCAATGAATTAGAGGAAAGATTTAAGGCAGTAAAAGAGTATGTCAGTTCAATTTATCCTCAACCACGTTATGTTGTCATACCTAAAGACTCAAATTCCAATATCTTCATAAGTATCGTTCCAGATGTTGCCCCAATTCGTCAAAAAATGCTTTATGCTTCAACTAAGAATACCCTTACTAGCGCAATAAGTTCTTTTGACATTCATAAAAGTGATATCCTAGCCTTGACTGACCTAGATGAACTTACATATGAGAACTATAATCAATCTGATAATACAGTCAACTTATTAACAAAGGAGGAGAAAACTTTAGATGATATCAATACTCTTCAGGATTTAACTCTTGACAACTCCTTTAAAAAGGAATTGGTCTCCATGTCATCTCCGCAGGAAAAACTTCTTTATAACTTTGATGAAGAGTTCCAGCGAGAATTGACTTCCATGCTTAATTCTAGCGAACAAGCCTATAAATTTGTTGCTTTTGCCATTGATTCTACAAAAGAAGTCATTCGTTTGGTATCGTCGAATGATAAGGTAGCCATTGAATCATTGATCTCAGAAATAGAGAAAGTACAACCAGAAAACTATCCAGTATATATTCTTTACAATTATTCCCCGAAGTCGTATGCTTTTATTTATTCTTGTCCCTCTGGCTCGAAAGTTAAAGATAGAATGACATATGCTGCTTTTAAGCAAGGTTTGTTGGCTCACTTGGTGAAAGAATTTGGTTCCAAAGATTTAAAAGTTGATAAGTCGATAGAGGTGGGCGACCCAGAGGAATTAGAGATAGGAGAGTTGCAAGTATCTTCGAATTCGGCTCCATCTGAACCTTCTAAGGGCAGATTAAAATTTAACAAACCAAAAGGACCTCGTCGGAGGTAATTATTCTTAAATCACTAAATATTCTATCTATAGAATGTGTTCACGGTCTTTTGAGACTTTCCAATTCTTTCTCGAGATATGTGTAGACAATCTCTTTCAAAATAGTTTTATTCTCAAATATGTTATTAAGACTTTTTCTCTCATCCTCTTGTAGTAATGATGTAATATGCTCATAAACTTGTCTGGAAATTCTCTTATTTATATTGATAAAAGTCTCCTCAGTTCTGATGATAGGTTCCATTGTATCTTCAATTGGGCTACTGGGACGATATATGGGCTTTAATCTGTCTCGAATATACTTTTGAATATCCATCTTTTGAGTTAATGATAGCAGAGGAGTTATTCCTCTACTGTAAAATTCCGTATCCGAATCGCTCTCGCTAGGGCTAAAAGAAGCTGGTGGGAGTATCTCGTCGCGTGGCTTACTGTTAATATAGCCTTTCTTCAGAGTAAGGCGTTTCTTCGTAGCAGGATTTCTGATCTGGTTTAAAAAAGTTGATATCCTTGACTGTCCAGTAGATGAAGACAGCGAACCAGATGGTTCCACTGGAGTTATCCTCTTTCTTTTCCTCCTTTTTGTTTCATTTGTGGATGATGTTAGTCCGGTGTTCAGAGCACTAGCTGGTTCATCTGAGCTCCTTCTTGCTTCTTCAAATATATCCCATGATTTAGCTTCATCCTTAGACAAACTCTGTTGAATCTTGAGTTCTCTTCGAAGGATTGTTCCACCATTAACTATGGGCCGATTGTCATTACTTATATCATTATTCTCATATAAAAAGTCATCATCCAATTCGTCATTCTCATTATGTATAATTAAGCCTGGTCTTCTTCGGGGCAAATAAGTTGAACTTTCAGTCGAGGGTGAGTTGCGAGTCAGCAGTCTTCTCTGATGACCGCTAGTGGTTACTCTAGTATGCATATGGGCCAGCCTTGCAAGTCTTTCTAAGTTGAAAGTAGAGCTTTCACAAAGTTGCCTGTTATCACATATTGGACAATACCAAGTTATATCATCACCTTGGTCAGTAATTCCCAAGCAATCATGGTGAAAGTTTGTTCCACAACAAGAGCAGGCTATCATCTGCCTACTAGAACTCCTATAGTCTGAACTCGTACATATAATACATATACCATCGGTAGAGACTGTTTGAGGCACAAATATGCCAGGGGACTGATTATAAGGTATAACAAATTCCCTGGGAATATTATCTATTGCATCGTTTGGCAATAGTTTATCAGTAATGCTAACCAATTTAGACATGCTACTTGAATCTTTCTTTCTTAACTCAACATAATAAAACAATTTGCGACAAGTTGGACATGAATTGGAGTTAGACGACCACTGAAGGATGCAGTGATCGTGATAATAGTGGCAACAGTCCTTAATGATCCCTATTTCACATTTTTGGTTTAACGGTTCTAAACAAATGGTACATTCTTCGTCTTTAGAAGACATTATAGATCATAGGTTATGTGTTTGCAGCAGTTCGAAGTTTATGAGATGTAAAGTAAGTTAATTACTTATAATTCAATAATCCGGTGATGTTCCTATATAAAACAAAAAATTTCGAAATCGATCCGATAAGCATTTCTTATAAAAGAAAAGAATGTCTCGCCACCAGTACGATCTAATACAGTGCATGAAGCAACCTGGCACTAAGATAGGAATGCTATGTCCACTGTGTGATGGAAAATGCCCCGTCTGTGATTCTTTCGTAAAACCTACTACCAAGGTCAGAATATGCAATGACTGTTCATTCGGTCACTTGCACAACAAGTGCATACTTTGCAGTCATAATTTAGGGGAAAATAATGAGTTGGGCTCGGTTGCATATTATTGCTTGAGTTGTGTAAGATTAGAAAAAGATAGGGAAGGCTGTCCTCGAATAGTGAATGTTGGTAGTTCAAAGTCAGATATGATATTCAACAAGAAAGCGCCCTCAGGATTACTTAAATGAGGTCTATTAAATAAATAAAATTTTACTTCTTATTATGAAATTGCAATAAAAGGCTACTATTTAGTTTTATTCAATTAGAGTTCATGATTCATAGATTTTAATGCAGATTCTTCGTGCTGCGTGCAAACTTTATATATCTAAGTCTATTTTACTCGCCTCTATTCCAAGGTCTACAGCTGACCTGATCCCATCTTTCCATCTTTCATTAAGATATTCATTCACAGGACCGAATTCGACTACTTGTCTCTTCTTCCTGATCAAATTGAAGTCGTCAATTTGACGTCTCTTTTGATGGAGACTACTCGAATAATCTTCCTTCATTACTTTAAGAGATTCAAGATTACTATCTTCTGATGCCTTTATTGAATCCGTGTTTTGTAATGCGAGTGACAACAGTCTTTGTTGCATACTAGCATAAGATAAAGTTGAGTACAAATTTTCGTAATTGATGTCACCGTCTTCTGATGTGAACGCAGAATATCGTGAAAGATCAACTCCTGGACGAATCAAATGCAGATCTACAGTCATATCTGCATTTAGCTCTTCTTCATATCTTTTTATTTCTTGACCTAATAAAGTGCTCGAGCCTTGCAGGGATGAAAGGGGAACTGGAAAAACATCATCTATGAGCGGGTGTAAACGTGTTTCATTCGGCTGACTATTTGAACCAACCCCGTCATGATTATCCATCTCTATTCTAATCAACTGCTCGACGTTTCTTCTCTCTTGATCAGTTACAGGGTCATCAAGGACTGTTAAATTATTGTCAATAATTGTACATCTTCAAAAAAAAATAACTTATACTTACAAGGCAAACCATCTAATTGATCGTAATTTATAGCTACCATCTGTTCTCAGTAATCTAAAATCACAACTTGGGAAAGAAAGCTAGTTTGATATATATAGGGCCCACGAATGAACGGCCCTGGCGCTATTACAGACTAAAGTCTCGATAATCGCCTTGGATGTAGCCGCAACCGGAGCAGTTCCCTTTTCCGCTGAGCGATGGCACGCTTTCATTCAAGCTGTGACTTACCTAGAAACCTACTATGATAGGGGTTAGCGCTACATATTGCTACTAGAACTTCAATAATTCATTCAAAAGCACTTTAAAAAATGATTTTTTCTTTTAAAATACAAGAGATATTTAGTATGTAACCATTATTAGTTGAGGCAAAGAGTAGAAATGAGTTAACTTATTTGTCTAAAACGTCAGCATCATATCTTTGCTTGAACCATTCAATTGTATCTTCTTTTGTGGTTTTATGAGAATTTCCAACGACACCTGGGGCTCTCTTTCTCCTGGTAATTCTGACACCAGCCCTACCCATGACGACGTAGAAATCCATACCGTAAATACCAATACCTGGATCGTACTTGATACCCAAGTCAATGTGTTCGTCGATTCCGAATCCAAAATTACCAGTAGCAGAGAAGTTTCTTGCTCTCAACTGATACTCTTTGACCTTCAATCCTCTTTCTAAGATTTCCTCAGCCTTTGGACCTCTGATTGTGACGTGAACAGCAATCTTTTCATTTCTTCTGATACCGAAGGTTCTAACGGTGTATCTAGCCTTAGATTGAACTGGAGTTTGACCAGATAATTGTTCCAAAACCTTGGAAGCTCTGGTTAATCTGTCACCTGATTCACCAACACAGATATTTAAGACCAATTTTTCGATATGCAATTCACGCATAGGGTTCTGTGCTTTAGCAGACTAAAATTTATGTTAGTATGACTGAAAAAAGTACATAGATGACGATTCTTGAGGATCCTTTAGATTGTAAGAAATAGAAAATATACTGCTCAGATCAGTTCCGAAATACAAGCCGATCTTCTATAAGTCAACCAATTCAGTTTAATAAGACTATCCTCTATTTATAAATTACGGCTCTCAAACGCAATATGTTGATGTACTTCTCTCATTCGGATTTCAATATTAAAACCTATACCCACGCAGATTCCTCCAAAAAATCCCAAGAATCTCTTCACCTTTATCATTTCCTTGAACTATAACATACCATCTCGACTATTGATTTCTGTTTATATTAATGAAGCTTAACACAATTGAAGTTACAGATACTGTCTGCTTTCTCTAAAAATTTTTCAAGACCTTGTATATACTATATTTTTCCTAGAGAGTGATTATAACACAAACCTGTTTCGTGCGCAATACAATTTAATCGCACATTTGTGTAATGAATATCACGAGATAATATTTGACTTTAGGGCGCATCCCCCCTAATACACAAAGTGTCACAATAAAAGGTGTATTTCTATGCTTTATGTACCGATATAATAAGTGGCATATTTAAAAATTAGGTTGAAACATTGTTAAAAGACTTTTCTTTTTCTTTAACATCCCAAAAGATATCACCAGCATCAAAATTTCCGTGGTATTCCCATCCTTGTTCTTTAACATGATACAAGTTTATGGAGCCACCAGAGAAAGCATCTCTGTGAATCGCGGCTAAAATACTTCTTTTACCAAGATATAAAGCATCCTCTACACTAAGATCCCACTTGTACTGCGCATCAAGTACACCATAGGCGAAAGTTTGCCCTGATCCGACGCAAAAAACATCTCCCTTTAACCGAGTTCCATCGGAATCAACATAATATAATGAAGGTCCCTCCTTCTTAGTACAACCACAAATCATGGTACCCATAGACAACCCCATGCCCTTGTATTGGTAAACGACATTACTTAAAATTTTGGAGGCTGCTGCCACGGTAATTCTTTCCTTCTCTCTCAACTCGTGAAGTCTACACTGAGTACCCAACCACGTTTCCCAATAAAAGCAATCAGCGGCACCACCTGCCATTGTACCCAATAATACTGGATTAATTCTGATAACTTTATTCACAGTTTGAGAAGCTACGTAATTACCTTGCGTTGCTCTAGAATCAACCGCCACTATAATACCACCTTGAAATCTAAATGCCAATGTAGTAGTTCCATGAGCAATCTTGATTTTACAATCTGGGTTTGATGCATCATCCGTATGTGCTCTCAAAAAATCAGTAGGCTGTGAGATAGGGGGCAATTGCATAGAAGGTGCCAATTCAAAATTATTTTCAGATGCATATTCATTCTGTATTGATTGTATATCTTTTAATACATTGTTTGTTTTCTCATGAACAAATCTATTAGCAATACCATTCATAGTGATTCGATTTTATGATGGCACGTTCACTGTGTGCAAATAAATTGGTGCTCTCTTAGATATTCAATTAATATTGTATAGCTATGACTTCAATTTATATAGCTCTATTGCCACCCTTTAACATTGATACGAACTGCATTACTACAATCACGTGATTTTAATCTATTTTATTCTACATTTTGATTTAGCTACATAGCAGCTAACTCTCTTTAGATAACCTCTATGAACTTTGCTTTATCAATTTTCCTCTTGTTTCATCACTTTTTTGGGGCTTTCGTACTCATCCTTCGTGAGCTCTCGCTTCGTAGGAATCGTAGACTCATTAGTATTCATAGCAATAGAGACGTCAGAAGGAGGACCATTAAGCGGTCTAGTAGGTGACTTGTCAAAGCTGTTAGCACTCAGGGTTGAAACACTTGGAGGCTTTCCGAACCCTGGTCTCGACGGTTTATTTGATAGAAACTGGGGTGGATTGGAAAGTGATTTTGGCTTCGAAAGGCTCTGTGGTTTGGACAACAATGAGTAATTTGTGGATCTCGAATTATCTGACTTAAAAGATGAAGGTTTCGCAGAGCTGAACAGGAGTGGCTTTTGAAGAGTTGATCTTGGTACATTGTTTGAAGAATGGTTATATCCGTTGTCTGACTTGCCGCCTGATGCTGTGCTTGATTCGAGGGGTGTCGGAGGCGGCGATCGCAGTCTAGCTGCAGAAATTGGGGTGCTTGCGCGACTTGACAGACTTGAAGGCTGTTTTTCTCTTATAGACTTGGTTAATGCAATGTCGAGTATCTTGCTAACTTGTTGCGGTGCTTGGTCAACTAAAAAGCTTAGTGCATTGTCACCACAACCAGCTTTTGCACCTATCACATTTACCTGTGCGATAGTTGTTGCAAGTGCCTTCGTAATAACTTCTGTCGTGGTAGCAGTATCATACGATAACTTTCTGGCTTTATACAAGTTAAATAATTCTTTTTGCAAATATGCTAATGATTTTTTTGTGTCTTGAGTCATGGACATTCCTTGCGATGACTTTGATATCGATTGAATTGTTGAAATCGAATTTGAGATTGTTGGTGAACTTTGTATTGCTGTAGAATTAGGAGATGTCTTAGAAGCTGGAACCGCATTCGAAGAAGGAGATGCTTCTCTTGAAGCTTCTGACTTTGAATTTAAAGATTGCTGAATCGTGGTATTTATCGTTTGTGGTACAGTTGCTGAAGGTGATGTTGAAGGAGGCGGTAGAGTCTGTGACTGAACTCCTGGGACATGCGATGACAGGGATAATGCAGGAGTTGTATGCGATTTCGATGAAGAAATACGAGGTGAAGCTGTTCGTTGTGGATCAAAAATTTGACGATTAGTTTGCGTGATTGAAGGAGGGGATTGTGATGATGATTGGGACCTATTTGCAGCTAGTTGAGCTTTGATGTTGACTGGTAACGTTGAAGTTCCGGATATACTTGCCGGTATATCATTTCGCTTAACTAGTTCACCACTGCTATTAACTTGCAATGTCGACTGTGATTTGAAATACAACGGACCCTTCGATGACGTTGAACTATCCCTTCTTATCTCACTAGCTAATTCTGCAATTGTCTTTTGCTTTTGACTATTGGATGGCTTTTGATGAAGCTGCGACATGAATTGGGCTTGAGGAATCCTCATGTTAGATGAATACGGAGAAGCAAAATCTCGGCCAACTATGTTATGTGATAATGCCTGCTGTGCTTCTAATCTTTGCTTTTGTTTCAATTCCTCTGTTCGCAAAGCTGCTGCTTTTGCCTTGGCCGCGGCTTCCTCCTGTTGCTCTCTTCTCACCCGTTCTCGTTCGCTTATAAACGACTCATCTATGCCATATGTCCACTCATTAACACGCTTAGTTTGCTTTTTAAATGCTTTGTTTAATCTTACGCTATGACTGATTGCAAACTGCCATCCATCGGGACAATATTTATAGAAGGGATATAACTCCTTGATTGCTTCATATATTTCATTTAGTGTCAACCCCATTCCATGGGATCTAGTTTTCATGACACTCTGAATCATAATCAGATATGACAAATTTGGCTTTGTTCTATAAGGTTCAGGAATTTCCTCCATCGAATAACTACTTTTGACTGTTTTCTTGAAATCTCGTCTTTTCTTAGGAGATTTTGGCAACACAATGGGCTCGTCTGTTTTACGGACACAGATTGACGCAAAGTTTATCTTAGAGTCTATCGTAATACTGATAAGCTTAGGGGTAGAGATGACCATAGGTTGGATTGTCTCTATCTTAACTTCCAATTTTGGCGCCGGCGGACGAGCAAAAGATGGTCTAGAGGAAGGCATTCCGTGAGCTAAAGTCAAAGGATACCCACCTGATCCACCTAAGTTTGAACTGAGGCCCGTCAAAGTTGTCGTGGTAAGCCTGTTGTCAATCATTTGAGTTTTCGTAAGTCCACTTAATGGCCTTCCGTAAAGTCTAGAAACTGGAGGTTGAATAGACGCAGGTTTTCCCATTCTAGGCGTTGCAGGCTTTCCCATTAATGGCATTTGTCTCTGCTGCTTCTGTTGAGAGAGATTCAAGGGAGAGTTCAAGTTAAATGTATGCTGCTGTTTCTTCCTCTCCTGTTCTTCTAACCCAGTTTGCTTCTCCTCCTTTTCTCTCATAAGATCTTCTTGATGTGCATCAATCAAAGGCGCCAATGATGAAATTTCTTGGTCCAAAACTGACATATCAACTTCGAAAGGATCTTGATGGGATGAAGCGTCTCTCTTTTCTGCCACCTTTTCCGTGTCTGAACTCAAGAATTGATTAGAATGGTCATGAATTAAGCTTTGTATCTGAGGATCTATTAATGAATCCTCACTATTCTTATTTTCTTGCGCTGAGTGGTCTGAATCAAGGTCTTTATTAAAACCAGGTTCTTCACCTCGAATTTCTTGCATGAGAGAATTTTCTCTCTCAATATTTGATGTTGGGGACTTCGAGTTGTAGATATTCGATCTTAAGTTAATGGCATCAGAAGGATTGAAAGGCTTTAAAATGGAATCACTTGAGTCTCTTTTGTCAGAAAGGTCTGACGACGGCAAAATAAAGCCAAATGAAATGTCACCTATTTGTATTTTTGTACCATCTATCAAGGGTATAGTTATGCCCTTTTCAACGAATGAATTATCTACAAAAGCCCCATTTCGTCCTAAAATTGATAACTCAAATCTTTGTGTTCCAAAGTTATAAAATATCTTCGCATGTCTCCTCGATATTGCTCTTTTTGAAGACAAATGAACATCAACAGAGTGATGTATTCCATGAACTAAGTCATCATTAGATTTTCTTCCAAGTACTACCTGTAGAGTTTGGACGAAAAATGTGAAATTCTCAAAATCCAACCTAGCATACGCTGTAATCTTTGAATTCTGGTCATTCCTCTCTGAGTCGACTGTTCCTAAAGCTGCTTCAGCTGTAACTGGTACTGAAGTTGAACTTTGTCTTTTTTCGTATCCCTCATTTGACCCCGTATGTGATAGATCTCGAATGATGTCATTATCATGTTCAATAAGTGCACTATCAATGGCAGTCTTCTCAGACAAATTTAGCTTTTCTGGAGTAGGGTCCAAATCTTCAAATTTTTTCCTTAGATTACTATTTTTCACTCTTGAATCTTCAATGAAGGCTCTAGAGATATTTTTTCCGGTGACGTCGGGGTTCTCATCGAGCTCTAATTTTTCATGAATTGATAAATAATGTGATTTTTCAATTTCATTAGGCTTCGTTTCCATCTCATCGCCGACGGAATCACCGCTCATCTTTGAAATGTTTATCTTTTATTCTCTATAAACACACCTCAGTAGTAGCGTATATTGATTGTTGTTTTAGTTCAATCTTGATGTCTTTTTTTGAAGCACTTATCTCTATATTATTTCCTGTTGAAGCTATTAGGTTAAACTTGATTTTTTTTTTTTTTTTTTTTAATATGCTATCAGACTATTACGCAAACTGAATTTTTTGTGCAGATAAGTTTTTGCGCCTAAATTTGCAGTCTATTTGTAAATAAATGCTATGGGGACTGACAAAAAAGTATAACTAACATCACATTTGGATAGTAGAATTTTCACAATAATGAGACTATATTTAGCCTTTCTATGGGTGCTTTCTTTAGCTTTTGCTGAATTTCACGGCTTTCTTGATATTGATCCCCTGAAACCAATGTCGAAGCCACCTCAGTTAGTCCGAAAGCCTCTGCGAGTAAAACTTAACGAAAATTCAAAGGCAAGCTCCCCAGATATTCAAATAGAAGACAAGAGGACAAAAAAGATGAGAAAGGAAAAAATACGTGGTGTTAGTTTAGGTGGTTGGCTAGTTTTAGAACCATGGATCAATACAATTTTATTCGAACAGGTTGCAGCAGAAGCCGGTAAAATGCCAGTAGATGAATACACATTCACAAAGATTTTGGGTAAAAAAAGATCCCAGGAAGTCTTAAATAAACATTGGTCTACTTACTATAATGAATCTGACTTTGCGGCAATAAAGTACCACGGTTTGAATTTGGTAAGAGTTCCGATTGGATATTGGGCCTTTGAAAAACTTGATAATGATCCATATGTTGGTGGACAGGAAGAATATCTTGATAAGGCAATTAACTGGGCTTCTGACAATGACTTACAAGTTCAAGTAGACATTCATGGAATGCCGGGGTCTCAAAATGGATTCGATAACTCCGGACTTAGAACCACAAATCCCAATTGGCTAGAAGTAGACAAGAACATGGCTGTGACGTATAAGGTGGTAGATTATATTTTAGAGAAGTATGGTAATCATCCAGCTGTTGATAGTATTGAAATGGTTAATGAGCCTTTCGGCATCGGAGGTATCGACTTGGCCAAGTTAGAAGATTTTTATCTCTATGTTTATGATCAAGCACGAGAGAAGGGTATCACGAAAAATCTTTACTTTCATGATGGCTTTCTTGGGATTGGATGGTGGGACTGGTTTATGAAGGACACGAAGTACGAAAATATTACAATTGATCATCACTTATATGAGATCTTTTCAACTTGGCATTTAGATAAATCAATCGAAGAGCACATTACAAATATCGAAGAGCAAGGAAAGCAAATGGCAAAGCAATACCACCCTAGTATAGTTGGTGAGTTTTCTGGTGCCCTCACTGATTGCACAAAATATATAAATGGTGTTGGGAAGGGTGCTCGATACAATGGAACATTTCAGACCGATCACGCTATCGGTAGCTGCGAAAATCATTCCAACTTTTCAAGCTGGTCAGACGAACTAAAAAATAATACAAAGAAGTTCATAGAAGTTCAAATGAAGACATTCGAAGAGAATGCAAATGGATGGATATACTGGTGCTTCAAGACAGATGAGACTATTGAATGGGATTTTCAGAAATTGGCTCAGTTAGGGATGCTTCCGTCTGCTTACACATATCGACCACCTAAAGTAAATGAAACAACAAATACAAGTCCCAGTAAAAATAGTTCAGGTCAAAAGCCGCAAAAAAGTGAAGCCACATCTGCAAGTTACGAACTATTTCACTTTATGTATACATTCAAAGGTAATGCAATTTTTTATGCAACGTACATATTGGGGATCGTTTTATTCACTAATATTTGAAAAAAATTTAAAAGCTAAAAAAAGATCTAACATAATCAATGTTTTAATTTTAATAATTACTTACGTCAATAAATGCTTAAGTAAAATGAACTTCTATATTCACAGAGAGAAGTGTAATTCCTTGTATTAAGGATTAAAGTTCAGCTGTTTGGCTTGACCTTATTTGATCTGGGAATATAAAGATGCATATGATGGTCCCAAGTGTAGTCTTATCTGCTCTCATGTATTGCAACCTATTTCGTGAACGAAATAGTTCAAGTTGTCAAAAGCCTTAACCCTATGCTTTCGTGAAAATAGTAGGAGAATATGTTGCTGCAACATGAAGGTTAAAAAAAAAAAAAAAAAGTTACAGTTTAAGATATGTTTGCAAGTTGAAATATAGGCATCGGAAACATCGTCATTATGAATGTGGACTAAAACATACGATAATTATAATAAATAAAATGGTAAGTTAGTCCCAATACAAGGCTAAAGGAATAATGCTAACAAAAACAGGTCCTCAATAAAAGGAAACCTTTGAGAGACAAGGTGAAAAGAGCCAGTATCAAATCTAAAGTTGAGACTAATGTCTTAGAGATGCAAGGTTCAGCAAAAGATTACCATGAAAATCCATTATTAAAGCTCCTGAAAGCCACAAAGAAAGAAAAGCTTGCAGCAAAATCCAATAAATTTACTCAACAATTGATGAACAAGGTTACGTTCAATACTTCTGGAGGAATAAGCAAGTCGTCCATAAGAAGACGCAGAAGGAAAGAAAAAGAACAGTTAAAGCCCCAAATGAACGATCTTTTAATATCTCTTCCCGACTCCTTTGAAGATTCAAAATATCCCTCCTCAAAAAACCAGGTTCAAGCGTCCAAAAAGCGCAATATACCAAATGCTACAAAGAAGACTGGTCACCAAAAGCTATTTCAACAAGAAAAGAAGAACTTTACTGATGTCTTAAATAGTCCTGACTTTAAATCAGCACCGTTTAGTGCATTAAGAAATGCAATACTGCAAAATGCGACGTCGAAATAATCTCTATCTTAATAACACGCATCTGTCATAAATACTATACCAAACCTTCTTACATTACCTTTGGTACTGTACAGAAAAAAATTGTATCTACGTTTCAAAAAACTGTAATAGTGATGTGAAACTATAATAATTATGTAATAAATGACTAATATGCAATTCGCGCTTGTAAAAGTAAACAAAAAAAGTATAAACAAACAATAATGTAGACGACAGAAGAATAGAGATTAAAACAAAAACAAGAAGCTTGGGACAAGTTAACCCTACCAATTCCAATTTAGCAGCATTTAGTTGGAAAATATTAACGACCAGGTTTGTGCCGTGCTCCAAGCTGAACAAGGCAGATCTTTCAACAAGTAGAGCAGACCTTGAGGCAAAAACAAAGCATGAGTGTCGTCGAGGGTGCTGCGGGCCATGTCGAGTCGTCAGACACTATGGGGGTACGCAATGATATCGATGAGGAAGAGGAACGAGCCAGAAATGAATGCTCCTCAGAGAGCTTGGCTGATAAAGACAACGCTGATCCATTTCAGTACAACATGCATAACGAAGCGATCTTTGATGATGAGAAACTTTTCCCATGTCCAAGGGCTAATAGTGGTATCATAACTTACGATGCAAAGGACCCAGAGCTTGTCAACCATGCTACTCTCAAAGCACTAGCAGTACAACTAACTTCGCCTGATATAATAGATTATAATCTAGTATGTGACTTTTTCCTTACATATCGAATATTTGTCAGTAGTGAAGAAGTGATGAGTTTATTGCTCACTAGATTAATATGGTCATTGCACTATATCAATTCAAAGGACGAATCAAATGTAACAGTTGGGAAGTTGGTTTTGCTTAGACTGTTCGTAGTTTTGAGACATTGGCTCTTGAACTATTTCACAGATGATTTTGAATCAAACTTGGACTTGTGTGAGCTGTTCATAAAAATATTGAATGCCATTTCTATCGAATCACATCTCGTGAATGAGTCGATGGTGTTCGAGAAAAGAATTGTATGTGATTTAAAAATACATTGGCTACTTTTAATGAATCAATTTTGGGGTACGAAGATCAACATAGATGAAATATCGGATAAAGTCTTGAAGTATTCGTTGCCCAAAATTTCCGAACTCACAATGAACATATCTTCTGGCAAAAGAGAAACGCATTTTTCGATTCATACCAACCCTTCTTATAGGCGATCAGCGATGTTATCGCTTTACGATTCAAATGTGCATCATAAATGCATGATCTTTGATGATCTCAATTCTAACGATGAAAACCCTCAATTAACCATTAATAACTTGCTTTCACATCATCGTTCATCGAGTAATTCAATAAAGAATAATTTGCATGAGATGAATGTAAAACAAGGGCCAAAAGAACTTAATAATAATGCTAGAAAACCATTGCAATCATCCAACAAGCACAATCACATGAACCTCAAAGACTCATCCCTAGGACTCAAAAAAATATCGTTGGGTGATTCGAATTCTCCAAAACAAGATCTCGATTCTCCGAATCCTGGCTTCTCTGCTAATGGCCTCATAAAATTACCTTCGTCTAAAGTTAAATTGGTTTTACCTCCGACGCCAGTTAAAAAAATGGAGTATGTCATAAAATCTGAAGCTATTGGATCACCCACCAGAAGGTCTAAGAAAGCATCTAGTCTTGTTCATGACCTTGGGGACGTTTCAAGAAAAAAATCAATTAAGAAGTTAGTCGAAAGTTGGAAGAAGTCATTCGCTAACCATAAGGAAGAAAGTTCATCTCGAATTTCTTTGGCAAGCGCAACTGAACTTGATTCATTAGTAGAACTTGCAATTAACGTGATACCGGCCGAGACGAACGACAACAGATTCGATGTTTTGAGCGCCAGGATTGTTGATGAATTAGAGTATTTGATAAGATTCTATGTCAAAAATCCAGCTTCCGCGAGCACAATTGAAGAAGACGATGGGACACAAGAGCTTAGTGATATCCGTCAATCGGTCAATGAGTCCCCAGAAAACAATTCCGATATATTGGCGTCCACTGAGCAATTCTGGATTGTATCGAAAAGTGAACAAAGAAATTCAAATCAATATGAAAAACTGGAAAACCCTAAGATAGACATAAACGATCTTTCTGAACTAAATATCCTGAAAATTGACAATTTGATTAATCAGGAAAAAAACGACAAGGATAATCTGCGAAAAATACAATCAGGTCATGAAACAGTCATTGAGTCTCAAGATTCATCTTTCCAAAGACCAATTAGCATAGACTGGAATGATATGAACTTAGAGAACTCTGAAGATGCTCAGAAGGAAGAAAATGAAGAAGAAGTTCTGGGAAACATTTCTCAAAGAATGGTTAGGACTGGAACACAATACTTTGATGTCGAAACAAATCTACCTTTAGAGCCCGATGCTCCTTTCGAATCAAACAATTCTTTAGCATCAACATCAGCATCAGCCTCAACACCGAGCGACTTGACTAACTACAATGCTGAGGTATCCGACCTTGGAATTGCAGTTAGTCCTAAGCTGATGAAAGATCTGCAATACGTTAGAAGAATTAGCTTTGATGCTGATTATTCAGTTTCTCGGAAAATTTCACTCAAGTCACGATCTTCAACGAATTCTATTTTCAGGAGAGATTTAATAAAGTCATATGTCAGCTATGATTCAGCTTTTTCCTTGTCAGGAGTATCTCAAAAGTCTACCACGAGCCATGAAATTACTAATAGTAATTTGAAAAAGAAGCACGCATACAATGATTTGAGATCTGTAGCAAATTGGAATAAGGAGACAGGACAACGTGCAAATAACGTTCGATCATTTTCGGCCAATTCAATTGTTTCAAGATCTTCGTCGTTGCGTAAAAGTGTCAGATTCAGTTCATTGTGTGCTTTGACAGAAGCGAACGCTAACCGAGTTTCTACCAATAATGCGAGAAAAGGTTCATTAAGAAGCAAATCATCGAATCAATTAGACCTTGATGACAGTTCTATTTTCTCACATTCTGCAAGGATTAGTAGAGAGATAAAGGGAGATAAGGACAGTTTTTGTGGTAGTGATACTTCTGACAATTCTGTTGCGATACCAGGAATAAGCAATTATGCCTTAAAAGAATTAGCAGCTATTCCTGACGAGTCTTTGGAATCCAGTGATCCTATAAGGCTTGCATTATATAAGCTAGAGGGTGAGAAAAGAAGAAAAAAGAAGCTGAAGGACGTAGCTACAAGAAGAACAAATGAAGCAAATGAAGCAAGTGACCTAGAAACTCTGGAAGCGAATGATGTTTCATTATCGAGTAAAACAGATAAAGATCAAGAGACTAGTGGAGAAAAAATGCTTGAAGAAATTGAAAATGACGCACCTTTAGTTTCTTCATCACTAATACATAATGATAGAGTGCTGACTTCTTCAATTTTGGAGAATAATGCACAGCAACAAGAGGCTATTCTGATTAACGACACAGAAGAAATATTGAATGAAATCAACAATGCCAATACTGAAGATGTGATAGATCTTAATCCCTCAATAGGCGATGTTACGCAAGAGCTTCCCTTATCGCCAAGAGAAAATGAGGACGCTTTACTTACCAACAAAGTCAATGGAGAAGAGCCTATTCTTGATCTGCCAGGTAAGGAACGATTTGTTTTCACACTGTCGGAACTTGAGGAGCAGCCGGATGAACAATCACCGCAAATGATACTAGACACATACGATTTATCAACAGATTTGCTTAAGGTTGAGAACGTTATGGACAATCGTCACCACATCTCATTCGTATTGGGAATTGATTCTAAGACGCTAGCTAGGCATTTCACTGCAATCGAAAAAGATCTTTTGCAGGAAATTGACTGGAAGGAGTTGATTGAACTCAAGTGGAATAAGGAATTAATACCAGTAAACAGCTGGTTGGAAATAATTGTCAATGATGATTATTACAAGGCAAATAAAGGAGTCAGCTTGGTAATAGCCCGGTTCAATTTGATGGTCAACTGGATAATCTCAGAAATACTCCTCACAAGTTCTCAAAAAGAAAGAATCAATCTCACATCGAGGTTCATTCATATTGCTCAGAATTGTTATGTGTTCCAAAACTTTTCAACATTGATGCAGATTATTTTGGCTCTATCTTCTGAAAAGATACAAAAACTAAAGAATACATGGAAGAATCTTCCTCCCGGCGATATTTTAATGCTTAAGAATCTTGAAGAGCTATCTTCGCCAATAAAAAACTTTTTGAAAATACGGCTTGCGATCAATCAGATAAAACCCTCGAAAGGATGTATTCCTTTTGCAGGATTGTACTTATCAGATTTAATATTTAATGCGGAACGCCCTACTTTTATAAAAAAGTCAAAGCCTGAAGAGCTTGGAGAAAGCAGTAAAATGGGTACTTCAAACATTCAGACATCTGAATCTGAAAAAGTTATCAATTTTTCTAAGTTCAGGACTTCAGTCCATATTGTGAAATCCTTGTCTCAATGCATTGAATGGTCGAATTATTACTGCTTCGACATCAATGAAGATATTCTCTCCAAGTGTCTTTACATAAATTCTTTGGATGAGGACGAAATGAACATTTGCCTCAGCAAACTAGCAGACTTTTAGTACTTAATTAGTTCTCTGCCTAAGAGAATGTTGAATCTAATCAAAATTTAACAATCACCCTTGCAATATGTGCACATGTAGTATCGCCAGTAATTATGGGGTATCTTAGAGCCCCGTGTTTAGACATTAAGGGGATTGCTGCAAATTAGATCTATACACATATAATTCTGTTGGGCTCACAGCTACCCCCGGCTTAATCTCGATATATCTATTACGAGTAGTGTGTTAATCAGGTGATTCAATTCTCCATTTACGGACATTCAACATTTTCCTCTCTATATAAACTAAGCATGCGCCTAAGCAATAGTTTCGTCGATCAAATTGAGTTCAAAATGAATGTAAAGAAGGGCCAGAAGAACCCCAAATTATGGTTGGCTGCTTTAGTGGCCACGTCTGTTTTAACTTTGTCATATAAAGTCTATGAGAATTATTTTATAGGATCAACAGCATCGTCAGAAAGTAACAAGAAGAGAAAGTATACAAATAAATCCATAGCATTAACATTGTCACATTCAGTTTTAAATTCTAAGCTCCCGTTGAATGAAATATTAGTGAATTCCGAGAATGTCACTTTCATTTTACCACCAAACTTATCGGTTGAAGATTTGGCATGCAACATAGAGAACAATTACAATTTACCGAAGACATTAATTCAAAACTACAAACTTTTAAAATGTGGCAACATTCAAGGCTATTTCAGCATTCTTAAAAGCCTTGAGCCTGATTTATTGCTTATCTGTCTGGATGATCTAGGTCTCCCCACAATACCGCAGGAGATGAATAGGTTCGTGAAGGAGATAATTACAATTGATCAAAATAATGAAGACGTTTATTCCAAGGTTTCTCCTTTGTTCTTCAAATAATGAGACTATGACATTAACACAAGGTGAATCATAAATACGAGTATATTTCTCGAATTTTCTGTAGAGGGCCAATATATAATATAACATCCATTACCAGCCTCTCGAAGATAACTTTTCATTTTGCAGCAACGAATCTATACTCACGCCAAACATGAGTTCTCCTAAATCTGTCGAAAACTCTAATAATTTTTTGGGATCTTTATAATTTGTGGTGGCATTCACAATAGCTTTGGCCAATTTTTCTGGATTCTGGGATTTGAAAATACCCGAACCAACAAAAACACCATCACAGCCTAGTTGCATAAGTAAGGCTGCATCAGCTGGAGTAGCAACACCCCCCGCAGCGAAGTTAACTACAGGTAATCTTTTTTCCTTTATTACCAATTTCAACAATTCTACAGGTACTCTTAATTCATCGGCGTATGATTGAATTTCTTCTTCAGAAGTTAACGAAGCAGCTTTTTCGATTTCTTCATTGATAACACTTATATGCTTCACTGCTTCTGAAACATCACCAGTACCTGCCTCACCCTTGGTTCTAATCATTGCAGCACCTTCATTGATGCGGCGCAAAGCTTCTCCCAAATCCTTCGCGCCACATACAAAAGGAACCTTAAATCCACGTTTGTTGACATGTCTTGACTTATCGGCTGGAGTCAATACTTCACTTTCATCAATATAGTCAATTTCCAACGCTTCTAAAATTTGACATTCTACAGAATGTCCAATTCTAGCCTTTGCCATTACCGGAATTGACACAGTCTCCATAATACTTTTGATCATCTTTGGATCAGACATTCTACACACCTTACCTGAATTTCTCATGTCTGCTGGGATCTTTTCCAATGCCATTACTGCACAGGCACCAGCTCTCTCAGCTAATCTGGCTTGCTCAGGTGTGACCACATCCATAATCACACCTCCTTTCAACATCTGTGCCAATCCTGCTTTTATTTTGAAATCTGTCATCCTTTACTACTTATCAAGAGCAAGATATTCCCTCGACAGAAAGATTACATCTTTAGTGTTATATAGGCTACTAAATTAGTCACCTTAAAAAAATTAGAATGACTCCTTCCTAAAAATGGAGAGAAGTCAATTGAATCGGAGTCATATAGTCAAAACGAAATGAGCTATCTTGACCACTATTATCAAATATAAAGGCACTTAGTTGGTTCTTTGAAATCATAGAACAGGTATTATTACACATGAAAGTTGTAGTAGGGGTATTAGCTCTTCAGGGCGCTTTTATAGAACATATTACTTATTTCAAGAAATCCACAGAAAGTGGGTATGAAAATTATGACTTTGAGTTTGTTGAAGTACGGACGCCCAGCGAATTGAGCAGATGCCATGCCTTAGTAATTCCAGGGGGAGAAAGTACGACAATGTCCTTGGTTGCCGAAAGTAATGGTTTATTAGATCCTATTTCGAAATTCGTCAATTCAGAAAAGCCAGTGTGGGGAACTTGTGCAGGGTTAATATTCTTGTCGAGAGAGGTAGTAAATGGAAAACCCAACCAGAAAATACTTGGAGGATTAGATATTCAAGTCAAAAGAAATGCTTTCGGAAGGCAATTGGATTCTTTTGAGATAGATTTGGACCTATCATCCTTTATACCCAGTGTAAAAGAGTTTCCAACTGTTTTCATAAGAGCACCTGTTATCTCTAAGCTCTTGCAATCACATCAGGAGAAAGAAAACCAAGTTCGTGATATAATATATACAGCTAATGAAAAGCGGAACATCTCTCCCTTAGAGGTCCTCTGTAAACTTTCTGATGGTTTCATCGTAGCCGTTAGACAAGGTCATATACTAGGCACATCTTTCCACCCAGAGTTGTCCGACGACCATCGGTTTCACAAATGGTTTATAGATGAGTTCGTTATCAAATCTTTAAGATAAGGTTTACAACTCAATTCATATAGAGACGTAAGAATAGTGTATCTTTTAGTTTTTATCGTCTGTATGAAAATGCGAAATTGGATCACTTTCTTGAAATAGTTGATACAGGCAATAGTAAAGCAATATAGACACACTATTCTCTATGCAAGAAACAATTGACCGCAAATAACATGCAACATGCTAGAATATATAATCTGTCTAATTCTAAAGCAACCAGAGTAACATCAAGCAATCAGACTAAGTCCGATAGTGTATCAAAAAACTATCCTAATTTGAATATCGGTTCGAAGGCTCTATTAAACAAAAATGCTGGTGCTACCTTGACCGTCGGCAGGAAGAGATCAAGAGAGAATCTCCATGTTCAAGACAAACCAACAGAAAGTCAGGTTACACCAAAGGAAAGCATAAGAAGTACATCGATATCTGATATAAGCTATGCAGATTTAAGAGATACATTTGAACCTGTGAAGGTCACTGTATGGTTTCACGAGCTAAGGACATCTGATGAAGATGTCATTATAGATTCCAATGCTTTGCCGGGATCTAAAGTTGGTGATGTATACGAACTAGAAACTCTTCTGAAGGTCAAGAAGTTAGTTTTCGTAATTGGATATCAAACTTTGAAAGACAACACAGAACAGGCACAAAAATATAACTTTCAGGTATCTTTGATATCTAATCCCTTGCAAAAATTAATGGATTTACCACCCAGGAGTTTGGTACTAATAAAGAAAGTTTCGGACATCTCACTCGTTGAAGCTGACTCTATTGAGATATATATAAAGGACACCAATTTTTCCAGAGATTCAATGTGGGCCTTTTCTTCAAATCTTGTCAATACCTGTTGCTACGTAAGCAAGAGATTAACGTTCTTAGGAAGTAGGACAGGTGTAGTTAAGTACATTTACAAAAACGGAAGGAGGATTTTATCAGCTTTTATTAGTCATAAAACCAAAGTTGTGTTTCGTTCTGAAAGTGCAAATATAGTCTTTTTAATTCAATTGTCTAGAGAAATGTGGCACTTTGAAGAAAATGGGGAAATCATGTTTCATAAGCTCGTGAATAATTTATTCCCCAAGATATTTAAGACGTGGAGAGATTCAAACTCACATCATTCAATATCAATAGTTCTTTTCACTAGCGTCGATCTCACAAATACACCTTGGATCTCATTGTGCCAGGGCGAAAGACCTAAAAACAGAAGAGATTACTTTAGGGTGGTAGTGGATCAAGTAAGTGTATATCATTGGGACAAAATTATGGCGAATTTACGTCTAGAGTTTGCAAACTTCAAAAGAGATATAATGCTAAATACAGAAGGCGACTACTACATCAACGAAGGTGAATCGCTTCCTTCTGTAAAAGGTAACATTTTGGAAGCTATTAATGTGGGTATGACAATGGTTACCGATAGATTCAAAAACACCGACTTGAAGCACACATCAACACATTTTGTTGTTATAACTCCAGGTACCGGATTGTATGATGTTGATTATGATTTGCTACTAAAGACTAGTAAGAAAATGGGAAGCTCAGATAATGCTTTAGATATAATTTGCTTGAGCCAACCTCCATTGCATGTTGTACCTCTCTTTCGATATTCAATGAATGGTAAGATATGTCACTCAGTACCAAACTGGTGCTATATTTCGTTTTACCGCGATAATCCTGGACACACGAGCCAATGGATTCCTCGTTGTAAAATATATGAATTGCAAATGATGGGCGTAATGGAAAACGATGGGAATGAAATTCTGTTAGCAAGATTTGAAGTATTTCAAAATGCGAAATCCGTCGTCGGAGCTATGGAGAATTATGACAAAAAGGCTTTCATGCCTATTAATACCATCAATAAATCTGAAGGCATTTCAAAAGCTATAAAAAATGCTTCCAAACTTGGGCTGCCTGGTCTAAATTCTGTATTATCATTGATCAATGTATCTCGTGGAGAAAATAGTACCGCAAAAACCAATGTTTCAACTACTAATTCGTCCGTATTGGGAACAGTTGCAAATACGGATGCAACTGCCCTCTCTTCTTTATACTTCTTGAACAAAAACACGGAAGAATTTCGCCTGCTTCCATCTTCAAAGTCAAGGAGTATTACACCAGCATCCTCAATCAATAGAATTAAGCCTTTGGGAATCCAGAGCCGACAAACTGATAGCTCTAGCGTCACAGCCGTCAACAAAAATGAGAATAATGAGCATAAAATTAGGGATGCTGTTAGAATAGAAAATCACAGGAAGTCTTCTGTAGAGCCAGAACCTAAGAATGTTTCAGACCTCTTATGGGTTGACATTGATAATCCATCAAAGGATGCGCTGAAAGATATTCTTCGCTATTTCAAGTATGGCAGATGGAACGACGTTTTTCCTACCCATGTGAAGAGAAGGCTAATTAAATGGAGGTCATTCCAGTCTCCAGCTGTGTTGCCAATTACCGTTTCTGCGTTCCCAACAACGAAACAACTTGAATGTGAATATACCTTTCAAATTTATACAGTTATATTGAATGATGAAAATTACTTAGAACTCGGTACTACCAGCGAGTTGATGAGAGAACTAATTCAATTGAGGTTGCTACTTGGATTTCAAATATGCTACAATGAAAAGGTTGTCCAAGTTGAGACAGAGAGAGGACCAGAAGGAAATGCTGAAAAGTTGATTAAATATTTTCCAAAAGGAAGTTGTTATGGGACAATAATATATTTGTCATTGCTTGGAGAGATCCACAGAATTACTTGTGACTATAATGGATATTTGAATATTCAACTTTATCGTAAAATCCAAAACCTGGAGGAAAAGCGAATTAAGCTTGGACCATCACCAAATTATATACCATTGATTAGAACCCGTTATGTGGAAGAGTACAGTCCTGCGAAAGTCGATATTTTGAAAGCGAAGCCGAAAAAGTATAATTGGAATCAATTTGATCAATTCCTTGCAGGCTATGAGGATTCGGTTCCTGATGATAATAAGATCTTTCATCAAATGAAATTTGTCGTTGTTCCATCTAAAATTCCTAAAAATGCGTTTTACATTTCAAATGAGAAATTGACTGACGAAGAAATAAGAGTGGAAGGTCTACGGAAATTGATTGGTATCATAGAAAGGGGTAAATATATAAGGGAGCAGAAAAGTGGCAGAAAAGAAGAAATTTTACCTGATATTAATTTTTACACTGGTAATCTTTATGATTTCTTAAATGAACAAGCTGAGAATTATGATATGACAGGAAATCAACCACCGTTGATGCTACCGGACAGCATTAGATTCAATAAAAACATAAAGCTAAGTCTGTTGAGTCAGGCGCTTCAGGATCTGGCTACAGGCTTGAGGCTTGTCGATAGAACGTGGCACTTCAAAACACATCCTCATTGTTTTATCGGCAGCGAGCTAGTTTCATGGTTGATTGAAGGTTTCGATGACATTGATAACAGAGATCAAGCTACAGCATACGGACAAAATTTAATGGATAGGGCGTTGTTCAAGCATGTTGAAAATAGACATGGGTTCTTAGACGGCCATTATTTCTATGAGTTTGAAGACGAATATAGAGAGAAAAGCAATAAATCTGAGAAGACTAGTTGGTTTAACAAGATTAAGGATAGCGAGACTTCATCAAACGCAAAACAAAGTTCGGATAATGAGCTGCAAAGGTCGCCATACTTGGCGCAAGATTCTATTGGATCTGAGACCTCCTCTCTATCAAAGTCCAAGAAAAAGTTTATTTTAAGTAGAATGGTCAAATTCAATGTTGATCCGTTGAAAAAATCATTCCGAAACGAGCTTGTAACAGTGCACTATGATAGGGTGCATAATCCTGAACATTGTTATCATATTCGATTTCAGTGGCTAAATACTACTTCAAAGTTCATCGATGAAACTATTAACAATTGGAGCAGATTGTGCGATAGACATGGACTCAAACTAATAGAAACACCTTGGGAAGAATTGTGTACAATTCCTTTTACGAATCAGTTTCATTCTTATGTTGAGTTAAAATTGGAATTGAATCCTTGGACTGATCCTGAATTCCTGAATTCGGCGGTTCTAAAGGACAATATATTTCAATATCATTTATATTTATTGAAAAAATCGGGATTCTTGTTAGATAATAGATCTTCTGTGTTTTTTCAGAAAGAAAATATCGAAACAAGTTACAGCTGGGGAAAGCCAACATTTAGATATGCTCAATTCATACATACGACAGGTTACTACATTGTTGAACTACGAACCAAAGGTGATTTCTTTTTAGCGCCGAATAATTATCATATCAAAAGGCTCAATGTATCTTCCATTCAAGACCCTGACGCTCAACAAATCATGTTAGACTTTAGTTCCGCTTGCAAAAATAAAGACTTTTTGCGTCAACTTTTCCGGGAAGCGAAAGCAGCCTCATCAACTCGAGAGCAAGAAAACATTTTAGATGCGGACATCTTACCTTCCTATATATAATTTAATCAAAAGTAGAAATTACAAGCTTTAATTTGCAATTCTCTCGGCAATCCTTATTGTATCTGCTAAGACTCCATGAGCAGTGACATCCGCGCCAGCACCGGCACCTTGGATAATTAGTGGATTAGGATATCTCTCTGTTTTAATCGATACGACGTTATCGCTGCCTTTCAAAGATGCAAAGGGATGATCAAAACCATACTTTTTGATACCAACTGAGGCCCTTTTTTCTTTGAAATCTATTTCTCCTACGTATCTTAATACTTTATTTTCTGATAAAGCATCGTCCTTAAGTTTTTGAATTTCGGAGTCAAAATCAGGCAATCTCTTCAAGAATTCATCTGCACTTTTGACATTCTCTAATTCTTTTGGAATCAAGGATTCAACTGGAAAAGATGTTGGAGACTTCACTTCAAGTCCACAAATTCTTGCTAATATTGTTACCTTTCTCGCAACATCTAAACCATTCAAATCATCCCTAGGATCAGGCTCTGTATAACCTAACTTTTTGGCAATGTTAACGACATCAGAAAACTTTGTTTGAGAATGAGAATCAGGAGTCGAAAACTCGTTAAATATGTAAGACAAAGTTCCAGAAAAAATTCCCTCGACCTTATCCACCTTGTCACCAGTGAGAATGAGATCTTTCAAAGGACCGATTATTGGTAATCCGGCACCAACTGTTGCTTCGTGGTAAACCAAGCCACCTCCATTAGAAGAGCTGTTAAAGATATCTTCCCATAAACTCAAATCCGAGGAAAACGCTTTCTTATTAGGAGTAGCAATAGATATTCCCGCTTTGACGAAATTTGGATAATATTCCGAAATACTTGTATTAGACGTATTGTCCACTAAGATCGTGGGTTTAGATGAAGCTTTCAAAAAGTTGACTAATCCATCTAACTCCAATAATGGCCTTGCTTGTGCAGTTTGGTAGCTTGATAAGTCAACTGGCTTATAGTCATCACTGTAAAGAGCTTCCTTTGATGATCTCGCTAAGTACACAACATTGAACTTAATTTGAGCTCTTAAACTTTTCAATTGGCTGATGAATGCTGATCCAACAACACCTGAACCAATGATGGCAATATTAACAGATTTAGACATGATTTATTTGTAATGTTAACTCTATTAAAGAATTTTTCAATTCACATCCAACTTTGTTCAAGCGTACACGTGATAAACGAGAATATAAGCAGATTATCTAAATACATAAAAACACTAGCATATAGGCAGCTAAGGCCAACGAGATACCACTTGATGCACCAGGTGAACAGCTTTTCTTTTTTCCTGAGTCAGTATCTTTACCATTTATTATGTACGTATAGTTGTTCAATGGTTGTGGCATTAAATTCAAGTCAACTAAGCGCAGGAAGTCCCATTCTATACTAGTTTCTGATTTAAAGCACCAAAAAATCCAGCCCTTCGTCTGCTTCTCATATTCATATAATTGCATTTCTATAAATTTTCTATAGTTCTTTCGGACCTTTGCATCCCAAGAAGACCAATTGTTTATGTTCGAGCATGATCCAATTTTTTCATTTGTATAAGGTTTAGTTCCTTCATAACGACTGCCTAGCCCTACACCGTTTAACCAAGGAGTGCAATCAGTTAATGCCGCCGACCATTCACCCACTACTGCAGGATGGTGTTTCATTTCAGTTTGAATGGATGAACTGTAATCCTTGATGCTTTGTAGCGTGTCGTTTATCGACGAATTTAGGGAGTTAACAGAAAAAACCTGATAATGATGATGATCAATAAGGACATTGTAATTATCAGTTGTACTATTTTTCTTGTCATCATTAGTTAGAAACGAATTCCAATATCCAATTGCTTCAAAAGCATCGTGAATCACAAAAGTATTATTGACAACCTGAGTAGCTCTGGCATCTTCATAGACTTTTTCATAAAAGCTCTTCAACTTATGCATTGATAACTTGGCACCAAGGGGCTCGTTCACAATTTCTATACCCAATATTGTATCTTCGTATTCTTTAGACGAGTTGAGATTCCCGTATTTAGAGAAGATCTGATGCAAAACCTTTTCAGTCAAAGTGATATGTTCCGTTTTGTTAAACCATCCAGGATATCCAATGTCTCTCAAACCAGAATTGTCGAATCCATTTTGAGATCCTGGGACACCGTGTAGATCAATCCAAGCTTTTAAATCATACTTCTTAGCCCAAATTAATGCCTTATCAAGATAACGTTGAGCCCCAGACACATAAGGATCACCAGACATTTTGTGAAATGCCCAATACCCGATGGGAATCCTGACCATGTTGAGACCATAATCTTTTATCTTCGCAAAGTCTTCTTCTGTATACCATGTTTCCCAATGCTTTGTGAGGCGTTTTTTAGCTTCATCATACCCTAGTTTTTTACAATAATGGTACTCATCTACTGGAATATCTGACTCGCTAGCATTCTTTGAAGTATTGAATGATAGAAATAACGATGGCGTAATGTATGGCTCTAAAACTAGCCAACCTCCAAGTGCTACTCCTTTATAGTCAAAGTTTCTTGACGTAAATTTTGGTTGAATAATATCAGTCGATGCGTTACTGCTTGCTTCGGAAATGTCGATAAAAAGATGGAAAATCAAAAGCAAATTTAAACGAAAGTATTGCTGCCAACGCATCCCATCAAGTAATGTCCATATAGTTTAATATTTTAACATACAAATTTGCATAGCCAATAATTCAAGCATGAAATCAATGAAATCTTTCGCGACATATACTAATCGCACTTTACAGCCTTCAAATTGACATATGAAGATTTAAATAAAATCATCGTGTAAGACTATTTCCTGATATATATAAATTATAGTAATAAAATAACATATATGCAAAAATATCCCTCTGTATTTATACTCAAGTATAAATGTAACAAATATAATGCAGCTCACTATACCAACCTTTTAAGAAAAAACTGAGAATACAAAGCTAGTCAAGAGACCACATTACAATCAGAATGAATTTTTGAAAATTCTATTACCAGACCCACATAAATTTCTTACATTTCCCATTCACAATCATCTCACAGTAGCTTTCTAATCCAAATCTGCTTCACTTGGTTTAAATTCAGGAGCACTTGCGGCAGCGCCTGTTGCACCTAAGATATTAGTCACTGCTTTAGGAGGTTGAACTGCTATCATCATCACTACCATTTCATATACATCCTCAGGAACAGATCTTTGATAGATTCCCAATATGTCGGTTGGATTCGGATATACCGACAAGGCCTTGTAAAAGCATAAAGCAGCATCAACCTTCTTATCAGGAGTAGTAGCCAACTGTTCACCTAAAGCCACTTGTTGCATAAAGAAGTTTTCTTTTTCTGCCAAGTCACTCGGGATTGGGTTAGCTTCTAAATCAGCCGATAATGCTTTTTTGATGGTTTCCACTTTTGACTTTTTGCTTTCCTCCTGCTCCTTTTCTGCAACTTTCTGCTGTTTAACTGCTTTCTTCTTCAATGTCTTTCTGAAGTCTGAGGAGTGTCTACGAGTGTAATCGAAATACACTGCATATCCGATCACCGCAGTAGCAGCAACCGCTGTAATAATACCACCTTTACCCATTTCAACAAAAGACTATAAGTTATATGTACAAGCTTTAATTAATAATCTGGAAAATCAAAATACTTTCTGAATACTTCAAAGAGTGTATGGAAAAGAGCCACTCGGCATCAACTTAATTCTTAAGCTTGAAAAATTTTGATGTATTCACCAGCACCGGAAAGTGACACAAATTGAAGTGTCACATGCTGTTACACGTGCCAAATAATAGCACAAAACCTGTTGAAATTGAGGAAAAAGCGAGACACATTATTGGGTGAAGTAAGCCAAAGAAGTTCCAATCCTTCAAAATCATTTAGGGATTAGCATTAGAAAGAATGGCTGAAGAAGCATCTGAACAATCTAAGCAGTATCCAGACTCTAGATTCAAATGGCCAACTCCGTTTGTGAATTTCGCCAATGCTAGTGCATATCCACCATGGAAGCCAGTTGATACAAAGAAAGAAACAACACAGGTTTTCAAATTCACGTTTTATTCAACTGTAGGAGCTTATGCATGGTTAGCATTATGGAAAAGAACTACATTTAAGCTAGGCTTACCCCTTACAGTCGTTGGTTTTACTACCATTGCGACTGCTACAAAAGGTGTTGTTACCAATATAAGAGAAAAGAATGATGCATGGAATACATTTTGGGCAGTTGGTACTGGTAACTTGGCCTGTTTGACCGTCGGGTTCAGAAGTATGCCCGCCAGACACAAAGTCTTAACAGGTATCTCCGGAGCTATTGTGACTGCACTTTTAGACCATGCCTATTGGGCTCAATCTCCAAGTTTTGGAGGCAGAGATACGAAACACGTTAAGGCAAATACAGATCAGGAATTGGAAAAGCAACAGTTTTGGGATGTTTGGAGAAGAAGGCCGTTGTCTCAGACCGTCGAAGAGTTAGGAGCTGGTCGTGGCATATTCAAGCCCTGATTGGTTGGGAATTAGATAGAAGCTATCCTAGTTCTTGTTAGTTAGTATGCATTTCATATTTGGACTGATTAGCTTTCTCTGGAATTGTAAGCTTCATACATAAATGTATAATATTCGTAAAAGTATTGGAGCATTAGTATTGGTATCTAATTACACAAGCGTAAATATGGTTGACTATACAATTGAATAAGGATAATCTAATGTTTTATTTTTTTTCAATTTCCAAAGCTTCTTCTTCTTTCTTGTCACGACGTGTTCCGCAAAAACTTCATCACAAAAGGTCTTTTTCCACTCCTTTATGAAGGATGGATCCCATAATTCACTGGCTATTCCTAAGTCTTTACAACATCTCATTAGGGCATTACTTTTGCACCCTTCCAAAGCTGTCGTTATCTTCTCTTCGCCACCAAAATAATCTTGTTCTCCACGAGCAACACTTACTAGTCTCCCATGGCAAATTAACGCATACTCTCTGCTGATTTGTTTGGGTGTAATTTTAGTTTCCGTTCTTGGTGCTAAACCCCATCCACCCGGGCCAAAAGCCTTATTTAAAATCCTTCTGTATTTAATTTCTGGTAAATAGAGTAGGCCATCAGGTTTTATCTCTATATCGTCTTTAGCAATTGGTGAAAGCAAAATGTTCGCCACTTCTTTGGGAAAAGGTGCAGAACCTAACCCATGAAAAGAGTCTGACCAATTGATTCTATCAGAAACATTCGATACCCCAATCTGATTGCTATTGGGATCATCCTTAAAGTTGATAGGCAATGGGTTCGTCGATTGAGGTGCGTCTTTCGAGGCAGACTCCGTGACAGTATTCACCGCAGAATTAGATTTGTAAGCGGGTTTATATACGACATTTCTTGTTATCCAGATACAATGACTTGTACGGAAGGAAAATCTTCCTGATGAAATGATAGGAGATGACCTTATCATAATGAAATACAGCCAACTTTCAGTTGGTGAGTTCAATGTAAGATTATCATTTTTGTTGGCGTAAACGAATATCAATACTACAATGTGCAGAACTAACAAAAAATATATCGATTGCCTATTTTCTACAGATCATTTCTCCATTTAAGATTGTTAACCAGCCTCGATCATCAGTGCTCCACTCTTTCCAGAGTTGCACCATTTCTCTTTTATCAGCTTTGTCTTCTTCTTCATCCTCCAGTATTGCTTCTTTTGAATTAAGAATCCGTTGGATATACATTTGGCTAGTTATTTCACGATCTTCATCATTCGAAGTACACCACACGGACGCCGATGAGGTAATTTGAGACAGAGAAAAACCATTAGCAAGGGCCAAGTCTCTTAGTGATCTTCCCATTGTAATATTAGATTGTGCTAACAATGCCCTCTTGAGAATGAAATGAGACACAATTTCCTCATAACGCTTCGGGTATATTATAGATGCGCCGGCATCAAAATCTTTACAACAGACAAATGCTCCTGGTTTAGTCACTCGTGTCATCTCTTTCAAGGCCTTGACTGGATCCTGCAAATGAGTTAATACTTGATGCTCATAAACAATATCAAAGGTATTGTCTTCAAAGGGAAGTTCATATACTGAAGCGACTCTGAAATCCACATTGGTTACCTCATTGACTCTCTTCTTTTCCTTGCATTCTTCAAGCAATTCTTCAATAGAATCTATGCCTGTCACAAAACCTTTTGGAACGTATCGAGCAAAGTCTACGGTTATAGTCCCAGGCCCACACCCTACATCCAATACCTTGTGGTGGCTCTGAATAATTGGTATCATAAATGCAATTGCATTTTCGACTGTTCTCCACGAATGGGTGCTGGACACAAACTTATCATGTCCCTTCTTATAATATATTTGATCCTTATCGGTCATATTTCACACAATTAAAAATATGAAGTGAAAGATGATGTTATCCTTGGCACTTTCTCTTAATGCAAATGAAGGGATGGAACAAATAATTCTGTCACACTAATTAGAACGCCGAACGGCACTATATTTAGTGACTCAGAGGGGGGATACTATCTAAGAACAATTTGTAGCAGAGCTCGCACTCCTCTGCCAGCTAACTCGATTGAATTTCACACTCTTGTAATATTTCCCAATGTTCTTAAATATTCTACAATGTGGATCACTAGTCAATATAGAAAAGGACTCATCACTAAGTTGCAGCTTAATATCGACTGAGATTTCTTACTGTCTCAATTTTCTCTCGTTGATAAATGCACATGATTATGACGTGAGCTAGTTTTATCCTCGCTGGACAGGATAGTTTACCTTTTTGAACGTTTCTGGCATACTGAAGGTGCTCATGAACTAAATCAAAAAGAGGCTGTAATTATTGCAAGTCAAGCATAATCTAGCGTTCCTGTGTAAAGTGCTAGCTATGTGTTCCCGGACCTTTCTGGGGAAGTCAGCAAAATAGAGCTTCGAGCACGTGATCAGTATCATGCTCCACCTGGTTAAGGAATAGACACGGAACGCGCAGCCAATAGCAGAGAACAAAAATGCAATTTGTCACTCTCCAGTCCGTTTTGCCGGGTGTACCAGTAACAAAGAAGCATTTAAAGTTTAGGGAAATATATAAATTCTATACATCAATAAATACTTTTAGGAGGATTTTGATATAGAATTAACAGTTGATATCATAATGTTCAAGAATCTCTTACGTTATCTGAGACCAGCATCTAAAAATGTGACAGCCTTGAGAGGGTTGGCTACAAGTGCTGTACCTGAGAAGCAAGTTAAGACTTTCCAGATCTACAGGTGGAACCCAGACACTCCAGAAGTTGAGCCACACATGAAGACGTACGAGGTAGATTTGAATGATTGCGGTCCTATGGTGTTAGATGCCATCTTGAAAATCAAGAACGAACAAGATTCTACTTTGACTTTCAGAAGGTCCTGTCGTGAAGGTATTTGTGGCTCTTGTGCTATGAACATCGGTGGTAGAAACACTTTGGCATGTTTATGTCGTATAGACAAGGACACATCCAAGGATTTAAAGATTTACCCATTGCCACATATGTTTATTGTCAGAGATTTGGTTCCTGACTTGACTCACTTTTACAAACAATATAAGTCGATTCAGCCTTGGTTGCAAAGAAAGGACCACCCTGCTGACGGTCGTGAAAACTTGCAAAGTATCGAAGATAGAGAAAAGCTTGACGGTTTGTACGAATGTATTTTGTGTGCATGTTGTTCAACTGCTTGTCCATCTTATTGGTGGAATCAGCAGGAGTACTTGGGACCCGCTGTCTTAATGCAAGCTTACAGATGGTTAGCAGACTCTAGAGACCAGGCCTCTAAAGCAAGAAAAGAACTTTTACAAAACTCTATGTCATTGTACAGATGTCATACTATTATGAACTGTGCAAGAACTTGTCCAAAGGGTTTGAATCCAGGTAAGGCCATTGCAGAAATCAAGAAAGAATTAGCTTTCGATTAAGCCATAACTTCATAAATTATGAACTGAAGTGCCGCATCTGCATCCAATCTGAAGTGTAGAAGAAGCTTTGAAATTATCTTCATACAAAGATTTTTTGACACTTTTTTTTTAATTTATTTCTCGTCAAGGGTTGGCGATAACTTTCCACATGTTTACATATCCCTTCTCATTCGCATGGAGATAGTATACAATCAGTTCTTGATAATGATTTGAATATATTCCTTATATTTTGACTTTTTTTCTGTAGCTTTCTTTCTGATCACCATTCGTGTAGTCCTATTTCGCGATCCGATTTTCGGGTCTCGAAATGCTAATTTTGCGACAAAGTCCGATTTTCTTAAATTTTCATGGTGAAGTTTGCTTTAGTGACATATTCAGTTGCGGGGGACATTGTTGCAGCCATTAGCCATTCCAGATGATACATCTCCTCTTTAAAAAAAGCGTCTTTTTCAATATATCTCTCGGATAACAGCCGAAGTGGTATAAAAGAGTTACCATGAGTTAGTAGGTTTAAATCAGTTCAATGCTAAAAGATTATTGATCTATATCATTAAACATATTGAACTGCAACTTTGAAAATGTCTAAAGGAAAGGTTTTACTTGTACTCTACGATGGGGGGGAACACGCTAAGCAAGAGGAAAGACTCTTGGGTTGTGCTGAAAATGAATTAGGAATCCGTAGCTTGGTTGAGTCTTATGGCTATGAATTGCTTACTACTACAGACAAAGATCCTGAACCGGAGTCCACTGTGGACAGAGAATTAAAGGATGCAGAGATTATAATTACTACACCTTTTTTTCCAGCTTATGTGACTCGTACCAGAATTCAGAATGCACCTAAGTTGAAGATGTGTATTACCGCCGGTGTGGGATCCGATCATATCGATTTGGATGCTGCGAATGAGAGAAAGATTGCTGTTACTGAAGTCACGGGCTCGAATGTTGTTTCTGTAGCAGAACACGTAGTCATGACAATGTTGGTATTGATCAGAAACTTCGTTGGTGCCCATGAACAAGCTATTGGTGGAGGCTGGGATATTTCTGGTATCGCTAAGCAAGAATATGACTTAGAGGACAAGGTTATTGCGACTGTTGGAGCAGGCAGGATTGGATATCGTGTTTTGGAGAGGTTAATTGCGTTTAATCCAAAGAAACTTTTGTATTATGATTACCAGCCCTTGCCAAGCCATGCCATTAAAAAATTGAACGATGTTTCCAAACTCTTGAACGGGAGAGATAATATTGTTGAAAAGGTTGATGACTTGGGGGAGATGGTCGGACAAGCTGATATCGTAACTATTAATTGTCCACTTCATGAGAAATCTCGTGGATTATTCAACAAAGATCTTATCTCAAAGATGAAAGATGGTGCTTGTTTAGTTAACACCGCTAGGGGAGCAATTGCAGTCGCTGAAGATGTTGCTGATGCTTTAAAATCCGGAAAACTTAGTGGCTACGGTGGTGACGTTTGGTACCCACAGCCAGCACCTAAGAATCATCCATGGAGAAGTATGAGTAACCCTTATAACTTCGGCAATGCCATGACTCCACATGTTAGTGGTACCTCACTTGATGCTCAAGCAAGATACGCAGCCGGAGTTAAACAAATCTTAGTAAGTTACTTTACAAATAAGAAAGATTACAGGCCGGAGGATGTCATCGTCATCGATGGTGACTATGCCACCAAAGCTTATGGTCAAAGATAGTAGCTAATATAAGCTTAGTAAAGGTATTGTTGTTTTTAAAAAACTAAACGTAGATTACTATACGTAAAATATTTTAGCACTAAGATATTCTAAATATGTACAAGGTTGATTATCTGTGATTGATTGTAAGTTGCTTGACCGGTCTGTACGCCCAGTGTAGCGGACACATGTGGTAAAAGCGCAGGACTCTTATTCAGATATGGCTTCTTTTAAAGCTAATCTTCTCGAATGACCATTGAAATATTCTGTTACTTCCTTAAATTCCATTGTTTCTGGATCAGCCTTCATCGTATGTTTATCTTTGAACGTTACTTCTATCGTTGGCCTTTCATTGATGGGAGATTCTTTAGTTAACACTTTGTAGTCTATATTGCATGTTCCCTTCATAGAAGTTGGTATTCTTGAAAGAAAGAGCCTTGCCGGCTTCGCACTAGATGAGAATGGATCAAATTTAACCACTACCTTGGTGAAATACTTGGTTATCATCTTATCATGGAACAGTTACTTAAAGAATGATAATGACTCAGAAAAAAAAAATTACCTCGACATATATATTTCTGTGATTTCCGATTTTAACCCTAATAATTCGAATGTAGATGTAAATGTCGGTTTTAAGGAGCAGCGTTTCACATTCAAGCAATGGCACAGATTCTCCTTCATCGTTGAAAGATATAGATTTCCCAGATGGAGGATTTAGAGGGTATCTGGTAGTTTTGGGACTGTTTTTTGGTTTAACGGTTAATTTGGGCCTTATCAATTCTATCGGAGTTGTACAGGGATATGTTTCTAATCATCAATTAGAATCCCTAAAAGCAAGTCCAATATCCTGGATTTTTTCTATTTACTTGGCTTTAGCTTATTCAGTTGGTATCTTTGTGGGTCCGATCTTTGACAAGCATGGAGCTTTGGGCTTACTTATTGGATCAACGACACTATTGTTTCTAGGACTAATGGCGACTGCTAACAGCACACACATTTGGCAATTTATTTTAAGTTTCATTGCTCTTGGTATTGGCAACGGACTAGGAATGACTCCATTGATTGCAGTAATCAATCACTGGTTCTTGAAAAAAAGAGGAAATTGCACTGGTTTTGCTACTTGTGGGGGGTCTGTAGGTGGCCTTGCATTCCCTTTATTGTTGCGTTATCTTTACGAAGCATATGGATTTGTGTGGGCCATTAGAATATTGGCTTTTACTTGTTTAGGCTGTATGATTATTGCTATTTTACTTGTCAAGGAAAGGTTTACTAGAAATGATATCGTTGCAAAATCAGAGACAGATGTTGACTTGGAAAATAAATCAAAGAAGCTTAGAAACAAATTCAGTCGACTTAGTTTTGCAGACCTCAAGCAAAAAAACTACGTTGCATTGATTTGTGGCGGGTTTTGTGCTGAGATTTCACTAGTTTTGATAATGACATATTTATCGACCTATGCTATTGCTCAGGGTGTAAGTGAATCCACTTCATACTTGCTCTTGACTGTATGGAATGCCACAGGGATCATAGGAAGATTAATTCCTGGATATCTTTCTGACCATTGGGGTAAATTTAACATAAACATCACCATGTTGATTAGCTTTAACATCTGTCTTTTTGTAATGTGGTTACCATTTGGACATTCACTTTCTGTCTTATATGCATTTTCTGCACTTGGGGGATGTTTCCTGGGATCCATTTTGTCTATGCTTCCTACATGTCTCTCGCAGATAAGTCCGGTGGAGCGATTCGGGCTGCGTTATGGTCTCTTGAATTTTTTCCTTAGCTTCGGGAACCTTTTTGTTGTACCAATTGGAGCCGCTGTCGTCAGTACTGGAACCGTTCATGATTATAATATGTTTGTTGTCATGGTTTCAGTGTTGTCTGTCGTAGGAACTTCCTTTTGGACATTAAGTCGTCAATTCTGCGTTGGGCAGAGATTAAGAGTTAAAGTGTGATATTTTATGAAGTCTCTTTGTCACTTTGAAGATAGCTTCTGCTTTACTTGTCACCTACTTATTTGTACGTGTTATTTATAGATTTAATATAAAGTCGATCTTCTTTTAACATTCTTTAGTTAGGTTAATGCTGTGACTGGGCACGGTTAGTTTGTTGGGAACTCATGTCAGATAATTGATAATTATCTCCATACCCAGAGACACTTGAAGCGATATTTTCATTTTGCTCCTCTCGTGGCCGACGCTCTTGCTTTTTTCTGATGATGTTATTATATTTCTCCATTTTCGTGTGTGCCAAGTAGACCCAAGTTAAATAGCCAAGTGGAACATAGGATAGGAGCTGGGTCTTCAATAAAATTTCAAAAATCAGCCCATCATCCACATATGCAAGACTCAAAAAGGTTAAGATCATTTCTGAAACGAAGCCTAGAGGAAACGTTACAAAAAAATGATGATATTTTAACCAAAAGAGCCACCTTGGAGATCCTCCTGTCTTGACCTTGAACGAATAATAGCCATAGTGAATTAGTCCCAGCATACACCATGACAAAATTAGATATGAATAGGAAGTATGTTTGGCTATTTTAGGGCTGGGGTAGATGACACCGTAACAAATCCATACCATTCTAATCGCATTTCCCAAGCTCCACGCGTCACGTAATGAAAACTTCCTTTGAATCAAACCCTTCACGTAGAAGAAGCTGATGAGAGGAGCCAATGAAACCACATGGAAGAAGTCTGCAATACCACCAGGTAAGAATCTTTTCCCTACTAATACTAATAGTATCAAAAACCTGATAAAACAGCACGCCCACAAGGTAGTGAAAACTACATTAAAGTAGAAGACGAACTTAGCGGACTGCGATAAGGGATATAATGAGACCATGAATTTTGTCAGCGTTTAATATAGTCATATACTTCTTTTTCAAGATTCTATTACTATATAATCTGGAACGCGAACTCAAATTTAAGTTTTTTTCGATGGCCCATAATGTAAATAGATGAAGTTGAATATTGAAGAATTATGAACCTATTCAGAATATTAAGCTTTGCGTTCTTCGCTATATTTACAATTGTACAGGCTTCAAACTGGTCACCAGAAGACTATGAAATATTTAATTTGAATGACAAGATTCAACAGGATCTTGGGAAAGGGACAACATTTTACTCTTGGCTAGGTTTAGAAGATGGACCCAAATCCAAACTTGAAGAAATTTCAAAGGCCTATCGAAAAAAGTCGAGGCAACTTCATCCTGATAAGCAATCAAAATCTTCCAAAGCGGCGAAAAAGAAGGCTGAAGAGATGTTTCAGAGGTTATCGCTAGTTGCTAACATTTTAAGAGATCAGTCGTTGAAGAAAAGATATGATTATTTCCTAACAAAAGGATTCCCCAAATGGCGTAAAACAGGCTACTACTATTCGAAGTTTAGACCTGGTTTTATTATGACGTTAGTAATCTTGTTCTTTTTTGCAAATGTTCTTCATTACATTGGGCTCTCTATAAATAGGAAACAAGATTTTAAACGCATAGTTGATTTAAAGCGAGAAATTAAATTACTGGCATGGGGAAACTTGCTATCTCCACCTCTCGATGGCTCAGAAAGAAAGGTATCGGGCATATCAGATAGACAATTTATGGTGCACGCCAATGGCGATGTTTCTCTAATAAAGGACAATGAGCTTGTACCAGTTGATGAAAACGAAATTAATACAAAGCCCTTTTTCAAGGAGACCTTATTATATAGAGTCACAGCCGCTCTTTGGAATATTACGTTGGGCAAAATCACTGGTAAGGAAATGGACACCAGTGTGCTGTTTGAAAATCCTACGAAAAAGACATCGAAGGAATCGCGTAAAGAAATCAAAAAGACAAAGAAAAAGATAGACAAGGATCATAAAGTATTACTACCTAACGGAAAAGTTGCTTATGGAAGATCAAATAAAGGAAAGAAAAAGCTTAATTAATTCTTATTCTAATAAATATGTGATTTTTTCATAAAAATTTGTATGGATTTTTAGAGTTAATAAGACATCGTTTAAGCCGAACATTTGTTTGTCAACTACTCTTTGTGCGTTGGCACTCTTCGTAATTCGTTAGTTGGTTCTTCTTCTCCCTTCCCTTCATCTTCGCCTTCGTCTTCATCTTCATCTTCGTCTTCGTCTTCAGCATCATCAAGATCTTCATCAAGATCCTCATCTGAAGAGCTTGAACCTGACAAGTTACCAAGGAACTCATTTTCATCGTAATTATTGTTGTCATCGTCAATACCTTCCTCGGATTCAATACGTCGCAATGTCTCAGCGGGCGAAATATTTTTCATTCTTACATCGGGCACTTCTGGCTCTTCTAAGTTGTCATAATCATCATTATCATCGTCATGACCACCTTCACCATTGTTTTCATGTTTAGCCTGGGCACTGATATCGTTAATGAAAACGTCGTGGTTCGATTCGTCACCTAAATAAATAACATTCTTTTTGTTTGCACTATCGTAATCATCCAAGTCTAAATATCCTGTCTTTGAGGAATCCAGTCCAGGTCCATCTTCGCCATCTTTTTCGTCGGACTCAGCTCCAAGGACTACATTATAAACTTCCCGGGTTTTGAGTAAGACCTCATTCACAAACCAGCTCCAGTCTTCGGTCAGAATAGCTTTCACAATTTCAGGAGAAATCAAATCTGGTTTATATAAAGAAGTAAACTTGACAACTTCCTCGCTGATAAGAATTATGTGTCCCATATAACCTGGACGAGGTTCAGACTTTGTATTGTATGCCCTTATTATCATACCAGTCAAATCACAGCGATCTGTCTTGAAAAGATCCACAATTAAGAATGAATTGTAGGAATTGAGCTTACCATTGAATATTTGTTGTATCAAGTCAAATACGACATTGTGAAAAAAGTTGTGCCAAGGATATTCCATGAAAGTGGCGATCACTTTAAGTAAGATAGTCAGGTCTAAGAGCTTTATCTTGAATAAGTCACCAACACAGGGATCTGTTCGAATTGACTGGTCTCTATCATTCGAGACAAAAGGATCCTCCGGGGAAATTGTAGGCTCCTCATCTTCTGATTCTTCATCAAATGACTCTAAAACTTCCTTCAAGTTCTTCGAGGGATTAGTTTCTGTGTCAAAATTCTTACTTTCATCGTGTAGCTTAATGCTGTCTACACCTGTGGCAACCCCATCGGCAGAATCATTGAATACTAGACGGTCATTCAAAGCAGTTCTTATCCTGCGATTTTGATCTGCTCTGATACCGTCTCGAACTTCAATAATCTTTTTGATTTTCTTGGAGTTCAACAAAATCATATTCGAACAATGTAGTAATTCAGCGATCAACTCGGAAATCTTAAACTTAGTAAATCCCAATATCTTGGAATCAACATTCGAAGGTGGAATAGGAGGGATTTCCATCAACTCAGTTAACTTCGTTAAGTTTTCTGAAAAAATTGATAACATATGTCCTAAATAAATTGGATCTCTCTGTCCGGGAGGATTTTGATCAAAATCTTTCAACCACTGATACATTACGTATGAATTGACTTCACCAGCGCCATTTTCTCCATTGCTCAATAAAGAACTATAGGAACCACAATTCAAATCATAATCAGAATTATTCTTTCTAATAAGTTCAATAATAATTCCCACGCAGTTGTTAATTCCATGTTTATTAGTTTGATCTAGTCCCCCATTTCTTGATTTCACCTTGTAAAGTATAATGTCGTTAATCATGATGTTAATGATCTTTGGAGACACAAGCTCTCTCGTAAGCTCGTTCGGTCCAATGTTTGTTTCTAGCACAACAGCTAATGCCGTATTAGATGATATTGTGACTAGTGCCTTTATAAAATCAGTCGCAGCTGTTTGTTTGAAAAATAAATCTGGATTGGGTATACCTGAGACCAGATTATCAAACTGAGATAGCTGGGGTCTCAAAATATCTATCAATTTGGGGATTAATTGCTGCAGTGATAATCGCTCTAGTATTCCAGTTGGAGAATCGGCCTTGTCTGTCTGAATGACACGTAAGAAGAAATCCATCAACATTGGTATTTCAATTTTACCTAGAAATATATCAACTAAATCTGGCTGTCGTCTCACATAATTTAACAATTCGATACTATTTGTATCCATCAATTGATCTAAAACATGAACGAGATAAGATACTGAGGGCGAGCACTCCAGTAAGTGAGGAAGTTGAATAATCTTCCAAAGTTTATTCATTATGGCAGGAGTTTCAATTATGCGATTCAGGATAATCCATAGATCGATAGCTAAAATTTCTGAAGAAACTTGTATACACCTTCTCATCCTGTCTTCTTCGCTCTCTTCTTCTTCATCTTTCTCCTTACTTTCTGTCAGCTCAGTCAACTCTACTTCGGGTTCTAAGTCCTCGTCCTCCTCGAGCCTCTGTTCAACATACAGTGATACTCTTTCTTCGTCATCCCTGTCTTCAGAGCTCAATTCGTAAAAAAAATCCACGCTCTTCACCAAGTAGTCAAGAAACCCGTTTAAGACATGTGGTTGTATTAAAATCTCGATAAGTTTAGCCGCCCTTCCATCCTTACTATTGTTGCTTGCATTATCTAAATTTGATGAGCTCACAGATGCCAACTCATTTGCATCACTATTAGCATCGTGTTGCTGCTGTTGTAGATGTTGTTCTTGCTGTTGCTGCTGTTGTTGTTGTTGTTGTTGTTGTTGCTGCTGCTGCTGCTGCTGCTGTTGTTGTTGCTGTTGTTGTTGTAAAAGCTGGAGACTAGTAGTGTTATTGAATGTGCCTTTGATAGTATGTAATTCGTTAACAAGCTCTTGCAGTAAGGTAGGTGAGCTGATCAAGTCCTCAACCGTTACTCCTGCCAAGTCCAGAACTGAGTCTAAGAACTTTTGAAGTCTACTATTGCTGTTCAATGTGTTCGTGAACGGCCAAAAAGACATCTTGTTGATGATCAATTGGTGTACTGATATATTATTTCTATTATGGATATGCTAAGTTGCTTAGAGAATAGCCCTCACTGACCCTCAATCCACAGTTGAAATATATTGATGTCCGATGAAACGGATTTCCTGATAGTATAGTTCGCTTCCAGGAGAAAACACTATATTATACTTTCAGAAGTCCGCAGGCTTGCCGTTAATGATTGTTGAGCTAGAAAGCAGAGTTGGTGATTGTTCGAAATAAATCCTGTATATTATGTTAGATAACTTGAGGTATATACAAATATTTAATCTTTTGTAGGTAATGACTCAATCGCTTTTAAGGCTTTCTTATATTCCTTTTCGTAAAAACTAATCATATCATCAGCTGTATCCTTTAGTAACTTGACACAGTTTGATGCACTATACTTCACCCATTCTTCAATTGACATATTCTCCTCGTTCTCAGGCATAGCCGAAATGAAATTAGTTAGTTCACTGTCAAAATCATTATGAAGATCATTATTAGATAATGCAATTGACTTGAGGTAGTTCGCCGTATCTTCAAGGTTGTTCAATGTATTTAGCATCGGGGATAGAGAAGATGGTTCCCAACCTCTAGCCTCTACGAACGTAGTACTGGTCGGAAATCCCGTATCTTGCTTAGTAACCTGTGGAGTACTAGACTCCAATAGGTTTGCAAAGTTCCCTGAGACTTTATTGTAAGACAGATCAATTTTTAGAGAAGATCTTTCGGCGTCACCTATCGGAGATTTCAAATGATACTCTTTACTGTTCTTTTGTGATTTATTATTATGTGCCGCAGGAGAGCTGGAAGCATTATGCTTAGTGTCATCTTGGAAAAATGAACCTGTCCTTAAATGGGATGGCGAATCGTCAAACTTTTTGGAGACTTCATCATTTTTGCTAATATGTATAGGGTCTTGAGTAATACCAATACTGTGTATTGTGTTCTCTTCGGAATTATCAAATTGACCATTTATGCTTTTATCGTTAATAGGCTCTGGTTCGAGCAACGAAGTTCTAGTAGTCAAGATTTGTTCTTCATTATTCAATTTATGCAACGTGGAAGGTTCTTCCTTTGGTTCTAAGAAATTCGGAAGTCGACCTTGATGAGAAACAGAATCTTCTATAATATCCGCTTCACTTATAATGCTTACACTCCGTACATTTTCTTTGGTATTGTCATTGCTTATCGGACTGTTTGTACTTTCAATCAGATGTGACTGTGGTGATACATTCATATGATGCGTCTTATCACTGCTGGCTCCTGTCAGAGTATGAATTTGTGGACTTCCATTATTGCTAGATCCTGTCTTTTCACGCTTTGCTTCTTCCGATACAGCGTGAATTGCTATTAAATTGTATTCTTTCTCTTCATGGTCAAGACTCTTTCGCTGCTCTACATGCACCTCGTCAATCTTTGACAGGACATTATTAGAGAATGGAGTCGCAAGCTCCAAGAGCTCGTGCTCTAACCCAGGACTCATTTTAGCATTGATCTCAGCACCCGTGCCTTGGATACTATTGTTTGCCGGAGTGTTATTGACAATATCTACGATCTCCTCATTAAAACTCTTAATGTCTTTGATATACCCTGAATAAACAACTTCCTTCTCATCTATGTCCATAGGCTCTCTAGAGTGCATTGAATTATCAATATTTCCAATATAAGAGTCGGTTGAGTCGATCCTTACTTTCGGTGATAATTTTACTGATGCAACTGATTGATTATTGTTCACAACATCACTATCGTTTTCTTTTATCTCTAATACATTAGAATTATTAACATTAGAATTTTTAGAATGCTGTTCTTCTAACTTGGTATTCGGATTATATTTGGAGTCCAAATTCTCTTTACTAGAACTTAAATTTGATTTCTCACTCTTATCTAAGCTATTCTTTTTCCATCCTTGTCGCTTGAAGTGACCATTGCTACCAACATTTTTTACTATTGAACCTCCACTTTCAAAAGCTGCAGAATGATCATCTTCAAAAGACATATCCAATATGTTGTACTCATTTGACCTTTTATTGCTGAAGATGTTTTTGGGAGCTTTGGCTTTCGTTTTTGGTTTCGGTTTCGGTTTCTTTTTCAGCTTCACTTCATTCTTCTTAGAATTTAGCTTCAATTTCAGTGATGACTCCGAGTTTGATACTTTCGACTCTGGCTGTGTACCTACGACAGTCTCCATGCTTACTCTTTCTATCACGGGAAGTGAATCATTTCCTAACTTATTGACTGGAATTTCGTTTTCGAGCTTGCTTACATCTGATTCGTTATAATCACCCAAATTATGTCCTGATATATCATAGTCAGGTGGTGACGGCGAAAAGTGCTTGTTGATGAGTTTCCTCCTTTTAATTGTACGTTCAGACTTCGTCTTTTCATCTAGCTTTACTTCTTTCTTATTAAAAGCACTGACTTTTCCTCTTTCGAACCCATCTTTCTCAAGCTCATCTGGACTTCTTTCACTCGAAACGTGCTCATGAGTAATAGAAGCATCGTGGGTTTGAGCTTTCTCGCTATTTCCCTCTTTGATTTCCAGGTTCGAAGCAGTTTGAGTATTTCTTAACTCTACCTTTCGGTCGTATTTATCTAACTCACGCAGGTTCGAGTCTGATTCTTCTTTATAGGATTCATCAGACTCATAAAAGTCAAAATCCGAATCCCCTTGAGTCTCCTCCTTCTTTCCCATTAGCTCATTATAAAGTTCTCTGTCAGGAAGTTTATTCCAATAGTCATCATTTGGATCGCCAAGAATCTTTGGTTTTTTTGATCTTCTAGAGCGTCTCAATTGCTTCGAGTTATTCGTAAACTCAAATTCCTCTCGATCGTCAAGTCTTTTATCTTCATTTATATCTTCTTCGATTCCTAACATCTTAGGGCTTTCTTCGTTTTTCTGTTTTGAAATATCATTACCAGTTTCATGTTTCTTTGACTGATCAATCAAATCCAAGAAATAACAGTATTTAACACTATTTTTTCTATGCTCCTCAAGTGGATCATCATCTGCCTCCCAACCTTCTAATGAACAATTGCAGTATATGCAGCTGACTCTATCGTCATCCTCAAAAACTGGAGAATAAATGAATCCTGAATGACTTAAACTCTTACTATTTGCCTTGAAACTCCTTGAAGAATCCAAAGGAAATTTTCTACCATAAAATTTCTTTCTGAATAAAATGGAGCTTTTTTCTAAGGGGTGTCTTATCAATGGCGAATCTATCAGGGACCAAAATTTAAGTGATGACTCTTTGGTGTTAAACCGATTTCCTTCTATCTCCAACAACATAATCAATGAAAATAGGCAAGTGTCATTTTTCAGTACATGAGCCTTTAATAGTGTTTCGATATCTACATTCGAGGAAATATTCTCCTTCTTATCGCAATAATAACACGTCACTTGAGTATAATCAGTCTTTATTGGTGTGTAATAAAATCCGCATTCTGCCAATGGCTCAATGACTTGATTATCATTATTGTCTGCCCAGCGTAAAATATTTCTACCGTTACGTATCCTTGCTCCTTCATTGTATGACTTCAAGCGATTAGCCTTATATCTCATAGAAATCTTTACTTTGGGTGGCATAATTCATGTAATTTGATAGATCATAATAGATATCCATGAGATTACGATGCTCTTTTACAGCTTTTTGTTCAAATATTATTTTGATTTTTGCAGATGTGATCAATATTATCAAGATTATACACCCACGTCGTCTTCTTTCCCTAACTCACAAATACGTTATCTTGTGTTTACGATAGTTAAGGTTATGGTTCGTAGATTTTCTGTCATTTTCGAGCACAAAGTTACGAGGTGATCTCAGGAAAACAACAATCTAGTCATTTGTTTATTTAAATTATAACTCTAAATAGAAAATTGAGGTTCAATTCCGGATAGGGTGGTAGAACTTAGAAATGCTGACCGACGAGTAATTGCACCGTCTTCAAGGCCTCGTACTTTAGCTCTGTATTTCCATTACTGTCACCCAAAAAACCCATAATCAAAAGTTTATATTGGCCACCATTCTCCGTATTAATAAAATCAATTAAATCTTGGCCTAAGTTTTGGATCAAGAATTGCAAGTCATTTAAAATTATAATCGTCGAAAGTGCTTTATCAGGTTTAGAAGATAAAATATCCAACATCTTCTTAACAAGTTTAAATGAGTTTTCTTTAAATTTGGGAGCATTTTCCTCCCAAAATTGCTGTGACTTATGTGTTGGAGAGGACCATGAGATTAAGTTGGGGTTCTCCAATTCTGTCAAATATTCGTCTAGAGATGTAAGCTTTTCTTTGACAATTTCATTCAAACTATCAGACAAATCACTTAAGTCGTTAGATAATTCTTCGTCGCTTCCATTCGAAGCAAATTTCCTCTCTTTTAAAGTGCCGACCGTAGAAAGACCATCGTGAAACAAAACAAGTTTGATAATTTTGAACTGTTCCGAATTAGATGTGGTAATTGTGACGAAATTTTTGAGGATCGCAACTGAAACTCTAACAATCTTAGATTTGATCGAATCTTTGGCCATTATAAGTAAACTTCCGATCAATTCAGGATAATTATGTACCAAGCTTCTGTTGATGGAGGCGCTAAAAGACAATATCCAAGCAGTTAGTAAAACATTATACACCAACTGCAAACTAGAATTATTAGGCTGCCTTGACAGACGAGCTATTAAGTTGTTGATTGGTTTGAAATTGGAAATCAAATTATGCCCCTGGTAAATTTCCTTGAAGTTCTTAACAAGCAATAACTCCTGCAATAACTGAATTCCGACAATTTGCATATTTATATCTTGAGGATTACCAATGAAGGAGTCCGACGATAATAAATCAAAAATCCTTATCAAGATTTCTTTGTCAATCTTTGCATGAGGATCAGTTTTACCTTTCTTGGTTAACAAGATAGTCAAGTTGTATAAGCTCAATGTCTTTATCAAAGTGTCGTTATTATCCAAATGCTTCAAAAAAGGATAATAAGGAAGAGAATCATCAACCTTCGATAAATCCAACAATGTATCTAAAAATTCTTGTTTGGGTAAATCTATAAGAAGGTCATTAATCAAGTTTAAGACATTCTTTAATACATCATCCTTTGAATTGACATTTAGTTTGTTCAATACATTGAGCAAAGTATTTGAATATAACTGTAATTGAGACAATATAGTAGAATATTTATTGTCCAATGATTGCTTTTCAAGGATTTTTATGTGGTTGGCGTCATCCTCTGAAATAACATCTGCTCTTGAAAGGCCCTCCCAAGGAATTATTCTTTCCCTAATAATTTTTTTGGCATCAGAAAGGTGCTGGTTATCCACAATTAGAACAGTCTAAGAGTTAGTATTATTCATTCTTAAATCAGATTTCGAAAACAAAAGCTCATTTTCGAAAAAAAAACAAAATAATATTAATGTTAACTTACGGATTCTGAGGGCATTTTATCAATTTAAATAAATCCTATCTGGAGCAGAGGTTTCAATTAAATATAATACGAAGTGACAAATTATCACCATCTTTCCTAATTAAAAGGGAGGGCTATTTTCAAGTATTGGAGTTTACACGACTTGCAATGAAGAAATCAAATACGATTCTGAACTTCAAAGTTGCACCCGAGAGTTCAAGAGCGATTCGAGGTAATCAAGATCACTATCTCCAATCTACAATGTTTATTCAAACTCCGGCATAAGAGATTGAAAAGGTTTTCTGTCTATTAAATTGAAGAAATTTAAGAAATAAAAAAAATCTGCCGGTCCCAGGAATCGAACTTGGGTTTCTTCGGCCACAACGAAGTGTACTAACCACTATACTAGACCGGCCTATTTTGAATTTGTATTTAGAGCACTACAATAAGAGTATACCATATGGAATGTGTTGCAAATTTCATTGAAACTATGCCGCAAAAGTTTACATGATGAGAACGTATTTTGGGTAGATGAAAGCATATTTATAATGACCCAGCGATTAGCAATATAGCTTCGACCATATTCAGCCAATGGCTAAATATATGCCTCAAGACCTTGAGCACTCCCTGGATTTTCATAAAAGTTTGTCAGTAAACAATAATAAATGTATTTGAATTCGTAGCACAGTATTGTAATCATACAACCCGGCAAGACATTATAAAAAGTTCATTCAGATTATATTAAAGAATGTCCAAATGTACATGTTATTAGAGCTTTTGCGATCTCTAAAAAGTTGATACCAGTTCACCCTAAAAACATCGTGTGTGCTAAATTCAGAATATTGGGGAAAAATAGCTGCCAATATAAAGAGTATTACGTATAATGTATCGTATATTGTATCGTATATTGATTAACTTTATTAAGTCATGTTTGATATGTGTATTCTATAAACGACAATGGTTCAGAAACAAAAAAAATTTTCAAGTTACTAAAACGTTTTAAAAAATATAAAGAAAACTGCAATGCAAAATTAATATTATACAAAGTTTTATTCCTTGGTTCATATATTACTTCTCTAACTATCCAATTTCTTATTTTAACTGACCAACCTAAAGACTTCAGTCTTACTTCAATTTAAATTCTGAATAATCAAACACAGCTTCAGTTATCGATAAATTTGCTTTCTCACTCAACTTCGACTCTGCTCATTCCATGGTGATAAACATTAGTCCTACATTCGGCAGCCTGAGGTAGCCTAATGTAGTACAATTACAAGAAAAGAAAGCACCACCATTCAACACGCTCGAAAGCTAGTCACCTTTCTTTGAAGAAAAACGAGAAGTGATCATCACATAAAAATCTAAACTCGTACAGTCATGCATTAGTATTTTTCTTCCATTTGACCTTCTTATTTTTTTACTCATGATTTCTTAGTCAGAACCTGGAGGAAAGTGGAAGTCTTAAGAGTGCCGTGAGAGCTAAATAGACCAAGTTCACCCCATTTTAATTCTTTACTCAAATGTAATATCACTTACCCCGGCTCTGGTCATATGGCAAGGTCTATTCTTGAATACCCACAAACCAGGGATGCCTGACGAGTGCAAGTGACAAGTGCAATACTGACCATTTATATCCAATTTGCGAGATTGAAGCTACAATATACTCATTTTAACGTAATATTTAATTACTATCGCTCACTAGCATATCAAAACTTTTATAACACCATAAAAATAATCAGGTAATATCGAGTCTTCCGATGTACACTACGACGATACATTTGTCCTCTCGTGGCCAGCACCTTATTGAGACATAGGTACTTGCTATAAATTTAGTTACGTCAAATATCTTTCATAAATTACAATTAGAAGGTAGGTAGTCTAGATAAAAGACTAAGAGTTAAAAATCAAAATTCACGATTATCTGAAAGTACTAATGTAATCTTTATCTAATCAGAAGTTTCTCTAGCATATTCCTTGGCCATGTCAGCATCTGGAATAGAGCCACAAATAGTCTCAACAATAATACCAGTAACTAAGTATGGGTCAATATTAGAGGCGGGTCTTCTGTCTTCGAAGTATCCGTAACCTTCTTTAGCAACAGATCTTGGGATTCTAACAGATGCACCCCTGTTAGCAACACCTGAAGAAAAGGCCTCAATAGAAGCAGTCTCGTGACGACCAGTCAATCTTTGTTCATTGTCAGCGCCATACAAAAGCATGTGCTCCTTATGCCTCTTAGCCAATTTACTAACAGCGTCTTCGATATGCTTCATTCCACCTGAAACCCTCATTGAGGCAGTTGAGACATTTGTGTGACAACCAGCACCATTCCAGTCACCCTTCAATGGTTTCGGATGGAATGAGATCTTAACATTGAATTCCTCTGCAACTCTTTGCAACAAGTAACGAGCAACCCATAATTCGTCTCCCATATCGATACCATCACAAGGGCCAACTTGAAATTCCCATTGAGAAGGCATAACTTCAGCGTTAATACCCGAAATGTTTATTCCACTGTACAAACAAGCTCTGTAGTGGGCTTCAATGACATCTCTAGCGTGGACCTTACCAGTACCAACACCACAGTAGTATGGACCTTGAGGAGCTGGGAAGCCTCCCTTAGGCCAAGCATAGACCTGATCAAATTCGTCAAACAAAGTATATTCTTGTTCCAAGCCAAACCACACCTTCTCATCAGAATGAGCTTTCATTAATTTAGCACACTCATGTCTATGGTTAAACTTGTTAGGTGTTCCATCATTATTCCAACATTCAGATAAAACAATGACGTTGTCACCTTTTCTGAAGGGGTCTGGGTAGAATGCAACTGGTCTTAAGTAGACATCTGAGTCGTGGCCCGGAGCCTGCCCGGTAGATGAACCATCAAAGTTCCATTCTGGTAAATCATCGACACTTGCTGGTTTCTTAGCCAAGGTCTTACACTTGGATCTAATACCACCTTCCGCATCAATCCAGATGTACTCAGCCAAGACTCTACCATGCTGAGGTAAGTCTAAATATTTAGATAAAATAGCAGTATGTTCAGCCATATTTTTGTCTTTTTATTAATATAAGTATTTTTATCACAGACTATATGCTTTCTTGCAATGATGTCTGTGTTAGTAAAGCAAACCTAAAATCAACTAGAAATTAAGAATTATTCTAAATTTTCCAAGTCGGCAATTATTACATATATATGTTCTGAGTTTTCCTTAGCTCGATAGAGCTCGAGCTCACAGAAGGAGAAAAGAAAAAAAAAAAAAAAATTCTATCCGGGTTATAGAGGTTTATACTGGTGTTCAAATTCAGGTGCTAGTATCTTGACCAATCAGATAAGAAGAACGCTGATAAGCTATGTTGGCGGCGAAGATGACTGATCGAAAATATCATGCTGGGGAAGAAGGAGCAATAAGGTTCATATCAACTGCTCTCTAGAGAAGAATAAGCTCAAACTGCATCTACTAACTAGAGGAATAAAGTTATTCCCTAACCAACTACTCTAAGAATATTGACAATTTCATCTATTTTGATTCCTTAGTCGGAAGAACAAACCTAGAGCTATTGCGAGGACTTACGCCCGAACAAACTCAGGATCCCCTTATTAAAGGTTTTGCTTTTGTAACCTTCCAGTTTTTCTGCGCTCGTGCAACTTCCGTTCTGCCTAAGTGCAGGTAGTCCTGTTTCGGCCAATCGTTAAGTAAACATATTATATTTATAAGTCATACTTGAGAAGGTCAAGAGAGGGATCAACCTACTTATTTGTAAAAACGCAACTTATAAATGACGCGTAGTATTGAAGCATTCTAAAGTATGTTATCTTAATGTAGCTGTCACTTATTGATTACTACGGTGAGCTGTGAACCGATATTCCTTATCATAGAAGATAAAACCGCAGCGGGGCGACAAAGTAGCAGATAGTGCCTATAGCCGAATATGCGGCTCTCACTATTAATTTGCAGTGAATTAGCTTCCCATAGCGAAAGGATTTCGCTGTCCGAGCGAATAGACGTGTCCCAGATAAGCACTAGAATTAATGTAGAGAGCCTGGCTAATGCAGCCCCTATTTGGTCTCACGAATACAGTTATCATACAAGCGAGCCGATAGATGTTACGCAGCATTGCCATCTAGTACATTTACTATTGTTAGAAAAGGAAGCGGCTGAGCTATCAAAGCTAAAAGGCCATCAAGAAGACTTGTGATCATTCAATCGAAGTCATTTCAATGTCAACTACGTCACTTCGTCAAAATATTTACACTCATGTTTCCTCTTGGAAGCGAATTCATTCCATATTCTACTTTTTATGATTGACATGGATGTGCCAACGAAAACATGGACCCAGGAATCAAGAAATCGACATATGGCTCAGATCATGCTTTTAGTACTCTTGTAGAAATGTGAGCTACCCTTTTGGTCCCATAGTACGATGATATGGTAGTCGATATGCAGGATTAAAAATTTGATGGAGTCACAAGTAAACAAAAGAAAAAAGATCATGAGAAAACGTTAAAAAAATCCTCAAAAAAGAAGGAGCCTTCAAAGACAGTGTGAAAGACAATCGAGGACATGGGCTTGTTCAAGCTTAAAATTTGGCTTCCTTTGGCTATAATAACATATTTTATGTATACTTTGACGGTTGTATGTCCTATTTCCAAGGAAGCAAACATATTACCTGCGGAAGGTGTCTATTATTACACTTGTTCTTTTAGCAATAACTACATAAGACCTATCTTCTTAAGTACTATTGACCCTGTTTTGCAAGAAAAGGTGCATCCTTTTTTTGAAAATAATGTTAGACCGGTATTTGAGGAAATAGATGATAAAATCAACTTTCAACGAAATTACCACCTGTTAGTACGGCAAGTCAAAAAGGTGGAGAGCAGCTACAAGGTAAGATCTAAATTTAATGATTTGTTAAAGGTTTTACAAGCAAAATCTATTAATTTGTTCTACTTTATCAAAGCAAGTACTTCTCCAACGTTAATGGATTGGAGCGATAAGATCGCGTTAGGAATTCAGAAGCTTTATAGAATGATATCAACCCTTGTTCACCTGAGAGTAGCGCCAGCACAATCTAAAATCTCCGAACTATTTTCTTGGGTTTTTGAGAAATTAAACGTAAGTTATTATTGGAGCATGGTAAAAGACGCCTACAAAATCTTGTTAGAGAAGTCGAATAAAATTAACTTACAAGAGAGAACGAAGTTTATTAGAAATGAGCTTAAGAATGTAATGCATTTTAATGAAGTGAAGCATGCAACAACGCAACAATCAGAAAATATTGTTGATGTTGTAAAGGATATCATAAATGAATTTTCAGAAGATGAAAGCGAAGATCTTACAATAAAAGTAACCTCTACAGTGACAGTGACGCGCGAACCTTCATCTTTGACCTCATTGCCAGATCAGGTAGACCAAAGTAAAGTCAAAATTGATGCTGAGCTAGATCGCTGGGGACAGAAGGTGCAAAAAACTTTAAGTCTTGCTGCTCGAAATTTACAACTAGATATGGATCCAGCAGTTGAAGAAGTTATTAATTCAATTAAGTCACAAATTTCTGAAAAACTTCAAAATATACAAGCTGAAAATTTCAAAAGCTATAAAGAACTAGATAAAATGATACGTGAAATAAATAGGGATTTTGAAAAAGTAAAAAGTTCAGAACAGATTTCTGAATCAGTTACAAGGCAAGAAGTTAGGGATATTTTCACTCAGGCATATCAGACTGACGAAAATATTGTTAATGGGATACGAGAAATCATTAATCAAAGTCACAAAGGTATATTAACGAAATACTTTGATGTAGTACAAGATACGATCGATATCTTGGAATCATTTGCTGAACGGACAGTCTTAGAGTATTCGAACAGATTATCGAACATAATAGAAGAACTTGAAAAATCTAGCCCTCATTATGATGACGAATTAACGTGGAATGGTTGGAAACGTTTCCATAAAATCAAAGAAGAGTTTTTTCATGCGAGGGATATGTATTATAATCAAGCAAGCGATTACAAAGATAACAGTGCTCTTATTCCAAGTGGATTGGAAAAATGGGACGAGTATTTGAAAAAAGTAGAGTTTCATATCAGCGCCTTACTTCGTGAGCATGACGACTACTTGAAGATAATGAGAGCGAAGGCGAACGTGGCGTTCCAGTTGAGAGAAAGTGCAGTTAGTGATTTGCAAAAGAGAGTGAACCAGACAAATCCTGCAGAGAACACCAAATCTCATTCCTGGGGATCCGACGTGGAACTAGATGGGAGCGATCGACTTGAAGATGATGCTACGTTGGATAGTAATATTAGTGATCTCTCTGATATTGATGATGTTGGTGATACTGTTGATGAATAACTTGTTTTAATATAGCTTTATATAGTTTAATAGATACTTTGATGAAATAGGCTCTTAAAGTTTATTGGTCGATCATATATTACAGTCATTTAACTTCGGGTATTAAATAATAAGACGTTGATTGAATAAAATAAGTAGTTAAAACCTATTAGAATACTAAACTAACATACATATCGATCATTCATACACACAAAGAAACTCCGCAAAGTCCTTGAATAATAAAAGCAATTTCATTTACGGTATAATGAAGGATAACTCATTTGGCTACTTTTTCTTCATAAAGAGCCTTTAATTTTCCGTAAGTTTCTATCACATGCTCACTTACGTGGTACTCAACTACTTCAAAGTATTCGAAGATCTTCAAGAGCACTGGATAAACAAACTGATAGTACTTTTCTTTAGCGACTTGTAATTTCTCACCAATCTTATATTCAATGAATAAATGGTGAGAATGAACATTCTTATCCAAAAAGGCATGACCAGATTCAACATATGGTGTGGAAAACTTCTCAAACTTGCTCAATGCATCACAAAAGACGTTATGAGAGTGACTCAAAGGATGGAAGACTTGTTGAACTCCATGTTCTAATGGAGATTCGGCCAACTTTTCACACTTGTATGTGTATAAATAGGTGACATAAAACAACAAAAACGTCGAGAGGAAGAGCTTAATCTTTGATAAAGTAATAAAAACCATCTTGAAATAAATTTATTAGATAATTTATAAGGATGTATGACTTTAGAAGAGAAGCAATCGTGGCAATTTATTCAAGCATCTGAATTTTTGAGGGTCAATACTTTCCTATCATGTGATCGTAATTTCAATTAATTCGTTATTATGAAATTTCCTCATTAGGAATGCTAAATTATTGCAAAATCGGCTTTACATAGTGTAGCCCTGCCACTAAAACAAGGTGGAAGTTTAGCTTATTGTTGATTCATTCTGTCACCTTCATTATCTTTATTAAACTGTTACCCCTTATTTCAATATGAATGCTGCCAGGGACAAAGAAAATAGAGATTCTAAAACTAAGCTCTCTACATGTAAGTCTTACTCCATCCTTAGACCCTCCCTGACCAATGTGAATTGCGATGGATATGCTGGGCGTCTAAAAAATGAGAGATTGGTTAGCCTGAGTACTGGATTGGTAAAATTTTCTTTATCACCAGGTAAAAAAGGGAGCACTGAGAAGCTCGGTTCTATGCCATCACTATGCACAAGGAAAGTCAAGCTTCCAGTTTATGTTCCCATAGATCAGGCGTCTCGTTCCATTGAACATAGCGACATCTATATATTGGAAACGGAGGAGAGTCTTTTAAATCAGCTTTTGACCAAGCAGAAAGAGCTAGTAGAATTCGAAAGAAGTGTTGAACAAACTAAAGTACAGTTAATAGAGATTTCAAGAAAACTAGAAAGGCTAAAGGGGCAAGACAACCTAAAAAATGAGCCAAAAGAAACCCAGAAAGTCAGTTTTCTGTCGTTACGGAAATGTGCATCAAGTATATTCGAAACAACTAGACCGCGTACAAAGTATACTGATGTTTCGCACACAGAGTCTAATCCCTCACTTAGTGGTTCTTCAACTTACTTACATAAATTGCAACATCAATTTTCAAATAATGTGAATGAATTGAAGCTAAAAGAAGACTTCTCTTACTTTTTAAACCGACAATCAGTTGAACTTGATGAGCTAACCAACAAAACTTCTAACTTTGTTAAGGGATTATTTGAGAATTTTTCTCCTCTGAAAAACTCCGACGACATTCGCCATGAAGAAATAGCAGAGAGTTCTTTCAACTTTGACAACCTACAAATTTCAACCAGTACGAATACTAAAAATGACTCTAACATTATCTATAATATGGAATCTGCATCAGAGGAAAGATTAAGAATCTCATCCTCTGACGCAGATCATTCTATACTTGACATAGATGATTATACGTCAGATGAAAACTAAACATCTTGCAGTCGCTAATGAAATGGAAGCACTAGTCATCCAACCAACCCTTGGCTCTTTCAATCGCCTTTTCCCATCTCTTCCAGTTGTACCTTCTATCCTTGTCAGGCAACTCAGCATGAAACAAATTGTCGCCAGCTTTTCCAACGCTAAACTTGTTATTTATATCCTCAAAGTCTTTCCATACTCTATCTTTCTCATCTTTAAATGAAAGACCTGCTGCAAGAGCAGCACCTAGTGCCGTACATTCAGATATAGTTGCTCTTTTAACAGTTACACATGGACCTAAGATATCTGCTTGAATTTGTAAAACTTCATCTGCTTTCGACATACCACCATCGACAGCTAAAGAGCTCAAAGGTTTTTTCTCGTTTTCTCCATTCATCGCCTCTTCTAAAAAGTCCTCACTCGTCCCAGCATCATTCGCCATAGCACGCAAAATAGCTCTGACTTGAAAACAAACACCTTCTAAAGCTGCTCTTGCTATATGACCAGATGAAGTATATTGAGTCATGCCAAATATGGTTCCTCTTGCACCACCATCCCAGTAAGGTGCATAAAGGCCAGAAAAGGCAGGGATGAACACAACCCCTCCACTGTTGGACACTTGAGAAGCTAAAGGTCCAATGTCTTTAGCTTCTTCAATCAACTTTAAGTTATCCCTCAACCACTGAATGATAGATCCGGCAACTGCGATAGAACCTTCTAAAGCGTAATGAGGTTCCGAAGAAGTACCTTCCAAGCTTGGGAACCAAAAACCGATTGTCGTCAATGCACCATGCTCAGATATCAATTTCCTGGTACCAGTGTTGTATAAAAGGAAGCAACCAGTACCATAAGTACACTTTGCAGACCCGGGCTTTAATGCTAACTGACCCACCAAAGAGGCAGATTGATCTCCCAAACAGCCACATATTGGTATATTGTTAATAGTTTTCAAGATTTCATATGCTTCGGGGGTTATTTTGTTATGAAAGCCTAAGTTCAGTAAATTAGGAGCCGCGAACGATCCGTAAAACTCCGAACTTGAGACAATTTTTGGCAATCTAATTTTAGTAGGATCAATTCCCCAGAAATCTAATAAATCATCGTCATAGTCTTTTGTATCTAAGTCCATGAAATAGGTTCTCGAAGCATTCGTAACATCAGAAACATAAGCTTTTTCTTTCGTCAAATGGTATATCAACCAAGTATCAACTGTTCCAAACATTAAATTACCGTCAGCTTTTTCGTACTCTTCTCTAATCGTATCGTCATTATCTAATAACCAACGTAATTTCGCAGCTGAAAAATATGTTGATAATGGTAACCCGGTCTTTTGCTTCAATTCTTCTTTTCTATCGTCATCCGTCATCTTTTCAAGATGCTGAACGATTTCCGCAGTCCTAGTGTCAGTCCACGTAATACCGTTACTTAAAGGTTTACCGGTTTTCCTGGACCATAATATTGTGGTTTCTCTCATATTTGCAATACCAATTGCCTTAATTTTATATTTCACACTTAAAGTTGGATTTTGGTTAATCTTTCGTAACGTTATCAAACAAGCAACTAAGCACTGAACTGCATTAGCCAATATATGAACAGGCATACATTCAACCCAACCTGGCTGTGGAAACCTTAAGGTGGGTCCGACGCTAGCAGCATTATTTTCAATAGCTATATTATCCTCTATAGATATTGCAATACCCTCCGCCGTGAAAATCGGTTCATCATGTCTCATCAAGGATGATCTTCTTCTAAACTGTTCCTTATTTTGAGACTCCGCAGGTGCCTCAGATGCCGACGTAGAATATTCAATTTGGTGCTTCGCAAGCTCATGCCCATCCTGACTAAACAAAATAGCTCTGGCGGACGTTGTTCCTATATCAATGGTAGCAACAACAGGTTGCGATGGTGCATTACTATTCCTGCGAGGCATTGTTTCTATCAAAACTAGTTACTTATGTGTAATGAAAGAGCAGCTTTAACAAGGTATAACTCGACCGTATTTTTGTCAGTTAAAAAAAAGGTTTTAAACTTAAAATAATTTAGATATTGGGTTAAAATCTTTCTCCACCTCAGGAACAATAAAATATATAGATTGCCGACCCTTCATTAATATCCAGTACCGAGAACGTTTAAGTTTGCCACGGATCTAAGATGCACACCATGGTACTGCCTCTTAAAAAAATTGCTACTCAGGCTCGAACTGTTTTCAAAAAACACGCGAGAGGCGCAAGTGAGACATTGCCCAATGTGTATTTAAGGAGTTCCATGAGACTATACAATAATAGAAGCAGAGAAGTGATGTCATGAAAAATGTGGAAGCAATAATACAGCACTAACGATTGCTGTGTTCTATTGATCTTAAGATTGACCGATCTAAATTCAATATCGACAGATCAGTAATTTGAAATTCCGTTTTCTTTCTCGATACCGAAGCTGTGGCGTATATGTATCTGTGGGATCCAAAGAAAAAAAGATTTGATCTTCTTGAAGATGTGATCCAGGCGCCTTATTTTGGAGTGTTTCAGGACACCCAGATCATGATATCTTCGGTATATATATATTGAAGGTCGCATTTACTGATACACTTTTTGTTAGTGTTGCATAATTGCTATCGCTTTATTTGGAAGTTTTTTTTATTTATTAGAAACTATCAAATATCTTGCCAACTCTGAAAATTACCAGCCATGGTTAATGTATTAGACTTCGTTTGTGTAGGCATATATAAATATATATTTAGAAGGTGCGATTTCTATCAATCAGGCTCAAGTAAATTAACGTAATACTAACCGAAAACTTTTAATATGTTGTTCAAATCTTTCAGTTTCATGATATTACTACTCTTTATTTTTGCAACAGTGAATTCCATGGTCTTGAAGCAGCAAATGACTTTTCTGGAAAGAAAAGAGGTTATTCAGAAAAGAACTCATCCAGAAAAAATCTTGATTAAAAAAAGAGCAGGGTCCTGCAAAACGAGATCATCATCTAGTGCCAGCGTGACAACTACTTCAACGGATTTTCCAGATGTCTCATTTTCTACTGAAACGACTACTTAGAAAGCATATATGTCTTTGGTAAAGTTTAATAAATTAGCAAGGTAGAGACTATTTACAATAGAAATATTGAAGATGTAGAATGCTGCTGCTGTTAAATAATGTTTGAAATTAAAAATATGTGTGTTTACATCAAATGTCATTCAAACTTGATCTCCATTTTTATAATGCTTTCCTTTGACAAATGCTAGTCCCTCACCAGCATAACTTGATAAAGAACTAACCTCCACAAGACCACCCTCTTCAACAATGCCTCCATTTTCTTTCACCCATTTAGTTCCTAAGCCAAGATAGTGTTTTCTGCAAGTAGATGGTGTATCATTCAATGCTGCATCAGAATTCTTAAGTGGAGAAAATTCTTCTGCCCTGTCTACCTCGAGACAGCCAAACTTCAGAAGCTCTATTGATGGAAAGACATCAAAAATAAACTGTTCCAATTTAATGCCATTAGGTTCTTCAGGTTTATAGGGTTTTCCAGAGCAATCAATAGTTAAAATTTTCTTTTTTGCAATATGAAATGGCAAATAGTCCTGAGAAGAAATCCATTTTGGAATATACCTCTTCAATAAATCGACCGAATAGTAATGGTTTACTATATTAGCAGCTCGCAAAAATAATTTTGAAGGTTCATTAGGATCCATTTCATTACTAAGTTCGCTGGATATCTCACTATACTCAATGACACATGGTCTCTCCTTATCTTTATCTAGGACAATCAATCCGACCTTTTCGCTCGCATCTCTTTTCCTGACGACTTTAGTTCCCAATTCGAGATCTTTAGAGATGGCAAAACCCAAAAATATGGGATCAGCAACTTTGACTAAGGAGTTATCAACACAATACATATGAATGTGCTTGATGCCTCTTTTTTCTATATCTTCTAAGATTCCATTTTTGGACATTGCCTTGTATAAGCCTCCATTTCCATCCGGAGATACGCATATCTTATCTTCAGCCTGTAACAACATCTTGGATCCATCAAGGGTAAAACACGGAAGTGTTCCTTGATCGAAAAAGACAACCTGATCTTTCTTCAAACCAAAGTAATTGTGTTCGCCGAAAAATTTTTCAGTTGGATGTCTTGTTGGACCACTGGTCATTATGTACCATTGGAGATGGGGCGAACTAGATGGAAACTTAACCTTAGCCAACTGCTGAATTTTTAAGATCTTTTCAGCCTGGATTTGGAACAACGATTTGTTAGATGGAAGACCAACATTGTAGCAACCTTTTGGATCTGAAGACCCTAATCTCGTGCCTTGTCCTCCCGCCATCAACAAGATGCCAACTTCATTGTTTGAAATTGCCTTCAACCCTATATCATTCCATTCTTTTTTTGTTTTATTATCAAAATCGAGAGTAGATGCCGTTGCAGTATCAGGAAGCTGAGTAACCGCTCTTGCCAGAGAGCAACCAGGTGAAAACTTGATAGCTTTTTGGACAGTTTCAACTAGCTTCAGAGGATCTTCGATTGCCGAAAGTTGATTTAAAAATTTTTTTTGGCGTTCCTCCGTAAGAGAATCAAAGAACTTGAAGAGATGTCCTTGGTTGGCACTCTTGAAACGTTCAATTAAAGACATTTTGTTGGCAGAAACTTACTAGTCACAATGATATCAGGACCAAAGTACCGAGTACTCTATATTTTTTTCAGAAGCACAAAAGAAAGCCTTTGAAGTTTGATGGATTGCAATCGCGTTTAACTGATTATAAATTCTTTCGTGCTACTTAAAGAGCTCTTAAAGTATTTTACTTGTCCTGATCTGGTCGAAAATTATTTATAGCTATCGCGTAAGTAGGGGCAATTAAACTGAAATTGGAAAAAATGTAAACATCAAGTGAAAAGGCATTGGTCGAGATCAAATTTCAATCGAAGGCAAGAACTTAAATTATTAACTTACTCGGTATTTCAGGGTCAAAAATGAAAAACGATTCTAGAGCATGCAGAGTAATCTATATTCTCTTTTCAATTTCTACGAACAATTTCACAAACTAGGGTATAATATTAAGTTACAAAATGAAGGATAAAGAGTAACCCAATGCTGCAAACAAAATCGTTGCTTTGCTGAATAAAGAGGTTGCATCAGATGATTTTGAAGAGGAAGAAGAAGAAGATGATGACGACGATGAGCTTGAACCATCTGATCCAGAGGAAGAGTCGTAGGCGCCAGACCCAGAAGCCTCTGACAGCGAACTTGAAGAAGAACTTGTCTTTTTCTTGCCGTGTTTGCAAGTGTACTTATGACCTTCTATTTTCTTTTTGCTATGCAAAGAATCGAACTCCTTACAGTCGAACTCTGATGAAGTTGACGCTACTGTAAAATCACCATCGACTTCCTTTAATGCCGGCAAGGTAAAGTTATCAAACTTTCCATTGATATTTACTGCACCTTTGACTGTTTTTAGCTTCTTTAACGCATTCTCCATGTCCACTAAGTCAGAATTGTTATAAATACGTAACTCTCCTCCAATAGATTCTAGATGACTGAAATCAAATTCAGTCATATCATCATTTGCAAAGAGTTGCAAGGAGCCTCCAACCTTTTCTAAATTATCAAGTTCTAATGATTCAAATGTATTATAACCCAAAACAACAGTCCCATTAACTGAAGTCAAGTTCTGGGCTGACAAGCTAGATACGTCCTGAATGGTCAAGTTTGATGCCCATTTTAAGTTATCCAACTTGATCTCGGCATCATCACTATTGAAACTTAATATTAAGTTCTCAGATGCTGATTCTAAAGCTAGATCAATGGTTGAGATATTTTTGTTATTGTTAATATTAAAAGTCCCAGCCTGTTCTAAATTGAACCCATCCAAAGAGCTTAAAGCGGTATCCGAAATCTCTAGGTAATCGACCTTAGAAAGTGGTTTCTGAAGGTTCAAAACGGCAAACGACGGTAACGAAATTAAAGATAATTGTGCAACTTCAGACAAAGAAGAAAAATCAATGGTATGCAATTGTGTATAGGCTTGAACCTTCAAAGAACCTGAAACTTTCTCCAACTTATTTAAATTGATATCTGTTACTGAAGAAGAATTAAAAAAGTCAATGTCTGCAGCAATTTCCTCGACAGAGCTCAAATCTATAGAAGTAATTTCATCACCCGAAACTTCAATGCTCCCACTTAAAGTTGAACAAGAACTCAACTCAGAGACGGCAGAGGCAGCCGTGATCGTAGTCTTAAAGGAACAGGAATTGTCAGCTTGGGCCGGAACCAACAACACAGCTATTATTGTATAAATGAAAAATTTCAACATGCTAGAGTTCAAGGACAGGACTATCGACGACAAACTTCCAGACGAAACTTTCTGCAATTCGAAAACAAAACTACGAAACCATTTTGTACTTGGCGTGAATTCAGCTTTTTATATTCAACCTTAATAAATGCAAACATGAAATGCATTATCCGTCAACTCACCAAGGCTCTAAAGTTTGAATGCACCATGCTTATTTTCCCAACTTTGATCCAATCGTTCTAGCTCAACGCTCAAAAAATGTATCAAAAATTAGGCTCTTTAAGGTAACCGTCTCCTTTACATTCTAGTTTATTTCGATATGTTTATTTATAATGTATTGTCACGTCTCGTGGCGCGTTGAAGATTTCGCGTCATAGATGAAAGCAGTGTGAGCCAGGAACAAAAGACACAATATCGATAAAAGACATCATAGTATAACACAGCCCGTTAACAAGCTTAATGGGGCAACAAAAGTAGACCAAATAGATAATAAGGATGTCGTCTCATAAAGTGAAATTGTACCTTAGTAAAACTGAGCCCCCATGGTGCTGTCATTAACCTACCGATGCAGGTCAGAGTGTGCAACCTTGGGAGACTCTAAAAAGATATGTAGAAAATAAATAGGGAAGTTTGGGTCAAGTTTCATAGGTTCTTTGCTTTCATCAGTCAATATTTAAAAGGTTCATTATGAGTAAAAGAAGAGCACCTTGCTTTGTGGTTTAAATATCTTAAAACATCTATACAAGTCCGGTGTATATTAAAAAATGGCTAGAAGTATCATATATCATACTCTCGTACTATCCCTTTCTTACTCTTAACGAATATGACTACATCTTTTCTTTTATTGATATCTTTGTCACTTCGTTCTCTGAAACCGAGAGCTCGTGACTAAAATAGAACGTCTCATTAGTCAACTTTCGACATTAAGAAGACACAAAACGACATTTCCTTTAACGGAAAAAAGGAATCAAAACATAAACAAAGACTTCACTTTTTACATCAACCTGGCTAAAGGGTGTGGTCATAAACAAAGAAATAAGAAACCCTTTTATCTTTAAGGCTGACTGCACGATGTCTTCACTATCAAAGGAAGCTGAAGAAATTCAGTATTCAACTCTGAAGAGCGTGCTGACTCATAATATGGAGTTCTTGCTGAGCAAAGAGAGTGGTAAGTGTTCCTACCATTAACCAAGGATATCAATGTGAAGCATTATTGTTGCACTTTGATATTCACTGAGATTACAAGATATTTCAGCATACTAACGACTTTATGTCAAGATTTTCCAGGATCATTGAATACTGATATCAAACCTGAGAAAGTAGATGACCGCCTAGTCAATAATAACACTGATATAAGTTTATCTACCAAAACATCGGAAGGTATACCTACAAATGATCAAATTCACAATGAAGTACTTTCATCGAAAGAGTTCAATTCTAGCTCTGAGACATGCATTACTGATGAAGAAGTTGCAAATGACGCGTCAGATGTATTGGACCGAAATTTTAATTGCTCTAATCCTGGGGATTTAAAGAAAACGATAGAAAAATCAAAAGAAGAGGTATTTTTGGAAAACGTTGCGTCTTCAGAACCTGTCTTAGAAGATTCTGCCCGGAACTATGTAAACTCCTCCCCAAATAAATCCATTATGAAGAGAACTAATTCCAGCTCCCCAAGAAAGAGTGTTGTTTTCACAAGTTCAAACCCCGAGATACACCATTATCCTGATTCGGGAAATGCCTCAGTACTATCTGCTGACGATAAGGTCTCCGTGCCCTATATGATGAGTCACGAATGGAACGAATTAAATAACAAATCAAGCTCAGATGGCGAAGGCTCCACCCCACCAGCGCCGCCGCCCCATACTTCATCTAGTTTCACATCACTATTAAGTTCAGGAGCCAAAGATGACATCGATATCTCGTCATTAAATGATATAAGATTAAAACAGGGGAAATTTAGTAACTTATCATTAAATGAAAAAATGGACATTTACCTATCTTCAAAAAACAATCGAGACGATTTGGACGAACAATTAAGTAATCTTCAGAATGCTATGAAACATAAGGCTGATTATAATATTAATCATTTGTCATTTGGCCTTCAAAAGATGGATGAGGATATTGAGAATCCTCTTGACTCGCTTAGCAGAAACTCAGAAATTCAATTAAGGTCTTCAGGTTCATCGCAATCCTCATTGCAATCTTTAAAAGACACAAATAGAACACTAGAATCGATCAATCTTACAGACAAAAATAAGGGGTTACAAGTTCATGATGGAGTAAAAGGCTTCTCAAACGAATTCATGGAATCACTTCTTCCTACGTCCCAAGAGAAGCTTGAGGGTGGTGACACTGAGCAGTTGACAAAGAAAGAAGACAAATCGGAATCATCAGATAATGATATTTTTCATGATTCTTTCAATGACAACACCGAGCAGATTATAATGAATTTGTTAAAAAGTAATAAAATTAACGAGTCTAGTGAAGAAATGGATGCCGTTTCAAGAACTTCATATGGTGGATCATCATTGGCGGAGATAAAAGAGAAGCCTTGTGTTGTGAATGCATCAAATTCACCGCGAGTTGCAATCAAGACAGAAATGCATGAGAAAGGAGAAGAGAAGCAATTATACTCTTCAACAGATCCAGGCATCAAGAAAGAGTATTGCATAAAGTCAGCGTCTTCGATGAACTCTGAAGTATGTGCAAAATATACTAAGGATGAAAAGCTTGATCCAGACGCGCCTCAGACTGATGAAATCACAAAGTTTGATAATTCCAAAAGCACCGACACGGATGAATCCAATTTTTCGGCGCAGTTCTCGCTTAGATTTCATATGGATAGTGATTGGAAACTTGAGGATAGCAACGATGGGGACAGGGAAGATAATGAGGACACAACAAATATATGCCAGCCGAATGTTCAAGTTGAAATGATGCCACCGAAAATGCCGATAACAAAATCGAAGGGAACTCCAATGACGTCAAGTGAATCAATCCAAGAATTTATGGATGCGTCTGACGACCTCACGAAACGTATTTCTGAGCAAAAACTAAAAATTGATGAGGCAATTGATGCTACAATACCGCCTTCGCCAATTCAGGAGATGGAAGAGGCAAGGCTTACCAGTCTGGTAGAGGATGGTACTGAAATATTGGCTAATTCGTCAAATATAGCGCCTCCGAATGGAATTGCTCTACCTCTAGTTGAAATCAATAATAATTCTTTTGATGATTTTACTAGACACTTAAACTCAACTTTGAATACCTATGAAGAATCATTGTCCGCCGAACATGATCAAGAATCCAAGCAAGTTGATTTTATTACCATATGGCGTTCACAAAGAAAACAGAGAAGGGATTCTCAAAAGGACCATACCCAAAATGTTTATAATTTATCAGTCTTAGGTTCACCATCTCAATCCTCATATGTATCGAAACTTATACAACCCGCCAACAAAAAACTCAAAGAGGTCAATGTCATGTCAAGAAGAATAATAAGTCCGGACTTTGAGGACCTCAATGTCAGTGGGTTTTTACCTGAAATATCTGAAGACTCTGGCTTTGAAGGAAAATTTAGAAACATTATAGATAGAAGCACAACCATCAATCTGTTTCACCTGTCCAAGCCTTCAAGTGACCGCTTAGACACTAGAAACATATTGGCGACTAAAGATTCAAGCTATTTGCAAGACGAAAACAGTCGCCAAGAGTTAAGCAAAAAGAGAATTCCTTTGAGAGTTAATACGAACTTCTCTATTCAGCAACCTGCTCAGAAGCCTCAAGCAGAGACTCGTCCATCGAAATTTAAGGTTCCGTCTTTTGAAATAAAAAGAACAGCTTCTCTTTTATCTCCTAGGAACCAATATAACGATATTTTTGAGGATTTGATCGGCCCACCAACCATCAAAAGTGAAGGCATGAAAACTCTACCTAGCATGGACAGGGATGATATAAAAAGAATCTTGAGCGCTAAGCAGGTGCTTACTCAAAATGAATATTCTAATATCAAGTTAAAAGATATACGACCTCAGAAAAATTCTATTGTTCAACCAAACAACGAATATGAGGATCTACATTTACATGCCTCAATATATGACACCTCTACAGATAGCTCTGTATTAGGAGATGGAAGAACTTCTAGATTTGAGCTTTCAAAGGTGCAAAATAATCAAATATTAGGCGGCTTCGGTACTCTCAACGAGGATTCTAGTAATGCTAATTCGATCATTTCGTCTCAAAAGTCAATTCCACCCAAGGTAATGACACATGGCAATCAAAGCTTCCCCGAACCTGAGTCAGAATTTATAGGTTCTCCGGAAAAACCTTCTACAATTTTTAAGACTCCCCCGCTGTCGACGCTGACCGCTGATTTAATCGGACACTGTGACACGAAAACGAAGGATTTAAGCCCTATTAATAGTCTTCCTCAAGTGGAGTTACCGCATACCCCAATTGGGCCAAAAATTCCCCAAACACCAACGGGCCTGCCTCTTAGATCTAACAAATCTAAACCTATAAAAATTGGATCTCCGTTGAAACTAGTGAAGGACGGTAATTCCGTTACCGCCGTAGAACTTATAAAATCCCCTAAGAGCCATTCCAAACATAATTCTTTTAGTGGTAAGGAACTTTTGAACTCGAAGCTTAGAGAATCACAGGGATCAGTCGACGAGAAGGAACATAAGCATGCCATTAGCACCGTTTCTGTTCCTTCCAATATACTTAATACTACAAAGGAGTCAAATGACATAGAAAATTCAGCACCTGTCGCTCCTGGTTTAAAGGAAAGAGGAAAATTATTTTTAAGAGTTATCGCATTGAAAGGAATTCAGTTACCAGACATTAGACAACACAACGCCGACTTCTCGGTGACTTTAGACAATGGCGTCCATTGTATAAAAACTCCCAGTTTCAAAATGGAAACTAATCATGCATTGATTGGAAAGGAGTTCGAAATGACTGTTGGCCATTCTCTTCAATTTATATTGACTATGAAATCAAACTATGAGAGGCCAAGAGGAAAACTCGTAGAAGTGAAGGAGAGGAGAATTGTGAAATCAAAAAATAAATTGAGTAGAATGTTCGGCTCGAAAGACATCATTACGACAACACGGTTTGTACCGACCCAAGCTAGCGACTCATGGGGCTCAAAAATTGCACAAGATGGTTCATTTGCGAGATGCTATATTGACATGCTGCAATACGAGGATCAAATTACGGCGAAAGCATGTAATTTTGACATAGCCTGCTTTAATGAATGGGAAACAATCAGCAAAAATCAAGAGATTAAGAGGGTCAACCCCTACAGGATTTGTATGCTAGAAGTGAAAATGCTATTCATTCCTAGAACGGACCAAAATGAAGCATTACCGACAAGTATTAAAGCTGCGTATGATTGTATCGACGAATTAAAAGAAGAAGTTGGTCTCAGCTACGAAGGCTATTTAGATCAAGAGGGTGGCGACTGTGAGACATGGAAAAGAAGGTATTTCAAGCTTAGCGGCACTTCTCTTATAGCGCATAGTGAGTATACCCATAAAACCAGGGCAAAGATAAACTTGGCTAAAGTTGTTAATGTCATTTATATTGATAAAGAAAATTTGAATAACTCCTCTCCAAATTATAGGAATTTCAGCGATGTTCTTTTGATGGATCAAGTGTTCAAGTTGAAATTTGCAAATGGCGAAATTATTGATTTTGGCTGTCCTGTTAGGTCCGAAAGGCTACATTGGATTTCTTTATTTGAAAAGATTATCCATAGAAATAAACTCCGTCATCAGCCCTGGGCTAAATTAATGATGGGAGAAATTGATTCATCACGTCACGCTTATAGTAACTTAATTTAATATATTGTAAACTTTGTACGACACAATAAACATACAATTAAACTATAACCACCTGTATATAGCCAGAACTGCCTACACATACAAATTAACTGGCTTGAAGAGAAAGAACTCAGATCAATGAGACGGGCAGAATATCAGAAAACATGGATGACGAGGAAGCATATCTATATGGGTCAGATGACGAAGATTCTGTACCGCAGAAGAAACAGAAGGTTGAAAGTAGTGAAACGACTGATGAAACATCAAGAGCAGAAAAAGAAAAAGGACATGATTTAGAGGAAAAAGAGGAAGACAGTGGCGAGAATGATGGGGATACTTCAGAGGAAGACTCTGACGATGATATTGATATAATTATTGGGGATGCACCAAAGACTTCTGACTCTGTGACTACTTCTGGTCCTCAGAATGACACGATGAGCGCTTTAACCGATGTGGATGACGAGGACAACAAAAGATCTATTACAACAATAGTTTCAAACGATCAAATTGGAAAACAGTCTACTATAAATATAAACGAGGTAGCACAGCTTGATGGAAAGCCTTTGACACAGGTTGATCTTGAAAAATTGAAAGATAAACCATGGAGGTTTCCCGGTGCTGATATTTCGGATTATTTTAACTACGGTTTTGACGAATTCACATGGACAGCTTATTGCTGTAAGCAGGACAAATTAAGAGGCGAATTCAATCCACAGAAGGTTATGGCCCAATTACTAAACAGTGGGCTTCCACAACAAGGCTCTGGAACTCCAAAGGCATCAAATATGTCTCCACCAGTTGGTATGCCACCGATGGGTATGATGCCTCCCGGAATGCCTCCTATGGGAATGATGCCTCCTAATATGCCAAATATGCCAAACATGCCAAGCATGCCAAACATGCCAAACATGCCAAACATGCCAAACATGCCAAACATGCCAAATATGCCAAGCATGTCAAACATGCCGAACATGCCACCGTCGATGCATGGGCTCCCTAATATGCCCAATTTGCCTAACATGCCAAATTTCATGAATGGAAATAATAATGGTAATTTTGGACTCCCGCCGCCGCCACCACCACCCCCTTCTAATTCTGCTCAAAGAAAATAATTAATAAAATGCCTTCAAAATAGTTATGATATATCGAATGGCGATGTCACATAATAATTATCATAGAACTTTGTAGTAATTATAATATATATAGATATTTAAGACTATTGTTAAATTGATTGATAGAAGTGCAAATGATTCTGAAAATGAAGGACTAATTCTTCTATTCGTCGTCACTTTCTTCTTCAGCTTCTTTCAACCACTTGATGAAAGGTTTAGCCACTTTACGAACTTTTTTGGAGATTTCCTTCGGAACATATTTTTTAGAAACCTTTGAGCCCCAGTCTATTATGATCTCTTCATTTATAAGTTCTTTGTCATAAACTTTCATAAGAACTTTAGGGAGTAAAGGAAGTAAATCAGGTTTTTCCAAACCAAAAAATCTTTCCAAACCACCTAGAAATGCTTTCTCGAAACTCGAATCAACAATCAACTTGGCTAACAATCCTAAATGTTCGTCGAGTTGAGTAACTATGTCATCATCAAAGAGTGTTTGTGATAAAACCTGCACAGTTTCAGGATATTCTATAATTTCTAACTCTGCAATCTTTTTGTATATCTCGATATCACTCGGTAAATCCTCCTTTGACTCGGCCGAGGAGTTTAATAACCATTCTCCCAATTGCTCAAATTTAGCTTGTCCCTCATTCAACGCTAAGCCTTCTAATTCTCTAGCTCTGGCATCTATAGCTTCTTGTGACATATCGACTGCCCATTCATCGTCTTTGACTTCTAAAGCTTTCAAGGCAGCAGCTTCTGCATTGATCTTCTTTGTTAACACGTCATCATCAGTTTGGCTTTCTGGAGTCGACTGCTTCCCTGAAGCGATGTCCGAAATCGATTTACCCCCACCAACAACGTTAGCAGATGCCGTAGCAGCCTTCTTTCCCTTCTTGCCTCCTCTTGCACCTTCGGGTGGATTTTTCAAAATATATGAAGTCAACTTCTGACTAGGATCAATGATTGAGATATGTCCACAAGCCTTGCAATCTCTCTGCAAGTTATCCTTACCTTTTATTTGAATTTCTGTTTCCGGATTCTTGCAGTTGCCACACAAAACAAATTTATTGATAAAACCATCCAAGGAGTCTTGCAATTCACTTGCCTCATGAACACCATTAACTAAGTATCTATCTTGATTTTCATCAATATTTGTCTGAGCACCAAGTTCAGACCCGAAATATTTAACAATATAAGCTGGGGGTCTTCCTATTGCTCTAGAAACTTCATTTAAATTTACTATGGCCGTTTTAATACCATTACCTCTACCTTCCACCTTGGATTGGATGGGAGGCATTTTATAACGGTAAAATGGATCCGTGTTATCACGACAAATATTTATAAACGACATATTCAATTAACGTAACTATAAGTTTTTAATAATTATCTTGTTGAAGTATATCAGTAAGTGAAATTTTTTTAGAGATCTTAGACACACTTAATGTCGATTTTGTGTCGAAAAAAGTTTTGTGGCACAAATATTTTTGACTTACTATAGCTTAAAATGATGTTCTAAGTACTATGATCCTCTTATCCTAATGTACTAATAAGAGTTTGTAAACTCATTAGGAAAAGCATTTTGCTTCGATAGTACAATACAACGGTTGCTATGAGAGATGTAGCCTTTTATCTTAGAGCTGCTTATGAAATTCGCGAGAACACATTCAATCTCTTCAATAGGGTAACGAAAACTACGATCACCTAGTCCTTTTTTCATAGTTCCATCGCTAGAGGAACATTCTAATGCAATTTGAAATGCACTTAAATCTATAATATGGTTCGTTTTAGAGTCTGGATGTAGCGACTGAAAATATAATACAGTTTTATGAATGAGTCTTAGGTAACATAATCCCTTCAAGCGTTCAACCAAAAGGTATAAATGCTTCTTGAGCAACAAAACTTCGAATTTTTTTATTGATGCCTCAAAATTAAATAGGTTACCTCTCCGTATTGCTTCAAAAATACTGTCCTTGTAAATGTATCTCAAAATAGGATATTCGTTCCAAACCACTTCCTTAGGGGTTAGACGTTTGTTGTATAGCCGTAATGGTAAGAGAATGAGTAAAATCTTTTCAGTCTGCTTTGTTTTGTTTTCTTTGTAGTAGGTGAGAACGTCCAATGCCTTCATCAACTTTTCCTCACTGTTGTTGAAGTCAGCATCATCCAAAGAAAGTAAAGCACTATAGTAGAGATAGGAAACTGCGTACTTCTTACTAGGCAGAATTCCGTTGAGCTCAGGTAACTGAAACCTTGTGTTCTTTATAACCTTCTCCACGGATTTTGCCAATTCTAGTTTACCCAATTTGAAATATACCTGAATTAAAGCTCCCAAAAAGAAGTATAGATCAACTCTTTTACTTAACTTTAAATCCAAGTTTTTATCATTGAGAGACAATTTGAAAGCCTTGTTGATTGTATTTGCTAGTTCCTCGAGAGAAGATAGTTGTGGCATATCCATTTCCAAATCTTGAAATTCAATTGACTCTTCCTCAGGATTTGTTTGTTGCTTGACCTTATACACTGTAATTAGTTCGGTACACGCGTTTATTAGTGCTGTATTGATCCAGTTAGTCTCAGTATTGGCCGCACGTATGAGATGACCAACCAAATCATTTAATGCATCAAAAGCTTTGCTAATATCCTTCTTGAGATAAACACACCTCATCAACCTAAGATGGGCTCTAACTACCTCCCTGTATACCTCTGGCAAAAGAAACAAATCAAACTCACTTGGTTCTAGATAATTAGCCCTTCTTATACCCTCATTCTGGCCCGGGCTTATCGTCAAGCATAGTCCCAATTTTACACCATCTTTAAAATTAAGTGCCAATGCCACTTGCTGTATATACCCGACTAACTGTGCATGTGGATTGGTGTTCGTATTCGTAGTAGGTTTCATCTTAATCTACACTCATCAGCGTTCATGCTATATCTCAATTTCTTTGTGTTGCGTATCTTACCTGTCTGTGTCGTCTGCGCTCTCTTGTCCACAGGCATGACATCTTCACTTTCTTCGTTGGCTTTGTATCGGAAACTAACTGAGCCTTTTTTTCGCATTCAGGCTGATCATACCTGCATATATTACGTCGAAGGTGCCTAATATAGGGGACTATAATGTCTTTTGAGGAGTCTAAGAGTCAAGACAACGGCTTCCTATTGCTCCTGGCATAATCGGAACGACCACCTTTTATTTCATTTACCCTTACGTACGGGAGTCGATGCGATTACTAAACTTCAATAGTTTTTATTACGTAAGCATAGTATATGTATATTTAGTTGAGCGTAGCACGGAACATGTAGACAGGAATCGCTCAAGCCCCAAATATTGTACCGACTTGGACCAAGAGAGATCATTTTTTTGAACACCTACTTTTTCATAAAAGATTACTCAAAGGTTGGTTGTGTTTTCTATGTGCTTAGGAGATAATTGATACAAATCAAACAAAAGCAGGTTTAACTAGGTAATAAGTTCGAAACTTTAAGTGAGAATACGTTTCGGCAGTGCATACTCAGAGGACAGGAGGACGATGAATAACACTAGTAGTAATCACCACAGCAATAACTATGGCAATAATAGTAATTCAGGGAACAGCAACCCTTCACCGCATTCGATATCGTTGACTCCATCGAACTTGAATGGATTTCAGGGCACAACAAGAAGCAGATCGGGTACTTTGTCGTCTCTTTTGGACACTGTGGGCGGCGGCTCTTCACAGTCTATTCCTGATGCCATGTCCCCGGGAGTCATTGGCCAGGGACAAGATTCCCTTGGGTTGCCAGTTATGGATTCAATTTCTATATCACCATCTCCCAGTAGCTACGCAATGGACAATATGGCAGCTGCCAATGGCGGTACAAGAAGAATGAGATCAGGCTCTTTGTTTTCTACCAATTCGATATGGAATGATGATGTTGTTTTAGGCAACTCGCCATCGCAGTCAAGTGCTGGCATGATAGATACCAACAGCTTGCATTCTTACGATGGCTCCGCGGCTAATGGTGTTTCATCAAACGGTGGAAATAGTTTCTTAAGTCCACTACTTGCTGCCCAAAACTCAACGGCGTCATCTAATGGTATAGCAAATGCGAGCTTGTCAAATACGCACATTGGGCAGCGTAATAGATCTTACACAACGACAGCTGCACTTCCAAATGTCAGTCCTCTACCTACGGTAAATTCAATGGGTGAAATTGTGGATAATTTAAATCCCAGGTTAACATCTTCACAGTTTGCGACACCCTCTGGTATGAATAATGATATGAATTATTTGTTAGACAATCTTATCACTAATATGAATACGAATCCAAATCACTCGAGGAATAGGTCACAAACATATTCAGGTACACCGGTAGTATTCCCGGAAGCAGCATTACAATCTTATTTAACTCAAAACTTAGCCCAGCAAGATCAGCAGCAGCACCACCAACAACAACATCATCATCACCCACATCAGCAACAACAGCAACAGCAACAACAACAACAGCAACATCAGCAACATCAGCATCAGCACCAACAGCAACCACAACAGATTCACCAGCCACAGGGTCAAAGACATAATAATCATGGGCAGCATCCCCATCAAGCTCTGCACCAAGTATTGTCTCATCAGCCTGTTCTCATCGATAACTTTGATTTGGCTCAGGTTTCAATTACAACTAATTTTGAAAACACTAATTTGGGACCAACGAAGTTTATTCTATTTGATAACTTACCACAATTCATCGATTCATTAAAGTTGTGGACCATCTTGAGTAACTCACTCGGGAGTCAAAAGACGTTAGGTGGGGTAAGTAGCTTACGGATGACTCTGACTAATAATTCCAAATTGGCTTTAGTCGAATGTACTAACGTTGAAACTGCTATGAACTTGAAGGCTAATTTCAACCATCTCGAATTGGTACCAGGCGTGATTCTCTATGTTGCTTTTGTCAAGTTAAACGATGACACCGTGTCAAAAGATGAAACTGAGCCAGTCAAAATAAAAACGGATACGAAGAAGAGTCCGATCGATATTTCTTTAAATAGAGATCAGTTGATAGGAGTTGTTGATGCTTTGTCTACTGACCACATCGATATGAGGAAGATTGCATCTATGATCAACATGTCTCTGAATTATCCGAAACTGAATTATCAGGATAATTTTGGACCTTTGCCAGAACCCATTCCATTGCGCCAGTTTGATTCACCAAAGCTCAGAGAGTTACGCAAGAGTCTAGAGAATAATGAAAATGAAACCCTGAACTCTGATTCTGATGAAAGTAATAAACCTTTGACTCAATTAGAACTTGAAGAATTGTGTTTGGCTATGTTGGATGAATTTCCTGAATTATGTTACGACTATCTTGGGAATACGATTGTTCAAAAAATTTTCACTGTGCTTCAATCTCCTTTGATCAAATTGATGATGGTCAAGGAAATAACGCCCTATTTAACCCAACTAGGTATTCATAAGAATGGAACTTGGGCTATACAAAAAATCATTAATTTGTGCGATAGCGACTATCAACAAAAATATTTGATTGGTGTAAGCTTGAAACCATACGCAGTTAAGCTTTTCAATGACCAATTCGGTAATTATGTTTTACAAGGATGTGCAAAATTCGGATCTCCATTTAATGACTTCATATTTGAAGCTATGCTCGATAATTTCATAGAAATCAGTTTTGGGAGGTTTGGAGCACGATGCATCAGAACCATATTGGAAGCTGCCAACGAGACTAAGGCAATATCTGATGAACAAGTTGTTCTTGTCGCAGGTTTGATCGTACTGTTTGCGAACGAATTAGTAGTCAACAGCAATGGCTCTCTTTTAGTCACCTGGTTCTTGGATACTTTTAATGGAAGTGGCACGAAATTTGACAATAGATTTGAACTATTAACAAACAAATTTTTACCCAATTTGAATAAGTTTTGCATACACAAGCTTGCGAGTCTTTCTATTTTAAAAATCTTGAATAATCGTTCCGATCTAAGGCTGAAAAGGGCGATCATGGATACTATTTTTGGCAGGTTTGAGGATTTTGACGGTGTCGAGAGTTCGCGTCCGCCCTCTAAGTTATTAGAGCATATTTTAACGGAGAGTCCCGATAATACCGCAGGTCCCTTGTTCATTTATAAACTATTGTCTAATCCATCATTGCTCACTTTAGATGACAATACAGATCCGGAGTTGAACTCTAAATACCAACTGTTTATTATCATGCAAATTAGAAGGTTGCTACTAGAAGTAAATATTGTTAACTTTCAACCTTATAAAAAGTTGATGGATGAAGTTGGATTATCGAGTACAAGGCTCAACAGATCTACGTCTGTTGGTCGCAAGAATAAGAGAAGCGGAAGGGGATCCAAAATTTCCCACTCTCAACATCCGTACCTGTCTCAAGCTCAATTGACGAATTCTTATGCAAATGCGAATACTGTCAATCAATATCCCTTGCAGTATAATGGCCTGAAGTCATCACAGTTTCCTGCAATGCTTCAACAGCAGCATTTGGTCAACAATGTTCCTATAGCCTCTAATTTTTTGGCTCCACAACTGGGTTATTCGCATCAGCAGTCTCAGGAGCTAGCTATGATGCAACAGTTGGAGCAACTTTCAATCAGCTCTGCATCTATGGGATACAGTGCAAACATGGATTCTACTGGAGTTACCAAACATAGTAACCAGTTTCTTTGATTGAAACCATATGTTCGATAGTGACATCTTGTTGAGCTAATTTAAATTGAGTTACGATTCTAAAAGTCCCAATAGACGCAATTATAAAACAAATGAAAATAAAAAAAAAATTAAACAAAAAGATTGCTTTAGTGAAAATGAATTTCCTTATTCATTTCACTGCTACTGAAGCAAAGCTGTATATACTTATATTATATATTCCACATAATGTTTATAAATGCTCCCTCTTTGCTTAGCTTTTGTTTGTTTGTGTCGTGTATCAACCTGTATATAACCGAATCAGAAATGATTAATGGCGTGAGCCTTTCAGTATCACAATTGACTCCTAAAACCAGTTATTGTGTGACAACAACGACAACCCTTGAGAGCGAGTTAAGCATCACAGCTATAAGTGATTCTACTTGCTGTAATACTGCATAAGGCATTACTTGTGTAAAGACACATTATAAGTGGAAGGATTCATTAAACGCCATCGAAGAAGTCTCAATTTCTAATATTATCGGCTCGAAGCATAGAAGAGGTGAAGAATAAATAATAAGCTAATCTCTAGGAAAGGGATACTCTGGGAACTTTTCTGAAAGTGTTAAAGGAACAACTGAACTGCTTTTTGAGGTTAAGTTCAATTAAGCTCGAATAGTTTCAATTATCATTGAGTGATATCATCGGATCTAGCATAATACCACACAGATGAAGCAATCTTCATATAGCATGAGTTCTGATGAAAAGCCTCACTTAGCCCCTATCTCCAATCTAATACATCATTCGAATGAGAGCGATAAAAGTGATAGATATCAGGATATGGACTTCAAGATGGATATAGATGACCATAATGATTATAACGACTTGAGAAAATCAATAATTGGAAACAGGAGATATTCGGAAACTTTACGATCAAGAAATCGTATCCAGCAGCTCAATTACCAAAATTCGCCTTTATTAATTTTGCCGACAGAGGTACTTCTACAGATCTTCAATCACTTGGAGAGAAAAGACCTTTATTCTTTATTAAGTGTTTGTCATGAATTTGCAGATTTAATTGTAGAAATTCTCTGGTTTCGGCCCAATATGCAAAGCGATAAATCTTTTAAGAAGATTAAGGAGTTAATGGAACTCCCTAGGGACAAGACTCATTGGGATTATCGTTTGTTCATAAAGAGATTAAATCTATCTTTCATGACTAGGCTCGTGGATGACGAACTATTGTCATTATTTGTTGGCTGCCCCCGATTGGAAAGGTTAACCCTTGTAAATTGCACAAAATTATCTCACCGACCTATTACGGCTGTTTTACAGAATTGCTTGAAATTACAATCAATAGATTTGACGGGAGTAACTGATATACACGATGATATAATAAATGCTTTGGCTGAAAACTGTACCGGTCTTCAAGGTCTTTACGCTCCTGGCTGTGGAAATGTTTCCGAGCAGTCAATTATACGGCTACTCAGATCTTGTCCCATGCTCAAAAGAGTTAAATTTAACAATAGTAATAATATTACTGATGAAAGCATAATCAACATGTACGAAAATTGCAAATCTTTAGTCGAAATCGACTTACATAATTGCCCTAACGTCACGGATAAGTATTTGAAATTGATCTTTTTGGAACTATCTCAGTTGAGAGAGTTTCGAATCAGCAATTCAGCAGGAATTACGGACAGATTATTTGAACTTCTTCCGAATGAATTTTATCTTGAAAAATTGCGCATTATCGATATAACAGGTTGTAATGCAATAACCGACAAACTAGTCGAAAAATTAGTTATGTGTGCACCACGGTTAAGAAATGTTGTTTTGTCAAAATGTATGCAGATAACAGACGCCTCTTTAAGAGCATTAAGCCAGCTAGGTAGAAGTTTGCATTATGTTCATTTGGGTCATTGTGGATTAATTACAGATTTTGGAGTAGCTTCATTAGTACGCTCATGTCATAGAATTCAATACATTGATCTTGCATGCTGTTCACAGTTGACAGATTGGTCATTAGTGGAGTTAGCTAACTTACCCAAATTGAGAAGAATTGGTCTAGTGAAATGCAGTTTAATATCCGATAGTGGTATTCTAGAATTAGTTCGGCGCCGGGGGGAGCAAGATTGTTTAGAGAGAGTCCACTTATCTTACTGTACGAATTTGACCATTGGCCCCATATATCTTTTACTCAAAAATTGTCCAAAACTTACGCATCTTTCTCTCACAGGAATTTCAGCATTCTTGAGAAGAGAAATTACCCAATACTGTCGCGATCCCCCTCCAGATTTTAATGAGCATCAGAGAAATTTATTCTGTGTATTTTCTGGACATGGTGTTAATCAATTGAGAAATCATCTAAATCAAATTATGGAAGATAGAGCTCACCATATAGATCATGGGGATATGCATGCGTTATTTCATGAACGAAGAAGAAGATTAATGAATGGCGGTATTGACATGGAAGACGAAGAAATGAATGCATGGGCGAGGCAAAGGGGACTCGGATTATTGAGAAATCCGGAAATCACCAATACAGAAATGGCGGAAATAAACAGAGAAATATTTAGGGAGCTTAATGTCGGGGACATGGGTCCTATTGGTATGAGGGAACACTTTCAAAGATTAGTTAGAGATCACCACCAACAAAGGCTTTTGGAACAGCAAAATCAACAAGAACAACAACAAATAAATCCTCAGAATGCACCTCAAATCATTCAACCGGCAGTATTTCCCAACGATGATGAAATTCCAGTTGTAGAAGATGACGAAGACGTTGATATGGATCAGGGTGCTCTTTTCCCACCAACCCAACCATCTAGCTAAGTCGCGTAAGCTCCGATTTTTTGCTGATACTGCTTTTTTGAAATTTGTAACTTCGAACTTCTTTGGTATAGTACTAAAATTATTTCATTAATTAATCTATTTAAAGAATATGTATTTTAATATCTAATCGGTTTTTGTTACTGGTAGATTTCATCTTCATTACAAACACTCTTCAAAATATACTGCCTTTTCAATATCTCCTTTACTCTGCTAGCCATATTTAAAGTTTCTAAACTTTTCAATTTATGTTGCAAGTGCTTCAACATTCCATCAACATTAGACGATTTAGTGTGATGTTGCATATGTTTTGCGCGAGATACTTGCCGCTTGGGTACCGTAAGCGAATCACTATTCAAACACGTTGTAACGGAATGCGCCCTCCGCAAGTAATGTTTCGGGTCATTGGCATGCACATCCATGTGAAAGGGTTCAGAAGGAATAAATATTTTATTTTTCAGGTATTTCATGGTTTCCAAATTAGGTGATTCAAAAAGCTCACGTTCGAACTTCAGAAAATCTCCATGTATGTTTCGATTTAATTCCGATGAACATGCTAAGCTCTTTAGTAGTCGTCTAGTAACCTTTCGTCTTTCAGAAAACTCCTTACTATTATACTTCTCGTCTAACATCAAAATGTCAAGAGGCTTGCTCCTTTCAACGAGTAACTTTTCCGCGTACGAATGTAATTTGCAATTTAGGTACCGCGTACAGCTAGTCAATCTGGTCGTTTTGACACTGCAAGTAAAATCATTTCTATGCATAAAAATACTTGAATTACCATCCAAATTTATGGTGGTACATTTCTCTGAATGATACACTAGTTTTCTATTTGGTGAAGTTATTGTTGATCTTCCATGTTCTCCTTTTGCAGCTACTTGTGATCGCAATTTGCAGTCGGTATTTTTTCTCTTCAAGATGGATTTAGGTGACGGAACAAAACGCAGAGTTGATCTCATAATACTAAGTAGTTCTCTGGTATTCTTGTCGTCCTTCATGACTAGCTCTTTAGTGTCTTCCTGGTGTACTATATCGTTAACTAACATTGCTACATTTGGTTGAGAGTTTAAATGACGAGCATTCTCTCGGATAGTCTCAAGGCTCATCTCAGTCTTTTTGATATTTCTCCAATCTTCAGAATTATAGCTTTCTGGCCTATCTTCGCCATAAAGATCTAGTTTCCTGTGGTTAGCTTGCCTGATTTTGCACTGTATAGCCGCTCAAGAACTTTTGTGTCCGTCAAAGAAGCATACTTACTAGTCTCCAAATCTCCACAACTGTAAAATTCAAACATAGAGTCAGTATACGTGATTTCATTCAAGGGCTTATTTTTTCAAGGTCTTCATATGTAAGTTGGATGTTCTTGTGAACAATGTCTCTTTTGCATCAAAGGACCGTTTGTCTGCGAAATACACACAGACTTATGTTTTTGTGCCCTAATAGTGGTCTAATCACGTTCTTAGCAGTCGTTTTAATCACCTGACTTATTTTTTGTGCTACTGTAGTTCTGTGTTCTCTGCACGATAATTTTTCACCAAATTTTTACTATCGCGAAAGTCTTTAGCAAAGCCAAGTAGTAAAGAAGTCTTTTTACAAGAAGAAATTTCCTATACTAAAAGCATCACGAATAGTAAGAAATGTAAGTAATTACTTCAGAAACGAGATATATGTGGCACAACGACTAGAGAAGAATTGAAATCTGAGAAAGAGGAAATTAGGCCCAATCAAACTAGAAATCTGTTACTAAGAGGGTGCCGTCATTTTATTTTCACAAATGATGTTAAAGATGATGATAAATCCCTTCCTAGATTAATCTCATTGATAGATACAACTTTTATCGCCCTTATTACTTCCCTTTGAAGCGTAGGCGGGTCACGAATATACGCCTTTCATGAAAAGGAACAAATTTAATATCGCCCGTCAGCCCAATGTATCAAGCAATTAATGAATGGAATACTAACATGTAATAGGACTAAAAGAACGAAGAAGGTTGGTATCACTGGTAAGTTCGGTGTCAGATACGGTTCTTCCTTGAGAAGACAAACCAAGAAATTAGAGGTGCAACAACATGCAAAATATGATTGTTCATTCTGTGGTAAGAGAACCGTTCAGAGAGGTGCAACTGGTATTTGGACCTGTAAGTCATGCAAGAAAACTGTTGCTGGTGGTGCTTACAGTGTCTCTACCGCAGCAGCTGCAACCGTCAGATCTACCATTCGTCGTTTGAGAGATATGGCTGAAGCTTAAATCTATTCACAATCTAAAACATGTATGTTTAAGTGTTCACTAGAAACTGCTCTGTTTATATTTTAAAAATTATCTCACTGACATCAAATATAATAAACTTTAAATAAAATAGTACGACGTAGTAGCTATTTCATTTGATTTAATCTTATGATTATATGGCACGTGATAAAAAGACGACCTATATATCGATTAATTACCATAGCCAGGCTTCTCATTACATGAGTATGTCATATTCATTCCCTAAAATCCATTCCTTTCCCCCGTTATATACCAAACAGCCTAATGCAACTATATTTTCAAATCAGCTTGATTCATGGTGTGACATAATACTTTCTTACTGTGAGCACTTCAAAGTACAATCTTTATCTAGCAATGGGATTCCTCTCCATGCACAAGACGAAACGACAAATAAGACAGAATACCCTTTAATATTTGAAAACAAGGGAATCGGAAGGGCTGCCAATGAGGAGCTCAAACAAGCTGTATTCAAGCATCTAATTCACAAATTGTGTAAGGCAGATTATATTGATCCTAAACACCCAGACTTGGGAATAGTAATATACTGGAAGTCATTGGCCGAATGGAGTAATTTGCTTTACAATTATGTGGACTCAGCAGGGCTACGTGGAACTATTTTAACGGTATATGAACTAACAAAACTGGAAGAGAGTCTGGTTCCAAGCCAATTAAGGAATTTGGACCCTAATCTCTTGATTAAGATAATAAAGGAAGTACTAGTTAAGCAAGGGAAAGCGCAAATACTCGTGGATGATACTAATAATGAAATTGGAGGGGTTAAGATCGTATGAAATATTCATTAATAAAAGAGACCTTCTAATATCAAGTATATAAATTTAATGCCCCACTTCTTCGTGAATATTACCTCATGCTGAAGAGATTCCGTATTACGGAGTTGGCAGAGATAAACTATTTCAAATGCTAACATAGGTGCCTATTCTTAATTACAACATTTATTTAGGAAGAAGGTGTATAAGCTGGCATACATTCTTATTACTCTTTCAGGAAGTCTATGAGAACGCGCTTTCAGGAAAAAAAATTCTGTCTTCTCATCTCTCCCTATATAATCTGAGAGCGGCCATTAATCTAACTTAACATCTGCTCTTTCTTCCCGCTTAAATACTATATTTAAGAGGGCAAGTCTATTTAGATTGTAAAGTTATAGATCTAGTAGGGCCTTCGTTTATAAAGAGATCATAGACAAGAATAGTAATAAGAAAGAATAATGAAGTACGTTGTCGTATCTGGAGGAGTCATTTCTGGTATCGGAAAGGGTGTATTAGCATCTTCAACTGGATTATTGTTCAAAACTTTAGGTATTAGAGTGACTTCTATCAAAATTGATCCTTACATGAATATTGATGCTGGTACTATGTCTCCACTTGAGCATGGAGAGTGCTTTGTATTGAATGATGGTGGTGAAGTGGATTTGGATTTAGGCAACTATGAAAGATATTTAAACATCACCTTGACAAGGAATCATAATATAACCACTGGTAAGATTTACTCTAAAGTGATCGAAAAGGAAAGAAATGGTGATTACCTAGGTAAGACTGTACAGGTAGTTCCTCATATTACAGGCGAAATCCAAGATTGGATAGAAAGAGTAGCAAAAATACCAGTCGATGATACTGGTTTAGAACCTGAGGTTTGCATCATTGAGCTAGGAGGCACGGTTGGTGATATCGAAAGTGCACCCTTTGTAGAGGCTTTGAGACAATTCCAGTTCAGAGTTGGAGTACAAAATTTTGCTTTAATTCACGTCTCTTTAGTTCCCGTAATTCATGGTGAACAGAAAACGAAGCCAACACAAGCAGCTGTTAAGGATTTGAGGTCTTTAGGCTTAACTCCAGATATGGTGGCTTGTAGGTGCCAGGAGGAATTAGAGGTTACAACAATTGAAAAAATAGGGATGTTCTGTCACGTTGGTCCAGATCAAGTTATCGCAGTACACGATGTTAATTCTACATACCACGTACCTTTATTATTGAAAGAGCAGAAGATGATGAAGTATTTAGCGAAGAAGTTGAATTTACAGCCTGTCTCGAGTGATGCATTGATGAAAGGTGAAAATTTGCTTTCTAAATGGAGGAATCTAGCAATTAGTCATGATAAATCTTTCGAGACCGTTACAATAGCGCTAGTTGGAAAGTATACAAATTTGAAAGATTCATACTTGTCTGTCATTAAGTCATTAGAACACTCTGCGATGAGATGCAATAGAATCTTAAAAATTGAATGGGTTGAATCTAGCCACCTTGAAGAAAGCGAAAAAACTTCCAACTTATCAAAATACCATAAAGCTTGGCACTTTGTCTGTCAAGCGGATGGTATATTAGTTCCTGGTGGATTTGGGAGTCGTGGTATTGAAGGTATGATAGCAGCTACTAATTATGCTAGAGAGCATGATGTTCCATTTTTAGGAATATGTTTAGGTCTTCAAGTCGCTGTCATTGAATTTGTTAGAAATGTTTTGGGCTACCAAAATTCTACATCCATGGAGTTTGAACCCAAATCCGATGAGACCACTGCATCCGTTGTTTATATGCCAGACGTTGACCAAGTCAAGCTCGGTGGTACTATGAGGTTAGGTATCCATAAGACCAAGTTCATAGCTGACTCAGATTGGTCAGTTTTAAAAAAATTGTATAATAACGAGGACTACGTATTAGAAAGACACAGACATAGATATGAGGTGAACCCCAGATTGATCGATCAGATAGAGAAAAAAGGTTTGATTTTTATCGGCAAGGATGAAACCGAAAAGAGAATGGAAATTTTTGAACTCAAGGGCCACAAGTTCTTTTGTGGAACCCAATATCACCCCGAATACCTATCTAAAGTCTTGTACCCATCGAAACCATTCCTTGGATTAATTGCTGCTTCAGCTGGCATCATGGATAGTGTGCTTGAAAGAGATGACTTAAAGATCAGAGGTGAATTTTAGTACATTTATGATTTATCACTTAACCAACATTTTATATAGATAAGTTAGAATTTATTTTGTTGTTGTTAGCTAGCACTGTTTTGTTGTCGAGATTAACGTAAGAATAATCTCTTTATCGGCCCTAGCCTCCTTGTGAAAACCAGTAAGTAGTAAATTACTATTCGAATTAAGTAACCTGCAACAAAGATTTATTCACGTGACTTACACATAATGATATTGATGATGATAAAGAACTTTGTGGAACAAATGCGTTATTAGTGCTGTAGCCAATTGAGTATTTTTGCGTCACCTTAGTCACGCTTTTAATATTTGCTACATTATAGATCAGAACTATAAAAAGGGCAGTGTCTAAATTGTTTCTTGTATTCATACTTACACATTAAATTAAAATAATCAGCAATGATATCCTACGGTTATAACTTATACGAGCAAAGCGAAAGTGAGTGTTCTTGCGGATCTAGTTGCAAATGCGGAACAGCAGGTACAAAATGCACATGTGGTACTAAGAAATAGTTTCTTAGTGAATCAAAAAAAAATCATGAATTCACATAGTATAATATAACGTGAATGTTTTTAAATCGATTTATTGGGTTTATACGCATAGTTTATGGTACATAAAGGAATAAAAATGAGCTTGATTTTGAATTTAAATTGCAGTCGTAGAGTTGGGATTGATGCAAAGATGTGGGAAAAAGGTATTAAATGCAATAACAGCTAAGGACTGTTTCGTTTTAAATACAGATACACATCCTTTTCATCTTCCATGTCTTCAAGGGCCATGATTTTCTGTATACTTAAAGGTTTGATTTTCTTATTGTCCTCTAAATAAGTTGCAACCTCTTGAACAGTTTTGTATTTTAATAATTTATCATTGAAACCTATATCCGTGATTAAGTATAACCCGACCCATGCTTTGGTATACACGTCACAGATTTCAATACATCTTAAAAAGTTGTCTCGGGCGCTGGTGAGAATAGAGACAGCTTCAATATACTGGTCCCTGGAGTCAATTTTGTTTTCACTTTGAAGGAACTGATAGTAGTAATTCAAGCCTACTTTGTAAAATATTGGATATGCAAAAGGTTCATTCAACAAAATTTCTTTTAGACAAAACACAGCCTCATCATAGTGACCAAGCTTTTGATATTCATCAGCAAGTTCCGCCCATGTTACAAGATCCAAAGGCTGGACGCTTAAATAGTAATTCAAATTATTAATATACTCCTCTTTGTTATTAGTCCTCCTGCTGAAGGTCGTCAATCGCCGTGACAACCTTAGTTCATTCTTATCTTTGTCTAATAAATTCATTGCATCGGCTTCGCTACCTGTTGCTTCGAGATACAACGATTTCAACAATTTCAATCTCTGAGATCTTTTTATATCAAATTGGTCAATCAAGCTATCCAAGAGTGTTTTTGCTTTCACATCATGATTCGTCATCAATGAAATACAAAACTGAAATTCTAGTAAGTTGAATAGGTCAACAGCCTCTAATGACTCAGTATTGAGCAATAAAAATTGATCTAATTCTTCATAGTAGTCATTCAATTCTGCTGGTTTGAAACTCAAATAAATACCTGAACTTGCAACAGATAAGAATTTCTTCTTGATTAGAGTTAATTCTGACATTCTGATTCTACTTTTTCATCTGAGTGGGTTCACTTGAAATGTTTTTTTTTTGGTTTTTATTTTCGTGACTGTGCGATATCTGCTTTTAGTCTCTTCTTTGTATACGATGTATAAAAGAGCCTTCAATCATGTCTGAAGACTTATCGAGGGCTTGTGATACACTTCTCAGAAGTACTTCAATACTAAAGCACAGTTATGGTGTTCCCAAGTGGCCCACAAACCTTTACAAAGGCTCTAAATTACATCCTTTGGAATCTAAGTATGCTGATTTACACAAAGAATTGTCCCGAAAGTTAAATAAGTTGATCTATTTAAGTGAATTGGATGTTATTTACAAATTGGCTCCTATGGAAATAGACTCACAATATCGAGCGATAATCAATGAATTTTCAATGATAGATCCTAATGATTTAAAGAGATTTTTAAGCACTCAGAATGAGAATTTCAAAACTGAACTACTAATGAATGAGTACTTACAAATCATTCTACCTGTTCTACGTTCCGTGCATCATATAAACTTGACCTTAACAGAAAAAGATATTTTGCATACTTTAAAAAGCTTATACGAAGATGAGTCGGGAATAATATATTCATTGATGAATGAGTATAACAGCAGCAATGAGAATCAAGACAAGCTAAATGATAATTATACTAAGATATCCAACTTGTTGTTGAATGCTGTTAAACCAAAAATTTTGAAACTAAATGAGCTTGACAAGGAAATAGAGCTCTCCTCTGATAAACTTATCAATGGCCAGAAGCAACAGGTTGCTGAGGTCATTGATGAGTTAGACTCTACCCCTGAAGGCAATGAGCTCATAGCGGGATTCAAAAGCCTAATTGCAAAGTGGAATTACCTATCTATTTTGTGCGACTTTCTTCCTTCCCTGATTACAAGTTTGCCAACTAATTGGTTCAAAGATGAATCTCTATTTAATATAATAATTGATTGTGAGAAGTTATCTGAAAGAGTCAGAAAATATCAACTACTCGTGAATATTAATAGTTTTGAGAACTTTTCAATTCAAGATTTACTCATGCTTAACTTTGTTGAATTAGAAGAATAGCCTATGTACAATTTTAGTCGATCTATGTTGGTTACACTTGGAATAGTCTTTTATTCACTACATCCCAGTTTATGCAATCCCAGAAGTTTGACAAGTAATCTGCCTTACCTGTAATACCATAATCTTCAATATATGCGTAATTCCAGTAGCTGATGCCCAAAATAGGTAACGTAAAATCTTTGTGATGGTTAGCTGCGAGGTCTTTAATGCTATTCAAATATTCAAAACTTCCTTCGTCAGCTCCTCCATTAAAATCTAACGACTGGTTTTTACCATAATAATATGGAGTACCGTCATTATTACACCTGATAATAGATAATGACTTGTCTGCGCGTTCAACCAAAAAGACCCAACCTTGCCCAAAACCGGAATCTGCCAACAATAAAAACTCATTTCTAAACGATTCGATATCTTTAAAATTCTGATCTGCTAATCTCTCAAGAAGGAATCTAGAAGGCTTTGTTTTTAAAGCATCGGATTTGTTTGTCAACTGTTCAAACACAAAGTGGTTGTTATGAGCTTGGGATGCAAAATGATAAACATTTTGTTCTGTAGTTTGCTTAGCTGTCTTCAATAATATTTGGTATGGTGTTCTTACTTCATTTTCTGTTCCATTAGTTTGTAAACTCAAATTTAGAGTCAAATACTTTTGGTAGTCTAACCACGCTGATTGAAAACCTTTGGCGGTATACAAGCCCTCAATTCCATTCGCTGAAAACTTGTCTTGATTCTTCAAAATAGGGACACTGTGCAAGGATCTGTTCGAAATCTTCTTTAACGATAGGTCCTTAAGACATCTGACGTGGCTCCTAAACATATTAACTAAACCAAACTTGTAAGATTTTTATGATTTGAATCTGGAAAAAATTGAAGTTACAAAAATTATCATTATTTTGGTTCATGCACTATTGTCCTGTCATTACATAAATTGTAAACTATACTAAGCTATGGCTGAGGGAGGAATTCTTATCTCAACTTCACGACTAATGACGGGCATATTTTGAGATACCCAGTTCATGTCCCGAAACAAGCTTTTGGGATCATTTGTCAGTTTTGCCTTAGAGATAAGAGAGCTATAAAGACTTTCTTGAACCTTGTACTCTCTCAAAACCTCGTTTGATTCAAAGTCAACATAAACTCTTGTATCTCTGATTCTAAATATTACGTTATCAATCCTCAAGAAAAACCTGCAAAGCAATAGCAAGCAGGAAGGCATAACTCTTATTTTGGTTGACAAGATTGATATTCCATTGTCTCCTAACTCATCTTCGTATAAAACAGACTCGTCAAAGAATAATATAGGCTCTTGTTTCATTAACTTGGCAATTGGAATCTGCTTTGTAGTTGGCCTAAATTCAATATTTGTCGTTCCCTTGTATCTAGGTGAATATGTCCAGTCGAAAGGTTTCAAGCTATCCATATCAGTTAATCTCGTCAAATCTTTACTAGAACTATCTTTGTTATTCGCCACCAGCAGCGATGAAGTCCTTCTAGAACTTAGCCATTCCTTATGATAGCTTACTTTCAAATTAGAGCTCAGATCCATAGAATCCAATGCATCCAAAGCGTTGAATTCTATTACTTCTTCTGTCTTTCCATGGACTATTTTTACTTTGTTATTCCCAAATATCATCTCTGGGAGCGGAAATTGAAATCTAGTATCATTCAAATCATCTATTTCTTGGGAGCTAAGTATTGGTTGTTTTATAGTGAAAATATTCCATTCATCAACTGCTATTGAAGGTTGATCTTTGAATGGGAATGATGAACGTGGCGATGGTATTATCACTTGACCACAATGATCACATTGTGGATTCAGACAATTGCCTTCATGCATTCCAGAGGGCACTGTTATTTTAGGAGATGATTTGGAGGCACTTCCAATTGGTACCTTCATACTTCGTTTCACTGAGCTGGTTTGGGTTGTTCTTTCCGTTTGCTGGCCATGTGGTAACCTTCCTCTTGTATGTAATTCTACCATGTCTCGTGCATTGTTGACATGGACTGCTTGAATACCAGTGTTGGGAACCTGAAATTTCCTAGGGGTTGTTTCTTTTCCGTCAGTCATTATCTATAACCTCGCCTAAGTTCTAACTACGTGTGATTCGGTTGAATTTATTTTACTATCTACATTTTTTTAAGAATGCGAAGTACTAAAAACAATTTTAATAACATAATTCTAGTTAATCGGATCCTGAGGAGTATTCTTTTAAGACACTTTGATCTTTTCTCAACCCATCTCTTACTGCTAAAACACTATCTGCTATTACAGCATCAACTCCAGCTTTCATCTGTCTTTTAGCTATCTCAGGGTCATTATTCTTCACACCATAAGTAACGCAAACTAAACCGGATGACTTCACAACTTGTGTCAACCTTGGGGCTTTTACTAAAGTTTCCGCTGCACTAACTACACCCAAAAGATTCCATTTTTTTGCAAACCTTATCGCATTTTGTAAAGAAGTTGCTCTTATATCAGCCATGCTAACAGTACCTGCGTCAGTCAAGAACAAGATCGGAATAGTGGGTTGCTTCAAAGACAATAGCAAACAAACATCTGGATGGAAGGACGAAAACAAAATATCTCTACCAGTGGTATTCTCATCATAAACAACTTTTAAGATTGTATCAACATAAAAATTTAAATCAATTGCAATCTCACCCATGCTCTCATGTTCCGCCTCATCAAGCATGGGATATTTTAACTCTATATTGAAACCTACATTCTTGGGAATCTTCTTGAAGAGTTCCTTTAAGGTAACAAAGTTTGAAGCAACTGAAAGCCCTCTCGCATTCCCTTTGAAGCCCTTAGCCTTCCAGGTTTTTGTCAACTTCATCCTTGTGCTAAACTGATCTTTGTATTCTCTCTCTATTTCATCATCTGTATCTGGGGAATTGCCGCCATTCTCTAACTTCGGATATGATGACATTGCTCTCGGCCTATTCATTTTGCTGAGCCATTCATCATCCATGGAATGTTTAACTTTATGAGAATCTTTTGATTCATTCAAATTCAAAAATTGTTCTGCAGTCAAAGCATGCATAGGAATATCAACGCCGGATTCAGCTACTGTGAAATCGTGGTAGACTACTGGAATAAAGTCTTTTGTCAACTGGACATCGAATTCGACGTATGATGCTCCCAATGAAGCGGCTGCTATAAATGATTCGACAGTATTCTCTCCTAATTGCAATGATTTTCTTCCACTAGAATTTTGACCAAGTCCTCTATGACCAATAACTCTAGTTGAGACTAATTGCTTCCAGTAAGTATCTCCTCTTCCGATCTTCATCTGAGGATGATTGAATGATTTCACGTAAAGATATTCAAAATTAACTGCCCCCAATATATCTAAGTTGTTCGCTTCAGTGATCGGTAACGTAATACTTGAATATAGAGATCTTAAATTGGAACCAACTTTAGTATACGCGTTGTTCAATAGTGCAACAGCTCTTCCTAGAATTTTATCTTTTCTATCAATAGAGACCTGATAGGTCGGGACAATGTCAAATGTAATGATAACATCACTAGGAGTCATTCCGTCAATTAACTTGAAGGAAATGGGATCAGTAGCACTTCCATGTTGTCCTTCTAAAGGCATGTCGATAATCACAGGAGGTTCGACAGGTACATTCGTAAGCTTCTGACGACAAGTGATAGATAGTGATAATGCAGTATCTAATTCGGTTAAAAAGCTCTTCGAAAACGAAATCTTATTTAATGACACTGGATCTCTTTTATCTCTAACATCTGTCGACCCCAAAGTAATCAATATCAAGGATTCACCCTTTGTCAAATATCTATGACCAAAGGACTTGATTGGTTTAGGTTTGTGTCTTTTTGGAGATCGAGATCTAGGAATAGATGAAGTAGAACCATTATTCTTCAATTGCTTATATACCTCAGCTACCGCAACACGAGTTTCAGGAAGCTTGTCGATACTTGAAGTCGTAATGTCCTCATTTGAAACTGAATTAGAATTTATTATCGATTGCCTTGAAACATTATTTTCTGGGTGATACATATCATATAGTAATAAATTCTCATCATGCGGCTTCAAAAGATCTGCCGTTGTCAAATGGCCCCTGAGGCAAGCATGCTCCATCGGCAACCATCCAGAGTCGTCCACAATCTCATAATTGCAGCCACCAGCAACTAGGATTTTAACCACGTCTTCAAATCCTTCACTGGCGGCTACGAAAATAGGCGTCCAACCAAAGACGTTTTCGCCAATTTCAGAATTTGCGTTATTGTTCATCAAAAACTCTACCAAGTTTACGTAATTAAGCTTTGATGCAATATACAAAGCAGTTTCATTATTGTGCTCCGGATCTGTGTAATCAACATCTATTCCTCCCTTTATCAAATGTTCTAAAATCTTCGGTGATTCTGACCTCACTGCAAGCAAGAGTAAACTCGGGCAAGTTAGCTTCGATTTAGAATAAATAATTAAATTTTCAGTAGTCTTAGGATGATTACCAATGATTGAAAGATGTAACGGAGTCAATCGTTCTTGGTCACCCCAAATTTCTATGTCATCAATAGAGCTCTTGACCAAGCTGAAAGCGATCATGTGAGATAACAATGATTTCGTGGCATCCTTCAATCCATATTGAGCTCCGTAATGCAAAGGAGTTCTATCATAGTTATCCTTTTTAGTAAGTAATTCCTTGTTTTCCAAATGATCGAGAACATAATTGAGGCCATCGATAGTATTTATAGTTAATTCGACTCCATCAGGCCCATTCATGTTTCCGATAAATCGATTTATATCAATAGTTTCACCCGGTGTCAATTGCTGCTCTTTGATAACTTGTCTTTTACCTAAGCTTGAAATATGCTGATGGAAAAAATTTCTACCGCTAATATCTGACTTGTCAAATAAAGGATCGACATTTCTTTCTTTGGCATATTGCTTAAGAAAATCGATCAATACCTTTATAGATTTCATCGAGTTAATTAAAACAGATCTGTTTAAAAGTGAAAGAAGAAATTTGTGGGTTATTTTGTCGTCCAGGAGCTTTTTGAGTTCAGAGAGCAAAGCATTTGAATCATCTCTAATAATTAGCTCATAATAATGTTCCAAAAACTCCTGATCAAATGAATGTCTTCTTCTCCCAACTATTTTGAGAAAATCAAAACTTTTGTCAATATTCTCCCCAAATTCTTCGTCACTTAAACTGTTCAAGATATTATTAATAATCTTGAGGTTTTGAATCAAGTCGTATTCATTCGCAAAGGGCAACGCATTAACTCTTGTAGACAAGTAATTTTCTTTGTTATTTCTGGTAAATTCATCGGTGTTATTAGCAACCAATGTTAATTTCTTGTCTAGCTTCTTAAGGATTTTAGTGAACCCTTTATGATTGAGTTCGCCATACCATTTCAAATTTCTATATATTGTTCTCAATTCGAGAAGAATGCTAATAATCTCATCCAATTCTTCATTTGACTCAATCTGATGATGTATAGTCTTATTTTTGTACCCCAAAATCAGAATAGTCTTGTCTAACCTGCGATTGTACTCTTTGAACTTATTATTGTAAAAGTTATCTACCTTCTCGATATCCCTATCTAATTCATAAAAGAAAGTTGACAAGACAGAGGCAATCAAATTTGGAATCTCCTTTTCATCCTCAATATTAAGCGACTGATCTATCCCTTTGATTATCTTCTTCAAATGTTTGTAGTTCATGTAAAAAATGGACCACTCTGGGATCTGATGAGTTGCAAAGGTCTTACCAAACTTCATCTCTAAGTTGACTGATTACTGCTGCTCTAGTGTATAATCATGAAGAGTACATATACTGTTAGAATATATCGTCAATTCAAGTAAAAACGTTTGACTACTAGCGCTGCTTATGGCAATCTCTCTACACGTGTAGACAATTGCCTTTCAGCGGACCTCGTTTTTTTTTTCTTCGGTGAGATAAGGAAATTTTTACCGACAATGGTTATAAACGACGTCAAACGGGGATCTATTTATGTTGACTATAGCATAGTCTACTGTGCCACTTTCATTTGCTTCTCATAACAGTGGAATAGTAGAATGGTTGGTATTGTATCTGTGGTTTAAGAGAGTCTCCAGACACCAAAGTTTGTCTGATCACGCGTGCATATCTTGGGCTGCAGTCTCTGCTGAAGACGTTAGTTATTGTCACTGAAAGTAAATAAATCTTCCCCACAAATGACAAATACACAATTGAGCTTTAAAGCAATACCACCATAATGTAAACTTAAATAACTACGTTCGACGAAATTGACATCCTAGCTGATAAGGCTGATCGTGAGCAAGTGTATTAACACTTCTATATTAAAGTTCAAGTTATAACTAGTAATCAAAAGAAAGTCGCAGATGTTCTCTAAGATTGCAAATGGTCAACCACATGTTTACCTTTTTAAGGCTACGCTTTTGAATGTCTTTGCGACTGACCATAGAGAGTGATGGTCACGCTAGAAAGAGTTTTAAGATTGTCTTGACTCCAAATATTATCTGTCACGCCTAACGCTTAAATAAAGAACATCTAACATCTAGTAGTACCGTATTTATTTTCTTGTATACATCTCCCTATTTCTAAGTGTGTCATTGGGCATATAACGATGTGTCCGACTGATACTTCTGGAAATAAAATGACAGTGTCTATTCATCTGTCGGCGTCGCACTCAATTTCCCTCCAAGAAATTTCGGCTGAATATCAAAAACGACATTCGCGTTTACCTGCCGCGAAAGTGAGAAATATTTCCTGATGATAGGTACTATAAAGAAGCTGGCATCAGCTTCTTCCGTCCTACTTCTATTTTGTTTAAAAACCATGTCTGAAAGTATGTATAATAGTCAGTAGCTTTAGAAAGCGATAGCCAAAACTGCCCTCGCAAAAGCAAAAGAAAAGGATTATATATTGATCTTCTATTCTTATCGCTATCCTTTTATCTGATAATGCAACAAATACTAATAATAGCGGTTTAGTTGAACAAAAATTCCATCCAAACAAAAAAACTACTATTGTCACAGCACCATTCTCAGGTGGGCAACCAAAAGGTGGTGTGGAGCTTGGCCCAAGTTACATCTTAAATGCTGGCTTTGCTGAACAGATCAAGAACTTAGGTTGGGATGTCGAGGTTATAGAACCGTTAGAAAGCATTCAAGCAGAAGCTTCGAAGAGTGATAAAAAAGATAAGTTTGGTGTTAAAAACTCCAAACTTGTGAGCGAAGTTTGCAAGACGTTATATAACTCTCTCACATCGGTGAATAATGCTGGCCGTTTACCAATCACAGTAGGCGGTGACCATTCAATTGGTATGGCAACAGTGAGTGCTATGTTGGATCATAATCCTGACACTTGCGTTCTTTGGATTGACGCTCATGCTGATATAAACTCCCCAGTAACTTCGGACTCGGGTAATTTGCATGGTTGTCCAATGTCTTTCGTCATGGGAATTGATAAAGACTCATATCCACCTGATTTCTCTTGGGTACCTCAAAAACTTAAACCAAATAAAATAGCTTACATAGGATTGAGGGATGTCGACGATGGAGAGAAGAAAATATTACGGGAAAATAACATTGCTGCGTATTCCATGTACCATATCGACAAATATGGTATTGCAAAAGTTATAGAGATGGCCTTAGATAAGGTCAATCCTAAGCGAGAGTTTCCGATTCATTTATCTTACGATGTTGATGCAATTGATCCTTTTTTTGTGCCTGCCACAGGAACCAGGGTTGAAGGCGGTTTAACATTAAGAGAAGGTTTGTTTATTGCTGAAGAAGTTGCTCAAACTGGCTTACTTGGGTCCTTAGATATTGTCGAGACGAATCCATTGCTAGGCGAAAGTGATGCTCATGTTTTAGATACAGTAAGTGCAGCATGTGCAATTGGAAGGTGCGCAATGGGACAAACCTTATTATAGATACATGTATGCACAAATAAAATCTAGATAGTAATAAATGAACCCACAAAGTTCTGAACTTATGTAAGACTTTATGTTCCTGAAAGCTAAAGTTCATATTTATTATTTCAGTTCGTTTCTCACTTCGGTAATACTAGTCATTCAAAAGCTACTTCAGCCACATTACATAAGCAACATAAATTGATATTTAAGACTACAACTATAGCAACCAAGAATACTATTAAGAATATTTTACTGCAATTGATTCAAAAAGCTATTAAAAATGTCGACTATTATTGCATCAAACATCCCAATTACAGTTTCTCTTGATAAACTCCATGAGTTCTTTTCTTTCTGTGGAGCAATTAAGTCCATTACTCCGCTTGATAAGCTGGGAATGTCTCAAGAAGTTGAGGTAAAGTTTGAATCGGAGAAAGCACTTTCTACCGCATTATTATTAAACGAAGCAGAGTTAAATGGCACACCTATTCATGTAATGGAAGTTAAAAAGGATGAGCCTCCTGCCTACTCTGAAGGTAGCCATGTTGCGGAATCTGACAATAAAGTTCAGGATGCAACAAAGACAGGAGATGAAACATATGACGACATATCCCAAGAAGAGAAACCTAAGTATGCGATTATGGCTCAATTATTAGCAGGCGGCTATTCTTTGTCTGACAAAGTTATTGAAAAGTCAATCAAAATAGATAAGGAAAATGGTATATCAACTAAGTTTAAAGATTTCTTGACCAATCTTGACAGCAAATATATTCACTCTTCGGATCCCGATTCTTCAGCTAGCAAAAATATTTCTGCTGCTCAAGCCAAATTGGGAGAATTACAAAACAGTTTCGCTCAATCTAAGTATCAAGAGAAATTAAGTTCTTACTTTCAAAAGGCTTCCAATCTGCCTTATGGAATCAAAGTTCATGACTTTTACAAAAATTTGGCCAATGATGTGAAAGAAGTTCATGAAGAGGCTCTTAGATTGAAAGGCTTGAAAAAGGAAAAAGGGTTGGAAGATAACGTTGCTTCTGCAAACGCTGGTGCGGCTATCAACACTGTTAATTAGATGATTTTAGTAGTTTTTATAATTTTCTTATGTAATGACAGGTTGACGATTGTTCAGTTGATATAAAGGTGTATGTGTTTGTAAGCTTGTGGAGAAAGGGTGTACAAAAAAAAACCTTGCTTTTCCACAAGAACAAATTAAATACAACATTATTTAATATTTAATCAAATTTTATCACGGTGCTGCTCCTGAATCGAATGACTGGATTAAACTACTCTTATTCTTACAGATCGCACCAAAGTTTGAATTTTTGCGATCATCGCGGTCTTTACAAGTCAGACCAAATTTTAAACACTAAAATATTCAATAAGGGACAAGGCTGGGAGAAGAAATTACTTTTCTCAGAAGACACTCGAAAAGAAAACAACCTCAAAAGCTCATCATTGACAACTTCCTTAAAGACAATTTGCCGTTTTGATGAAGCCTTCTACTTTCTTCCAAATAATATCCCACAAAGAATATTTTGCAAAGAGACTTTTATAAACGAGCTTATCCATAATCTAATTACTGATATGCATGTAATACAACCAATGTTTCAGTATAGTAAGGAAATTATGAATTTCCAGGATAATACTTATTTAAGGTTTGTGTTTACTAATTTTTTTCAGTTTTGCGACCAAAATCTCAATTCTAAAATTTTGAGATGAAACTACAGTGCAAATCATCCTTTGATACTTCAAACAAGCAGTGTACTAACACCAACAGTCACGTATGTATTTATGAGTTCCTTAAATCAATAGGAAGTTCAAATATCGACAAAATTAGATTTACATCTTACATTGACTACTCAATTCGCTCCTACTTAATTTTTTTAAATTCACTTAACTTTACAAGGGAGATCTTTTCAAGACTTCCAGAGACTTTCATTTATACAGTTAAGTCATTTATAGAAAATTTGGGTAGTTTGCTAGAGTTGATTTTGAGCGATTCGGTATATTCCAACTTCGAAATAAACTATTTGCTTGTCTGAATCTGTCTCTAACACCGATACAAACCGTAATTCGATGTCGGCCGTCCTCTTGTTGGCATTTACCCCGGACTACGAGTTCAAAGTAATATGGCCGCGGATTTCGACTTTTGTGTCATTTCTCCGGATACCCGGAGAAATGGAAAGCTTCCAATTGTCCCCCACAAAATAAGTATAAATTCACCATCTTTTTTCCTTTACTCAACAATCGAAATCATTCAAGGAGTTCGTATATCAAAAAAAGAGACTAATAGACTTATAAAATGGGAGCTGAAAGTAAAAAGAAGGGAGGAGTCATCGATTTGGTTGCCGGAGGTACAGCTGGTTTGTTTGAAGCATTATGCTGTCACCCATTGGATACCATCAAGGTCAGAATGCAGTTGTACAAAAAGTCAGGTAAAAAGCCCCCAGGCTTCATCAACACGGGTATAAATATTGTCCAAAAAGAGGGCTTTTTATCCTTGTACAAGGGATTGGGAGCTGTTGTGATTGGAATTGTGCCAAAAATGGCCATAAGATTTTCATCCTACGAATTTTATCGTTCTTTATTATTTAATAAAGATGGGTCCATTAGCACTGGTAATACATTTATTGCAGGTGTAGGTGCTGGTATTACTGAAGCTGTTATGGTAGTCAATCCCATGGAAGTCGTTAAGATTCGATTACAAGCTCAACACCACTCCATGGCTGACCCATTGGATGTCCCTAAGTATAGGAATGCACCACACGCAGCATATCTTATTGTAAAGGAAGAAGGATTCAGCACCTTATACAGAGGAGTTTCTTTGACTGCTGCAAGACAGGCCACAAATCAAGGTGTCAACTTTACTGTCTATTCCAAGCTCAAAGAACGTTTATTGGAGTACCATAACATTGATGCATTGCCTTCTTACGAAACTTCATTGATTGGATTGATTTCAGGTGCATTGGGTCCATTGTGTAACGCACCATTGGATACTATCAAGACTAGGTTACAGAAGACAACGTACGCATCTAATGAATCAGGAATGGTTAGAATTGTCAAGATTGCTAATCAATTGATCAAAGAAGAAGGTATTCATGCCTTATACAAAGGAATTACACCAAGAATAATGAGAGTTGCTCCTGGCCAAGCTGTCACTTTCACCGTGTATGAATTTATGAAGGGGGTCTTGAACGGTGACTCGCCTCTCGTAAACTCAGAAAAGAAGCTTGGTTGAAGCTAGTGTTACCAAAAATTATATACAACGCTCTTCTAAATAAATATTCTTAAGTAAAAATAGAACACTTCTTTCACAACACAATTTCCAGTGAAGGATTTATCAAATCAAACCTCACGAGCACCCCGGAATGGGACTTTAAGGCTGACTCAGAGTCGGCTAAAAACAAGGGGTTAGAAGTCCGAAAACGGCGCGTTTTAAAATTGTTGGCAAATCTGTTTAAGAATGGAAAGTTATTTTTCACCAGAAGCTGATCTTCAAGATGTGTACCAGCCTAAATACCATCCTGTGTGTTTTAAGTATTAGTGAAATATGAACTTCGACTGAATAGCAAAAATTCATTCGATATCTATGTAAGGATGGGCTGTATATTGTTTATTCATTTGGAACTTGTCGCCGTATAATTATTTTTATGCATTAACACTGTAATTATGTTTTCATATTTATTTCCGGGTTGAGAATCCGCTCGAAACAACGATTTTCTGCTATGCTCATCGCCATCCAAGTTGATTTGAACTTCAATTTGACGTCATCACAAAATAGATTCAAGTTGATAATTTGTGAAGAAAGGTTACTATTCAAATGTTTGAATTTTCAGATCTACCAACACATATGCCTATCTCGTCTAGTCTAGATGGTTCGTTACAGGCAAAGTTGGCAGATCACGATGAAAGAGAAGAGCACAAAGAGCTTCGAATTGAACAAAATATAGTTGAAGAAAAAAGCGAAGAAGTAGAGCAGAAATCTCACTTGGAGATAAATAGAGTTCCAAATGAAACTCTCTATATTCCAGGTACTTCAATCTCCTTGCAAACAGAAGAAGACATTGCAAAGTGGATTGAAGAAAGGAAGAGACGATGGCCAACGAGAAAGAACATAGAACAAAAGGAGAAGATGAAGAGAGAGCAGGAGATCCAAACACCGAACTATTCAAAGCGGCATAATATTGAATCACCTTTACCTGAAAATCAAAAGAAGCAAAAAAGTGTATGTAAGTACTTTCAACAACATAGGACGTGTAGATTTGGAAAGAGGTGCAAAAATTTACATGAATTTCTGAGTAACTCCTCAGAGCTCTCTACGTCTTCAAAAGGTATTTCTATAAATGGTATTCGGACTTCAATTCCTCAGAGATTCAAAAATGACGTTAACGACAAATCTTTATTCAGAAAATTGGTCCAAAGGGACCAATTTGAGAATGAAAATAGCTTAATATTGGATTTTATTCAATTCCTTGACAGCAAGGGTTTCATTAATCCTGAAAATTCACGATGATTACGACAAATTTTCGCATAGTAGTATTTAGTACATAGCAAATGCAAACTTAATTATTTAGATATCTAATGGTCATGTTCCTTCAATTTTTTTGTAGCCTCCAACATAATTGAGCATTGTTTAGCAATATCTTCTAGTTTACTAAGTACAATCTCATTTCCCTGTCCAAATCCATAGATGGAATAATGCAAACCCACATCTCTGCAGAAATCGATAACAAATGGTTGAACCCTTCTTAAATTATGTCTAGGCATTCTTGGGAACAAATGATGGATGGCCTGAAACTGTAACCCACCATGTAAGAAATCAAGCCACTCAGGACAGTCAACATCCATAGTTGTTCTTATTTGCCTTTGAGGGAACGATTCGCTAACTCCCAAATCAGACGTTGACATAGCAAAATGAGACAACGTAATTTGAACATGAACTAGCATCGTTGCAATATGGCTTATCATCACATACCAAAGCTTTTCCCAAGGACCCTCTATAGTTTTGTAAACTATTAAATAAAAGAACCACCACATGAAAAATGACAAGCCAGCAATTTCAAAATATCGGAACCAAGCAGCTTTTCCTTGTCTTGGGCCTTTACCCTCAATTAAATGCATCCAAGAGAGCCTATAAAGATTAAACCTCCCAAAGCATAAAATAGGGTAGTACAAATATTCTTGAATAGGAATCATCAATCGTGCGACAGCATCCAAAGGCAAATACTTTTCGTAATACGTTGAATAGACATCCTCAAGGAGACGTACGCTAACCGCAAAAAATGGCAAATGTTGAATATCCGGATCATGAACAGGGTCATTTGTAATTAAATGATGAACATTATGGTTTCTCTTCCACCAGCCCAAACTCAATCCACCAATCCAACATGAGATAAGCATCCCAAAAAGATTGTCAATTTGGTAGTTATGGGTGATGGAAACATGCCCTGCATCATGGGCTATGAAAGTCATTTGCTGCCACGCCATTCCTAAAAGGATTGCACTTATCTTGTAATAACTCAATTTTAAAAACGAGAATGAAAAAAGAAGGAGACTCGAGATCTTGACGAGTTCTCTGAAATAAGACCAATAGTTGCATTTGTAAAACCCGTTCTTAATTAATATCTCATGCAAGTCGCTGTATTTATCTCTCAAGTATTGCTGGGTATTATAATCAAGTGCTGGCATTTTTAATACATCTTGTTGAGCCAACTTATTGTCATAATTTTGTATCAACAAATGTGGATCGATTATCACATCGCTTTTTACAGGAAATAAATCTTCCTTATTAGATTCAAGAACTAACATATTTTGAGGTATCGTTGCTTCAACTTTTCCACCAGGATAACCTAGGCCCTTGTTTTCGAATTCTAAGGAATTAATAGAACTTGCACTAGAATTTAATTCAGCTTCCGATCCTTCAGTAAGCAGATCATCTAATTTAACTTCTAACAATGAACCACTTTGTTGTACCGCTTTTGTATAAGTGGCCCCTTGAATTGGGGGTAATAAATTTTCCCAGTAATAGTCAATTTCTCCAATTTTCCAATTCTTGAATACATTAATTGCCTCTGTACTATGATACGCATTCATTTCATCTGTAGCGTCCCTACCGATCATATGGTGCACTGCTTTTTCACCACCAGGATGCTTTGGTAACCATGATGTTAGATTTAACACGTATTTTTTATATATCACGATAGCATTACCTTGCGAAATGAGCTCTATAATCCTCGAACGAGGAATAATCTTAGACGATCTATGACCTTTCATCAACGATGAGAAACGAACGTAAATAGAAGAAGAATAGATTACCAGATTACGTGTCATATCTTGTCAAGATTACTTGAGAATTACATGTACTGCATATTTAATTATATTCGAGGAAAAGCTGAGGCTGCAAATATGCAGACTTACTTAGCGACGTTGCTGACCTTCAATGAATGTCATTGCTTCATCTCTATTGATTTCTGAAACTGTGCTTACCTTATTGCTAAACATAACACCGTAAAACTTATCGGCGACTTGAAGCATTTCAGGTCTGAAAGTTGTGCAAATAAACTGAGCTGAAGACGCCAAAGAGTTAATAATAGACGCGACGGCACTTCTATATTGTGTATCCAAATTTGCATCTATCTCATCGAATAAGTAAAATGGGGCTGGATCACATTTTTGAATGGCTAAAATTAAAGCAATGGCACACAAAGATTTTTGGCCACCAGAAAGTTGTTCAATTCTCTGCTGTTCATCGTTTTTAGAATTGAAAGAAACTGAAATCGAAACACCAGTATAATTTTCCATTATTCGTTGTTCGTTCTGAGAAGCATCCAATTGTCTCACTTCATTATCGCTGTCAGATTTTTTTTGCATTATCAAGTGACCCACACCTTGGGGCACTAGCGCTTCAAAAACCTCATGGAAGCTTTTAGCAACTTGCTTAAAGCTCTTAGTTATAGCCTCATCTTTTTGAGTCTCTAAGCGCTCGATAAGATGCTCTATTGATTCTTTAGATCTTTCCAACTCGGCCTTCCGTTCAACAAGATCATCACGTTGCCTGGTAAACGTGTTATATTGCTCTAATGCTTTTTTATTTATATGCGCATACTTCAAGAGCTCATCATTTATTCCATTCAATTGGCTCAAAAGTTGATCAGATGTGATTTCAGCATAAATAGACTGTTGAAAAGCTTGTTCGGGCAATACGCCCAATTCGCGAATACTCTTCTGGAGCTCGTCCCGACGAGAAGCCAAAATAGCCTTTTTATTCAAGGTCTTTTCACTATCTTTTGAATACTTTTCTATTTTCCTAATTATTTGTAGCTGTTGCTCATTTGCATTTTTGAGTGTATCTTCACTGATTGAAATTTCTTTTTCTAGCCTCTTAAATTCGTTTAAAGCAGATTGATTTCTCAACTTAGCATCATTCATTTGATTTTGGAAAATCCCTAATTCTCCTTCTAACTCTTTTAATTCTTCTTCACTTAAAATGGTGCTTGACGACGCTTTCTCAGTATATAACTTCCTTAAGTGTGGTCCATAATTATTGCTTAGTTCAGATTCATAGGTAGATACGCCAGTTTCAACATCAGATAGTCTTGTCACTACCTTATCAAGGTCGCCCTCAAGAACCTGAATTTTCCGATTCAAGTCTTGCAATGTTTGGATCTCTTCCTGCGTCAATGATTGACCAAAACCTGATTTCATCTCACTTTCGTGCTCCTTTAATGATCTCTTAAACTTAAGAACAATAGAATCAACAGCAGTTAGGTTAGTTCTCAATGAATTAGACTCTTGTTCTAAATTAAAAATCTTACTCTTCAATTGAGCTATTTCAGATTTGATAGGCTCCTGAGAAGATAGTAGATCTTCCAAACTTCTTACCTTATTTTGTAACTCAGTATTGCATGCATTTAATCTAACATTTACCTCCTCAATTTGCTTAGAGCATTCATCAAGATCCTTTTGAACATTTGTGAATTCTTTCTTTTTCTTGATCTGAAGCTTAATAGCATCAATTCGTGAGCTTCTGTAGTCTCTGTAACCCCCAGATAGGACACCTTTTGTATCTGCTCTATCACCATCTAACGTAATAGCATTCAACTTGAACATTCTGGCAAGTTCTGAGCCGTTTTGTAAATCATTACAAACGATGGTCTTTCCAAAAACTTGGTTCATTGCCGCTCCAACTTTCTCATCATCAAATTTCAACTTTTTGATCAACGGAATGCATAGATGTTGAGTACCATCAGGATATTCAACTTCAGGAGGACTCAACCGATTTATTGGCATAAAAGTCACTCGTCCAGCTTTTGTTCTAGCCAAATCATTCATTATCAAAGCTGCGGTTTTGTCATTATCGACAACAACGTGAAATAAAGAATTACCTGCCACAACTTCGACGGCTGTCTTATATTTGTCACTCACATTAAAAAGTTCCACTAAGGGCCCATAAACTTTCTCTTGCAAATTCAATTTTGCGGCTACTTGCTTTACGGCCTCCAAACCTCTTGACTGAGAACGATTCATAGTACGATTGACAGAGTATTCCGCTTCAGTTACATCACGTTGAACCGAATCGCATATACTTCTATATTTGATTTCATCTCTCCAGAGAGACTTCCTTTTGTCTGATAACTCAGCACATTCTTTTCTTAAATTACGCACTGATCCTTGCAATTCTTTTAAAGTATTCTGCTTCTCTTCATTATTAATCGAATCTTCTAACATCTTAAATCTTACGTTAGCAGATGAGATTTCCAAATTTTTTTCAGCGATCTCTTGTTCTAAATGAGTTTTTAAGGACTCTTTCAGCTTGATCTGGCTCTTAATTGAGACACACTCTTTCCTTAGCCACGCATCTCTTTCTTTCTTTGACTTGAACTTCAGGAACCGGCTCAGCTTTGCATACAAAGAACGCTGAGCAGATATAAGTTCAGATAATTTTGTCTTTGTAATTTCTTCCTGCTTTTGCAAATCTAAGAGTTCTGGCTTGCGGATTGCAATCTCATCTTCTTGTTGCTTGATTAAACTCTTATAATACTGAATTGAGCTATCAAGGTTAGACGATTTTTCTTTGTAATTCTCTATCATGGATTTTAACTCATTCACTCTAATTTCCTTTTCAGAAATCGCTTTGAATAGACGATTGTATTCCAAATCGGTTTCTTCATTTTCTAATCTTGAAATCTTCAAAGAAGTTTTCAAATCATTTATAGTTTCAGTAAGCTGCTGGCATAACTTTTCCCTTTTTTCCAACTCTCCAAGATTTTTTTGTGATTCCGATAGTATTTCGCCGTAAGCTTGGTCTACTAAATCGAGCTGCTCATGTAAATCGTTCAATTCTCTATCAAATAAATTGAATTCCAAGATCTTCTTCGATTTTTCTAACGATTGGAACTTTTGTAGGTCTGCACTTTCTACTTCCAAATCTGATAATCGCTCATCTATTGATTGCAAAGTTTGATCAATTCTTTGCTTCTTGTAATTGGAATTATTCATTTCCTTCATAGATTCCTTAAGTTTTGATTCAAATACGGTCGCACCACTTACTTCTTTCAACAAAGTCAATCTCTCTGAATCTTTCGAGTTAGTTAATGCGGTAATTCTTCCCTGAGGGACAATATAATAGGGATTGGATCTCGAGAACCCTGCACTCTCTAATAAATTCATTATGTCCGATCTTGTGGCTGACCTTCCATCCAAAGAGTAGTCGTCCTTTTTCATACCAATAGTTCTTCTGATTGATATTTCTTCCTTATTGATCGGGAATCTGCCATCAGAGTTATCGAATATTATTTCAACATAAGCAGACATCACAGTTCCTGACCCTTCATGAATGAGGCCCTGTCTCTCTTCTCGTGTCATATGTGTATAAGCATCAGATAAAACAAATCGTATTGCAGCGAAAAAATTTGATTTACCTGAACCATTTCTGCCGACCACAACATTGTGCTTCGGTGACAACAAATCTATTACAGTTGTGTTCTTGTAAGTCTTAAACCCTTGTATCACAATTTTCTTAATATACATTTTGTTTTTGACTATCAATTAATAAGCTCAAATACAATTTCGACAAAAGGTTGTAAAGAAGATTTATTGTATTATTAAGTTTGTTTTCTAGACGCGTTTTCTGTTATGCTTATCGCGTTCAAGATCTATGATTTAATAATCTTTTTTATGATAAAAGAAGAAATTAAATCACCTGAGACGAGAACTCACAATGAAAACCTTGAGCCAACTCCAATGAAGTGTTACGGTTTCAAATTCTTGCTTGACTTTTACATAAGTTTGAAGAAGTTCAAGTTCAAGACATTATCAGTATGGTACGGCATATAAGATAAAGATTTCTCCGAACCACATTCTTTTTTCAGAAAAAATCATCCTTGGGATGGTGTGAAGCTAAATACATTTACCCAGTCATGCCTCCTAAGAAGTATAATGGGAGAACCAGAAGTTCCAGGAAGGAAATAGATCTGACAAACAGATCAACGGCCTCTCATTTCATAGGTAACGATGAAAACAGTGCTCAACTTGAGAATAAAAATTACAAGGATGTTGATGCTCCGATATCAAAAAATATAACGGAGATTCTCAATGACAGTGGAGACAACCCTTTGAAGTATAGATTTCCTTTAAACTATGTCTATCTAGTTCAAGATATCATGAATGAATACATGACTTTCTCAAGATTTCTTGAGCTCGCTTGCAACTGTTATTTGCTTCAGGTTATTTATGTGAAGAAAGAGAAGTTTCATCTACAAGACAATGTCACCATTATTGGTTACAATTTGGGTGCATGCTTTATTGCGATGTTATTAGGTTACAAAACTCAGTTGACGAAATTCCGAAATAATCCATCTAGCTTTCCCAAGCCACAGCTTCCTGATTTTAATAACATCTATTCGATCCTTTTGCCGTTGTACTTAAATATAACGCATAAATCCAAATTCTTTCTAATTAACTTGTCCCTTAACTATTTTGCCCTTGACAATTTAAATATCTATTTCAACTTTTTATCAGGACTTGCGTTTTTTTTATTTAACAATAACGAAGAAGAGAGCGGAGCGAAACCATTGGATTTCATTTTAGCATCAGCTGTTTACTTCTTTTACAGAAATGCAATACAATACATCAATCTTGGGAATACGAAGTCAAAAACTACTATAACAAAAGAAGTCATTGAACAAGAAGGTTCTGTTAATGACGAAGAGTTAGCTCTTGCAAAAGAGGGAAGAGCGACAAGTTTAAACAATGCAGAAATCCATTTAATAAGCTGTGCAATATCATGTCTCTTATTAAATACAAGTGATCCAACAAAATTCAATTTGCCACTTATTATCTTTCAAAAATTAATTATAAGTTCAACAATTGGTCTTTTGGCAGCCTATCCTAGCTTTTTATACTATAAAAAAACCGAAAGCAAGCTAGCATCTTCCGCAACTGTTTTGATTTTTTCGGCTGTGGTGTATTTCTCGACTAATTATCAACTAGCTAAAGTTATTAATAACGAGAATGCGGTTCGCTGGTTATATTCATACATCTTTAAAAATGATTATAAAACTAAGGTAGTTATAAGTTGGATAGTTTCCTTAACTGCTGTTATACCTTTAGTCTTCTATAGGTCAGATGTCTTTACTCTCAATACAAGGAGAAAGATCTGGCATTTTGTGCTTTTGACAATGATTCTTCCACCATTGTCGACGGATCCACAATTCTCGTTGATTTGCTTACTTGGGACTGTTGTGCTTTTGTCAGTCGTTGAGATAGTTCGCTACAATAAATTCACCTTCTGCGGGCGCTACCTTCATGACAAATTAACAAAATTCCAAGATTTCAAGGATCTTAAAGGACCATTGAATTTGTCATACATCTACTTGGTAATAGGAACTTCTATCCCAACAATTTTTGATTATTGTTTGAATGAGAATGTATCAATAAAAGCATATCTCGGACTCATTTCATTGGGCTTAGGAGACTCAGTTGCTTCGATTATTGGAAAGAGGTTTGGGAAATTGAAATGGAGAGGAAGTAAAAATACTATAGAAGGCACAGTTGCTTTCTGTATAGCATCGTTGATTGGTATCAAAGTAATAGATTATTTTTTCATCCCTGCTAAATCTACGAAATGGGAATCTATCTTAATTTCTATACTATTAGCGGGTGTGCTTGAGGGAGTCAGCAGTTTGAATGACAATTTTTTGATACCTCTATACGTATTATCTTCGGCCGAAGTGATTGAAATTGCATTCCAATAGAGTTCGCTTTTCCCATAGTCTCATAAATATGAAAAGCAAAAGTAAGGGACCAATATGAGAAAGGAGACTAAATATTTATTCTGACAATTTCATATTAGGTTATGTTTTATTCTGCTGCGGTTCAGCCATGAATCTAGTACGAAAACGGTTGGGTTTACTTACATCACCTGAATGATCGTTCTATAGTTACACAAAATTAAATATTATTAGTAAACTTTCAGTCACATGTTGTCCATGTCTTTCGAATAGGTGTATTGCGGCTAAAGGGCGTACGCTATATGACGCTATTTACCAGATTGCTTTTTTTCTGAAATATTAATACATGAGTGTATGTGGTCGGTTTTAGTTGCACGGGTTTCACTAGTAGACCATATAGTTGAGATGACCAGACGCAAGATCGTCAGCCTGTGTGGGACCTGCCGTTGAAATTTAACGTGGCAGTTCAGGCCAATCCTAAAGGAGTTACTTATTAAGTAAGTTGCTTACAGATAAAAGCTATGAGAGCAACAATCTGCTATGGTCACGGAGCCCCAGTACATTGCATACAATGTAAGTAAGATTCGACGTTAAAGCGCCAACCTGGGAAAAAACTAATTATTGGGCTTTCGAACGCTTACGTCAGGGTACCTCTCGCATAAATTGCGAGATTGTAGTTACATATCTGTAGAAATCCGCTAACCGCCTGCAACCCACGCCGTGAGCTGACATTATTTTCTTCAGAGCCGAAGCCGAAGCAGCTGACCACTCGTGAACTGTAAAACTAATCTTTCATATACCGTAATCAGAGCAGCAAACGTAACTTTAACATCTTGATGTAGTCATCGCAATAATGCCGATTTAAGTTGTTCTCTTTGCACAGGAATGGACCCCCGGGAAGATGACCTCTTTGATAGAGATCATATTATGATCAGCAATAATTCTCCAAGCCCCTTTTCAATCAGACAGCGTCTACTCTACTTAAAAAGTCAGAGATCCAACGTCTAGAAATCGGAATTCCTTAGTAGTATCTTATTGAAGTAAGGCTGCACGAAGCAAACTTGAGGCGTCGGAAATCCGTAATTTTCAGACATTACAGTCCTGTACAAATAATAAATATAAGCACCAAGCAGTTCTAATACGTTGAAGAGCCAGCTTCACAAGTGATCTTACATTTGAAAAACAGTGGTTTTTACAGAACTAAACCGCCTGCTACGGATAATCATACAACAAACTACAAATACTAATAATACAGTAGCCATATATTAGCGGTAACGCAATTTGTTTGTCTATCTATAAGTACTTTAGGCTGCACAGAAATCCAGGAGGTTTAATTTTAAATCTGGATAGAAAGAATCCTTTTTTTTTCCGGTAACGATAGAAATTTAAGTCTTTTATGAGCATATCTAACATTGGTTAAATCATGAGTGAAGTTTTTCCAATATCTTGTATCTCATGCCGTCGAAAAAAGATAAAATGTAATAAGCTGAAACCCTGCAATCAATGCTTAAAGAGGTCTATTGTTTGTGAATTTCCTTCAACGTTCAGAAATATCCAAATTAATGAAGAGAAGTTAGACTCACCCCCAAAGCAACGTACTATGATCTCTGATACGTTCCATGAAGAGATCGAGCTGTTGAGGCGAGATAAGTATCACTTATGGCAAGATAATATGAAGCTTGTTCATAAAAACCAACAGTTGGCTGCAACATTGACAAAGGTTAACAGAAATACAACTCGTTCAAGTTCAAAAACACAACAAGACAAACCTACCCAAGAAGAAGAGGGAGATTGTAAATCTGACAAGGACTGCATCCAAATTAATGGCGAGACTAGTGAATTAGGCGATAAATATTATGGTCCGCAATCCTCGAGCTTTATGATGGAGCAGTTAAAGTCTTACAATGAAGAGGTACCAGCACCATCCAAAAAGCGCAAAAATCAAAATCTTTTAGTAGACATGGGGTCCGACTCTAAGAGTAGTAATAATTCTTTCGATTCCGACTTAATTGAACAGAGCCTTTTGAAAAAAGACCTACCATTCTTGTTGCGAGTCGATGCAGATATGTCAGCAGATTCTGACACTAATGAAGATCTTAATAAGGCGAATAAAGATATTATTAGAAAACTTGTCGATCTATTTTTTGAGTGCGATGCATACTATAAGACGTTCATATCTAAAACATCTGTTATTTATTTCTTAGATCAACACGATCAGATCAAAGATAAAGAATGGGAAAACGACGACGATTTGTTGTTGCTAGATATGATTTTGATTTTAACTCTTCAAAAAATAACCCCAAAGCAGTACACTGAACTCAAATTGTTGGATGGAGCGTCTTCCAAAAACTACAACAAACAAAAGAACCATTTGACAAAAACAATCTTGCTCAATCAATTTGAAAAGTTGAGACACAACCTCATTAATGAGTCAATTTTAACGGTACAGTCGTACCTATTATGTACTGAGTGGTATTTTATCGAACAAAAATTTGAGGAGTGTTGGTCAATGTTGTTTCATTCTTGTTCCATATCTTATGCTATTGGCTTACATGTAACTGGAAGGGTCAAAAATGAAACAGGAGGGATCGAGGGTAATGAAATAGCCAGATATAAATGCTGGTTCGCATTAAAATACTTCTGTTGTCAAATTTGCTCTATTTTAGGAAGACCAAGTCCAATATCAGTACAAGTGAACCAACTTGTTTTGCGGAGTTCCAGAAAATCGATACCAAACGACATCGATCAAAAGAGAACTCAAATTTTATTGAAAATTGGGGTTAGCGAGTGCCTCAGACTGAGCAATTTGATGTTGATTGAAAATTTTATGCTCGATTTCACATTTCAGAATTTGACAGCATTGGATGTTAATTTTGAACGTGAAATTGGTTTGTTAGAATGGTTTCTCGATTCTAGTGATACAAATGATGAATATCAAGCGCAGATAAACTATGATGACGAGGAAGAAATACCCATGGAAATTGATAGATTTAATGTGGTGAGCGATCTCATCATTCTTTACGTTAACAGGGCAAAACTATTTGAACCATTTGTCAATAAATTTGCTCATATTAAGACGGAACATGATGCAATCATAAAACGTATGACGACGTCAATCTTCAAATATTTAGATCTAATTGACTTGTACCTCGTTTCATTTGTCAACAAGTACACTGAGAGCTATTTCGATGAAAACATGAATTATGAGGTTAAATTTGGTAAAGTATTTCGGACCATGTATCCTTTTTTAAGTTCATCCATTTATCAGGGTATTGTGGTAATTTTCACATTCTTGCATTATGAATTTAAGCAGCTCATTCATCTCGATTCTTCAAGTGTATCATTCTTGAATGATTTGGAGCACAAATTGAATAGATTGATAATAATTGACCGGACATTATCGAAGCAATTGAAAAACACAACCAAGTTATGGTCTAATAATACTCATTACTTGATGGACTATATATTGAGCACAATTTCATTAGTGCGGGATAAACGCAACAAGGCAACATCAGCAGTTGAGGATACGGATACAAACATCCCTATTCCTGGAGGATCTGATACGAATGAATTGAATAATTTTTATGTCGATTTGAATGATCCATTTTGGCTCACAAATCCTGACAACTTACCATTTTATTTAAGTTCTCCTAGTGATGATGGCAGTGTTATTTCGATTAAACAGCAGATACCTCAAAGAAATCCCCCACCTTCAAGCGAAGCTCTGATTCAAAACCCGATCCAGAATCAGCCACAAACCTCAGAAATCTTTCAGGTAAACGCACTCTCTAATCCTCTTTACGGGAACATATGGGACCCTAGTCGCGTGGTTCAACCACAAGATGGCCCATCACAAAGACAAATATCACAACCTAATCAACAGACTGACATGGCCATGTCTAATCCATACAACTTCAACGCGAATGCAGGGAATCCTATAGGTTACGCAGCCGCTGGGTCTTCACAAGTTTTCGATCGGCCACATACTATACCGCTGCATTCAAACTTAGAGAGAAAGCCAACCAAACGCAGTAAGACAATATCTTCTAGCACATATCGCCTGAGTAACCCTCCAAAATAAACAGGAAATTTGCTTAGGCCAACCTTTCATTTAAATAATAAATAAGATGCCGACAGAGCTTTTCATTAATCTCATTTAACCTGGCGACGAGTCATATGATAAAAGTACCTTGAACAAAAAACTTATATAGATTAATAGATCAGATAATAGAAGAAATTGTATTACATCTTGATGAGAAACTTTCGGCGATCATGCACGTGATAAATCGAGGGCAACGGCTCGAAAGTGACCGACCCCATGAAAACTTTATCATCAATGGAAATGTGTTCTCGTTGAAGGCTATTGAATTCATAATTAAAAGAGCTTTTAGAATGTCAGCATTCAAACAATTTAAAGATTTCTTATTTTCAAAGCAGTCGTTGAAGTATGTTTGTACTACTCATTTTTGGGGACCAGTATCAAACTTTGGTATTCCTGTTGCTGCGATTTTAGATTTAAAGAAAGATCCAGACTTAATAAGTGGTCCAATGACAGGATCATTGATAATTTACTCCCTCGTTTTTATGAGATATTCTATGGCAGTTACACCTAAAAATTATCTTTTGTTTGGTTGTCATTTTGTCAATGAGTTGGCGCAATTGGGTCAAGGGTTCAGATGGATTAAAAATACTTATGACAAAGAGCCCGCGAGCACCTCAACAGGTCCCAAGTAAACATCTAACTCCTAACGGACAAAGGCACTTTTGAATGATGAAGGTCAATCAATGCTACGCTTTTTCATTCTTTGCATTTTCACAAAGTATGTCTTTTAATGAGTAGTATTCTAGACTGGCACTAACTGACATCGTGCGTGCTTACATCATGTATAGAAGTTATGAGGAGATGGTGAAGTAATCGTAATATAGTTAAATTTGATGACGAAATAGATTTTAAAAACAAAGACTAATAATCATGGCTCTGGTGAATACCAGATTGTTTAATTAGGTATCGGGCAATGTAAAAATTCAGATCGCACCCACTTCGATTATGGCTCACAATATAATTTAGAATTATATTGCATGCTGCAGCAGAAGGTAGACCTTTTTAGTCATGATATAATTACTTTCATTTGATTCTGATCTGTGTTTATATTCAGTCTTTGCTAACTATTAAGTAAGGATTTTGTTTTAAGGCGCGCAATTGCAAATCGTAGAGGCTTACGAGAGCTGTTGCTCACTATACATTACGGTGCAGTGAAATAGCAACATAACCGACTAATAAATATATATATATATATAACTTACATAACGCTCGTACAACATATTTAATCCAAAAAAAGAGAACGAAGAAATCATGGTCAAAGCTTTAATTGCAGTAACTAGTTACAACGGTGTCTTCTACGACGATGGTAAGAAGACAGGACTCTTTGTAGTGGAGGCATTGCATCCCTACAACGTATTCAAATCGAAGGGAATCGATGTCGATTTCGCTTCTGAGACTGGAACATTCGGGTTCGATGAACATTCACTTGAGAAGGACTTTTTGAATGGTTCTGATTTAGAAGCGTATAGTGACAAGAATTCTGGATTTAGACAAGGTCTTGCTCACATCAAGAAAGCATCTGATGTCAATGCAGATGATTATGACATCTTTTTCGCTTCTGCTGGTCATGCAACTATGTTTGACTATCCGACGGCTAAAAACTTGAAAGCTATTGCTCTGAAGATTTGGAGCAAGGGAGGAGTTGTGGCAGCCGTATGCCATGGACCAGCAATTTTTGAAAACTTTGATGATCCAAAGACTGGAAAGCCACTTATCCAGGGAAAGACCATAACTGGGTTTACAGATGAGGGAGAGAAGATCTTGAAGGTCGACGAGATTATGAAGAAGAATCATCTACTTTCAATTCAGGATGTTGCAAAGAAGTATGGTGCAAGTTATAGTGCGCCGAAGGGTCCTTGGGATGATTACTCTATTACTGACGGAAAGCTTGTGACAGGTGTTAATCCAGCCTCGGCAGCTTCAACTGCTCTAAAGGCCATTCAACAATTGTCTACTTAGGCAACCCATTATATATATTAGTTATAATCTGAAAGCTGGCAATCCAGTTTAACGCTTAAAAAGAGAATGAAGATCGATGAAGATCGGTATGAATCATCTTCTTGGTACTCAGTATCATGTAGTGCTTCCTATGACTTGCGGGAGTCTTACCTTTATCTCCGACATGGTAACCCTTGTTCGCGAAAAAGGGACTGCCAATCATCTAAAATACACTTTTTTACCAAATTTATCTCTCCTCAATTTGTTCAGTAAGTTCTAAAGATGCCTTCGACATTGCAAAAGCTCAAGTTTTATTTGAAATCAACATTATATGGTTCATTGATAGCAGGATGTGCGCTATATGGGGTGATTGCATCCATAGTCTTAAGAATAATTGGTAAGAAGGAATATGCACAGTACACTGTAGCTAAAGTTTTTTACTTTGCATGCTCCTCTTTATTGGGACTAAAGATTACCATAAAGAACGAAAAGTATCTTCACGAGAAGCCTGCGATTATTATTTCCAATCATCAGTCAGCTTTGGATATTTATGTTTTGGGTAAAATCTTTCAAGTTGGCTACACTGTCACTGCAAAGAAAGCTTTGCAATATGTTCCATTGTTAGGATGGTTTATGTTAGCATCTGGAACTTTCTTTTTAGATAGAACTAGAGGAGAAAAGGCTAGAAAAGTATTAGATAAAGCTTTTGATGGTGTTAAAGCTGAGAAGCGCGGACTATTCATATTTCCTGAAGGCACAAGATCTGCAACTTCGAAATTAGAAATGCTTCCCTTCAAAAAAGGGTCATTTTATTTGGCAAAGCAAGGTGGTCTCCCCATTATTCCGGTGGTGGTGAGTAATACCTCAGATATATTTAGCTCCAAAAATAAAATTTTCAATGGTGGTGAAATATTCATTGAAGTACTAGAGCCGATGTCAACTGATGGATTAAATAGCAACGAGGAAGTATCAAACTTTTGTGCCGAAGTGAGAAGCAAAATGCTAGAGAAGCTCAAAGAATTGGGTTATTCTAAAGTAAACTCTAACACACCAAGAAATGAACCCTCAACAAATTCAGCAAGCTCAAGCTCCGAAGTAGAAACAGAAGTAGAAACAGAAGTGGTATCAGAAGAGAGTCCTCTAGTTGTTAACAAATCAGGATCTGCTTAGAGCCTTAATTTAGTCATAAATAGTTTGATGATTCTTTAGACACAACTTTCAGATTTCTATAAAATATACATTAATTAATCTATTATGTGTGCCTTTTTTTTCTTCTTGGCAGTTTTCTTAACTATTGGAACCGAGGGTTTCGAAGCTTGTAGTTCAGTATTAATTTCGGCTTTGTAATCTTCGCCATCATGAACCAAAGTCTGAGACTGGGATTCCACCCTATTATTTTTAAAACTCGAGTTTGCATTCTTTGACGTTGATTTTTTGGATTTAGTCTTTGATTTTGAATTGAGCTTCTTTCTAACACCTAAACTGGAATTCTCATTCATGTCTGCATCGGCCAATTTTTTCCTAAGTTCCTCCAAGTCTATATTGCTTTCTAATTCGTCTTTATAGGATACCGAGTCAGAAGCATTTGATGAATTCAAATCGAAATTATCGAGGTTAGAGGAATCTATTTTCAAATTACTCTTCTTAGCCTTAGGTCTAACAACAGCTTCTTCCTTTTTTCCAGAGTCGATCAAAATTCCCTCCACTGTTTCGTCAGAAAGAATTATGACTCGTTCTTTCTTTATTTTCTTATTGCTTGCTTTTTTCAGCTTCTTTTCTTTCCTTTCTGAACTTGGAGTGATTGAGCCTCTATTAGAAATAGATTCTGAATTTCCTCTTCCAACCTCAAATTGCTTATTAAGTTTTGAAGAAGATTTATTATTTTTATCGTCAAATGAAGTGATGTAATATGGATCATCTTTTAATCTTTCAAGTCTTTCTTTCTTCTTTTGAGTATCATCAACACTCTCGAAATCAAAACCTCCAACATTTGGTGGTGTATCATTAGTCAAAGCTTCACTGTACGGATCCTCATCTTCAGTTTCCTCGTTGTCACTACCTACTTTTGTAAGCGGCAGATTTATATAAGTTTCCAAATCGAGATCTTCCGGAACTGCAATCATCCGTTGAGAGTCTGGTGCAACAGGGTTTAAGGGATAGGATTTGAAAAACGAAGGCAAAATATGTGTCAATAACACTGGAAGGGTGAACTTGACTCGCGAAGAGTCTAAATTGAGACCATTATTCGGTACAATTGAGGGATGTAGCAATTGGGGTTGACCATTTGAACTTGAATCTGACAGCTTATCATTGTCATTACTATGATTTAGTGAATTGGAAGAGCTCTGCATCCCTGAGGCATCCGAACCAAATTCATAATCCGATCCTTCAAGATAAGAATCACTGTCGCTTATGTGCCTGCTATCGGAAAATTTATAGAGCGCTATTTCTGCTTCTTCCATTGACTTGTATATTCCATCGTTTTCATCCATCGCTTCAAGACCAATCTTCAAGAACTCCAACCAAGACAAGACCCTTTCTTGAACTTCAAAGTTGGTATGATTTTCCCAATTCTCCAAATATTTAATCACTTTATAAAGCCGATAGACAACTTGCCGATATTCAGACTGCGAGAGTTCGTGCATAGTAGAGCCATTTGCTACATAGTCAGAAACCGTACTGCTGAAAATTTTAACTAGTGCTTGAACTAGCACTACTAGTACACTAGCATATGGCAATCCAACCAACTTTGCTGAAACAGGAAATTTATAATTCTGAGAGATGCCCAAAGCCTTGTCAATGTTGTTGTTCACTAGACAATTCAAAATTTGATCTTTCCTATTAATATTTACCTCATGGTCGGTAATAGCTTCAGTTTCGTTATCAGTTTCATTATCAGTTTCGTTATCACTTTCATCTTCATTAACATTTGAAAGCTCATCAACATATTCCCCCAAAATCCAATATGCATCTCTTAATAACAATGGACAGTTATCTAGGACTTTAGTATCCTGCACCAAATCAAAAATGACGTCGTTCAAAAGGTTGTTTCTAATGGAAGGAACTTTAGTTGCTAATGACTTGAACTCTTTGCCAACGTTACTAGCGATTATTCCAGCCGTTGACTGGGAGATAGTTGAGTTTGCTGACGATGGCAAGGGAAGCAAGGCTAGATTTAGTATATCCTTTAATACAGCCACATACCATTTAAAATTTGGAATGTTCTTGTAATTGTCCCTTGATGCTATGAACAAAATCTTAGAAGTTACATCTAATTTTAAAGTTTCAGGCACAATTGGATTTCCTGTATCACTAGGAATTAATTGCATTAGTAAAACACTTACCACATCTGTCATATTGTCCTCGTTGACCAAGAAATGACACACTTCAAGGGCCTTCCTTTTAATGATTAAATCAGGGTCCTTGAGACAATCTGTAATTACTCTCGAAACACCGTCAATACTATGCATAAATGAAGGAAATACTTTGAGGATATTTATAAACGCAAGCAAGCCCACAAACTTTAGATTAGAGTCTTTAGTTTCAAAAAACCTCATAATTCGTTCGAGGCAAAACTTGGCTGTTTCTTTATCTTTAGACGATGAAGATGAAAGCATACGCCCATTGACAATACAATTTATGCATTCATAGATTAATGACGAAGCCTGAGTACTGACCATCAAATCCATTAAAATTGGCATTATTTTTTTCTTCATTCTTGATTCAACTTTCGATAAACTTTGAAATAATTTCAAAATTCTTATTATTAACCAATTATTCTTCGTGTCAGACAAAATCGTGAAAAATTTTGGTAAATAGTTAATGAATATTTTAGGATTCTTCTTAGATATTTCACAGATTACATTGATGGTAGCACTTATTACTGATATATCTGTGTCATCTAACTTCTCTATTATTCTATTGAAGTTTAGTCTCAAGCTTTCCGGATATTGTAAGAATATTTTGTACATTGCCAAAACGGCTTTCTTTCTTATATAAGCCTTTGAATGATTAAGTTTCATTAAAACATCATCATTAATATCTTTAGCCAAATTGGGAGTCACAATGGTGGCAATACCGCTCAACGCCAATCCTATTTCAATATGAACATGTGAATTTAAATCCTTCTTAAATTGATTAGTAGCCAAAATCAATAAATCCTGCTCATTTTTAAACGACTGAATAGCTGCTAGATATCCAATTCTCTTTAATTGAAACTTATTGGATGACATAACTTCCAAAATTTGAAAATTCGACCAGGACATATCAAATCCATACATTTCCAAGTATGCGAGCTTCAATATAGCCATTGCTTTAGTCTCTAAGTCCGTAGTCGATAGCTCATTCTTGCACTCTATTAGAGCTGCTTCTAAAAACCCCAGTAAGCTTTCAGGCGATTCCTTTGAATGCACTCGTATACCTTTAATGAGGTCATTTAATGACTTTTCAAACAGAATTCCAAATGGCTTGAGCCTAGCCAAAACCTCGGAGCTTTGCAATTGAAATGAGGACATTTTAGGATCTGTCAGCCAAATAGTATATTATTCCTCTCACAGTATCTTAAAAACTGAGAAACAAAAACCAAAATTTTGTGTAATGTGCTTTAAATAAGCATGATTTTGATAACACACCTCTAGATAGCAGCAGAATATGACTGAGACAGATGCCGACAAAAGAATAGGGGGAAAAAGTGCCAATAGATCAGTGGGAAATGCAGCAGATGTATTGACGCATACTGTTGCTTATAATGAGTCCATAGGAAGCAACGATACTGACGACGACTACGATCTTAGTGAAGAGGACAATTCCAATGAAGAAGGTATTTTTCATAAGCAAAGTAGCCACCCTATTCATTTCACAGCTTCATTATCTGATCATGCAGAATACATCACGAATAACCTTGTGGATGCTTTAGATTCACAAGGATTGGACGAGTCTTTAGTGCTTCAAGCCAAAATAAGCGGCCGTCTTAATAACGAAAACCAAAAAGTCATCGAAAGAAGGAAAGAACTTAATGAAAGACTTAAATCAATACTGTCTTTATATAAAAAGAACTTCACTCATTCAGAGCGGAACCTGAAATCGAACTTGACTAGCATGACCAGAGTTCAAAAATTGAAGCATGACATTGATGAACTCGAAAGCAGAATAGAAAAACTTAAGAACGGCTCTTCAAAAAGTTTCAGAATTTTCAAACTGCAATACGACGGTATTTCGAAGTCATATCCGGTGGAGTACAATCAATCTAAGGATAAAATTTTAGAAAGGCAAATCGATGAACTATGAGTAAATGAGAAAAGAGATACAATCCTAATATATTAATGACTAATGATCTTCTATATTTCATTCGTGTAAAGGGAACCAATTCCATCTAACCATGATCCTACATACCAGTACATTCCCATTATTGTAAAACCCTCACTCGGGACCTCTAAGGTGGATAGGTGACCTCCCTTGGAGTTTCCGTACATTGGCGATTTCCTTCCCGTATTCGTCTCGAATTGAACAGCATCAATCCAGGCTCCGTTTCTTATATGAAGCTTTTGGATAATTTCTCCACCATTCAAAATGAATTCTGAATATTTCGATTTCTCATGTCCAACTAATGAACTGAATTCGGAGTCATTCTTAGAAATATCCACTTGTTTAATTTTTTGTGCAAGTTTATCTATGTAATTTCTAGGCGGTATTTTTGGAGGATCATCAGTAGTTCTCGAAGGTCCATGGTAGTAGAATTTGATGCCATCCAAGGCACCTCCATGAAATATTCTGACTTTCTTCACAGTATCAAGATTGAAGAGAGAAACTTCTTGCTTTTTGTCTTTGGACTTTCCAAGTAAAGAACTTTTAAAACAATTAAAAGTACCTTCCCCGAGCCCATAGTTACTCTTATCAACACGAATGCTATCCATTACGCAATGACTTTTGAAATCTTGTATATACAAATCACCACCTAAAGAAAGTACTCTTACATCGAAATTCTCAGACGCTTCTTTGAAGTTACCTTTTAAGGCATTATAGCAGAAATTGTAATCCAAGACTAATTCATGTTGTAGCCCATGGCCGCCATATGAATGCGGAAAATATGCAATGTGGTATCTCGCTAGACCTTTGGCGACAAGTTCAAACATGAAGATTCCGGACTTTGATTTTATTAAGGCAGATCCTTGCAGTAAGTGATACAGAGAAGGAGCAGAGTTCATTTCGTCGTATCCTTCATATCGCCTCATGTACGTACTGAAAAGTTTTCCGAAATCTCTATCAACAGGCAAGGAAAAGGAAGCGTGATAAAAATATCTTATTAGATCCATTATGTTCCAGTGACATACTTTTGGCCACGTTCCGTCATTGCCTATGAATCTACCATTTGTTCTTTCTCTTAAACATTCAAGCTCCTTCGTCATGAAAGACCTATTTAACCAGATGTAGTCTCTCAACATTACACCATCTACTTGATGAGGACTTCCGAGAGAATGGCCAATTTCATGCATAAACGCGCCCATAGTAACATTGAGACATTCCCAACTTGTTCCACATTGATTGCAATCATTAGCAACCTCAGATTTTGATAGATGTGTGGCATCTAGAAAACTAGGTCCTACAGAAGCAAAACTGGTGGGCCACGAATGCAATCCATGGGAACCGAATATTGCTAGCTTGATATCTGCGTTACCCCCACCTAATGCTGCGTGGGTCAATATTAAATCTTTTTTAGAATCATAGTGAGAGTCGACGTATAATACGGCGCACTGTATTGGAGTTCCTTGAGATTTATATTTCTCAGATAGTTCAGGAGTATTTTTAATGACATCTAATGCATGGCTAAAGAGCCATCCTTTATTTGTAGCCTTAGGATTTTGCTGAGTCAAATTAGGGTCTTGAAGTTCAGCAACAGTTTTAGGAGACCTTAAAACATGAACTTTTACCTCACTATGTGGGACCGGAGACTTTGTATCATAGCCGAAAACACCCTGATGAGAAACCGCCTCTTCAACAAACTGAAAAGAGCGATTACTTAACCCTACAGCTCTCATTTCATCTTGAGTATATGCTTGCATCAATCTACCGGCTACCTTTAATTTCCTAATAGCAGTGTCAATGTTTGCCTCTTCGCCTCTCCTCAACCGATATTTCGGCATATCATATTGACCCAAAGAGTCTTTACCGACAAGCAAACATAAGTGAATTGGCTTGTTCTTATCTAAAAAACAATAATTTATTCTAATGCTGGTACTGTCGACTATGCGAGGGTCCTTGTATTTACATTGTAAATAACCCGAAGAAGATATTTCACAATTTTCTAGGATATCAATTACAATGTTGTTGGCCTGGTTAGCAGCAACATGAACCACACATTTGAAATGGCCGCTATTAGATATTTCACAATATTGTGGTGGAAACACTCTATTATCATCATTAACGAATCGGACAACTGCCTGTTTGGATGAAATGGAGCTTTTACCTTGAATAATGATGCTAGGAGAAGAAACTATTTCCCCATTAGAATAATTTAAGTTAATTGCCATGTTACTGCCAGTAGTGTTTTTTTTATTCAGAACAGAACAGGTTCCATATGTAACAAGTTGAAATCAATCATCCACGTGACTCGATTATTTATGGCGAGAGATCAGATCTTATTATACAAGTGATTTGATTGATTAACATTGAACTAAGATTGCTTACCATTTAAAAAGCGGAGGGGATTGGCTACATTCAGAAGTCAGAAATTTACAACATTAAGTTTAGCCTGTTATTCTGACGATGCTTTGTTAAGTCTACTGCACGAATACATGTCTGAACATAAAAAACGATCCGAAGCTGCAATTGCAGCGTCTAACCATTGGGCAAACAAAAGGGTAAAGACACTTGAAGATCAGAAAGCTTCGGAAAGTATACCATTGTTACCTGTAAACCCAGATGCTGGAACTGACAAGCAAAATCCGATTTTGATTGAGGATATCAAATCTACCGTGGATCATCGAGTCCCAGAAACATGTAGGTCATCCCCAATTCGGCTCCTTTATAACCCCAGTTATAATGATAGCGAATCAGTTGCTGCTAATAAAGATACCTTAATGATAGAGGAGCTCATTGGGTCAAAGGATTTGAAGGAAACATTCCAATTCAACTTTAGCATCGATCTTCCCTTTTTTTTGACTTATTTGCATCCAGACTTTTCGAAAGAGAAGAAAAAGATAACATTCATCAGCGGTAGTAAAGTTTTATTACCAGAATTACCTGATGCAGAGTTCGTAAGAGAACATTTTAATGTGCATGAAGTAATTGCAAATGTGCCTAATAAGTTCGGGACTCATCATACTAAAATGATGATAAACTTCTTCGAAGACGATACTGTAGAAATCGTTATCATGACAGCTAATCTAACCAAACTAGACTTTGTAGGATTGACTCAAATGTGCTGGAGGTCTGGGAGGTTGAAAAAGGATTCGGATCCTTCTGAAGAGAATACAAAATTTAAAAGAGATTTATGCGCATATATCAAGCGTTATGGTGATGATGCTCTTGATAATTTATCTGAGATTGTAAATAAATACGTATTTTGTGGCATAGATGTCGAACTAGTGGCTTCAACCCCAGGATCTTATGACATCTCCGATCTCAAAGATGACGATGAAATCTACGGCTACGGAAAACTATATCAAATTTTAAGAAGAAATGGGTTATTGCTTGACAATCAGGAGTCTAAGCTACATTATAATGTCCTAGCTCAAATATCATCGATTTCGTATCCCTTTGCTACAAAAGGAAAAGATACCGCATCAATATTCTCTCATCTAATTTGCCCGTTGATTTTCTCTGGAAACCAACCCGGACCTTCTTTCTTAGCACCTGGATCTAGATCATTTCAGAGGCATCAAAAACTGAACAATTATTATCCACACATAGTATTCCCATCCGTGCCTGATGTGGCAGAGAACAACGTTGGATTCGGAGCAGGTCAGGCTGTTCATTTTAACTATTTTAGTTCACAAACTCACAGAAACCAATATGAGCAGAACATAAAACCCTATTTAAGACGATGGAATTCTAGTAGAAATCTATCGATTACAGGGCGTGAAAAAGTGGTTCCACATGTAAAGTTATATATGTGTGACAATGCTGATAATTGGGGTTCTTTAAAGTGGGTAATGATGTGCAGTCATAATTTGTCAAAACAAGCATGGGGATCTCATAAAGGATCCAAATTCACGACTACTGATGCCAGAAAATATGAAGTTGCAAGCTATGAGTTAGGAGTTCTTGTCCCAGAACGAACTGTGAAATTGATTCCATGTTATTCTTCTGATCATACTACGACAGCTGACAGGATACCTATAAGATTACCATTCAAATTGCCACCTGTTCCGTATCTGTCATCAGACAAACCATGGAGCCCACTCCAAGATTTTGGGCACATAAAAGATAGATATGGGCAGGAATATCATGGAATTAACTCATAAAATCTTTATACCAAAATGCTTTAATGCAGATGTCTAACAATATAAATATTTAAAAATAAATACGTTATTATCAAACTTTCGATTATATTAATGCTAGCTATGCTCAATCTAAAATAGATTTAGGTTTGTCATGAATCTGAGTCGGACCGAGGAAATAAGTTTCCTCATCACTTTTCGAATAGTCGGTATCTTGGTCTTGATCAATGATAATCCTTTTATTTGGTAAACCTTGTTTTACTCGTTTTGCACCGGCAGATGTTCTCGTATTGTCAATATGTCTCTTCATACTCAATTCAATGTTAGACGTCACCGATTTATCATAAGTCACTATATCCAAAGGCTCAGATGATGCTTCACGTAGATGAGATGTTTCCTCTTCGTCATTACGAATGTCACCATAAAGTGAAGTTACTCTTGTAGAATCTATTGCAAGACTTCCCATTATATTCGCGCGCAGATGAACCTCCTCGGTAGCTGATTTAGAATAAAGCGAAGAGAGATGAGGAAGATCAGGTACCTCTATTGTACTTTGCTCTTTAATATCCCGAAGGACATGTCTAGGTAATACAAAGGTATCAGAGTTTTTATCATCATCGGATACCGGGCCCTCTTTTCCTGTGATCTGTACATACTGGACGAGTAAATTAGGATCGCTTTTCATTTCAAATAATATGGGATCACCAGCCTTTCTAAAGAAGATCTCGAAATTATAATCACTCAAACTAAGATCTTTGAACTCTTCATTCTTGAAACCCTCATTTGCACCAAAAATGCTGGTAAGCAACAGAATAAAATTCCGAAGATCACGTAATCTGAATGTTATTGCTTTCTTAGATACCACATCAATCATTTCAGTTTGACGAAGATTAGAATTTATAAGCTCTTCGATACTGAGGGTGATAGTAACTGACATAGGATGTTTAAGTATTTCCTTCTCCTGAACAATTTGTTTAGTAAACCCTGTAAACAGAATCCTATCATTTTTAGCCTCTATTTTAAAGTCTTCAGTGGTTGAAGGCAATAGGTCCAAAAAGTCCTTGAAGATGATTTGTTCAATTATAAAGAAATTGATACAATTAGGAGAATGATTTTCGGCATCAGAAGATTGATCATATAAATTCTGATGATACCTTTCTGCAATTTTTAGCTTATTCTTGACGACAGGTTGATAGCTCGTACGGTACTTTTTAATGATTAGCTTCTTAGTCTTAATTTCAATTAATAGAATGTATTGCATAGGGCGTGGTGTATTCGGCGACCAGTCAGCTTTAAGCCAAATGTAATGAAGATCATTAGAATCCATATTTTTAAACAAGGTGAATAAATGCTTTGAATTCACTAGAAAGGAATACGAATTCATTTCACAATCAAGAGAACCAGACTCTTCATCCTGATCTATATATTGTCTCAGATTTATATCCTCATTTTCTTCAACCTTATTAGGAGTAAATTTGGTATAGTAGGTATGAAAAAAAGACTTCTTGAATATGATTTCGCCATGAGTGGTTCCAGCGATATTTATGGCTGAAAGCGATAAAGAATCCAGAGAAACAATAAATTTAATACGATCTGAAATCGCTGCTAAAGACGCAATGGCCTTGTTCCATATAATCTTATGTTTGATAGATTCTATCGAGCCGAAGAATGACATCACACAATATGATTTGCTAGACCTTTTTCAGATCATGTTCTATGTTGTAAAAGTAATTATGAATTGAGAAACTAAAATTCGCATAAATTCCTGTACTGGAAAAGTAAGGACTCTCGTTATCAAAACTTGGGAGAATCAGTTAAAACCGTCATACCAATCCATAACAAGTTTTCCTTATTAAATCAGCATTTCAAAAATGACAAAAACCTCCGTCTTCATAATCAATCCCAATTCTTCTGAATCGGTTACGAATAATTTAAAGAATGTCTTGGTGATGTCTCCGAATGTAGAGTATAATTTCTACACTGCACCACCGGAGGCACCTAAAGAAATTAGCGGTCATAAGTCATCACTTGAATCTGAGAGAATAGTGCTTCCAGATCTTTTGAAGAAAGGCGTTTTGGATAAGTACGACGGATTTCTCGTCTGTTGTTACTCTGACCATCCATTGATTCATTCATTGGGTCAACGCACTAGAAAGCCAGTCTTAGGAATTATGCAAGCAACATTAACTTACAGTTTACTGAGCTCGCTAGTCAATAAACTGTTTATATTAACTAGCTTTAGCGACTGGGAGCCTCTACTTGACCAAGGAATCATAGACTACGTTGGAAGTGATAGGTTTCCACTAGGAAAATTTCAAAAAACGAAAGCTTTGAACATAAGTGTTTTAGATCTTAGTGATCCAAAAGAATTTGCTAAGATTCGCGAGAGAGTCAACTATTTTTTGAATGTAGAGTATGCAAAAGAAAAGATCAACTGTGTACTCTTGGGATGCGCAGGTATGGCGGGGTTAGATTCTAAATTGAGTGAGTCATTTCCAAATGTTTTGTTTATAGATAGCGTTAAAGTAGGTGTTGATCTCCTTGTTACGTTGATTAAATTCAACTCAACGAATTTAAATATATAGACATTTCTGGCATTCTTTTTTGTATATACTCAATATAATCTTGTAATTGCTTACACGATAAGTGGAACAGGCACAAAAATTTTTGTAATCTTTCTTTATCTATAGATTTTTGAATCTTATTAGAAATAATTATTCAGAAGACAAGACTACTAATTGTCAGATTATTATTACGGATTCTAAAATAATCTCATGCCTAGAATGAATTCACATAGTGCAGATTCCTCAAAGGATGAAAGAAACGAGGCATCAGTTGATAATGTGCGTCAACCTGAAAGAAAGGATTCACTTTTAGCCAGAATGTTGTCATCTCGTAGATCTGCAAACGCATTGGATTCACCCAAGCCAGACATTGAGGACTCCAGAGATAGAGAGCCGTCCCTCCCACCTCTCCCGGCTCTTTCTTTGACAGGCTATAAGAGAAACACAAAGCACAGGTTGATGAATGACGAATTAGCTGAGAATATTAGAGGACTTCTTCCTGCCAGGCTTCAATTATTTGAAGACTGGGAGCTCGTGTACTCACTTGAGCAACATGGGGTTTCATTAAATACATTATACCAGAATTGTGATCTTGAGACACAGCTTAGAAGACACAACAAGGACAAGCAGGGAGAAGGAGGATTTGCTGAGTCCGTTGTTAGATCAATTTTAGATGAACCCTCAAAATCTTTTACCCCAAAGAGACCACATGGGTATGTTATGATCATTAAGGATGATAAACATTCAATATTTGGATGTTATGTCAATCAAAGTTTTAAACCGACAGATCAGAAAAGATACTACGGTAATGGCGAATGCTTTTTATGGAAATGTGAGAAGACAGGCTCAAAGGAAAAAGGAAGTCGGTTTAAGGCTTTCGTCTATACGGGCATTAATGACAACATTATATATTCCAATCATGACTTTATTGCCATTGGTTCTTCTCATGGACAAAATGGATTATGGATAGACAAATCGCTTTATAATGGTGTTAGTTATCCCTGCGAGACATTTGGGAATGAGGTTTTGAATAGCCTGGATCCAAATACAAGCTTCGGTAAGTTTAAAATAATAGGACTTGAAGTATGGAGAATAGGATTATTAGAGTAGTAGTTTCTGATCATTTGAATTATTGATAAAATCTGACATTTACATTTAGTCATTACATTTTATGTACTTAGCTGAATTTGGTACAAATTTAGTCAAAGCGAATTTCCTTTTGAATGGAATTCTTGGTTTTAATGAAGGTAAAAATAGAAATAAAGATTCCACAATTCAGGTAGTCTAGGTCTTTTAAGAGTGATTTTCACACGATTTTGTGTCACCTCTTATTTGTGTCACAAAAATGGTGAAACATCTGAAACAGATTTGCAACCAAAGAAGTGTTAACGAAGGTTGTTCATTCTAAAGCTCATATTCGGAAGAGGAACAGGATGTTGAAACTTCAGTAGTATTGACTGCATTGTTTGAAATCTGCTTCATTTTTCTGTAACACATGTTTTCATACGGGGCAATGCAAGTTCTTGAAATATATATATGTACGTTAAAGCTCAGTTTTCGCCTCAAAGATTAGACGGCAAATACAGCAATAAAGGATCTTTCTAAAGTTTAAGTCAAGTGGTAATACTGACAAACTGTTCATTCGCTAATTGATTTGTGTTTATATTCGTAGCACAAATGAAGATTTCACTCATTGCTGCACTAGTGGGGATTGCTACTAGTGCTTTCTCCCAGACGAGCGACTATTTTTCAAACGAATTAGATACTGGTTCCACAATATGGACCACTTATTATGCTGAATCGACGAAGTTAGTGACCATAACATCTTGCGAATCTAATGTGTGCTCCACGAAAACGCATTCAACTGGAGTCACGAAAGTTACCACCGTTACTGAAGGGGTTACAACAGTATACACGACATATTGCCCGCTTACTACTTCCCATCCAGTAGTTCCACTGTCTTCCTTGGAACTTACTTCAACTTTTGCAAGTAGCTCTGAGGCTCTGTCATGGAGTAGCGAAGAATGCGAGGAAGATGAAACATCATCGATTGCTTCTTCTGTTTACATCTCGCTGTCAATAACTGAAGCTCCAAGTGACTCATGTGGTTCTGAGTGCTCATCAACCATATCCTTGCCAAGTTCTTCCTCATCTGCATTGGAAATATCGAGTTCACTCGAAGCAAGTTCTATCGAAATAACATCTAAACCGTCGAGTTCACTTGAGGAAAGCTCTATCGAAATCACATCTAAACCCTCGAGCTCCTCTGAAGTTAACGAAAATTCTTCTTATGAGTCAACGACCACAGAAGTTGACCATAAGACCACTATAATTACGATAACATCATGTGAGAATGATAAGTGTTCAAAAACTAGCGCCAGTGCTACGCGAGGGGTTGTTACTGTAACAGTGAGTGGCGAAATCACATCATACACAACTTGGTGCCCAGTGACAGCAACTCTGTCGAGTTCAGAGATTTTCGTCTCATCAACCTCGAGTACGGCAACTTCCCTGAGCATTGAGACAGCTACCACAAGCACAGAGGCACTGGAGACAGTTCCTGCAACTAGTCTGACTGTTTCTAGCGCCCTCAAAAGCTCTAGTCTCTTGTCTACCTCAGTGACCCTATCCATTCCTACAACCAGCGAGGTCGTTTCTAAAGATTCGTACAGCAGTTATGTCACGTCATCGCCATTAACTTCTAGCGAAACAATAAGTTTGCTGTCGTCGGTCGTTTCTACAATGCACTCAAGCTCACTTACAAGTACAGAAACATCTAGTAAGGCTATCAGTACTTCAAGTCAATTTTCAGCTTCTCTGAGCTCCTATTTTTCAGAAGATGAAGAAGAGTCATCTTGTATTGAAAGTGAATCTTCCGATTTTGCTACTGTTACTTCAGTAACAAGTTCGAATATAGATACGTCTATCTATGTCACCGAGACTTCATCAAGTGAGAGTGATGAAGTAGAGTCCTCCTTTACTTCGTTGGAAACAGCTAGTTCTGTGGAAAGTTTGGAGACTTTAAGCGATGTCACTGAAACGAATACACTCACAACTGTTATCACAGTCACCCACTGCTCAGACAATAGATGTTCAAAAACTACTAAGACCGCAACACCGAGTCAGGTTACTACTACAGTAAGTGGAACAGTCACATCCTATACGACCTGGTGTCCATTGAGCGAAGAACTGACAACCTCTAAAAGTAGCATTTATGTGTCATCTACAGGCTGGGATACTACTGTTGCTCCTCTGACAACTAGCAAAGAAACCCCGCCTATGAGTAGCCTGGTTGCTGATGTTTCTGTCTCTTCCGTAGAAACAAAAGAGACTAGTGATGCTCTGAAAAGTTCACTGCTTGAGAAAGAAACTACAAAGGAATCTTCGACGCAATCTAAAGAAACTAAGGTATCATCGAAGATATCATCTACCAGAGAATCAACAAGCGAAACTACTTCGGACCAAACTACTACAGTTATTATAACTGTGACTACATGTTCGGACAACAAATGTTCCGAGACTACTGTTCCAGCCACTCACGGCCCTACAACAGTTACGGTGAGTGGTAAAACAACTTCTTTCACTACATGGTGTCCAATTTCTGGATCACTGACGTTTTCTTCTACGCTGAATGAAGCGCCTACGGTTACACTGGAGCAAGAAAGTACTGTTGAGGTATCTGATTCCGTGGATGCGCTGTCTTTCTCGTCTGATATTGCGCCAGAGCAAACAGCATCTTCGGAAGCCGAATGGACTGAAACAGCCTCTTATGATGATACAACTTCAACCGAACAAAGTAGTTTGGCTAATACTTCTATATCTTACACTGATAGTATATCTACAGAATCATCAGTGAAAAAGACCACTTCACCTTACTCTACCAACGCAGATTTAGGAACCACAGATACCAAGGAAACGGCTGCTGAAAGTGCAAGTTGTCTCGAAAGTGACTGCGTCGCTGAGACATATGCACAAAGCAGCAGTGAAGTCTTTTCGTCATACAGCGTCTTGCCAAGTTCTGTGTCAGAGTATGAAGGAAGTGCCAAATTACTTTCTTCTCGAGCAGGGGTTCCAGTTTTTGTACTTTCAGTTTTATTATTCTTCTGAGGTAAGCTCTTGCCTTTAAAATCAATTCTACACTATTTTAGTAATATTATCATCTTTAAAGTTATATAAATGTAAAGATATATATATTTAATACTACATTCTACCATACCGTTGAGGATGCCACTATGCACAGGAGTTTTTAATAACCTAATACCCATAACTGTTGAAATGAACCAAATGCCAATGAAAGAACAAAAAAAAAAATAAGAAAACAAAATGGATAAAACAAAAAGCTAACATACATTGCATTTAATGGACTTTTGAATAAACCTAAGATCTGTGTTGAATTTGTCTTAGGTTTGCAGCATGTTGAGTGCTTGCAATACCCTGTACAGGTGAATTAAAATTAATCGACTTGAATTGTCGATAAAAAAAAAAAAGGCTTGAACTTTTATAGCTTATTCTAGGTCAGGCACATGGAGCTGATTTAATAAATCAAAAATGGTCTTGTTTTCGTCGAAAAAATCGTTACTGACCAAGTTACAAAGAACAAACTCATCATTTAAGTTTTTCATGAGCTCGACAAAATTTGAGCTCTGACTTTTATCAATGGTTGTAGATTGAAGGTGGTAGCTCTGGAATATTCTAATCCATTCTGTAATGAGTCTAAAAGCTTCATCTTTCCATGCCAAAAAAGAGGTCTTCTCCACAATTGTTGGCTGCAAAATCTCTTCACCTGGAAAGACACCCCACGTGACAGCATTAATATCATCCTCTGCAGTGTTGGTCAACAAGTCACCATTTTTATTCACCGCATAATAGGTCACATTACCACAGCCAGAACCATTTTGAGCATTATTATATTCGGAAATTTTCTGTAAAAGGTCAGGAATCAAATCTTGGTGACACAAAAATTCCAAATATTGCTTTTGGTAGATATATCCGTTCTTGGGACCCCACCCAAAGACACTGTCACTGGATTTCACAGCATTTAGAGCTGGTTGGGAATTCGTAGTAAAAAACCCTTTTCTATTTAATTTAATAAGGTCTTCAACTATGATTGATGTGTCTTTGCCAATTTGTCCATCAGACCAAGGCAATGATTTCAAGTCACCTTTAAGATAAGATACAATAAGCTCACCAAAGTCCTTCAAAGATTGAGGTGCTCCCCACAAATCAAATGCCTTTTTGGGGGACTGCCTCAATAAGTCAGTCGCAAATAAATCTATATCGCCAAAAGCTGGAGATCTAGAATCACCCCATCTTCCATTAGGGAACTCATCCCAAGCTGAAGTTCTCGATATATAAGAATATTTTCTGTTCTGCCAAAAAATTGGACGAATAGCTTCTTTCGATCTCAGTGGGAGTAAAGACTTTCTCCATGGCAAGTCAACACCACCGATTGTCTCATGTGACTTCACTGACTCAATCAAATTCAATTTTTCTAATATCATTACGGTAGCCCTCTCTAAGTTCATCGTATAAAAATGTAAGTGATTCACATGACCAGACGTAATTAACTTCTGGCACATCTCTGCAACAAGCTCTGTTCCCTTTTCCCTGACCTCAAAATCGTCATCTTTAATTGGGTCAAGAGCATCCAAGAATTCTTGTGGTATTGCTACTTGAGACCACTTTGCCCTTCTAATGAACGAAGCATAAGTAGAAATTGGCATTATTCCAGGAATTATTGGAATCTCGACACCAAGTTTACGAACTTTTGCGCACCAAGAAATGAAGTTATCAGCATCATAAAACATTTGAGTAATAATGAAATTGGCACCTGCATCACACTTTTCCTTTAAATAGGTCAAAAGCAACTCATCAGACTCTTCTTCAGGATGACCTTCTGGATAAGCTGCAACACCGATGTTAAAATGATTACCATATTTCTTACGAATATATTTTATCAAGTCAACAGCGTAATTGAAAATGCCAGTGGATTCTGAGCCATCCAACGGAGGATCACCCCTCAAAGCCAAAATATTCTGGCATCCAGACTTGTAGGCTCTATCTAAAGCCTCATCAATCAATTCAATTTGCATATTAGTGCAAGTTAAATGCATACAAGTTTCCAAGCCTAAAGTAGATTGTGCGGTGTAAACCATCTCATTTGTTAAGCTCGAAGATCTTCCACCTGCATTCCAAGTAATATCTATGAAGATAGGATTCAAGTCGTACATTCTATCCATTCTATCGTATAGGTTTTGTACACCTTGTGATGTTTTTGGAACGAAAAATTCAAAAGAGAATGTAGCCATAGCCGGATTGGATACCGAGTGTGCCTGATTTAGCTTTTCTGAGATCCTCATGTTATGATTCAATACATAGATGGACTATAATGTGGTTGTCTTCTTGTTGAAGAAAATCTTTAACTGTCGTGTCGTGTCGGACTTGATCTTAATTGTCGAGTCTCGCACTAAAATGGAATTGATCTATACAAAATCAAAATAGTTATGTACAGTTGCACTTATAGTTCATCGTAATTATCAAAGGCAACTTCACTTATATCTGTGCTCTTGATATCGGGCCCTGAGCTCCGAATCTTAGTGGTAACACTCAGTGAACTTACGCTAATTTCATCTTTTGTATCTATGATAGACTGAATTTTAGCTTCATAATGTTTCCACTCAGGTAACAATCTCTTAGCTTTATCGATCTTGCTCTCATTGGATGTTGGGTTGTTGCATAGATCAATTGCCTTTGCTCTTGAAAGAGATTCGTCTGAGCACCATGTCTCGCACCAGAGCCAATCTTGAGGTAAGGTGAATATCTTTATATTTCTTTGCATATTATTAGGGAGATCTTGATCCAAATTAGCAAGGGACGCAGGATCAAAAGATAACTTTTGGTAGTGGGATCGCAACCTATTTCCTGCTGATATTTGTTTGAATTTCACGAGGTCTACGACAAACAATGCACTGATGTGATATTTCAAGTCATCCTGCAAGACTTCAGACCAGTAACCACTTTTCCAGAACCTAAAACCCTCCATTTCCTGCCGCGAATCACACATAGGAGGAAACCCGTATGCTGCTCCTTCCAAATCAATGTCCAATAATTCTCCAACATCTGCACGAGAAATCTGATCTGCATCGACGAATATAACTTTCTTCAATGATGGAGGGAATAACACATCAAGAAATAAAATTTTATATCCCCATATTACTCTATGGTTTTCTTTTTGATATCTTAGCCATTTGGGCCATTTATAGCTTATTAGCTCAATCTCTACCCCTAGGCGTGCCTCTAAATCAGGAATCAATTCTTTAAACTGAGGAGAAAGAAAGTCCTCGATAATCCAAAACTTCAAAGTTTTATCAGAGTGTTCGCGGATAGAAGCAATCATGATCGCCACGAGCCTTTCGTAAGCATGACCGCTAGCTATGGTAAAAATATTCACATCTGCTTGTCTATTTTGCTCGACTTTTCTCCCCCAAGGTTTAAAAAAGTAACGAACAAATGATGAGCTACTCTCATCATACCCTGGAAGATCTATGGTTTTAAATCCTGCATTTTTCTTTACCATTAACAAAATATGAGACCCTTTAAGATCTGTAATAGACAAAGAAATATCATTCACGGGATTTTCATCAACCCACAGATTCTTGTCAGAAGTTGATAGAATTGAGAAATGCTCTCTGCTTTTGCCTGAACTTAAACTTAGCTTCCAAACACCTGGCAAAGCAGAGAATTGAAAATATCCCAAATTGGACATAACAGTGGTTTCTTTCATAATGTCATCTTTTGATAATTGTAATATCAAACCTGCGGGATTGAATTTAGCAGTGATTTCCTTCGCATTTCCTTCGATCAATAAACTCCTCAATGAAAAGCCAATCGTTATCAGTTTTTCTTCCTGAAACTGAATATGATTCAAATCAAGCTGATCAGGGCTATTCTTTAGCGAAATAGTCCAAGCGTTTGGAATATCAAGATCCAAAGAAAAAGAATTGGTTTCTGAGACATTATCAAAGTCCACAGAATGGTTCTCGATAATTCTTCCATCAGGTCCAAACTTGGGCCGCGAGGGAAAGAGGCCTCTGTAAAATCTATTAGGTAAGGAGTTGCTGTCAGTAGAGGAAATAGGTTGAAATAAAATCCTAACACCAACAAAAGGAATATCCATAATTGCAGAGCATATTGACACCATCTTCTGAGAATACTCATCAACAGGATCCATAATCAAAAGAATGTCGACTTTATTCTCGGTTTTTCTTGCTGATGCTAAAAAGGAATTTGACATGTTGAGAGAAGAAAAGTCATACCTTGCAACATCTGGGTAAAAAGCCATATCATCAAAATGGAAGGATTTCGATAGAAGAGACGAGCAGAGATCAAGCCAATCAAAATCATCCATCGAAGCATTATTGAGTTCTTCTCTAGACTTATTGTCGAACACCCTGGGATAAGATAATATAATTTCGTCAATTATACTTAATCTTTGAAATATTTCGAAGTCGAAAAGAAGTTTTAAATCGTTGCCCGAAAGTGGTGAAGCTAAATCAATATAGCGACTGTTGAATAGAGCAAATCGGGCATTCAACGGGATGTTGGCATTTCTTAGTGCATTCAAGACTCCTGATGGCACTTCATTCGATTTAGTATCGTCGGAGTAATTTTGGAAGTAGTTTTCCATCAACTTTACTTCTTCAGTCTTCAAGTTATTCAATTCAAACTGCTTCCCTAATGTGCTCAACACTTCCGAATTTCCGGTGTCAATTAAGCGTAACTTCAAACTGTACTTAGAGCTTTCAATAGAGGTTATAATTGTGATTAGCTGATTTTTCATACTCTGATCCCTGAAGTCCCCTACCAACCAAACTGTGCCGTCCGCACTTTTCAGATTACTGAATTTGATCGGAGTAGAAATACTTGTTAGTTCTTTTGACAATTTTATGTACTTTGCTTCATTTGGATCTAAAGGTATAATTCTTGTGTTTCTTTCGGTGTTGGCGTTATGATATAATGCTTCTTTTAAGGATATATGAGATTCAGAAGTATGTGATAAATACTGACGCAAGCTTTTAACGTCCTCTGCCATCTGTGTCTTCATTTGTGCTTGCCAGTTTGGAGATCTAAGGTCATATATAACCCCATTGAGAATTACACTTGGAGTTTGAAGTGAAAACTTTTTTAAAGTCTTCGAAAATATTTCAGTAAAGTTATATTCTCGTTCCGAAACAACAGAGTAAATCAACTTTTCAGCATCCTCGCTGTTTTTAGATTCAAAATACTTATATAACAAAGCTAGAGCTTCCGTTTTTGAGGCTTTTTCCACAAGGTAGTAAAATCGATCAGCTAATAGTCTATCGTTAGGATCTTCCCCTATGAGAGGAACTAAACCTACTTGCTGTGGAATGCCTTGATCCAAAATCATCTTTGAGAGCGTAAAAAAAACTCTCAATTGTTCTTTGTTTCCTAAGTTTAAAACAAATATAAGATCATGTACATTCAGTCTTAATGGTGGAATTCGGCCCTGTGCCATTCTAGATGCAAAATTCAAATATACATCGAAAGGATCCTCAGAGTACATTGCATAGTTATCATCTTTGCCTATATCATTGAAAAACACCACACCACCTCTCTTTTTATCAGATGTGAATTCATCCTCGTAAATTTTAAATCTATTATGATTACCCAACATAGCCGCATTACCGTTCCGGAACTTGTTTTCCTTAACAGCACTGAGTAAGGCAAATTTGTAAATTAGATGTTTTGATTGAGTAACAGATAGCCCTAAAGAACACAACTCATTAATAATCGCTTCTTCATTCTTAATTTTAGAAATTATCTCAAATATATCGAGTTCAAGCTTATTCACAGGAGATCCGTTGACATATAGTCCTAATGTCATTTCTGATGAGCCTATACCCTCGTTATACTTTAATGCTGACTCCACCTGCAAGGTATTTGATGGCTCCGAGTTTGCAATATAATATGCAAACTTTGGAAGGTCTTGAAGAAAGTGTCTAAGGAGTTCAAACTGAGTTACATTGATCCAATTATTAGAAAGTACCAAAGAGGCTAATTTCAAGCCTACGCTTTTCCACTTATCTTTAGAAATACGATTTACCTCGGAAGAGAAGGATATCTCCCAAAAATTTTCATTTAGCTTGAGATGATTCAAGCTTTTATCGTTTTCAGTTTCATCGACGTACGTGTGAGAATCTTTGAGTCGCAATTCGGCGCCGTAGCCTGTAAGACGCTCAAACTCACTTGTGGCGAAACTTGGAATGTACCTCCAAACGAATCTTACAAGACCCTCATTGGAACTCCGATAAAGATGCATAAACATTTCAGCAAAATTGTGGGAGTTCACATCACCATAAAGTGTCAATAATGGGGCTTTATCATTCCATCCAATCGGTCTATCTATTGAGTCAACATACATCGAGGGCTTCTTTTTGAATGAGTTTAATGCGTAAAGTTCTTCAGGAGAACAGTATATTTTGTCGTTAAAAAGAACCCACGCATCAATCTTATCTGACTCTGCATTTAGGATCTGTTTTCCAAATGAATCTATTGAACACTCTTTAAATAACCTCTTAGAGAAGTCATATTTATTTATCAATTGTCTATAATGATAAAAATGTGCTTCGACACGGGGACTGTAGACATGATTGGCAAGAGAAATGTCAACGAATGATTTCGAGCGAATATCTATATTTAATGATTCAAAAACGCTAGTGTATAACTCATGATCCGAGACTTCATTCACGTCATTTTCAAATATTTCAATTTCGTCTGAATCTGACAGTATTCCAAGCACCAGTAATACCACTGGCAAATATAAAGATTCATTATATGATGCAATACTTTCAATTAAGCGAAGTTTGAATGGAACTAACAGCCATGGAGCTTCCAAATATGCTTCTAGATTATTTTCAATCTCCGGAGCTCGAAAGCATGCCACTAGATGTACAAACAATCCTAATATAGTTAAATATAGCATGTTTCTGCATTATCCATTAATTTAATAGTTTTCCAATGCTGATCTATGAATATTTGATGAGAATAGTATATGCAGTACGATAAATCTAATCAAAACAGTCGTATTTACATATTCAACTAGTATCACTAAAGTTATCTATTTCAGCAAACAAGTTTTAATGCGAAATGAGTTCTACAAACTTGTTTGAATCAGGGCTTGAAAACGGATATCCAAGTAAAGGGACAAATTCTGAAAGCGACCAAGAAGTAGATTTGCAATTGAGCTCAGATGATGAGGTTGGAAACTTTATTGATGATATGGATACCGATAGAAGTGGCGATGAGAACGAAGAAGATCAGCTTCTATTCACATCATCTGAGAATGATGATGATGAAAATATTGAGGATGACTATGATGAAAATTATGATTTTAGAGATGCGCTTCGGAGTGCTGGTAACTTTCGAGCTAGGAATAAAAAAAGGATAACTACTTCATCAAAATCATATTGGAGGCGAAAGATGATCAAAAGCTCTAATAGAGAACTAGATCCAGAAGTTCGTATCTACCTTTCTCAGGCAAATGAAGCTTTTGTCAGAAACGATTTTCTGGCTGCTTCAAATTTATATTTAGAAGTCATCAAAAAGGATCCCAAGAACTTTAGTGCTTACAAGACTTTGGGCGAAATATATAAGCAGCAGGGCAAATTAAATGAATGCTGTAGTTACTGGTTACTTGCAGCTCATATAAATCCGTGGGATAGTCAGTTCTGGGCTAATGTGGCAGAATTGAGTACAGATTTAGGTCATATTGATCAAGCAATATTCTGTTATAGCAGTGCGATTCAACATGATCATTCGAAGAACATGAAGTACGTACTTGATAGGGCACTATTATACAAGGAAAAAAAACAATATGGCAGAGCCTTGGAGGGTTTACAAAAGGTGCATGATATGTTCCCAACTGACACAAACATTATCAAGAACCTTGCAAGTGTATATGTCGAACAAAAGAGGTTAAATGATGCCATCAATTTATATATGCATATTCTCGATAGAAACATAAATCCTGGCTCTACTAAAAGACAGAATTATTCAAAATTCGGATGGGCAGAATTGAACATCTTAAGTGAGTTATATATTCAACAGCACGAATGGAAGGTTGGTGTCAGAATTATAAAGTTAGTTTCCAGATGGATTCAAAATAGAAAAAATGAAACATGGTGGGACGAAACGGATGATGATTCTGAGTTTGACAAAAGAAGGTTCAATGTGCTTGAAAATCTTCCAAAAGAGGAGCAGCTCGTAGCCCAAAAGAAGGTTTATGACGTGCCCATTGACATTAGATTTAAAATGGGAAGCTTACGGTTGGGCTTAGAGCAGAAGGATGAGGCAATGCGACATTTTCAATTTTTGTTGGAGGAAGAAGAAGGTATTGCCGATTTACTTTTTGAAGCAGGAAGAGAATTAGAAGAACATGGATTTTATGAAGACGCATTAACATTTTTAACCAAAGCCGCTCAAAGCGACGAGCAGAGTGATAGCACTGAATTGACCGCCTTGTTAGGAAAGTGCTTTCTTGAAGTCGGTGATTATCAACAAGCGGCGCAAGCATATAAATCAATCCTATATGAGGACCCTTCCAACCTAGATAACAAATTAGCTTTGGCGGAGGCTGTGTACCACTTAGGAGATATAGAGTATTCCGCGAGGTTGTTAGAAGAGGTCAGATCTAGTCATGGTATCTCTGCTCTGCAGAACGAAAACACCAATCAAAGAATGGAAGGTGATAATTTGTCATTGATCAAAAGCAAGCAGATGGTGAAGGCCCCCAAAAAACCTACGGATCAGGAAAAGGTAGAAATAGAAAATAATGCAAGAAGGAAAGTCATGGAAAAGTATCGAAGAATGGAAAGACTCGAGGAGTCCATTATTCATAATGACAAGGTAGCTATAACAGCCTGGATGCAATTAGCATCTCAGTTAGTTGATATGTTCATTAGTGTGAGAAGTTTTTTCCCTCGAGATAAGAACAGGCTTTTCAAAGGAATAATTTTGTATCGTCGGAAAAAACAGATGGGTATCGATGAGAAAATTGCTCGTATCTTTAATCTCTATGAGGGGATGTCTGATGATGTGCATGTCTCAAGACTATTCTTGACTTCCACGACAGAATATCGGGGGCTTACGTATGATCAATGGTTTGTAATTTTTGTGCAATATGCTATCTTTTTGTTCAAGTTTGATAATAACCATGAGTATGCTATTCAGATTACGGACGTTGCCAGAAGCGTTAGCGTCTTTGCACAGGATAAAAAGAAGGAAACTATGATGAGATTGCTCCGATTGTTGTTTGCCGTTCTGCAATTTGATACTGGCAATGTTGTGATGGGAAATGTGAGGTTTTTCTTATCCGCAAATCAGTTTTCTTCTTTTATATATAAGTTCTTCATGTTTTGTTTTCCTTCGGGTCTCGAAGCTTGGGAAACCTTCACGAATTACAATCATCAAAAGTATTTTTTACGTCAGTTGAAGGCTTATGACTCCGTGATATTGGGCAGAAAGACTTCTGGAATGGCTACAATTACTGCAAATCTTGAGAATACGCATCTTACCAGGGAGCATGCCGAGCTATTATACGTTTATGCAAACTTGTTAGGAGGAAGCAGAAGTTATGTCTCGTCAATTGTATATTTAAACAGAGCATACAAAGAATACAATAGGGATCCGATGATTTGTTTAGTGCTTGGACTAGCACACGTACACCGATCGATGCAAAGACTAAGTAACAATAGGCACTTACAATTATTACAGGGGATCAGCTTTATTTTAGAGTACAAAGCGCTAAGAGGAGAAAATGCAACGGACTTTGAGTTGCAGGAAATTCAGTATAATTTAGGAAGACTATTTCATATGATAGGATTGACGACGCTAGCCGTACAACATTATGAGAAAGTATTGGATCTCCATGACTCATTGAAGGAAGACGTAGAGTATGATCTACTGGTTGAAGCAGCTTACAACTTGTCTCTCATATACAACATCAATGGTAACCCTAATCTCGCAAAAGATATCACTATCAAGTATTTAACTATTTAATGTCCTACGATAATAAAATTTTCGCGACCTTACTATTATTTATAAGTACTTTTCCTATGTAGAAAAATAACTAACATTAAACAAATACTTTTAATATGAAAGTATGGTGAGACTCAAACAGAGATATATTCTTTTCGATATACTACATTTTCCATCTCTAGAGCGGCCTAATCAAAGAGATGATTTTTTGAATTTCAGCACATCTGAGACGAATGCAATATTAAGCTTACATCAATCGTCTCCCAATACTATCAACCCCAAGCTGCTAACGAAGCTAATTAGATCTGTCATTCAGGAGCATTTTGGAGACAATGGAGCGGGCAAGGCAGGTATGCAAATGACAATTAAATACTTTAGCAACACCACGTCGACCGGAATAATTCGATGTAGCAGATCAAGTTTTCATATTGTAAGAGCTGCATTGAGCTTGATTAATATGATCGAGAATGATGAAATTATGGTAAGATGTTTACATGTCAGTGGAACTATCAAGAAATGCGAGGAGCGTTGTATTAGTAGAAACGAGAAGTTAATGTCGCTACTATCGAAATCAGATTACGCTGATGCAAGCTTGCTCGAGAGATTTTCGGAAATACAGGTTCTTAGATCATTAGGAGACACAGAATATGACTCCTGATAGTCAATGCATAGAATTTGAAGCATTTTACATGAACTTCAACAACACCTCCAATAGTAAAACTACACGCATTTATATGTCACTTGTTAACTAGTAATTTTTTTTTCTTTTTAGCGCATATAAGAATTACATCATACTGACATTCAGTTTTTATAGTTTAATACGAAACACAAGAAAAGACATAAGCATTTCATACAATTTTCAAGATGAGGCCGATAGATTATTCTCTTTATTTGGTCACAGACTCTACTATGATTCCTGAAAGCTCGACATTTTTAAATCAGGTCGGTGAGGCCATAAAGAATGGTGCAACAGTAGTTCAACTTCGTGAAAAGAACCTAGCAACTTCAGATTTCATTGAAAGAGCCAAAGAAGTACACAAATTAACTCAAGCAGCCAATATCGCTTTGTTAATAAACGATAGAGTTGATGTTGCTTTAGCTATTGGTGCTGAGGGAGTCCATATAGGTCAGGATGATATGCCAGCATTATTGGCCAGAAAGTTGATGGGTGCAGACAAAATCATTGGTGTGACATGCTCGAACCCTGAGGAAGTAAAAACGGTCGTTAAAGAAGCTACGGCAAACTACGTCGGCCTTGGCACTGTTTATGCTACGAATACCAAGAAGGATGTAGCAACTCCCTCTGGTGTTGGTCCGATTGGAATTCGTAAAATGTTGCGAGTTTTGGAAAAGCACAATCAGTCGGTGGTTGTTCCTATTAAATGTGTCGCTATTGGAGGTATTAATCAGCGTAATGCTGCCAGAGTGTGTTATCAGAGCTCAATTCCAAATCAACGCTTGGATGGTGTGGCTGTTGTTTCATGTATCATGGCAAGCGAATCAGCCGGAAAAGATACATCTTCTCTTTTATCTTCAATAAAATCGCCCCTCCCTTGGCAATTGCTGATTACTGAATACTCTTCAAGCCTGTCAATAGATGAAAAAATCAAATCTTTGATTTCAAGAAGACCAGTTGTTCACCATATTACAAATAATGTTGTGAAAAATTTCAGTGCTAATGTAACACTAGCTATTGGCGCTTCACCAGTTATGTCAGAGTTTTTGAACGAGTTTGAGGAGTTTGCTGCTAACATTCCAAACGTCTCTTTATTGATCAACACCGGGACACCAACACCAGAAATGATGAAAATATTTAAAAAAGCTTTAGCTGCGTATAATGCCCTTGGTCGTCACATCGTTATGGATCCCGTTGCATGCGGAGCATCACAGGCCAGGTTGGAAGCCTGTAAGGAGCTTTTAAATAATGGTCAACCGACCGTCATTAAGGGAAATATTGGTGAAATTGCGTCAATTTTGAAACTAACAAGTACTTATACAGAAAAGAAACAGGATGGATTGCTCATGCATGGGGTGGATTCAGTTGCAAATATTCCTGAAAGTACTATAATGGATATCGGAAAAGAGGTTTCGAGAGATTTCAAGGTAGTAGTTGTCATTACTGGACCTATGAATTATATCATTAGCGGTGATAGAATAGCAAAAGTTGCTGGTGGAAGTGAGTTAATGGGATCTATAACTGGTACTGGATGTGCCTTGGGTAGCACGATTGCTGCATTTTTAGGTGCACGAGCAGACGGGCAGGGCCTGGGAGAAACTTTTGACATTTTTGAAGCGATCGTCGGTGCGGTATACCTCTACAATATATGTGGGAAAAAAGCCTCACTGCAAACTCATTCTCCTGGTTCTTTCATGGCAAAGTTTTTGGATGAACTATATTTAACTACGCATAACTTAGATTAAATTACTAAATGATCGCCGTGGTAGCGCACCTGCAGCTTTAATTTCAGATTATATGATACGGTATGGTGTCTTCTAGGAAAATCTTGAAGAGTCTTTGCATATTCTCCAAGTATGAAGGCAATTGCCTTCGAATTGAATGTCCAAGCTTCATAGTTTACATTTTCCAAATCATCACATAAAAGATGATAGCATTTGTCGTATGCTTCGTTGCTTTCACCACCAAAGACGTCTGTCTGAAGTTCGCTTTTAATGCCTTCTGCTCCTGTTGCAATTCCTCCAGAGGGTATGGAGTTTTTTATGAAACCAACGTAGTCAGATCTGCCATCCAATGGTATCAATGTGTATCCTTTTTTGTGCTTTTCATAGTACCTGATGTAATTTTCCCTGATTCTTGAAGATCCAGGAGGATTTCGAGAATCGTCACTGTCATATATTTGAAAGGCATAATTTGGAGAGGCAAGCATGTCGTAATCCAAAAAGAGTCTAATTTTGAAATTTTCATCCGGGGACAAGTTTTGGGTATAATAGTCTGATCCGAGAAGTCCCTCTTCTTCGGCGGACCACCAAGAGAATCGTACTGCGTTTTCAATCTCAAAATTACTAAGATATTTTGCTAATGATAGTAAGGTAATACTGCCACTTCCATTGTCGTTAATCCCTGGCCCTTCTTGAACAGAATCAGAGTGAGCACCCACCATTACAACATTATTATGGTCACCGGATCTAGTTTCTGCAATTATGTTTTCAGTTTTTATTTTCATTATGTATGACTCGAGGGAAACCGTGATAGTAGTATTTGGTGCTTTCAATAAATTGGATGCTTGTGCCATTGAAATGCCAAACATAGGGGCATATTCAACGTTATCTATTGGCTCTCCGAGGGTGCCCTGTAGTGCTTCACCCTTTGTATCATATATGAGGACAGCTTTGGCACCTTGAGACCCTGCTAGTCTACTTTTTTCAGCAAAGTTGCACGTACCTCTTTTGACCAAGACAAATTTACCAGCAACATGTTGAGGATAGTCACCCAAATTGCAGCCCTCATTCTTTACTTCTACAAAATTTGCTGTTTGACTTTCAACGCTAGGACTGAATTTGAATGCTGTTGTACCTTCTAATTGCTCACCACATACTGTAATATTATGACCAATAGTTTTTGAGTAGCTTGCATTAAAGCTTTGCGTATAAAATTCATAGTAGTCATCCATTAGTTGCAAATTGGCCAAAATATAGTCGATTGTTTTCTTGTGTCCAGGTGATCCGATTACCCTTGTTGGGTGACCATAGGTGTCGACAGAAGATAAAGAGAAATTGTACAACAGTTTTGCACCTTCAACGAGATCAGATTGCTTCACAAGCTTCTCTAATCGGCAGCCACGAACATCTTTCTTCCTTCCACCATTAGAAACGAAAGCTGATTCAGATAATAAAAAGAATATAAAAACGGAAAGAATGATGTATACTCTCATCATCTCGTCAAATTTGTCTTCTCGGGTATAATTTATTAATTCAATTTCAATACATTATGTTTATGTGTTTTTTGGATTTGTGGTTATATCGACCTTTGTCATTTTTCATATTCATTATTTGAGTCCATTCATACGTAGAGGAATCAAAGACTGTGATTGAACACAACAGATATATGTCGAAGTGGTTTTGGGAGTTAATAGAGAGCTCGTACCATTTCTAAAGGTATATTATTTGTTGGTTCTGAAGACGGTTCGGACCATAGGGTTTTCACCCGAAATACCGAAACCTGTAATTTTTTCTTCTTCATTCCCCTGGTGTAATCTTTGATGCATCTTGGTTCCAGCTTTGAAACAATATAGTCTTTTAAACTTATAAAGTGAGCACCCATTTATGTCACAAGAATTTAATTCACTCATCCCAAAATACACCATGTTCCTATCTATACAAGTATGATAAACAAAACAATAGTGGTATTCAATTCGAAGCTTGCATAATTAGCTACTTTAATAGGTATTTTGAGCTTAAAAATACACTGATCCTGTAATGAATATCAGCTATCGGTTATATCTAAGACGTTATCACGTCCACAAGCGGAAAGCTTGGGAGAAAAGAGGTAAAGTTTTGTTTAGCTTCAAAAATTTGTTTAGCTTCAAAAATACAAAAATATAAAAATACAGAAATACATTAAACACTTCCGTGTTCAGTATTAGCGAACTCAATCTGTGCTATTAGCTCTCTGAGACACTTTTTTAATTTCACTTCAAGTCCTTAAATTTTGCAACTTTCTCATCATTCTTATATACAGTCTTGAAGTAGATTTTATATCTTTAATGATTAGATCGCGCTATGTTGAAGAATCTTAGGTGATATGGTTATACGACAAGAGGTGAAGAAGAAAAAGGATGCAGAACGACCCCTGTCCATCTCCAATATAGCTAGAATTGCTGCATTAAAAAAGTATACTGATAATGACACTGCAAGCTCACTACTCCATCAGGCTGTCAAACTAGTGGCGCCCATAATTCATAAACATAACTTTAAAGTTGGTACCTTATGTGAGATGTTTCCAAAAAATCCCAATTTATTGGGCTTGAACTTAAATCGTGGCCAGAAAATCTTAATACGCTTAAGATATCATTATAATTCCTGTGAATTTTATCCTATAGGTGATATAGTGGGCACTCTTTTGCATGAATTAACTCACAACTTGTATGGCAAGCATGATCAAAAGTTTTATAAATTCATGGATGAATTAAGGGAGCAATTTGATCTGGTACAAATGGGTAACTTTGAAACTAACTACCGCTTTGAAGAGCAGAGGTTGGGCTCGTTGAATGGGAACTTAAATTATGAATCCGTTAGAGATAAGAGACTCAAAGCCGTGACTCGAGCAACTTTTAAGTGGGAGTCTAGAAAATTGGGATCCACTGGTGATAGAATTTCCAAACTCTCAAGGAATAGATTGCTGCTTAGAGAATTAGTCGTGAGGGCGGCGGAAAGAAGATTGAATGATTCGAAATGGTGCGCGGAGGAGGAAAGCAATCATGATATTGAGCCTTCGGATGGAGATTTGAAAATTTCAGAAATCAACTCTTCTGATCAGTTAAACCCAAGTGAGAAAGGGTCTGTTGAAACTGCAGTCGACATTGTTGATTTGACAGACGATTATGAAGATAAGAATGAAAAAGTAAAAGATATAATAATTATCGATTAATAGAAACAAATGGTTTATATAGTAATAGACAGTCATGATCTTATATTAGTTAGGACTTACCCAGTTGTTCTCTTTTTAAATACTACGCTAATTTTCTTGAATAACTATTTCTGATATGCGATTGCGCGTGACAGTCCAAAGACCAAAAATTCTACTCGAGCAGAAGTAAACATTATTAGTTAATAAAAAAGCAACTGGTTTAGAAAAGACAAGGCTATGCCTCATTCACGAAATAGCAAATTTGCCAACAGTGATCAAGAGGAACCGACATCAATGCCTCCGTCCCGGTCCCCTACTCCCAGAGTCATGGAGAAGACTGATTCAGTTGTCAATTTGACCAGGCCGGCACTTTATGCAATTTACAATCAGTCATCACTTTTAAGCTTTAACAAAGATGAATCCTATGAAGATCTTGAGCTTACAAAAGATGAGCCTAGTTCACATCAGTCGAAAGACATGCTGGGATCCAGGGTTCGATCATCGGTGGCTAAAGAAAATGCAAGTGAAAGTAATACAAAATCGATAACATATCAAGTCATGAATTTGATAGTAAAAGTAATGGCTTTGTCTGTTGCAGCTTTTATCTACAATGGGCTTACGAAGCATATACATAATAATCATATCCCCTCAACGAACAGTTTTGATCCACTTCAGTTTACTAATTTACTTTTACGCAATTTCTTCGATAAATTACGCTTGGAAAACAAACACAATTATTACTCAGTAAACTTATTGAATAAGTTATTAGCTCCTACTCTACAGGGGCTTTTGATGGGCCTGATACATCCGCTATTGGATTCTAAACTTCCGACCATTCTTTCAAAGAGGCTCCTATCTTCTAATCCTGACCCGTATTATGCCAGTCAATATTCCAATTTGTTTAATGATCTTATAAGAGCTTCTATTACATTTCTAGGTATTTCGTATGCTATACGAAAGCTTGAGTGGAGTTCTTTTTTACAAATTTCAATCGTTTGGTCTCTTTTAAATCCTGGATTATGGTTATTGTTAGATGGTACTATCAGTGGATTTTTATCAAGCTTCATAATTGCTATGCTTGCTTGCTTAGGAGTCTATAGCCTGAATTACTCCCTTTTGAATTCTTATCTGGGGTTTCAAAGACACGATTTTATAGCAATCTGGGTCTGGATTGCTAGTTTTTTCTTTTGTGGATTGATCATCTTCGGTAAAATAGGAAGAGGATTATTTGGAAAATATGCAATAATTTAGTCTGTGAAGTCTAACTGCAATATTCCAAGTTCTTGAACAATTATGGATTATGACGAACTATTTAACATAGATAGTACTTATAGTTTTCAATTAACGTACTGTATATAGTGTGACCAATTGAAATATTTGTTATTCGAGACTTTTGACTAAGTAAAATTCGACTTTTCTACATTATAACCATTTAATCGTTTGACCTTTTCGAGCTAATATTTACTATGTCTGGAGGACCAGTACCAGTTTGGAAAAAGTATACCACCCAATCAAGAGGTATTTGGGAAAAATTTAGACAGATTTTTGCATTGGTTCCGAACAGATCCAGTGGTAATCCAATAGTTGCATTATATCGTAAGAATCCACCTGGAAACAGAATACAAGAATCTAAGGAATATAATGAGAATTCAACAATTCCAGCATCCGATGTAAGAGGAAATCCATACTTTAAAAGAGATTTTAGAAGAAATTTTCCACAAGTCCATGCATTTAATCAGACAAAGATATCTGGATTGTTACAATTAGGTTCGGCCGAGAAACCAAGAATATCTATTGGTGACAAAGGAACAAAAGAGTTATCTATCTTTATTGAACCCTCTAGTGAGGTTAGTTTGGCAACGACTTTGACAAATGTCCCTGAAAGTGTTGTCAGAGGAGAACTCTTAGGGGCTTCAGGAGAGCCTATCGTGGCTCCATCTTTAAATAAATTCCACTGGACTATTTTGCAAGAGCCTCAACACGGTATGTTTACTGAAAGCTATCCGTGTCGTATTTTCACCGATGCTAAACCGGCTTCTCAGCAATAGAATCGAACTTCTTTGAGCTTGTCTCGAAGATTTTTGGTAGCATAAATCATAATTTTATAGTATCTACGTAAACCATGTTTTACTTTTATTAATAAGATATATTTCAAATACTGTATTGACTAGTTCTAATGCTTAGGCACTCGATCACACTAGATAAGCCAAAGGTATTATACCAGAACACAAAATAACTTACTACACTATCTAATGATTGCATCTCTATTGGCTCTAGCAAATTATCAATAGACGACAAAGCTTCACAAGGATGTACTAAAAACCATGTATCATCAAACAAAGGGTGAGCCTCAAGCGTAAAACCAGCAACATTCTTGATTCCCAACACCAGGTTGGCTTTTGAAATTAAATCAGTAGAAAATAATATCACACCATCTATTTTGAGCCTGAAATGGAATACAGGAACACTATAAAAATCGTCAAAGCATATTGTAAAATTAATGTCAACAGTTTTAGTTAATCGAGCATGTGTCATGATGTAGGATTTATTTCCTTTCCTTTTAACATAAGAATATATTACATCAAAGTACACCATGCGATTGCTGGAACGGCAATTCGTCAAAATAACATCCTGAAAAGCTTCTACATATTCATTGAACAATTCATTTGTTAAATGTAGCATGAGCTTGACGTAGTCTCAAGTCTCAACGTTTATTGACTTGAATCTGCGCAAACAAAATCGCAGCTACCCCAATATCTTAAATGAAAAATAATGGTAGCGGCAGAGCCACTACCACTACAGCACGAAAGTCAATATACATATATATATTAATTGGAATTGTATGTAGTAGGTATCTTGATTAACATTCACATCATAGATATCGTTTTCAAAGAAGAAGTCACAGAAAAGGAGTTAGTGAATGAGTTAAAATTATGTAGCTTGCATCATTGGATTAGCTGATCAAATGATTGATACGAAGTATGACCTAAATAAGCGAAATGAATCGTCAAAATAAAAGCACGATATTACGTGCAACGCAGCCTTTCCATTTGACTTCCTTTTTCGAACGAAAAAAAATAGGAGAGATCTAGAGTGGAGGTAGAAACAATCAAAAGCTTTGAGAAAAGAATCATAGCAATATCCTGATCACTTCGCATCCTCTTCTCCAGCAGGAGTCGATTCATTCAATAAATTCAGTTTTCCATTGTGAAGTATTCCTGCATTGCTACCGCTGATTGAATTTCTGTTGTACATTTCTTTCACTCTTTCGGCATTTGGGTGTCTAAGTGGTATACTAGACGGTACATTTGTCTTCTGTGCATCCTTTCCAAGTTGCTTTTGCATAGCATAGTCACCGCTATCGAAGTATTTTTTATCTTGAAACTTGGATGACAATATTTGCTGTGTGGTTGGTAATTTACCATACATCTTGTATATACGAAGCTCTTGGGGTGACAACTTCGACAAGTCGAGGTTCTGGGTATTCGTCGGTGGCCCAAGTGGGTCGTCATCTTGTAACGACATGCTTAAATAATGCTTTCGGTTTCTAATCAATGATTGATCCTTGCGTACTAGATAAATCATTTAACATGCTGTCAAATATATTAATTCACGTGACACAAGTCACTATGTTAACTCTAACAAAACGATAATGCCCAAGTTGTCGTAAGCCTATTTTTCATTCATATCATGAGAATGGAAATCATATGGGGCTCTTTTCATCTCTCTGATGTGAAAAAGCTTGTAAACATAGGTAGAATATGTCTGCAAATTAGTATAGTCAAATCTACTAAGTAAGTTATTGGACCCAATAACTCCAAAGGGATTGGTATCCACCTTGAAGGTAGCTTGTATATATATAATTGGAATATCACTTCATCAGTGTTAGATAAAAAATTCCTATCTGAGGCATATGCATTAAATTGGTAGTCAACGATAGTGAACAAGTTAATCGAATCCTCAGCTTTATTAACTAGATTACTCAATTTGATGTATCGGTGACTTAGGCTAAAATTATAAGGAGACGTTGCTGGCCAGCAAACCTTAATATATAGAACATCATCGTTGTTGAATGTAGCATTCTCATAGTTATTGATTCTTATTATCAATGTACTTTTTAAAGCATTATTGGTATTGTACGTTAATTTTATAGGACTCAACTGAATCATTTGGTCTTTTGTTATAATAGGGTAGTCTAATAATAGCGAATGTGTATCGTTCAAAGATGTTATGAAATTTTTTTGACTTCCTGAGCTGTCTTCGAAGCTCTTTGGTTGTAGAGGAATGTCGAAAAAGTATGGAATTTTCAATAAATAAGTTTCAGTGTTTGCGATGATCTGAGAAGCAAACACTAAGATGATAAATGCATACCTTGCTAACATTCTTCGATGAGTTAATGCGTGAGATTGACCAAGATACTGCAAATTGAAACGATGGAATAACTTTGGCTACAAAATGTCATCGCGGGTTACAAGCCAATATCTAAAATCTCGTGAGCGAAATCGCGACCTACGGAGTAAAGAAGTATAGAAGTGATTCTACAATGATAAGTGCTAAACCTTAGATTATTGGGTTATGTGGTATATCTAATTTTAAATGCATTCTAGGAAATTTTGAATGACAAAGCTTTTCAATCTCGTCATAAAGCTTTTGGTTTCTTTGGCAAATTATTTTCAAATCAAGCAACTCTAAGGTGTTTATGTTTTCATCTATTGACATTAACGTAAATTTGAGATTCTCCAAATTCAAGGTACCACCATGGAGTTTGAAATTGACTAAATATGGAAATTTCTTATTATTCATGAACTTCAAAAAGAGCTTTGATGATAGAAGTTTCTCGCATAAATAGTTCCCCTCGACGTAGTAGTCGAGCAAGCTAATTGAAAGCAGTTTTAGGCTTTTGAAAATGTCATCCTCATCGACCATAAATTGATTAAATCTCTCTGAAAGTAAAAACGAATTGTACTTATTGTAGGTTATATTCAATACTCTTACTGTACCTCTAGGATCGAAATTAGTCAACTTAAAAGGATACTCCCACGTACAGTTATCTATCGTCAACTCTTCTAAGCTTATTAGATCAGATACATTCTCCATCTCCCAATTGAAATGGTACTTAGACAAGTATATTTTTTTGAGTGACAGGAAATTCCATAGATGGCTTAAGCTGAAAATCCGAGGACTTCTAGAAGTTTTCGTTCTGAACTGACTAATTGGAGTGTCTTCGAGATAAAGACTCAATTCTTTTATCAAATTGTTTGACCTATATTTCAACCAATTTGACAGGTTATTAGAATTAAGAAGAAGATGCCTCAAGTTTGGAAGAAGCCTTAGAAATTCATTGAAATCCAACTGCCATTCCCCATACGATGAATAGTCTGTAATCCTTAATTGAGAAACATATTCGCTATACTTTGCCAAGATAATCTTATCATCGATTAGATCTTTCCATTTGCACTTGATTCTTTTGAAGGCGAATGAGCAGAGCTCACGTCGATGTCTCTTTGATAGTGTAGAAAGATTTATAATATCCTTTCGTTCTAGGAATGAAAAAATGACGCTCTGAATATCTAGCGGAAGCGTTAACAAGTTCTTTCTATTGGAGTGTTTAACGCGTTTCGACGGTTCCGGCTCAGTGCTACATCTTTTCATTTTCTCATTTCGTTCAGTAATCTTATCTTCAAACACGCAGAACTAAACGCAACAGATGTGGGTGAATTCATAAAATAGCGTAGTCAATAGTCGTTTTTAGTTAAGTAGGTCCTGAAACTATGATTGTGTGTCTTAGGAGACCCGATTGTCGGTCTCGCAAAATTCGTAATGAGGATAAAATTGAGGGCACTACCAACTTATACATTGCCATCTCACATATAAAAATTACAAAATGAAAGAGTCAAAGTATGTAAGTAGAGCGGTTGCTTTACCGTTGATAATCTTGTTGATAACGAGTATTTTGGTAGCACGACTCAATGTGATTGAACTTTTTCAAAGCTATTCAGTCAACATTTATCAACCTTCTGAAAATAGTAATGATAACAGACTCTTTACAGACTTTGTTTTCGATCCAGCAGAGCGATTTAACATTCATGAAAATATCAAGTACGGATGGATCGTTGTCGTAATCGGCATAATACTGTTGGCAGTGCTTTTGAATTAATGGCTGAAACTACTGTTCCATTTTCGTGATGAGATGAGTTGGCCGTCTTGGCAGTATCACACTAAATATGGACAACCGGATATGACGTTTCATGGAGTAGTCCGCGTTTGACCAAAATACTCATCCAGAAGCTAAGATGGAGTTCCTTCCAGCAATTTCTAGCTAAAGCCCTGCCTGTTTCCCCACTTTCTATTGTGTTACCGAAGCTCGACATTTCTACAGAGATTGCAGAGACGTATTAGGGTTCTATCAATCATAACCAGCGCTCGCCTTCTGGCAGTATTTTTTATCGGTTCGAGCGAGGAAACTGCTTTTCTGCCTAGGGTCCAAAAGAACTGACGTTATGGGGCACGTTATGACGGCACACAGACATTTTCTAGACTAATATCAGGTGACGTATGCCCAATAGTGAAAAGTTCATTTTTACCAAAAGCGGCTCTCATCAAAAGGCATTCTTTATCTGAAGGACCACAGTTCCGTAAATGACTTTGTGCATCTTAATTGCAACATTCGATATAGCACAATGAATAAGACGGGCACACCCTGCGATGAGATATAAATTAGATAGACTTTAATCAAAGAAGGGAATTCTAAACTCAAGTCGAAAATGCCAGGTACAGATAAATGGATAGATGATGATGCTTTGAAAACTGAAAAAGGTGAATATGACAATTCGTCCACAGCAAGCGCATCCAACGTCGATATTAACTACAAGAATTGCTCATGGGAAAAGACTGCAGGTTTGCTATTCTCTGAATACATATGTCTTGCAATTATGTCATTCCCATGGAGTTACTCAGTCTTGGGCTTAGTTCCAGGTCTTATCATAACTGTAGGTGTGAGTCTTTTGGTCCTCTACACGGGATTAACTATAAGTGAATACTGTCTTGCCTATCCTCATTTGTTGACCGTTTGTGAAATTGGCGAAAATCTCTTTGGATGGAAATGGGTGTGGTATGCAACTGCAGCGTGCTTTCTTTTGAACAATCTTTTCATTCAGGCATTACATGTTTTGGTTTCGGCAGAATATTTTAACACTATCTCTGATAACAAGACTGTTTGCTCGGTTGTTTTCGGGGTAGTAGGCTCCATTATCTGTTTCTTGTTGTCGTTACCTAGAACGTTTTCTTCAATGTCGTTTATAGGAATCTTTTCAGCAGCAACAATGTTCATTGCTGTCATCCTTGCGATGGTCTTTGCTGGTATCCAGAGCCATCCAGACAAATTTGAGCCGCTGATTCCAGTTAAATGGAACTTGTGGCCTGCTGAGGGTACCACTTATGTTGCAGGAATGTCGGCTATGTTGAATATAGTTTATACATTCGTTGGTCAAATCACATATCCTTCTTTCATTTCTGAAATGAAGAATCCCAGAGATTTTAAGAAGGCTTTATATTTGGTCACAGTGTGCGAACTTATAGTGTTTGCGTTAGCTGGAGCTATCGTCTATGTCTATGTTGGGAACGAGTATATTGTTGCACCGGCATTCGGTGCTTTGAGCGGTAACTTCAAAAAGATTGCGTTCAGTTTTGCCTTGCCAACAATTTTCTTTTTGGGAGCTTTATACGGTAATGTATCTTCAAGGTTTTTGTTTTCAAATATCTTCAAAAATAATTTGAAACATCAATACAACCATACTGTCAAAGGATGGAGTGTATGGATTTTTTTGAACGTTATACTATGGGTGTTGGCTTTTATTATTGCAGAGGTGATTCCATTTTTCCTGGACTTGTTAAGTTTGATGAGCTCTCTTTTTGATTGTTGGTTCGGGTTTATATTTTGGGGTGTTGCTTACTTCAAGTTAAAGAAGCTTGCTTATACGAACCAAGGAGTCGAAGTTTCAATGTGGACTGTAGTAAAAGAGGCCAGTCTTTGGATAAAATTAGAGATGCTTTTTAATGCTATTTTAATTGCTATCGGAGTTTATATCCTTGCACTTGGGTTGTACTCAACCATACAAAGTATTATTTGGTCATACGAAGATAGTTTGTATGGGTCTCCTTTTACTTGCACAAGTAATGGGATCTAGAGTCTATATTTCTATTAATGATACTTAAATTTTATGACTATAAGTTTCATTCTTTCGTATCCCAAACAATCGTAACAGGGCCATCGTTGATTAATTCTACATCCATCATTTCACCAAATTTACCATCTTCTACTCTTTCTTCGCCAATTTCTTTTTTTAAAGCTTTTAAAAAGTCATTATAGAGTAATATTGCTCCGTCTCCTTTGGCAGCCTTGTGAAGGTCAGGTTTTGTTCCCTTCTTAATCGTACCATACAATGTAAATTGACTGACGGATAATATTTTATGGTCTGTGAGATCTAAGATTGATTTAGACCAGGGTTTTCCGTACCATTTTGAGTCAGATATTGGCTGGCCAGTCATATCCTCAAATATTCTCAAATTTATTATCTTCTTAGTGAGCTTTGCTACATCCTCGTGAGTATCTGATGTTGAAATGCCAATTAAAAGCATCAAGCCTTTACCTATTCTTCACTGTTAATTTTTGATGCATTTCTCAAATACTTAATTATTTCGTTACTTACGAGGACACTGTTTGACCGTTAACTGTAACAGATGCTTTTTTCACTTTTTGAATTACAACTTTCATTATGAGTCTGTAGTAGGGTACTTACATGAATTATGAAATAAGATCAACTTTAGTATAAGTAAGAGTACACGACCGACTACAAGTATTTAAAATTAGGTATATTAGGTCTACTATAAAAAAAAAAAAGTAAAAACAGAACATTTTAGTCGTTACTTAATATGAAAGAGCAGAAGTATTGAAGTGCTGCTACTGTCTCTTCGCCAACTGGTTCGATATACTTACTCGGTAATAAAAACCCGTGGTTTCCGCTGTCTCTAAGCTTTAATTGATAAGCCCAAAATGCTTTTTCATGGTACATGAAATCTAAAGCACTACCCGAGGCTAAGTCAGGTAACAAGTCCGAATCTTTATCAATACAAGCTGGAAGGACACCATAAGTTTTTCCTGATTGTAATCTTATTGCTTTCGCTATCCCAAAAGCTAATTCAATCAAATTTTCTTCGTCTCTTGGTTGTTGGTTACAAGAGTATGCATACGGATACAAAACCTCTTGCGCATAGGAGTGCAAATCGATGAAGCCAAAAATTTTGTGATCATTATTTGTTTTGTTTAAATAATCAGTCCAAAGTTTAGCTTCAGTAGCTTCGAGAGGAAACTCCCCGCTATACTCTTCACCGCAAGCCCAATCCGTGGACTTTGTCCAATGGAAATCAAAAGAATGATCTATGTCAATTCCGTAGCAACCTGCTACAGACGTTTCTTGTCTGTTTTTTCTCCATAATCGATCATTAGTCCATGTATACTCATATCCATCGGGGTTGGAGACTGGAATGAATATAAAGTCAAGCTTAGATAATATGCCGTGTTGACTTGGATTATTTTCATAGTATAAAATTAACTTGTAAACTGCATACAAAACTGAAGACACTGATATCCACTCTCTTGCATGTACTCCTCCTGTGAGTACTACAGTTTTCCTGTCACTATGGTCTGTATCGTCGTTGGGTGCGGAAAGGTGGATAATATTATATGGCCTATTCTCCTGTGTCCTTCCAATTTCTTCTATTGTAAGAAGCGACGGATACGATTGTTTTATAATGTCCATCCAGGCGTTGATAGTCTCTAAGGGCCTGTAGTCCTTGAAAAATAACTCCGACAAAGGATTCAATTTTGTCTCCTCGACTACTTCTTCAGTAATCCGATATCTGTAATCCAGAGAACCTCGTACAGATTCCGCATAAATTTCCTTTGGGTATGTCTCCCATACCTTTTGCGCTAAATCACTTATAATGACCTCGTATCGGATTTCAGGAACGTTACGCTTAAGGTTTATGAGATCTTCAGCCCTTAATTGTATATCTATACTTTCATCCACATTACTCTTACCCCATTTTGAGTATTTAATATCTCCAAGCTCTTTCTTCAAGATTTTATTAGTGAGTTGAGCATTCTGAAGCCATATTCTGACCACTATGTCTTCGGAATATTGCTCAAGATTAATAGGTCTTTCGGTCTTCGGGGCTTCACTGTAATGTATTTCCCCTTGCTCTATTGCCCCCAATCGAGATAAAGAATTCCTTAGAACAGTCTGGATCTCAGCAGCAAATGGCAAACCTAAAGACAAAGTGTAAGGAAGGATTAGTAGAGCATTCAATGATGCTATTATATGAAGCCGAGCCATGTCACTAAAACTTTTAATTTAAAGATAGCCAATTAGTCTTGAGAAAAGTCGAGCTTCTCAATTGTTCATCATGTGAGTTCTCAATAATATTTCATCATTTTTGAACCGTGAAAAATTTGGTATAACTAACACAAGTTGCACAGTTCTGATGATGCATTCCCTTAAAAGAAGTTCTGTAGGTGTTATTTTGAGAAAAACGCCATCTTCTTCTTCTATATATAGAAGAGTGGTGAAAAGTCGTTACTTAAAACCTCAAACATCTTTTGGTCTTTCTGTTTCATTAACCACGCAGAGACTTTATTCTAGCCATGATGTTCCGCTTACAGCTGAGACTTATAAGGATAAGGTACATAGAAATAAGGAGTTTAAGAAGTTAAATGATGATGATGTAAACTATTTTAGATCTGTTTTAGGTGATCCGAATTTGTTAGTTACTGATAAGAATGATCTTCTCTTCTTCAATGAGGATTGGATGAGAAAATACAGAGGACAATCTCAACTTGTATTGAAGCCAAAGACAACAGAGCAAATCTCTAAAATTATTGAATATTGTAACAAGAATAAGTTGGCAGTCGTTCCTCAAGGTGGAAATACAGGATTAGTTGGAGGTTCAATACCGGTATTCGACGAAATTGTGCTTTCAGTTTCTAATCTTAATAAAGTAAGATCATTTGACCCTGTCAGTGGAATATTGAAGTGTGATTCAGGGTTAATTTTAGAAAACGCTGATAACTATGTCAAGGATCAGGGTTATATATATCCATTGGATTTGGGTGCAAAGGGCTCTTGTCATGTAGGAGGTACCGTAGCAACAAACGCGGGGGGTCTTAGGTTATTGAGATACGGCTCCTTGCATGGTTCTGTTTTAGGACTTGAAGTTGTTTTGCCAGATGGTCTGATATTGAGTTCGATGGACTCTTTGAGGAAAGACAATACGGGCTATGACTTGAAGCAACTTTTTATCGGCTCAGAAGGTACTATAGGAGTTATAACGGGAGTCTCTATATTATGTCCTCCAAGACCACAAGCTTTCAATGTGGCATTTCTTGCAGTAGATTCTTATGAAGCTGTACAGAAAGTCTTTGTTGGTGCTCGCAAAGAGCTTTCAGAGATTTTATCAGCATTCGAATTTATGGATAGCAAGTCACAGAAATTATGTCAACGCTATTTGAAGGTTGACCATCCTATAGAGAGTGGTGATTATCCCTTTTATATTTTAATAGAAACATCTGGGTCGAATAAAGATCACGATGACGAGAAATTGGAGAACTTTTTGGCCAATGCTATGGAAGAAGGCTTGGTTAGTGACGGTACAATTGCTCAAGATGAAACTCAGTTAAGAAACTTGTGGTCTTGGAGGGAGTCAATACCTGAAGCTTCTACATTAGATGGTGGTGTCTATAAATATGATGTTTCGCTCCCCCTCAAGGATTTATATAGCCTAGTTGATGAAATCAGTGAAAGATTGTCTAAAGCTGGAATTGTTGGATTTGAGGATTCTTCTAAGCCCGTCGTTGAAGCTATCGGTTATGGCCATCTTGGAGATGGGAATTTACATTTGAATGTCTGCGTAAGAGAGTACTCTAAAGAAATTGAAACTGTATTGGAGCCATTTGTGTATGAATGGATCCGCTCTAAGAAGGGCTCAATCTCCGCTGAGCACGGGTTGGGTTTCCAGAAAAAGAATTACATCAGCTATTCTAAAAGTGGACCAGAGATTGAACAGATAAGAGAGTTAAAGAAGCATTTTGATGTGAATGGAATTTTGAATCCATATAAATACGTCTAACGAACTATGCTCTTTATATAGAACAAGGAGAAATAATCTTTCTATACACCTTGAATTTACCTTACTTCATAATTTGGTATCAATTGATTTGATTAGGGACCCCTCAGAGTACAAGTCGTTGAATTTATCTGCGAAATGCTTAGCTGCAATGGGCCGCTTAATCTTCATGGTTGGAGTAATTACATTTTTCTCAATTGTTAAGGGCTCGAAATCAACATGAAGATTATGAATCAATTCAAATCCCTGTAGGACACCTTTGAGATCCTGATTCATGAGCTTCAAAAATTTGGTTCTATTGACTTTATCGTTTAAAAAGGAAGTAACCTCGCTCTTGGTGACATTAACGCCAAAATACTTTTTAACGAATGGCACAATGGTTTCTGGATCAAGACCTACAATAGCAACTAAATGAGTTTTCAAAGAATCGCCATGAACGTAGACTTGAGAAGCAACAGGAAAAGAAGACAAGTAAGCATTTTCAATCTTTTCTGGAGAAATATATTCACCTTGAGCAAGCTTAAAAAAGTTTTTTACTCTATCAATAATGTAAATTTGACCATCTTCGTCAAACCTAGCAACATCCCCCGTTTTAAACCACCCATCTTCGTCAAATGCCTTTGCTGTTTCTTCTGGACTCTTGTAATATTCGGAAAATATTTGATTTCCTCTCAATAATAATTCACCTCTCGGACCACCTTCATCAGTTGAATAATAGTTCATGTCAGGAATGTCCCTCAATCTCATCTCGACAGAGGCTCCTATTGGACCACATGATCCTGGATTTGCCTCATATTCCCTTGAAACTGCAATTCCGGCGAATGACTCCGTCAAGCCATACCCATTACGAAAACCAGTATTTAAAGCTGCCCTGAGGAATCTTACTGTGTCTGGTGATATAGGAGCAGAACCTGAGGTGAAGGTTTTAAGCCTATCCATTCCGAGCTTCTTACGCATCAACCCTGTAATGCGATCATAGATTAAGTGACGACCTTCAGCATTATCAGCAGCAGCCTGAAGCTCCCTTTTTTTATTGATGGCTGAGCTGAACAACTTTTGTAAAAGTGGCTTTTCATAATTATTCACTGTCTGACTTTTAATTGAGGCCTCTAATCTAGTATAGACACGAGGCACTAATGATAAAATATGTGGCCTCAATAGCTTGATATCATCAATTAAAGTCAATGGTGAGGCAGATTGAGGAAAACCGATAGCCGCACTCTGGGAGTAAGCTAAAAGAATGCTCATCCTTTCGTAAATATGAGCCAATGGTAAAAACGAATACATTACCGGATTTTCTGTTAGTTGTAAATTCAGAAGACCAAAAACAATAGAAGATGAGGCATTCAAATGACTCAAGACAACTCCTTTGGGATGTGAACCTGTGGTTCCAGAAGTAAACGAAATGGTGTAAGTTGTCAGCGGGGATGGGGGGATTTCCCTGATTCTATTGATCTCACCTAATTTCTCGACAGCTTTCATATCATGAATTGTCAACTTAGCTTCATTAGCTAGTCTCGTTAATTCATAGTCCTCGGAAAGAGGGTTATCTAATTGTAACGGATCCATTGACACAATAGATATTAAACTTGATAATTCCTCTGGAAATTCAGCCTTTAATTTTATGATGGACTTCAACTTGTCTTTAGAACATACCAAAACGGGGCTTTCAGTCAAGTTAAGGATATACTTTGTAGTTCCTCCTCCCAAACTCTCGTATAATGAGGTATTTGTTAAAGAGTAACGTACGCATGCTAAATCAGTAATTGTCCACTCTGCCCTATTAGCAGAGAAAATAGTTACAACAAATGACTCATGGTTTATAAGGTAGTTTTCGATTTTAGCATGAGCAGCTGATTCATTTCTAAATGGATTGTTAAGCAAAATAAAAAACAATCCAGATCCAAAATTAGTGGTTCTCTTGGCAACAGTCTCGTAGTCTTCAAAGACATATGGTCCATAAGATCCATCAGATTGCTTGTGTCTTGTACCGAAGCATGGCCTTTTTGGGTTATTAGACACTGAATATTCAAATATCTCATATATCGTGGTCAAAGAAGGATGCACATAATCTACTAATGAATCAGGATAATGCGCATTCCTATAGATAGCTGTATATCCTTTGGTATCAGTTCCAGGAAGTGCAACAGATTTGAATATATCATCATCTTTTATTGGTAATTTGGTGCGCAAAAGGTGTTTAATTTCTTTTGGATCATCTTGCACTAAGGAAACCATTTTCTTTGTTTATTTTTTTCAACTTATTGAGCAATACTGTTCTGATTTTCTGATTATGTCCTGTGCTAACCGATAGAAAGTAGTCGTCTTTTTATATTTTCTCGCTCTAACCTCGGTTCGGCTTAAATGTGGGGTGTGTTACTTCTTACTTCAAAAGAACGATTGGTTTTTTTCATTCTGAATTATGTACACACTTATCTCTTTTTTGTTAAGTAGAGAGATCGGCATACGGTTCATGGTTTCCAGACTCCGTGCCGGTTTAGTGAGTGTATTGGTTTCTATATAGCTTAGCACTGTATCGAAAGAGGCAAATTCAAGTGATTACATTTAATGAATAAAAGCTCTAAGGGACACCTAAGTAATGTCTTATTCGCCAGTGGCCTGCGATATATTTACGGTAGTTTTCTCCTCCCCCGATCGCAATGCGGAACTTTAAATATGTCGGTATTTTCATACAAACAGCAGAGGGGCATCATTCAGATTCAAATAAAGCGTGCACCCTAATCAATCTAAGATATGACTGCATATTGTCGACAACCTTTCTGGCCAAGTTATACAATTCAAGCATTCTAGTAATGATTGTTACCACAACGATAGATCTTTAATCTTTTTCATCTACGAGGATGGTATGTTTACATTCGTCTTAATAATGAGTTGGGTTATGTACTAACTGTCATATTGAAGGCTGTTCAAACACCAAAGCAAAGAGCCGCCAATCTAAAGTGGGCGAAAAAAAATACCCAGAAACAAGGTAAACTTAGGACAAAAAGAGAAAAAACTGAGTTTCCACTTAGTAAAACGTGGATTTTAATTTTGCTATTCTTGGTATGTGGTGGTGCCATATTAGAAATCATAAGCATCTTTTCCTGAATTAAAATTTTGCTTTATATTCGCTTCTGCTGAAACTTGATATTTAGAATTCGAGATTTTGTTATAATGGGAAAATATGTATTATTTTTCTATTTATATTCCATGCTCAATAGAATCGAATATGTGCTGTGTATTTATTGTAACAAATTTCGTGTGTAACTTGAAAAGCAATTATAAAAAGTCAACTGTTGATGCAAAAGTTGAGAGATGAAGTGAATAGGAACCATTGCTTAAAATTCGCCTTGGTCAATTGTTAAGCCATTGATTAATTTGTCAAGTATATCTGGATCTGTGACATTTTGGGTAGCATCATCTTGGTCGCGGTGAAAATTAAGTTTCTTTGTTGGGATACTATGACCGAATTCAGAGTAGGAGTTTGTAAGATTATCGAAATCTGTTTTTTCACTATCTTTAAATTTAAACACTGCAAATGTAACGTTTTGATTTCTTGCCAAATTCATGTAGGGACTGCAAGTCTCAATTTCTGCTTGAGATAAATAATTGACATCAATGTCAGATATTTTTTCCGGTCGAAGGGGGTTGAAAAGAGGAATTGCTATTCTGTTCACTGGAGACTGGGGTAATTTATATTGGTATGAAGAATTACCGTTCAAATTTGAGATAAGTTTTAGTTTTCCTTCATCGTCTATTATTCCTAATTGATTCAAAGAATAGCTATTGTTTGTAATTTTATCTGCATTTGAAACTAATGGTAACTTCAAGAATTTAACGGCACCCAATGATGGTAAAATCCATGAATCTAAGAACTTTTCACTAACGTTTTCGCTAAAATCTTCTTTGCCCAATGTCTTCGGGTAATTGTTGGAACAGTTACCAGATAAATAGTTGATGTTAAACCAATGAACAGTTCCTGTAGATTTGGTGGTACATCCAAACCCAGAATTTATTCCTGAAGTAGCATTATCTATCGTGTTCATAAACCAGAATATGTTTTCAATTATAGCGGACGTTTTACCTCTCGTGAATTTTCCAACAAAAGCTATTTCACGAGGCAACTTGCATAGATCCCACATAAATAGATGGTCCCCTCGCAAACTCGCATGGACTAGTTGTAAGTCATAACGCGAAAGTGATACGCAAGAAACACCTCCTTGAGGTTTGAACGTCGTCATTACTTCATCATTCATCAAATCAATAATTTTAATTAGTTGATTATCATTAGCCGTCAAATTTCTAGTGCTTTTTTGAATAGTAGATGCCGTTGTAGAAGCAGTCGAATATATGAGTTTACTTAGCGCTTTTCCAAATGAATTTAGCGATTGAGCCATATCTTTGTCATTTCTTGGTTCTTGTGTATCTCGATTCAAGTATGCTCTCACTTTGCATGAACTGACTTCAGATAGCTTGAATAAGCTATCAAGTGCCGTGTTAGATAATGTTGATAGCACCCTATTTAGTAAAGGACCTGGCGGGGGTAGTTTAACAGGAGTAAACATAGACACTTTTTTCGAAGTTTGATCCTGTTCTGTTGTTAGTATTGGATCAAAATCCTCTACTTCAGCTGATTTTGGGATTTTAATTGTTTTTATGTGCTCATATTCTGATTTGACAGGAGAATAGGCTAGCCAATTGCCTACGACATCAAATATGGGGATTCCATTTAAACAACTTGTCTGAAGTAATAGTTCCTCATCTCCAACTTTTGAAACCAAATTATGCTTGCTTATTATCGGTTGCGATGATACTTTTTTTAAACCCCCTAAATTGAAATCGTGGTTTGCAGGCAAATACTTGTTTTGAATCTCATGATACCTAAAAACATATATGAAACCTTCTTCGTTGGCAATCGCTATAACTCGGCTGCTAAGTTTGACTGTAAAGTTCATCAATTTATCAGGGTCAGAAGCCGACGTACAAAGATAACTTGGGAGATATATTTTTTGGGAAACAAGAGATATCCCAAAAGAGTGTGTTATCGAATGGACCTCGCAAACAGTAGTTCCCAGAAGTCGGTAGATGAGCAAGAACGTCATGCCCGTTTTCAAAGCGCCACGAACGAAATTGAACGATAGAATATCTTTTGTTTCGAATGGGCTTTCTTCTTCTTGTTGCTCGTTTAAATTGTTGAATAATTCTACCTGAGCATGAAGATACATGGTGTCTCCATCAACCTTTGTTTCCAGTGAAGGCGGATACCAGTCCCAAACCTCAACTTTGTTGGATTCACAAAATAAGATGATTAGTTCCCCATTTTCCCCGTTATCATATATTTTTTTCTGTCCTTCGGAGGTAATGGATGCTTCAGAGCTTGTCTTAGTCGAAGATACATTGACTCCCACTCCGTTGGAAGATGAGGATGCCGCTGCTCTTAGTTTCTTCAAGGTGGCAGTAGCAGTCCCTAACTTGTAGCCTTTCCTCGGTTTAGTATGACTGTTGAAAAGTTAGTATAATGTCTCTTTGATTACTAATAGGGAGTGGTTATGCTATCATTATTTAAGCCTTAGATTTTCAAAACACTTACACTTTGCTTAGTTTTATTTGTTCATTGTCGAAAGTAGTCATAATCAAGCTCTCTCGCCTTTATAGCGAAACAGTTAAAATACTTGGAAACGAGATCAGCCACTGCAATTGAATTGAGAAAAATCCTGATCCTGCCAATAAAATTCTTTTGCGATACTCTTTTTTTATTTGGTCGGGTTCGTTGTGTGTTCCTTGACTCTAGCTTGCTGATAGACAGTGAAGTTATCTATCTGGAGTGTTTTTAACGCGAGTCTCCCTTATCTTTGCACGTGATCAATTTATTTTTGTTGGTAAAAAGAAACTGCTGACACATGGTCAAGAAGCGGTACACTTTTTCTTTTAGGCAGTTAGCTCTTTGTTACATGTTTTTCTTCTTTATATTTGCTTAAGAATGCTCATCTCCTTTGCTGGCTTCGTAACAAACAGACGGATGATCTGCCAGATGGAGGGTCGTTACAGCCGGGGTGCTACGGGATATCTACTAAATTGACTTTATTCTAAACGTTGTGACCAGCACTATCACAATCGAACTATATCCGAATGTATCCTTTAATTTTTAGCGGCACTACTTTGTAAATTTTTCGAACCACATAGTCGTTTAATTTTGAAACCTTTTGAGATGACTACTTAATTTGTTACATACAGGTAGTCATCTATTGGGATAATTGTGGAAGATATATCTAAAGGAATGCCTGGTTATTTTTAGGAACATGATGCCGCCTTGGTCATTTTATTATCTTGTTCATGAAACGTAAAACCACATTCATTTTGGTCAACTTTTACCGCATGAACAATTTTAGTAATTTTGTAGATAAATGATATGCGATAACGAAAATTTAATGACAGATTAATGAAATGATGCAAATTTTACTTACTTAAATGATCTGAATAGCTTAGTAACAAAAACGAAACATGATTGTATAAATATAAACATATTCTTCCCTTACCTGCTCAAGTGATAAAATTCAAGTTCGCTCGACCACAATCATGAGCTTTGACACTTTCTACGATCATGTTATTGTTCCTTCAAGCGGTTCCAGTTTATCGGATCTCTTCGATGTTAACGAAAACTCTCATATGCAATTAGGTTCATTAGATAATCTGCCTTCTCGAAGTATTTATGAAAATAATAGGGAATGTGTTGTGGGGGGCGCATTGGAGGATAGCAATGTTGACAATACCGAAAAATTATCATCAGTTATCTCTACAATTCCAAGGACTTTCGACTTGGTTTCGGAACTTTCTGATCTCACCAGTCTAATCAAAGGTTATGAATATGAAGAACCAACTAATTACATTGATTACAAGCAAATTCAAAATTTGAGTTATACCGTAATGCATGAAGATGTTTTTGATCGCAAACCATTTTATAGTCCAAAAGAGACCATATCACTGTTGGAAAATGAAACACGAGTTGAGCCGTCTCATGATCAAGATGGTGCAAAAAAATGTGATTTTAAAGAGCCATTTCGGTTGAAAATAGTTCAAGTTAAAAAACTGGGTAGAGTGTTCAAACCAAGGCCAAAGGGCTCTAAACGAATTATTGAAATCAAAAGGGACTTTTCATATGACCATCTTGATGTACCAACACTGATTGACGAAAGTCCAGAGCTACGAAATGATGCAAAAAATTCTCCCTGGGTAGGATGGGCTGAAACCTATTCTCGAAAACTAGTTAGATTATTGAATGATGATGAGAACAAAATTTGCAACATCAAAAGAACGAGATATGTTCGGCATAATTTAGAGGCAATTGTGAAGCATATGCATATTGATGTTATTTATGAAAAAAATTCAAATTTTGATATCAGCAGGCCCTACGAGCCTCAATATATAAGGTATATCATTGATTTGGACAGTTCACCAGTGCTTCCTTTCAACCACACAAGATGTGGGTTGTGTCCTTATTGCCCAGCAATAAGCTTCTACGATATTAAAACATCAGCATATGCACAGCATCTTTCACTTCAACATGGAATTTATACTGATAACTTTTTGACACCAAACCCCTTATACTATGGTCATTATAGGATCAAAAAACCAGAAAATAGAAGCCGAAAAGAGAAGCGGAAAACTCAAGCTCACGAATTACAAAGAGACGGAATAGTATGTCCTTGCTGCTATGAGATCGTTGGAGTAAATTGTAGTAAGAAAACGGCAAACACGAAGCCACTTACAAATTATATGAGACATTTTAGAGACAACCATATATACTGCAAGGACAAAAGCGACCCTTACAAGTATTTCAACAAATATGAGAAATAGAAAAATCTTTACAGCAGAAAATATCACTGATGATGTGTATTCCAAGCATGTCCACGACAACAACATTTACGGCAAATTATGTATAGGAATCTATTATTATGTTATTTTAAAGAAATTTCAAAATTAAATCATTGTCTAAATCTTACTTCTCTTGTGCCTGTGCTGCCTTTTGAGCCTTTTTAGCCATGACTTGACCAAACCTCTTGAGCACAAAAGGATAGCAAAGCATTTCAAGTACGATCCAAGCAACTAGAATACCATAGTTTCTGCCCAACTGACCCTTGTAAGTGTTGAAAAATATGACTTTAGTGATTTCATAAGAATTGTGAATTGGCAAGCCATATCCATACCTGAAGAATTTTGGGCTTAGGGCCAAAGGAGTGAAAGTAGGTGAGATATTAATAATGACCCAAAATAACATCCAAAAGCCAATTAAAGGAGGATAAATCATAATTAAAACTAGAGCCATTATTTCATTTAATAAACCGACAGACCACATAGTTAGAAAGGAAGTCATCCAGTAGACCAAAAAACCTGAGCGACCAAACGCTTTCTGGAAGTCTACTTGCATCGCCAACGAGACGAAAGAATAAAACAAACTTAAGACGAAAAACGAGAGTACACTCACTATGATCCTGTAAAGCACGTAATGAAGTTTCTTGAGCTTGTACTTCGCAACCTTTTGGTTGAGGTCTTGGAAGAAATTAAATTGAAAAAATGTGACGATAATCAAATAAATTAAACCAACTTGTGAGGGAGCAACTAGAACAAGGTCCATAAATGGGGCATTATCATACATCGCAAATTGCGGCATCGAAGTCAAAAGTGCCATCGATGCTTCTTGGTTCAAAACCAGGGTCTTATTAGGTAGCAAATCGAAGACTTTTTGTTTGGCGGCACTCTCAATTTGCCAAATAGTTTGTATTCTGAGAATAGCCGGAGTGACGTAACTATTCATATTTAAGAAATCTCTCCCTGTTTCATAAACAGATATGATTGAACCATTTGTAACATTATAATGAGAATCATTGTCAAGCATCGCTTTATATAGGTTGTAAGTTGCGTTTGGCTTCACATATATTGAAGACCAAAATTTCTGATGATGGATTTGTCTCGCGAGTTCCTGCTCAATGTTATTATCATGCTTTTCTGCAAGTTCGTGGAACTCACTTGAATTATAGACATGCCAGTCACCTATAGACTTTGCGTCAGGCGACCTAACAATGCTCTTTATTTCATCGCCAATCCATGGCTTGACGTCGCCAATGGTATGATCGTCTTCAATCACAACAAGCATTTTGAGATTCTTCATTCTTGTCTCTCTTTTATACATTGAACCCCAATAAATGGAAAATATACTCAAAAGACAGGTCGCCATAACAAGGTAGATAAGAAGTATATGCATCATCATTTCAAATCTTTGAGATCTCAACTTTTCGTTGAAAAAGGAATAAGAAGTTTGAACTCTCTCAAGGAGTGTTTGTTCTCTTGCCAAAGAATGCAGCTCAATTCTGGACTCATCATCCTCTGGTTGCTCGAATGGAAGTACGTCATTTTGTCTATCGGATACCAAATCATCTTGAGACACAGACGAATCCGGCTTTTGCTCATTCATCTCAACAGACGAAGACGACATCTTATGTTACTATGAACTTTTTATTGAAATGAGATGGTTCCAGTCATTTAAATATTAGATGAATAATACCGACCGGTCATATTACCTTATTCCCGAGTTCGTAAAGCCGCACTAGAAAATTTCAAATTAATAATTTGTCATGATTTAAGAGCCAGCCCAGGAAACTACTCCAGAAGGAATAACATCAATCACATTCAATTTTCGAGCTGCACTCCGAGAGCTTGGTTTTGGAAACAAAATATATAGAAAATTATGCTCTGTCTTCACATTTTGGAAATGAAGCAGTTCTGGTCCCTGCGTGCAAGTACTAACACTCAATGCGCGCTCAACGTCTGATCCCTAGAATTGAAGTTATATCCGGATTGATTAATTTGTCTCCGCCGGAAATAACTTCTCAGAGAAGTATTCCCGAAAACTGATCAAGTACCAGAAGTTCAGAACAGAGCACAATTTGTTACAATTTAAGTTGATTTGTCAGTCAATTTATGTTGATCATTAATTTAGTCCCGATATTCCATAAGAGCAATAATGCTGGACTAGCGGGGTGGAAACGATCTTTTAATATTCCAATTGCGAAAGTGTTCTCTTAAACCACTTTAACTGAAAATAACCGAATATTATCAGGGCAAATGAGAAGGCATACGCTTTGGAAGCTAAGCTATGAAATGAAAGACATTTACAGAATAACTGACGAATTCGTTTATTAAATATATAATTACGAACTCTAGAAACTTTCATAAAAACTACATTAAGGAAGTATTCTACAAAAATTTTTCTTTGTTAGAAGCTCAATAATGTCGTAGATAAAAGTCGTTGGTTTGGAAAAAGTCGTCGAAGTTCACTTTTGCGCGACTTAGTAGTTTGTGTTGCGCACTCTTTTCACAACATTATTCAAATGTTGGGAATATCGAGACGTCTAGACACTCGATATTTTGCAGCCCTTTTCGAAAATTTGTTGAATCGTGCCGGCGACCAACATTATTATGTTGAGGACTGTGCACATATAAAAGTATTTTACGCCATAAAGTAGACAATCGATAAGATATTCTACGTAAGGGTTGAAAGGGTCGAAACGTTTACAATAGCTTTATCGATAACTGGCTAAAAGGAAAATTTATAGACTACATTCTCCCACTAATCTTGAGAATTAAACTGCATCAGACTAGCTAATAAGAATCTTAAGATGCGTCCAGAAATTGAACAGGAATTATCGCACACTTTGTTGACGGAGTTGTTAGCGTACCAATTTGCATCACCTGTTAGATGGATAGAGACCCAGGATGTTTTTTTGAAAGACAACAACTCAGAAAGAGTTGTTGAAATCGGGCCATCTCCTACTTTAGCAGGTATGGCCACAAGAACGATCAAGGCCAAATATGGCTCATATGATGCTGCTTTATCATTACAGCGTCAAGTGTTGTGCTATGCTAAGGATGCTAAAGAGATATACTATACCCCTGATCCCGCCGACCTTGCGGCAGCGGAAGAAGCAAGTAAGGGGGGCGAAGAGGCTTCTAAGTCTAATGCCCCACCAGTTGCACAACCAGCAGCAGAACATGCAGTAGCACCAGCACCAGCAGCAGCACCAGCGGCTGCTGGCCCAGCCGCCTCGGTTCCTGATGAACCAGTTAAAGCATCTCTCGTTTTACGCGCTTTAGTTGCGCAAAAGCTTAAAAAACCTTTGGACTCTATCCCAATGGCAAAACCTATAAAAGATTTGGTAAATGGTAAGTCAACGGTTCAGAATGAAATTTTAGGAGATTTGGGCAAGGAGTTTGGTTCGACACCAGAAAAACCAGAAGATACTCCATTAGAAGAGTTAGCTGAGCTGTTCCAAGACAGCTTCAACGGACAATTGGGGAAGACTTCGTCTTCTTTAATCAGTAGAGTTATGTCCTCTAAGATGCCGGGAGGCTTCACAATAACGACTGCTAGAAAGTATTTGGAATCGAAATTTGGTTTGGGTGCTGGTAGACAGGATTCTGTGTTACTATTAGCATTGACTAACGAACCAAGCGCAAGATTGTCTTCCGATGCTGATGCGCAGGAATTTTTTAATAGTATGGCCCAGAAATACGCTGGCATGGAAGGAATATCTTTATCAGCCGCTAGTTCTTCGGGCGGTGCCTCCGGTGGAAGTAATGCTGTAGTTGACAGTGCTGCATTAGAGGAACTCACTGCAGAAAATAGGACATTAGCTAAGCAACAACTTGAAGTCTTAGCGAGATATCTTAACATCGATTTGAATAAAGGCAAGAAATCCTTCCTTCAAGAGAAGGATGCGTCAGGTGTTCTAAGAAAAGAATTAGATCTCTGGGAAGCAGAGCATGGTGAGTACTATGCTTCAGGTATTAGACCTTTATTTTCTCGTTTGAGGTCAAGAACCTATGACTCCTACTGGAACTGGGCAAGACAAGATGTATTGTCTATGTATTTTGATATAATCTTTGGAAGGTTGACATCAATTGACAGGGAGACAATTAATCAGTGTATTATGATTATGAACAGATCCAATCCAACGCTCATCGAATTTATGCAATATCATATTGATCATTGTCCTGAATATAAAGGCGAAACTTATAAGTTGGCGAAGAAGTTGGGCCAGCAGTTAATTGACAACTGTAAACAAGTATTGAATGCAAGCCCAGTTTTTAAGGATGTTTCCAAGATTACAGCTCCAAAAACAACGATAGACGCAAAAGGTAACATTAATTACGAAGAGAGTAATAAGGAGTCAGTGAGAAAATTCGAACAATATGTCTATGAGATGGCACAGGGTGGAAAGGTGACTAAGATTTCTCACCCTACTGTTCTGGAAGAATTGTCTAAGATTTACAAAGCAATTTCGAAACAATCGTTAATGTCTAAGAACACTAAATTAGAAGTTCAAAAGCTCTACGAGCAATTGGTAAATTTCATCGAATCTTCTGGTGAAATTGAGCAAAAGATGCCACCTTCAACACAATCAGGTAGCCCAACATCAACTGAAGATGAGCTGCTTTCAACTGCCTCTGATGATGATGAAATTGCTTCGTTGCCCGACAAGACTTCTATTTTGCAACCTGTGTCCTCTACTATTCCTCCCGAAACCATTCCGTTCTTGCATTTGAAGAAGAGATCACAGGGCGCATATACTTACGATCAAAAATTAACTTCAACATACTTGGATGGATTAGAATCTGGAGCTGTGAATGGTATGACATTTAAAAATAAGTTTGTTTTAGTTACAGGAGCTGGCGCTGGCTCTATTGGTGCCGAAATCTTGAAGGGTTTGATCAGTGGTGGTGCTAAAGTCATAGTTACAACTTCCCGATACTCTAGAAAGATCACAGAATATTATCAGACGATGCATTCAAGGTATGGATCTGCTGGTTCCACTTTGATAGTTGTTCCTTTTAATCAAGGTTCTAAACAAGATGTCGATGCTTTGGTAAACTACATTTATGAAGAACCAAAGAAAGGTGGATTAGGATGGGATCTCGATGCCATCATTCCTTTTGCTGCAATTCCTGAGAATGGTAATGGTATTGACGCTATTGACTCAAAATCAGAATTAGCTCACAGAATCATGTTAGTTAACCTTTTGAGGTTACTAGGTGCTGTTAAAGCAAAGAAATTAACAGACACGCGTCCAGCTCAATGTATTTTACCGTTATCCCCCAACCATGGTACTTTCGGATTTGATGGATTGTATTCTGAGTCCAAAGTCTCATTGGAAACCTTGTTCAATAGATGGTACTCAGAAGATTGGGGTACGAAGTTGACTATTTGCGGTGCAATTATTGGATGGACAAGAGGAACTGGCTTAATGTCTGCTAATAATATCATTGCTGAAGGTATAGAAAAACTAGGGGTTAGAACATTTTCGCAGAAGGAGATGGCGTTTAATATTTTAGGTCTCTTGACGCCTCAAATTGTACAGCTATGCCAAGAGGAGCCTGTTGTTGCTGATTTGAATGGTGGCTTACATTTCCTCGAAAACTTAAAAGATCTCACATCGAAATTGAGAACAGATTTATCTGATACTGCAGACATCAGAAGAGCAGTCTCCATTGAAAATGGTATTGAGCAAAAAGTCATTGAGGGTGAAAACATTGATGCGAATTATACAAAGGTTACTGTTCAACCACGTTCTAATATGAAGTTTGAATTCCCCAAGTTAAAGACTTACGAAGAGATCAAAGATATATCTCCAAACTTAGAGAATATGCTTGACCTAGAATCCGTGATAGTAGTTACTGGATTTGCCGAAGTCGGCCCTTGGGGTAATGCTAGAACTAGGTGGGAAATGGAAGCATATGGCGAGTTCTCTTTAGAGGGTACTATTGAAATGGCTTGGATTATGGGTTTAATCAAATACCACAATGGTAATTTGAAGGGCAAACCTTATTGTGGCTGGATAGATGCCAAAACTCAGCAACCAGTCGAGGATAAAGATATTAAACCGAAGTACGAAGAACAAATTTTAGAGCACTCTGGTATCAGATTAATTGAGCCAGAATTATTTGACGGATACGATCCTAAAAAGAAGCAATTAATTCAAGAAGTTGTTGTTCAACATGACCTAGAACCTTTTGAGTGTTCGAAGGAGACCGCTGAGCAGTATAAATTGGAGCATGGTGAGAAATGCGAAATATTTGAAATCGAAGGCTCTGGTGAATACACAGTTAGGATTTTGAAAGGTGCAACATTATATGTTCCTAAGGCGTTGAAGTTTGATAGGTTGGTAGCTGGTCAAATTCCAACCGGTTGGGATGCTCGTAGTTATGGTATTCCAGATGACATTATCAATCAAGTTGATCCAATAACTTTGTATGTTCTTGTCTCCACTGTTGAATGTTTGTTGTCGTCCGGTATTACTGATCCTTACGAATTTTATAAGTACGTGCATGTCTCCGAACTTGGTAACTGTTCTGGTTCTGGTATGGGTGGTGTTACTGCATTGAGAGGTATGTTCAAAGATAGATACACTGATAAGCCAGTCAGGAATGATATCTTGCAAGAATCATTTATAAATACTATGTCTGCCTGGGTTAACATGTTGTTATTATCTTCATCTGGTCCCATAAAAACTCCAGTGGGTGCTTGTGCAACTGCAGTTGAATCGCTTGATGTAGGTGTTGAAACTATTTTATCTGGAAAAGCCAAGGTGTGTATCGTTGGTGGTCATGATGACTTCCAAGAAGAGGGATCTTATGAATTCGCCAATATGAATGCGACCTCTAATGCTGAGAAAGAATTTGAGCATGGCAGAACTCCTCAAGAAATGTCGAGACCTACCACGACAACGCGTAGTGGTTTTATGGAGGCACAAGGTTCTGGTAGTCAAGTCATTATGAGTGCTGATTTAGCACTTAAAATGGGTGTTCCTATTTATGCTGTTTTGGCTATGACAGCAACGGCAACTGACAAAATTGGCAGATCCGTTCCTGCTCCAGGTAAAGGTATTCTTACCACAGCAAGAGAACATCATGGTAATTTGAAATATCCATCTCCAATGCTCAATATGAAGTACCGTTCTAGGCAGTTGAAGAATAGGCTCAACCAAATTAAGGAATGGGAAAATTCTGAAATACAATTTTTGAAGGAAGAACTTTTGACAGCCGAGGAGCAATATGGTACAGAATTCTCCGAATCTGAATATTTGAGTGAAAGAACTGAAGAGATACATCGTGAGTCAAGATGCCAAGTGTCTGATGCTAAAAAACAATGGGGTAACAATTTCTTCAGGACAGACCCAAGGATTGCACCTCTCAGAGGCTCATTGGCTGTCTTCGGTTTAGATATTGACGACATAGACGTCGCATCATTCCATGGGACATCTACTGTAGCCAATGATAAGAATGAATCGGCCACCATTAATGAAATGATGAAGCATTTAGGTAGGTCTAAGGGTAATCCAGTATTTGGTGTCTTCCAGAAATACTTGACCGGTCATCCGAAGGGTGCTGCTGGTGCATGGATGTTGAATGGTGCCATCCAAATTTTGAACTCTAGTATTGTTCCTGGAAATAGAAATGCAGACAATATTGATGAAGCTTTGAAGGATTTTGATTATGTGTTGTATCCTTCTAGAAGTATCCAGACAGATGGTATCAAAGCCGTTTCTGTCACTTCTTTCGGGTTTGGTCAGAAAGGTGCACAGGCTATTGTGATCCATCCCGATTACTTGTATTCAGTCTTAGACAAGAGTACCTTTACGGATTATGCATCAAGAGTCGCCATACGTAATAAGAAGGCCTATCGTTACATGCATAATGCCATTACTCGCTATTCTATGTTCAAGGCTAAGGATAAAGCTCCTTACTCTGATGATTTGGAACAATCAGTCTACTTGGATCCTTTGGCTCGTGTTGATCCGATAAAGAACAACCAATATTCTTTTTCGAAGAATTCCATTCAATCAAAGAACGCATATGTCAGCGAAGTTGCAAGTTCTACTGCGAAGGCATTATCAACCTTAAATAAGTCAGGAAAGGGAGTGGGTGTAGATGTTGAACTTTTATCTTCACTTAATCTTGAAAACCCTACTTTCGTGGAACGCAATTTCACTGTCAAAGAACAGGCCTACTGTTCCAATGCACCTGATGCGAGAGCTTCGTATACCGGCACTTGGACTGCTAAAGAGGCAGTATTCAAAGCACTAGGAGTTAAATCTAAAGGGGCTGGAGCTTCTTTGCTTGACATTGAAATTCTTAGGAATGGCAATGGAGGTCCAGTTGTAAATTTGACTGGAGATGCAAAATCTGTTGCAAAACAAGCAGGGATTTCTCAAATAAACGTCTCAATTTCTCATGATGATCTTCAGGCGACAGCAGTTGCCTTGAGTGAATTTGCTTAGCTTTTAATTATATAACATTAAATATATATTGATTTCGTGAGTTGTGTATTATGTAGAACGTAAAATTTAGTGCGTGTCTTTTAAGTATTGTATATCTTGGGGTCGTGATTAAAACAGAAAACCTTGGTTAGGCGATGTCGAGAGGCACTACAGATCCGTGCGTAAAGACAAAATCTCAAAAACAGCATTTTGTTAGTAGTATCAACATAAGGATCAACGATCAATTGTAATGTCTCAGGACAATTTGAATGACGATGGTACCACAGCGAAGAATACTACGCAGCCTGATATTATAGTGGAAAGAAATGGCATAGAGAAGACTAATAAAAGTGAAAGTGACGACACTAATGTCTTGACAACAGAAAACAAAAAGAACGATCATGGTGAAAAGGATGAAGCTCTTCACAAAGACTATAAAGAATCCAATGAAGAACTGAATAAAAAAGACACCCTAGACTCCTCAGATGGGCCTGATGTTGATATCCCAGAGGCGGAGTCCACTACCGTCACCGTTGGCGAGGGAACTTTAAATGGACAGCTTGATAACAGGAATCTGAAAGATAGCAATCCTGATAACAATTTTGCTGATACACATGTAAAACCGAATACCACAAACGGTAGTGAAACTTCAAATCAAGTTGAGAATAGTAATCTCACGTCTACGCCTTCTCTTCAAGTTGAAGTGAACCTGAGAATGCCTTCGATCTCATCGAGCCGAAATGATAGCCAAACTGGGCAGCAGTCTACTACGTCGATCACTACATTTAGTGCAACTGTGGACAATATGGGGATCTTTAAAAACACGTTTGAACTGATTCTTAATAGCAAAGAATCGAAGAAGAATGAACAATTGAAATCGTCTGTTCAAAAGGCTCTTGATTCCTTAAATGCTCTGAATACGGCGGAACCTCGCCTATTACTTGAAGCATTGAAAATAACATGTGAAAGTTCTAATAATGACTTGAAATCAAAAGCTGTCGATACTTTTGCGAAGCTATTTGACTTTGTTTTATTTAATGACGAAGAAGAAAAAGTTAAATTAACTGATCAAGCAGTGGATATAATATCGGCTTGTTTTGATGGTGAGGGTACAGATCCAGAAGTCGAACTACAGGTAGTACGTGCACTTATGCATAGTATTTTACTTATGCCGTGTCATGGTGCTTCCTTATTAAAGGCAGTAAGACAAATTTACAACATCTTTATTTTTTCGCTATCTGCTAGAAATCAATCAGTTGCGCAAGGGATTTTGACCCAAGTAATAGGTGCGATTTTCAGAAGAATCGATGTTGTAGCCCTTGGAAAGGGAAAGGGTAGCAAAACTGGGAGCAATACAAATTTCAAGACTTCTAGAACTGTTAGCCGTGAGCAGTTGGATCTGCCGATCGATGAAAATAAGGATGATGAAGTAGAACAAGCGTTAACTTTGCGAAATCTTGAAAATATCAACGACTCAAGGAATGACAATGATCGTGTGAACGAGGCAAATCAAGCGTCAGAAAAGGACGAAGACTTAGCAGTCAAGGATGCATTTTTGATATTTAGAGCTATGTGTAAACTTTCTGTGAAGCCTTTGGAATCCGATACTTTAGATATGAGATCTCATTCTGTCAGATCTAAATTGCTCTCCTTGCATATTATTCACACCATACTAAGAGAACACATAGAAATTTTCTTAAGTCCAGATGTTGTGATTCTTTCGTCTAGTTCGTTGGAAAGAACGAGACTTATTAATACGGTGAGACAATATATTTGTCTATCTTTATCACGCAATGCTGCTTCTTCCTTGGCCCCCGTTTTTGAACTTTCATTGGAAATATTTTGGATCATTATATCCAATTTAAGATCTGAATTTAAGAGAGAAATACCTGTGTTTTTGGATGAAATATATTTTCCGGTGGCAGAAATGAAGACATCAACTCCACATCAAAAGAGATATTTATTGTCAATTATTGAACGATTATGTAATGACTCAAGATGTATTATCGAATTTTACTTGAATTACGATTGTGATAGTAGGATGCCCAATATTTATGAAAAAATCGTGGACTATTTAACCAGGTTATCTTTAATCCGGGTAGAGGTCACTTCACAACAAAAATTGGCTTTCCGAGAGAACAAGCGAAGAGGAATTTCAGTTTATGATATAAGTAAAATTGCTAATCTTACAAGTAGCACGATGTCCTCAAAACCTCCTGAGCCAGATGTTTACAATTTATTTCCATTAGAGTATGCTCTTAAAATGACCTCGATCGGGTGTATTGTCGCATCTTTAAGGTCTTTATACTCATGGGCACATAAGGGTATAAATTCGAGCCATAGGTTAAATATGCCATCACTCAAGCATGATTCGGGTGCTTCACTTGATAGAATTCGCACAGAGACTCTAGAATCCAGTAATTCAAATGGAAGTGATAAGGTCAATTCCAGTACTATCACAGATTCTGTAAACGAATCGGATGATCCTGAACAATTCGAGAACTTAAAGCAACGCAAGAAAGCCTTTTTAGAGGGTATAAGACAGTTCAATCAGAAAGGAAAAAAAGGAATTAAATATCTCTTGAAGGAAGGTTTCATTACATCTGACGACCCCAAAGATATAGCTAGCTTTCTATTAGAAACAGATGGGATTGATAAAGCATCTTTAGGTGAATTCCTTGGTGAAGGAGAGGAACAAAGTATTGCCATCATGCACGCATTTGTCGAGCAGATGGATTTTACAAATTCAAATTTTGTGGATTCTATGAGAAGATTCTTACAAGCATTTAGGTTACCTGGTGAGGGTCAAAAAATTGACCGTTTCATGTTGAAATTTGCCGAGAGGTACGTTTCTGGTAATCCTACGATTTTTGCTAATGCTGATACTGCTTATATTCTTGCTTATTCTATTATCATGTTAAATACTGATTTGCATTCTCGACAAGTGAAAAATAGGATGACTTATGAAAACTTTGTGGCTAACAATTCTGGAATAGATGACGGTAATGACTTGCCTCGTGAGTTCTTACAGAATATTTACGATGAAATTTTGAATAATGAAATCAAACTACAATCAGAGCAACATGCTGCACTACTTTCTGGTGATATTCCATTGCCATCAAGTACTTCTATAGGATTTTTTGGAGGGCGTGATATAAACAGGGAAGCTTATATTCACGCATCCAAAGAAATGTCTACTAAGACTGAGAAGCTAATGAGAAACCTTGGTAAAAAATCAAAGCCTGATGATTCTTCTAGCGGCATATTTTATGCTGCATCTCATATTCATCATGTTAAGTCTATTTTCAACACCATGTGGATGTCGGTCTTAGCAGGCTTAACACTGCCATTTAAGGAGTACGACGAGGAAGATGTGACCAAAGTTTGTCTTGAAGGAATAAAAATCTCGATTTATATCTCATGCATGTTTGATTTAAGTTATGCAAGAACTTCATTTGTCGGAGCATTGGTTCAATTTGAAAATTTAAATAATTTTGAAGAAATGAAACCTAAAAATGTTGATGCAATTCAGATTATGCTAGAGGTTGCCGTTACACCTGATATATCTTTGAAAACTTCTTGGATTCAAATTCTCACTGCAATATCACAATTAGAAAGACTCCAGCTTATCGCTCAAGGTGTAGACCAAGACTCAATCCCCGACGTATCTGTCGCGAGATTGGTGAACAGAGGTTCAATTGATAGCAGCAGTACAGTTTCAACAAGTTTCTTCAGCCTGCTTACTGGCCAGCCGACTGCCTTGCAAGCTGCCTCTAATAAATTTCACAATCAGCATTTGAACCAACAAGTAGCCCAATTATTGACTAAAACTGAATTAGAGGTGTCAATCGATAAAGTGTTCACAAATAGTGCTTCTTTATCCGGAGAAAGTATTGTTGACTTTGTTAAAGCACTATCTGAGGTCTCTTCAGAGGAGATAGAGTCATCAGGTGCTAGCTCAAATCCTCGTATGTTCTCGTTGCAAAAAGTCGTGGACATCTGTTATTACAATATGAGCAGAATTCGTTTGGAATGGTCGAAATTATGGTCTATTATGGAGGAAACATTCAATCAGGCGGGTTGCAATCCAAACCTGGCTATTGCGTTTTTCGCTTTGGACTCGTTAAGGCAGCTCTCAATGAGGTTTTTGGAAATTGATGAATTATCTCACTTCAAGTTCCAGAAAGAATTTTTAAAACCTTTTGAGCACGTGATGATCTACAGTGGCTCATTGGAAGTAAAAGACATGGTTTTAGAGTGTATCAATAACATGATACTCGCAAGAGCAAATAAAATCAAGTCGGGATGGAAGACCATTTTTGGAGTCCTTGCAGCTTCCGCAAGAGAAAACAAAGAATCTCTAGTTATGAAAACATTTAAAATGGCGAACTGGATTAATAAGGAATACATTGATGTAATCCATTCCCAAGAGTGTTTTGCAGATTTAGTTGTTTGCTTCACAGAATTAGCTAAGAATGAAAAATTTCAAAAAGTCAGTCTCCTTTCTCTTGATGTTTTACTGAAATTAATTAATCAAGTGGCTAAATTCAGTTTTGGCGGCTCAAAGGGTCAAAGCTTGTCTGTCAATGGTTCCGATGAGAAGCATAAAGCTTTAAACGATAAATTAGTCAAATTATGGTTTCCAATTTTGTTTGGTTTTCATGACATTATTATGTCAGGTAAAGAACTTGAAGTGAGATCAAGAGCACTGTCATATTTGTTTGAGCTTTTACTACAGTATGGACAGTATTTTGAATATGACTTCTGGGTTTTGATTTGTCACCAGTTACTATTCCCTATTTTTGGCATTTTAAATACGCACTGGAGCTTAAATGCTGAAGACACAAGTGACACGCTCTCTGTATGGCTTTCAACTACATTAATCCAAGCTTTAAAGAGTATGATTACACTCTTTACTCATTATTTCGAATCATTAAGCAAAATGCTCACAGAATATTTTAATTTGATCATATCATGCATTTGTCAAGAGAATGACACTATAGCAAGAATAGGTCGAGAATGCTTGTTTGTTTTGTTAATCGATAATGCTACCAAGTTTAATACTGAACAGTGGTCAGAAGCTACAAAAGCGTTTTCGACCTTATTTGACTTAACCACAGCAAAGGAGTTATTCACATCTGACCCTCTTCGTAATCAAAAATCCGAAGAAGATGAAGAGCTGGTTGATTTTGGTTCTAAGTTGGAGCTTAATCGTGCAAATGGAGAAAAATCAAACGACAGCTTAGACCGAAAAAACAAAGAAAAGTCTTCAATCGTTGTTAAAAGTGTGTTACAGCTTTTGCTTATCCAAACTTTATCTGAGCTTTTTGAAAATGACGCTTTTTACGAGGCTGTTCCATTTGATTCCTTAGTAGATATGGGCTCTTTGTTGAAACAAAGTTATAATTTTGCGAAACGCTTTAATGATGACTACGACTTGAGAGTTAGGTTATGGAATGCAGGGATAATAGAAAGATTACCAAATTTATTGAAACAAGAATCATCCTCATCAGCAGTTTATATAAATATCATGTTCCGAATGTACTGCGATGACGATAAAACTAATTCCGAGTCGAAGAAAACCATCATGTCATCAATAATTCCTCTTTGCAACACTGTGACAGAAAGATATTCTGAGTTCGACGAATCTAATCAACAAAGAAATATCTCGACATGGAGGCCGGTCATTGTGGAAATTTTTCAGGGGTACGTGGAATTGGACGATGAAGATTTTATACTTTATGCCCCAGTTATGTACACATTGACTTTGAGACTCCTTTCGAGAAATATGACATCCGATTTGAGGTCTGCCATTAGAAATTTTTTGAGCAGAGTTGGAGAAGATTTTATTAAAGCTAACTTAAATTCTCAAGGATAATTATATTCAGTAATGTCATATATTTGTCAAGTTAAACATATGTTAATGTAAAGCATGCATTTGTAGTATATCTCTAGTTAGTGCTGAAAATTACGCCATTTTGCTCACGAGACTTCACAAGTACGATCTTACACAAAATTGTTCTCGTTGTTGGACGATCAGCAAAATTTTCAGCTTCCTTTAAACCACAGGTGATAATATTAATCAATAGAAACAAGATCATATAACTTGCGCAGTCTGATTCGTTTTCAAAATACATAATGTCTTTTGAAAATAAGGTAAGTATTGTCCAGAATAATCGTGTCGTGAGATTAGCAGCCAATTGAATTAAAGCATTGCAGTATTTAAGTTTAAGGTTGCTGCGATTGAACTACGTCTTTTGAACAATTGCATTGTCATTATACAAGTATCAATGGTTTGCGGATGTGCAATTGTGTTGGAAAATTCTACGATGATGATTTATTTTAATGGGTCCACAGAAAATATAATTCGAATATAATACTGACTTTATTTGTACAGAACTTATTCCACTTGTTGGGTAATGATGTTGAGGATGACCAAACTCCAAACTTACCCGTCAGGGAGGTCGTGAAGAAGGGAACCTCATCAAAGAAAGCAGATGTTCCTCCTCCTTCTGCTGATCCTGCTAGATCTAAAAAGAAAGGCAAACCAACTGGTAATGAGGGTGCTATTAAGACTAAGTTAGATAACAAGGATGTCCCAAGTCCACCAAATACTAACTCAAAACACTACAAGAAGCCATTTGATCGTCACTCTAGATCCAACAAGACTGACTCTAAAAAGAAAATCAAACAGGGTTGGGGGAATGCTGATACTGAAGCTGACGCCGAGATTGAAGGTGCAAATGATGCGGCTGAAGAGTTAGAAGAAGAAAATCAAGAGAATGCAGAATCAGGAGCTGAAAAGAAATCATTACAGGATTATTTTGCAGAGTTACAAGTAAAGCAGCAAGTCTTAGATGGCTCTAAGAAAACGAGACAAGCCAACGAGGGTCAAGAAAAGAAATGGTCTACCTCTGAGCAACTTGTTAAAGAGCAGGAACCTTATTTTGAATCAACCGCTTCTAAAAAGGCAAAGGCAAAGGCACCAAAAGAGAAAAAGTTTTTAGATGTTGAGGCAGTATTTGCTGATGAGAAGCCATTTGAGCCAAGAAGAGGCAGTTCTACAAGAGGTGGTGCTAGAGGTGCTAAGAGAGGAAATTTTGGCGCTAAAAGAGGTACCAAAACTTCTTCAAAGTCGAAACCAGTCATCAATGATCAAAACTTCCCATCATTATAATGTTCACGGAATATCTGAAGTTATTTTGATGAACTTTGACTCTCATATATGCTTTAACTATTATTTGTTTTAAATAGTTTACGATAATAAACCTTTTACCAGCATATGGATTCGAAATCAATGTAGGCGAAGACTTTATTTAAAATAGCTGATATCGGATTATCGCATCGTTCACTGGATTATTGTTTGAGAGCTTATTTTGGATTACCTAGTAGTGATAAATTTGCTAATACTATTTAAATAAGGTTAACTGATTCTTCTTCACCTTGCTATGAACCTCGGATCTTGATTTCACTATTAAAACTGTCAATTTCTTTAAATAATAGCTATGAGCTTCTATCTTTCTCACATTGCATAAGGCACTAGAGCACTAATGTCCAAAACTTAAACAAGCTATAATATAGTTACGTAATATTAGCAACTCAGTGCAATATTTAAAAAGAAAATATACCATTGAATTTTTCGCATCCCCACATATCGTTATGAAAATTAGGAAATTTATCTTTTTTTTAAACTAATGACTGAAAGAAACAATCCAGATTCAAAATATCGTGCTAGAGCATCAAAGGCGTTATCTCATATATATGAATATACGAGTGGAATAGCTGAAAACCATATAGGAGAAAGTAGGGGTATAGCTGCAGGTACAGCAGCGTCGATAATAGGTCTTGGATTAGAAAGAGTTAACAAAAGATCACCTGAAGAAAACTTTATCGGCATTATGGATGAAAAAGAATTAGATGAATTTTCAAATTCTATCCCAGATGAAAACAAGTCCCATCATTTCATGGACAGGTTTATGGAGAAGTTATTAAAGCATGCAATCACAGATGATGGTCCCGAGAAAGACTTATTAGAGAAAAGGATACGTGATCCTGATAGGACTAAGAAGCCGAATTTATCAATCAAAATTCTTGCATCTAACTTCAAAAAACTAAGCAGTCGTATGAGTGAATTTTTTGTAGTTCAATATGGCCTCATTCATATTTTGACGTGGAGAAAGCCAACAAAAACGTTATCGTTCTTGGTATTGTACACTTCAGTATGCTTATGGCCACATTTGGTGTTAGCATATCCATTATTATTTTTACTTTTTGGAGTATTGATTCCTGGGTACTTACATAGGCATCCGATGAAGAATCCTGAACTAATAAAAGTTAAAAGAAGGGGACAGTCTCTTTTGAGCTTTTTAAATGAATCACCCGATCAAAGCATCATTAGTGACATACTTAACGATGACTATGATAGAGACTCAGATACAGAATCTCTCAGACCCTTGAATTCAAGGTCATCTGACGGATCAACTTCTGCATTCACACAACCACCTGCGTCAGCTTCTTCGATTTCAAACTCCGACAATGCAGAGTCCAGTCAAAAGAAGGATAGAAGCAAATATGTGAAGTCCCAAATGACACTTGCGATGAACATGAGAGACTTACAGAATCTCACGACTGATGTGCTCAGCAGCTTAGACGCAGCAGACAAATTTTGGTACGATACAGCTGGCTTCAAAGACGAAAGACTCTCAACTTTCATTTTCTATGGTCTTATTTTGGCAACCTCTGCAATTCTATTAGTGGGCTACTACGTGCCCTGGAGATTGATCTTTATTCAATCTGGGTGGGTAGGAATAACTTTATGCCATCCAAAGAGTAAAAAGTACTTGGTTGGATTTAGCAAGACTAGGAAAGGCAAGAAAAAAGGTAAGCTTGAAGTAGTGGAAGATAAATTAAAGAAGGAAGAAAAAAGGTTTGATAGAAGAGATATAATTATTGATGATCCTCCAGAGATCAGATTTGTTGAAGTTTTCGAGATAGAACTGAAAAGTATTCTTAATAGCAGTTGGACCCTCTTCTGTTTTTCTAATAGCATCTACGACCCAAAAGACCATATAAGATGCAGTGGAAAGCGCCCTAAGGGAGTAGATCATCTCTCCAAAATTCTCCCCCCGTCAGATTGGAGATTTGACTTTGCTTATGCTAATAAATGGAAAATAGACTTCCAACCAAAAATTTTTTTACATCAAAGGCTCTTAGACATGAATTCTTCTTTAAGAGTTTATGAAAATGAAAGTGATGGTTGGATTTATGACGACTTGGATTATGTTAAGAGTAACGATACTGTGTATGAGTTTAGAAGAAGAAGGTTAAGCAGGGAATGCTATAGATATTCCAGAGCTGCAAAAGAACCTAAGAGATGATCTCATAACTGATATATTGAAAGCAGCAGCCATATGGTTCATTTTGTATATTTTCTTTTAGGCTTAATACGTAAAATGATGATATATGATGTTAAATCTTGAAAGATAATATTCGTGTAGTAGTCCTCAGAATACTCTTAAAAATAGTTCGCGAACTCTAAATTTCATCAATTCTCAACACTGATTCAAAACACATCATAAGCTCATGGACTCATTCGCTACCCGAGTGCGGACTTTTGATGCGTTCCCTAAAGTTGATGCCCAGCATACAGTCAGATCATCTAGAGGTGGATTGTCAACGTTGATAACGATATTTTGTGGTTTATTAATAGTATGGGTCCAGGTTGGTGGGTATCTTGGAGGATATGTCGATCACCAATTTATAGTAGATGATGAAGTAAGAACTGACTTAAGCATAAATATGGATATGCTAATTGCTATGCCATGTGAATATGTTCATACAAATGTAGAAGACGTTACCAGTGACAGATTTTTAGCGAATGAACTTTTGAACTTTCGAGGTGTTAATTTTTTCGTTCCTCCGATGTTTCAAATAAACAATGTCAATGATGCACATGATACTCCAGACTTAGATGAGATAATGCAAGAGACATTAAGGGCAGAGTTTTCCTCAGTTGGTCTTTCTTTAAACGAAAATGCACCAGCGTGCCATATTTTTGGATCGATTCCAGTTAACCAAGTGAGCGGAGAATTTAGAATTACAGGAAAGGGATTTGGCTACCGAGATATACACCAGGTTCCTTTTGAAAAGTTAAACTTTTCTCATGTATTATCAGAATTTTCTTACGGAGACTTTTACCCATACATAAATAATCCCTTGGACTTCACCGGTAAGCTTACCGACCAAAAAATGCAATCTTATCACTACCACTCTCGGATTGTCCCAACGCTCTACGAGAAGCTTGGCATCGATGTGGATACAAATCAGTACTCTTTGACTGAATTGCACAATGTATATAATATCGACGATAAAGGAAAACCTGAGGGGATTCCTGGAATTTATTTCCGGTATGATTTCGAGCCTATTAAGCTTGTAATAGCAGAAAGAAGAATCCCATTCTTACAGTTCATTGCAAAACTAGCTACTTTAATTGGAGGCTTAGTCGTCCTAGCAGGTTATCTTTATAAAATGTATGAAACATTTCTCTGTGCCGTACTCGGAAAGAAATATGTGGAGAAGGACAGTGAACGCAAAGAAGGTGGACTTCTTGATAATTACAACAAAGAACACAAAAACCTTTAGAGTAGTACCCCCCTCTAGTTTAGATCGACTTTAAATATTTTCGAAAATACGGCATATAATATTTTGATATCTTAAGTCTCACTATCAAGTCATTAATATTCTATTATAAAGGCTTGATCATCTTATACCATTTATGGATATGTAACATTCCTAAAAATGGTTGAAGTCAAAAAAGAATCCAAAGATTCGCATCAACTGAATTCAAAGCAGTTTAGTGGAACAAATAATGATAACGACTCCAAAAAACCAAAGAAACCAAAAGGTACAATTAAACGCTCTAGAAATGGGTGCCATAATTGTAAGAGATTGAAAATTAAGTGTGATGAAAAGAAACCGAAATGCACTTATTGTGTGAAAACTAAAGCTGATTGTGATTACTCGCTAAAGCTAACTTGGGGAGGAAGAAATTACAAAAATGCCAATGAGAAGAATGTAAACTATTCAGCAATAAATTTTTCGAATGGGACCAAAAACACACCAGATATTAAAAAGAAGAAATCTAAAAACAGTTCTAATCATGGGATGGATAGTAAAAAGCCTAATGGGCATATCACTACGGAAAATAAAATAAGAAAACCTGCGAAGTTTGTTCAAAATGCAAATCTTGGAAACTTGAATCCTAAGAAAAGGCTATTCACCCAGGCTGGCCATGATGATCATTTGAGAATACATCACTACAATCCTTCGAACCTGGAATCTCCTCAACTTGAAACTCCTTTAACTACTTTCTCGAATTCTGACTTGAGCAGCACATTAGATTATTATTCTCCGAGCACCAGCGGGAACGGTAGCCACATAGAAGGGAGCTCTGAAAGACTTTCTCCTTCAGAAGTAAATAGCAGGAAATACTCTCTGGGTACCACAATCGACCCGACGAACATGTTAGACAAAAAACTTCATCACGAATATCCGGATGTTATTGACGGAATCCAAAACTTGAATAGTGCATTGGACAAGGTATCAATGGGAGCAAATCACTTTTTTTTACAAAACTCTGAAATTTTTAATAAGTTCGTGCTTACAGGAAATGCGACGAGTTCAATTGAGAATCTGACGACTAACCCAAGTGGTCGCCCAAGTGATCGTCCGTTCTCTATAAATGGCAATGTTCTTAGTGATGTGAAACCGCTTCTGAAACCAGATGAGTTTTCTCCCGGCACGGTTGAACTTTTAGAAAATTTCGATAGAGATAGTATGGATAATTATTCTGAGGACATTGCTAAAATTGAAGCTCACGAAAATCTTCAACTGATAGATTCTTTTAACAATGACATTTTCATGAGATTGAGAGCTCCAGATGCTCAGCGAATGTTACTGCAAGCTAATGATCGAATTAGCCTTGAAGATGATGACGAAGATGAGGATGAGGGAAGCGGAATCCTTGTTAATCAGCACGAAAGTGTCTCCCCTCGATCTCAAGGTTACGGCTTTGAAAACCTTTCACCAGAAGATATGTTTCGTACCATACCACCTCTGCTCACGCCTTTGCCGGAAATGTTACTTCACGTTCCTTATTATCGTGGTTTGATGCATTTTTGGGTAAATGTTGCTTCGAACTGTCTAGTTCCCGCCCCATCTCATTTATATAAGGATAACCCATTCAAAGTTATATTACCGCAAATGGCGATGAGCTATCCCTCAATTTTAACTACGCTTTTGGCCTTTTCATCAAACATGAGGGCAGTGATTACTGGAGAAGAAATTCCTCACGCTATCATAAATCAATTACTTTCTCGATCTTGTAATGAGTTACTTAAGCAGTTGAAAGACAAAAAAGAGTCTACCTCAGATGGAACTTTAGCCACCGTTCTACTTCTTTCTTGTTACGAAGTTTTCAATTGCAGAAATATTGAAAGTCATAGAGTTCACAATTTGGGAGCAAGGCAAATTTTGAGAGCAAGAAAGTCCAATTCAAGCATGAGCTCTCAAAGGATCCGATCTAGCAGTTCACATGAACTAGACGATAACAACACTGATTCCATTGGAATTGAGAGTGACATAACCTTTTTCTTGATAAGATGGTTCGTATATATTGACGTTATGGGTGCAATATCAGCAACTAAAGGATCTAATTACTATCTTGCGGTACAGGATGAGTCTCAGTATGCAGAAGGAGCATTCTTAACCAAGCTTAGTGATTTGAGCTCGAATAATAATCAACGGTCTAAAGGAAGTGTAGACTATTTCTTAGGGTTCGATGCCAAGCTACTTCCCCAATTCACACAGATTGCACTTTTGATTAGAAAGACAAACAATTTTTTGAAGGACAATAAGATTTCTCATCAGTCTTTGCCCGACAGTATAAGATTGAAGGCACTGGAAGTAATTGATGAGCTCTATCGAGCAATAAGGAGAGGAGAAATTAATGACCAACTGGATAGCGAGAGCGCTTCTGACAGCAATCTAAGAGCTTCTTACTCCAATAATTATCGTGCTTTAAACAAAGAAGATAGTATGTTATACTACTCCAATAAATTGTATTGCTATATGGGCTTAATGAATATTTACAGACGTGTTCTTCGATTGCCTAGGGGCTCTGAGGAGGTTCAAAAGATTGCGAGTGATATCGCAGAAATAATGAGACTCTATGTTGAACCTAAGTCTCCCATGGAAGTATGCTTTATATTTGGACTATTCTGTGCTGGTTGTGAAACTCTTGATCCCGTTTTACGAGAGTTTTTCCTCCACAGATTTCTCATGTTGTCAGAAATAAGTCATGTCAATGCTCCCAAGGCTCTAGAAATTATGAAGCACTGCTGGATCACTGGCGAAGACTGGACTGAAATCTCTAATCGACTAGGCATAGATATTACATTATTATAGATATCATGGAATTTTTATCTTTTGAAGTCACCTGATGTAGATATCAGATCTTTTTTTTTCTCAATTTTTTTGGCGCGTCAGCTATTTTCTTATGATCTAAGGAAATATATTTGTTCTTTAAGTAGTCCATTAGGATTAAAAGTTCTCGATTTTTTTTCGTTACTTTTAGTTTCCAAAACTCTTAGGCTGCTGTATAATAATCCACCGTAGTAAATGTCCTTAGATAAAAACGTGGAACCAGAGGAATATGGTGAACTAGTACAATCGATAGAGCAATCACATAAAGATGGAAGGAACAACGAGCTTCAAGAAAAAGTCCTAAAAAAGTGCCTTGCTTATTTATTCCAAAACTGTAAAGAACGTCATTGGTTCTGTGATAGATATATGTTCCCTATGGCAACACATGCACTAATACTTTTTTCATTTCCTGATAACGATGTACTACAAAAAGTAAAGACACAGATGTCATCAAGTTTCGATGAATGCGAAAATTGTATACGCTGCTTTAATCTAAGTAAATCTAAAATCAAGGAGAGCTTTGCTTTAATCAGACAAATTCCATACAGACAGGTAAACCAATTTTTGAGTGTTATTATTAGATGGGAATCTCGGAGATTACTATCCATTATTACTGAACATTTGAATTCTTTGGATAACGATGCTTCTCATGAGATAGATATAAGATTTGCCCATGCAATTACGGAGTGTTTAATGGGTCCAATAGTTTTAAGAGAAAACGAGGCTCTCAAACATACTTTCACGAAAGCTGTCAAGAAATTGACGTCGATCGGTAATCTTCCCACCCCTTTAAACCTTCTTCCCGGCACAATATATCTAGCTTTTGAAGGAACCTCAGAGGAGTCAAATTTGGCAAAAAATTGGATAAAGACATTGAAGGAAAATGGCGTGATATACAACTGTAAGAGTTTTGATCAAACTGTGGTCGATGAATTCAGTATCCATTTATATAGAATTCAAGATGCAAAATTCTACTCAATTGAGTTTTGTCTTAAGTTTTGGGAAATATTTCTATCCGTGTTTGAATTGATCGAAAATGAAGCTTTTTTGGAAAAACTCAACGAGCCCAAGGACATAGAAGTTATGAGTAAGTTTATGGATATAAGATTCTATTCCATAGTTCGTGTTTTTTTGAACAATATTATGGCCTACTTGAATGAACCATTGCCTCTTCTCATAAAAACTTTAGGAACTTTCCTTGAGAGATTTAAGAGTGAATTTTGGAATTATACTACGCCCTATAATTACATGAACGTTTTGGACACAATTCTACCAAATCCTTATTTATCAAAATATTTTTCGAGCTTACCTCTCGAGCGACAGGGCGAAAATACCGTTTGTTTCGAGGATACTTTATCTTGGATGTTACTTTTAACTAGTTCTTTGTCTGGTTCCCAGCAACAAGTTGCAACTGTTCGCTTGGGGACTTATCTCTTTGATAAAGGTACTGAGATAGTGAGGGCCTCCAGCTCTTCTAGTTCCGATGTGCGCGCGGATGATATGTATAATTTGGCATGCAAATTAATGTCTTATTGTATTAATTTAGATGGAGAAGCTCTGAGTTTCAAGGATCAAAAGTATTCTATTTCTTTACTTAGTAGAAGGGATGGAAGAGCAGCTATCGATAAGCATTCCACTACAATTATTGGTCTTAGTCAAAGGAGTTTTACGAGCCTGTTTGATCCTAGAAAAGCATTGAATTTAATCGTGAAATCACTTAGCTACGACATTTTATTTCTTGCTCACAATTCTGCTGTCATATTAGAGAATAAACTTCCCATAACATTTGAAAATTTCCCTGAAACTTGGAACAATGTACTTAAGAGCTCAGTTTTTACTAACGGCAATTTAGTAAAAGCAATTCTTCAGTCCTTTGAATATGTCTGTTGTGCTATAAGCTTCTCAACTACAAAGGTGACAGACATGGACAAATTATTTATAGAGGCACGAAGGAAACATAGTTTGAACACTCTATCAGTATGCAATTCGATTTCAAGTTTTCTCGAGAAACTAAGCTTGAATGATCCTGAACTTTTGAAAGCCATATTCTGTGACTTTAAATCCCTGACTGCATTCTGGTCCTGTTTACTATCTCCTCCTATTAACCAAGCTGCTCTGAGTGTATTGTATGAGGTTTTTGATGTTGGGGTTGGAGGGCGCTTGGAGGCCCTCAAGGCACTTTTAAAGGATTATCTTGATGCTACGGTGATTTCGATTAATTCAAACCTTCATATGCTTACTTCTCTTGCGGCGTTTGAACCATGTCCAAAATGCTTGAGAATATTGATGGATGTAATCAACTCTTTGGTTGATCCGATCGATGGTATTTTAATAGTTGAAGCATCTAGTTCATTGGACTACAGTCTAATTGAGGAGTTATGGAATTCATGCTGGACTTTTTTGACAATGGTTTATAAAAAAACGTTAACTTGGGCAGGAAATTATCATTTAGAAGAATTGATTGAATTTACGAGAGATACATTAGATTTAAGCCGTCTATTGCTTGATTCATATCACATTATCATTAATGACCCTTCAAGATATAATTCTTCGTTTAAAATTTTCATGAATACCTTCAATTACATGATTGTATGGCTTCGGTTGGGAGATACTGCTTTATTGAACTCTTGTGTAGAGCTAGTCCTAAAAGGTTTCGAATTGGCAGATGATTTAAATTTTTCAGTTAGCAAGGATTTCATAAGTTCTTTAGCGAAATATGGATTTCGAGCAAAAAAGTATAACAACAGATTATCTGAGCAACAAAGGATTCTATTGCTCTCAAGAGCCAGAGAATACGATGAACATTTGGTAGAGCAAATTTCTATAGAAGTACTGAAACTGAAAGAAAAAAAGGTTGAGGATCAAAAGACGATAAATGAATATAAATCTACAGCAAATAGAAATTTAGTGACACCGAATAAAGGTTTCAAGCAGCACGGTTTGGATAAATTTGGTGTTATTAGTTCAACGCCTCCGGTCGCACCACCGCCTGTGAAACATGAATTCAAATCATCTAGCCTTGAAGCTATCAGAAAAGAACTCAAACTGTCGAGGACACCGAATAAACCTAACAATAGTCCTTCAATGGCCCCACCAGCACCACCTCGTGCCGCTGGGTTTAACACCAAAAAGCTTGTATCAGTGGGTAGGTCCCTCAATTCTCTAAAGAAAAAGAGGGATGATTCTGATAGCTCTGAAGGTGAGGAAGATGTGGATGTTTCCGATTTGTTTGTTGACAAAAAAAAGCCTAAGCCGAAGGTGATTGAGGTTGATTATAATGGTAAACCACTTTTAAGATCTAATGGTTTTAAAGCAACTCAGAAACGAAAGGAGGACTACATGAGATTAAGATTAACGGTTAATCTAAAACCACTTTATACCACAGTGCTCAAGTGGAACTATCATTTAGATGGGGATTATCCCGAAGGCAGTGTTGGCGACTACAAAGTAATAAAAGACTCATATACAGACTCGAAAGATTATATAAGGGTTACTGAACCATTACTTTTACTAGAGTGTTGGCAAGGTATTCAATCAGCTAAACAAACGGGACTGGAAGAAGCTTTCGAGATTCTCATCGGTAATCGAGCAAGTGTTGATGGTTTCTTCGACGTTTATGGCTCGGTAAAAAAAGCAGAGCTAAATAATGTGAAGCTTGGTGATTCAGATTTGATAGTACTTGGCTATTTTGATAATCATCCACCGAAGCAGGAGATTCCACATTTATTGAAAAGGAAAAGTACAACTACATGCTTAGCAAAGATTAGAGAAATAAAGTCAGCAAACGCCGACTTTTGTGATATTACTTTAAGAGTTTTTCCAATGGGTTCCATGATGGCGATACTCACCCCAAGGTCTGTTGTTTTTGGAATGCGTGTAATGCTGATGGTAACAGTTGAAAGAGAATTCTCGTCCCTTAAAGGCTTGGAGTACTATGACCTCAAAGATGCAATTCTACGAGGAGAACCAAATAAGCCAAAAGAAATAAATGAGTCTGACGCTACTAACATGATGAAGATGTTTGAAATGAATAAGTCGCAAGTTGAGGCGATTCTTGGCTCTTACAATCTGGAGGGCTTTTCCCTTATCCAAGGGCCACCTGGAACTGGAAAAACGAAAACTATATTAGGTATAGTCGGTTACTCTTTGTCTCGCAAGACTCTGGCTAATACTATCAGTGGAGAAAAAGACTCTGCACAATCTTTTGATGCTCGTTCCAAAATTCTAGTTTGTGCACCGAGTAATGCTGCAGTTGATGAACTCGTTTTACGTTTGAAAGATGGGGTCAAAACAAACACAGGAAGAATATGTTTTCCCAACATTGTTAGATTGGGTAGAAGCGATGCTATAAACTCTTCTGTTAAAGATTTGACACTTGAGGAATTAGTCGATAAGCAGCTACAAACAAAAGCTCTCGATGTTACAATTGATTCTTCTATAAGGGCAGAGCATTCTAGGTGTATCTCTAGAAGAGATGCTTTAAAAAGTGAGCTTCGGAGTGAAGGGTTGTCAGATGAAAAAATTGCGGAGATCGAAACTGAACTAAGAGAAACTAACAAGAAGAGGCATGAACTCGCAAGAAAACTAGACGAGCAGAGAGAACGTGTGTCTATTGCATTTAGAAGTAAAGAGATTGAAAGAAAAAATACCCAGGCAAGAATCTTGGCCAACGCCAACGTTCTCTGCTCTACTCTTTCTGGATCAGCCCACGATGTAATAGCCAATTTAATGGTTGAATTTGATCAGGTTATCATAGATGAGGCATGTCAATGTGTTGAATTGTCATCTATAATTCCATTACGATATGGATGCAAGAAATGTATTTTGGTTGGCGACCCTAATCAATTACCACCTACTGTCTTATCACAGGCAGCAGCATCTTACAATTACGAACAGAGTTTATTCGTAAGAATGCAAAAGAACTTTCCGGATTGCTGTTATCTTTTAAATGTTCAGTATCGTATGCACCCAGATATATCTTCTTTCCCAAGTCGCGAGTTTTACAAATCGAAGTTGTTGGATGGAGATGGTATGTTGCAAAAAAATACTAGACCCTGGCATGATATATTCCCTTTACAACCTTACATGTTTTTTGACATCGTAGGTAAGCACGAGAAAAACGAATTGTCTCGGTCGTTGTTCAATAGAAACGAGGCTAAAGTTGCATTGGAGGTCGTTGAAAAATTGAACACAATCCTTCCGGATCATGATCTTGGTGGTAATATCGGTATTATATCTCCTTACAAGGAACAGGTCAGAACTCTCAAATCTGTTTTCAAATCAAAGTATGGTCATTCAATATTCTCAGAAATTGATTTCAATACCGTTGATGGTTTTCAAGGTCAAGAAAAAGAAATTATTATCATTTCATGTGTACGAGCAAGCGAAACTGGAAACGTTGGATTCTTAAGCGACATTCGTCGTATGAACGTTGCTCTTACTCGTGCAAGAACATCTCTTTGGATATTAGGAAATGCGAAATCGCTACTGAGAAACACTGTATGGAAAGAACTACTAGACGATGCCAAGTTGAGAAATTCCATTACAGAAGCATATCCTGGATTTTTAAGAAATTCGTCGCAGAATAATCGCTATAAAAGGATTTCCAAGATTGATGAACCTTCAGTGAAGAGAATAAAATCAGATCACGAGTATTCTCCACTGTCCTCGAATCATGAAAAAGTACTAGATTCGTCTAACGAACAAGAATCTGGCGTCAATCTGTCTATTCTGGAAGATATAGGATTGACTGAAGGGTTTCAATTCATAAGTAAAGACCCCAAATCGAACGGAAATTCAAAAATGGCTCCACCTAAATCAGAACTACTTCTACAAGATGCGAACACGTCGAATACCCCCAAACCCACATCGTCAGGTGTAATAATGCCGCAGCCAAAAGGCAAAAAAATAAGCTCTGGAATATTCATTCCGCAAAAAGTTAAACATTCAAAAAGAAAATAACTGCATAATACAATTATATACAAAACATTACATAGCATCAATTAATTAAACACATTTGTTGAAAGTTTTCTTATTCTTTTTTCACTTGTTTGGGGTCCGCCATTGCAATCAAGTTATTCTTGAAATCATTTGCCTTGCTGCTGGATGGATATAAGTTGGATGTACCATCTGACGCATATAGTCCTGACGACAAGACATTGGCACTATTTGTCTCGGTTAAGGTAGTCGCCTTCTTTTTGACGTGAGGGAATTTAAATGCTGGCACGAATGAATCAAGGGTTTTTGAATTTAGAACCTCAGACCTACTATCAATATTTTGTAACTCGTCTGCTGTGAATCCTAGCCCTTTGAAGCCAGAGGTGATTTCTGAAGACTCTTCAGAGCTATCGACCATCATTATTGCTGCTTTCACAGCCAAAATCTCATCTAGGAGTACTTTATGAAAAAAAGTATCGTATGCTCTTTTAGAGGATGCATCCAAATCTCGAATTTGATTTAACTTATATTGTTTCGCTACCGTGGTATGGATTCGTTCTAGTGTTTCTCTCAAAATATCAATCACTGATTTATCTGGGAACTGCTGAATTAAAGTAGACGATAAATGACTAGATATTGTGCGTTCTTGAGATTTCAATACCTCTACAACCTCTTTCCATATCACCTGAAATTTATGGAATATAACTGCCTTTCTCGAAGATTCTAAAATAGCAGCGTTCAAACCTTGTATCCTATTGTTTATGAGCTCAAAAATCGGCTCTGTCAGAATTTTATGGCTGATAGTATTATTAACATCATCTATTTTTACTGAAAATTTGTTAACCATTACATTCGAGTCATTCTTCGGAATAATATTATGCATGAATTGAGTCATATGTTCTTTAATAACCTTAGCCAGCTTGGAGCCCTGTGAAAGACCCTCTTCAAAAGCATTCGATCTTTTCTCTTTGAACGTTTCCTGCAGAGGATTTGGGGTTGGCTGTATCTTTTCATCCGGCGGGATAAAAGGTTGCATTCCAATAAAAGAAAGATTCGCTTTAGATTCTGTAATTTGCAGTCTGCTTTCAGCAGCTAGTGTTTTAAATGACTCATCAGATTCGTGATTGGTACGCTTACCCAAGGGACCATATCTAGAAGAGTCAATAGAACCTAAAGAATTCATACTCTCATTATAATGTTTGACAAAGGTGACGTCAATTTTTTCCTTTTTAATAAAATTATCAACAGTGAGCAGTGGCACTCCATTCAGTACAAGAAAATCCTTGAATAATTCTTTTCCATTGCTCTCTAATTCTTTGAAAGATGTTACATATTTAGAGGTTCTACTTTCTAGAACAGAGCTTGTTTCTTCAATTTCAGAATTTATAAGTCGTTTCCTTAGCTTGAGCATTTCTAGTCTTTTTTCCAATTCACTAATCTCTTGTGTTATTGCATTGGTTTCATCCAAAAGAATCGTAAGTTTGGCCCCATGTCTATTTTTATCGCTCTTTATGTTAATAATCTTTTCCAAAATTTTGCTTCTATGTAAGTCCCATTGCTGAATATCGGAATAAAGTTTTCTAGTATTTGTCATATCTCTCATGTAAAGTTCGTTTAGGGAATGATGAGCGACGGCTAATTGTTCGAAGTTTTGGGATATCATACTTCGAACTTTTGATAATCTCTCATCACCATTAGTGAGCGCTACCTTATGTAGTTGTACGTTACTCGCGAGCTCACGATATAAAAGTTTTATTCGATCTATTAAAAACCCAAGCGCTTCATCAATTGCAGATCTAGCCTTACTCAAAGCTCCAGGAGAGCTTTCAAATGTAAGCGCCGGCAATTGAAAGCTTTGGGAAATATCTGAATCACTATAAGTGGAACCTCTTATGCTTACAGAATTAGAAGCCAATTTAGATGGATTCAGGAAAATAGCATCTTCATTCGATATAGGGCTTGAAGCTTCATCTATGTTTAATATATTGGGCCGATTTTGAATATCATCAAGTTTTGATTTAGCAACTGACACTTTCGGAGAAACATTAGGAGATTCTGGTGATAAGAATTCAGTAGGATCTAGTTCATCTTCGTCTGAAGTTGTAAGTGGTAGATCAGCCTGTCTTGTATTTGTGTTACCTGTATCATTTCTGGCGGAAGAAGAGTTCAAATTAATCGATTCGAAAAGACTTCCATTAGCCATTTTCGAATCAAGCTACTAAATTCAACTCCTTAGTTTCTGTGTTGGACTCTGTGATACTGAACTATAGACTGAAAGTAATCTTTAAAATACTCGTCTTACACTATACAGCTATCTTATCGACATTTAGATTACACAAAACCGATTATTCATTCTGGATACTTAAAAACAGGGTCCTATAGACAGTTAAGCTAAAGTCAATCAACATATGTATACCCGTAAGAAGGCAGCTTTTGAAGCTTTGAAAAAGCGAAACTACATGAAGATTTATGAGCTTTACCAACTGTCCTACTCATAGCAAAAGCAAAAAATACAGTGCATTTATTCATAACTTCAAAACAGATTGATAGTTAAGGCACTCGCTATCGACGTTGAATTCACAGCCTTTTTGAATTCCTCAAAACTCAATTTTTGGTCACCATCTTCATCCGCTTCCATCATAGTTTTATCAACTATTTGCTGTAACTCTTCGTCCTGCAAATTTTTGCCCACCATCATTTTCATGACGATGAAAAGCTCACCATTACCAATAAACCCATCTCTATCTATGTCGTAAATTTTGAAAGCGAATTTAAGTTTATCAACAGTAGCAGTCTTTCCACTAAATGCTGACAAGCCTGTTATGAACTCTTGAAAGTCTATCGTCCCGCTGCCATCAGCGTCAAATACATCCATCAATCTATTGGCCAAAGGGTTCGATGCTATGCCCGGTATATCTAGGAATTCACCTTTGTCAATAGTACCTGATCCATCTCTATCCAATTTTAAAAATCTCTTTTGAAGTCTATCTATCTCGTCTTTGTCAAAACTAGTGCCCTCCATAAGAGATTCCAAGAGTTTAGACGAAGAGGGTCCCATTCCAGCAGTAGATATGTGTGTTTAATTAAAGTCCTTAAGAGATCTTTTTACAGTCACCTACGTTGTGTTTAGTCTTATCTTTGATGTGCTGTTCTAATAAATCATGGTCCGGTATAGAGACTAAATTTCTGCGGAAAAAGGAACATTACCATACTAGCTAATAAATATATATCAACAAATACACTATACTTTATGGTTTCAGCAAAAATTGAGTGATTAATGACTTTAGAGTATGAATATCAACGTCGACAGTGCTAAAGATACACTTTGCAAAAATATACTAATTTATGGGTATTGCAAGTACGAGAATAAGGGATGCCTATTTAACCACTCCGGACCAGGGCAAAAAGGACAGAATCCGGGTCAGGCTCAGCAGGTGAGTGGTCAAGGCTTAAAGCTGACAGGAGGTCAATCATCAACTTTTAATATGTCCTCAGGTAAACCTGCAATACCATCTAATGGCGATAACAAGCGAAGATTTAATACCAAGACTCCTTCATTTCAACCTTCAGGTGTGCAAAATTTAACTAACAAGTTTTCTAACTTGTCTCCGAATTTAAAAGAAATACCAGTCTTTGTTCCATCAGGCAATGCAATTGATTCTTCAGTGAGTACACCTCTGAATGAGCTTGATAACTTTAGAAGCGATAATAGTACTAGTATCAGCAACATTAGTAATGCTAGCAATATGAATTTGAATAATAGTACTCATATTGCTCATAATAGCACTAATACCAATGATAATAATAATAATAATAATAATAGCAGTGATATCAATAGCGTGAATGATAGTCCCACTTTTATCCCAGGGAAGAAATTCAATACTTCGACGCCTTCATTTACTCCTACTAGTACGTATACAAACAATATTGGAGGCACTGTTACTGGCGTAATTAACTCGTCACAAGACGGAACATTACAGTTGTCAGGGAATCAGCCTAATCCTTATCTCCCTTCAAATGCCAATCCATCTACTATTATGCCATCGGCATCGGATATGTTCTTCTCCAATCAGTCGACACCTTATTCGTTGCAATATCATCTCTATGCACCGGCTCCTCCTCCGCGCCTAACTGTCCCTGTGCCTCCATATGTGACCAATGCGAATGAAATGTTTATACCTAATGAATTACGTCTCAGTCTACAGAAAAAAAATGAAGCAACATTACAAACCCTTGCGAGGTCGAATTTGCCAGAACATATCAACATATATCACTCGCTAGTTCCAATTGATAAATCCTATGAACGTTTTTCTAAAGTTTGGGGCATTCCATCGTCAGTTTTTAAAGTATTTTCTAACTTAGATGGAAACCCTTATGCTTTAAGAAAACTTGAACATGGCTTTTTAATATCAACTGATGTTCCGTTTAAAACCATTAAAAGATGGAGAACTATTAAATGCGCTAATATTGTCCAATTACAAGAAGCTTTTACGACTGTTTCTTTTGGAACGCTGTCTCTAGTAGTTGCTTACGATTATTATCCCAACTCAGACACTTTAATTGACCATCACAAGAAAACGTTATCGAAAATTGAGCCTATAACAGAAGAGCTTCTTTGGACCTATATTTGTCAAATTACGAATGCTTTGCTGGCGATTCATGAAAAAGGTTTGGCTGCTAGATCGTCCTTGGATGGAACCAAAATAATTGTAACGAATAAAAACAGAATTCGATTAGCAAGCGTTGGTGTCACTGATATATTAAAATATCAAGAGGATGAAGAACATATTAAAAATGAAGGCCTAACAAACTATACCAAGTCCTTACAAAAGAGTGATATCAAAACATTTGGTAAACTTATTTTGGATCTTGCAAGTTTAACTTTACCCCATAATTTAAGAAGCCAGGAGCCTACTGAACTTCTTAAGGCATTGAAGTTATCTGGCTCTATTAAGTTTAGCGATGAACTTGTAGAAGCGATTCTGTCACTACTTTTTGACGAAGATTTTGACCTTGCTAAGTTTAATGCACACTACTTGGCATCTAGGCTCCTCAACTTGATAAACAATTTAGAAGACTCTACAGATTACATGGAATCTCAGTTAACATCGGAGCTAGAAAATGCTAGATTATTTCGGCTTGTTGCAAAACTTAATTTTGTAATTGATCGGCCAGAATATCCTGTCCACGATAACAGCAATAAGCATATTGCGAAACTTTTCAGAGACTTTGTTTTCTGTGAATATGATGACTTTGGGAAACCGGTTCTTAATCTTTCTAGAGTCTTAGTAAATTTGAATAAACTAGATGCTGGTATTGATGAAAAGTTTCTCTTGGTGAGTCGCGATGATAAAAATTGCGTGATCGCTAGCTACAAGGAGGTTAGAGACATTATTGATAGCTTATTCGGAAATCTTGCTCGCGGCTAGCATGTCCTTGTTTGATTAAATTCGAATTTTAAGTGCTTCGGCTTTAATAGTATCAGAGTAATTATGACCGAGAGTCACTAAGTCGACCTTAAGTATTCGTCATGCTCACAACTAATGACGCGCATCTGAGTCACATTGTATTATGCAGGTTTATAGATGAGTAACACGGATATTCTTTGTATCGCGATAACATAAATAAGGCGACTACTACGTAATTACAGTATTTTGGATAAGTTAGATACTGCTTTGTATATTTATATATAAGGTAACGTAGCAAGCAGCATATAGCTCGTCTTCAAGAGTATTTGGTTGTTTTTCTGTCTTTTTTTTTTTACTGATTTATTTCATTAATTGTGGCTATAGAGATAATTATAGACGTTGAAATAAAGTTAATTTTTAGAAAGTTGGCACATTTAGGGGAAGCTACGTATCACTTAGACTGGAATTAGTGTGATTACGAGCTTCATTTGGAATAAAGGGTTTGAATTAAAATTTTCAATTAAAAAGAAGCTGTTTTTGATGAACTAGAGGTATTTCGTTCAATATATTTGAGTTGGTGACTAACGAGATCATTGTTCGCCAACTTTTTCATTTCATATATCAGTGTTGGGCTCCTGAAACATAACAATCTTTGAATTTTTCTGTGTCATAAGTGTTGTTTGTAATTGAATATGATGTCACTTTTCCCTAAGTCTCAACATGCTTTGATTGAGTCTAAAAATTGTGAAGTCTCTGAAGTGATGCAAAAAGAAGTTTTCTCACCTTCCCTGGAATACTTCTTAACGCCTCCGTCGACGTCTTCGTCGACTACAGACGATCACATCTATCCTAATGATTTCAATTATTACAATGCGAATTTGAATAAAAACCAGTTCAATTTAATATTAATTAATAGCTGCATAAACTTACTCAAGATTTTATACCCTGATGCAGACTTCACTAGAACAAACGTTAGATTCTTCATAATTGAGTTATTGAGAAGATCAAAGGTCTCAATTCATATTTTGCAGATTTGTTGCTTTTACCTAGCAAGATTGATCAAAGTCAAGTATGGTGAGGACTCTGTTGAGGAGTTTCCAACTTGCCCAAAGCAGTCATTTTTAGCACTCGTAATTCTTGCTTCAAAATTTTCTCAAGATTGCAACTACTCTTTCAAGACATGGCTTAAGATATGTGGATATAAAAGCGATGATAAGGATGCGAAATACTCATTGACTTTACAATCCCTTAGAAACACAGAGACAATGTGTCTCAAATTATTGGGTTATAATTGTTCATTGCATGCATTAAAGTATGAAAACTGGTGCAATATTCTTGTTATATTTGGCTACGATTTCATCAGGCTGCAAAGTATTTGTGAGAATAGTATCATTTGGGAATCTGGAGATTTGACTATTATTTCGAAGCTTTCTAAATGGAAGAAATTTCTCACACAATTGAAGTTCTCAAATTTGGATACGGTTAAGATTGACTTTGGCAAATATTATAATAATCAAATTGGGAAAAAAGTTTTTTTAAGCTGTTCGAAGGAAAGCATTCAGCCTTCACTGCTGATGATTGTCAGTCGCAAAAATCTTAGGGACAATGCATATGATGATGTTGGCTCACGCAAGAAATTGAAAGTAAATATGTGGTAATATGTTACTGTAACATAAATAATACTAATGACTATTCGTTTTCACTATCTATATATATATAAACAACCATCGGTACCAAATTTTCCTTTGACATCACTGAGAGGCATATACCCACAGTTAGATTCATTACCTTCGGTTCTTTTCTCATTCGGCATAGAAGAAAACTGCATCGTTGTTTTACCGATTGTATAACCTCTTATCAAAACTGTGCCAATATTATCCTTATTGATGACTTTAATTTCAACAGACTGCGATAAGCAACCATATCCCATAATGTTTTTGTACTGGATGGGTAGTAATCTATAATCATAAAAGTCTGTAAGAATGAATGGGCCTGCTATCCTATAATAACCTGATTCCAATATGATTCGCGAGTTTAATAGTGAGCGATACTCGTTAATTTCAGCTAGAGACAACAAATATTTCGAGCCGACTGATTTATGCAAGTATATCAACCTTATCGAACAGGGAAAAACTTGAAGCCGTGAAAATATTTCTCTTTCAAGGAAACGACATTTAATATAGTGCTTCACTTTTTGGATGGTCGTTAAAGTTCTCTTCATCTCATCCAATGAACACGTTGCGGCAAATTCTGATTCAGAGAGAGACAAAACAGTGGGACTATATGACTTTACATCTTCCCATTTCATCGAGCCAGCTATTGTCAAATCACAATTTGTTGTAAATGACATTAATATTTTGATTAGCTCATTTAAAATCTCTTCGTTAGATGCATTGGATGATTGTATAATTAATAATCTATCATTCTCATCTATGGAATGCTTATTTGGTAAGTGTTTTATGGAAGAAGCAAGACCGCTAATCAAATTAAGCTGAGTGAAACTTGTTGAAGACAGAAACTTTTCGTTAATTTTTCTTGTTAAGGTTAATGCTACACCTTTGTCTTTTTTGAAGGTATAAATGTTTTCGAAAGTGGTAGATTTGCCTTCTTCTAAAATTTCATACACCGATCTATTTCCGTTCGGATCCAAAGATAGGCTATTTTCTTGTTTTAGTTCCCCAAAATATAGATCAACTCCCTCAGTTACGTCTATGTCATCATATAAGTTGACAAGAGTTTGATTAATAAAGCAGGCCATTATAATAACTAAAACGGCCTCAGATTTAATGAAATGCTTGATGTGGATCCCGACCTTTTTTATTCCCCTAGATTTAAAATAATGTTGAAGACATTCTACCTTGAAGTTCAATTCACTAACCAAAATCTTTTTCTTATAAATTTCAATGGTTTTCTCATCATTTTTTTTCAAACTGTTTATCAAGACTTCCCAAACATCGCACAAATTTCCATTTCTGAGCTTATAGTGGTCATATCTGATGTCAAGGCCCACTCTCAACCCATTGGAATAATCCAATTTATTGCTTTTGTGAACTGCAGTCTCATCTGCCTCCCTTGTTGATTCCACAGTTGACTGTTGCGTTAGATAAATTTCATGTACATCCTTAGATCTATCCAATAACCAATCAACAGTTATTTTGAAGAATCCAAGGAAAGCAAGGAGCAATATTGCGTTCGTATCTAATAACATTAAATGTTTCTTCTAACATTAGGAGAACTGCCAATTTCAGATTTTCCCTCCACTTTTTCGAGCTAATCTGGAACCTTTCCTAAAGACTGCATATATTATTATATCCTTTTTTGAGACTGGAGAGAATAAATTACAAAAAGGGCACAAATTCGATTGCTTTTTTTGCTATCAGGAAGACGAACCTTCTGAATTCGTGAACTGAAAATGATACGGATATGCAAACCTAACATCCGATCGTTGAATCACTTGTTGCTTATAATCTTATTCAGCTGGCTCATACTTTTCTACGTCAATGAGAGGCTCCTCCCAAAATACGCAGCTAAGAGTTGTAAATGGCCAAAGTTGGAAGCGAGCTCAGATACTCAAAAAGAATTCAAAAATGACCAGGATCAAGATAAAATATCAGAAGCCAGAGCTACTAATGTGCTTTTCATTGCAGATCCACAGTTAATCGATAACCATACATATCCATCCAGGAATCAAATTCTACTAAAGTTGTCTGAGCATACAGTAGATATTCACTTGAAAAAGAACTACAATGCATTTATGTCACAATTGAAACCAGATTATATCTTTTTCTTGGGTGACTATTTAGATAATGGGAGATCATCAAGTAGAAAATATTATAAGGGCCAACTCAAAAGATTTAATAGGATATTCAAAAAATTCAAATATAAGAAGAATAAAAATTATTTCACTAATGTGGCAGGTAATCATGACATAGGCTGGGCAGACGGAGTGAAAATACCTTCGAGAAAAAGATTCGCAAAGAACTTCGGTAAACCTAATGGAATTAAACTGATCAATAATGTTGATTTTATTACTCTTGATACAATTTCGTTGTCATCCTCGATAGAAGGTATTTATCGTGATGCTAGGCTATTTTTAGATCTGAATTTTGGTGAATCCATTGTTAAGACCAATCCTCGAATTTTGCTTTCACATGTTCCGTTATTCAGAGATGTCGAAAAGTATAAATGTGGCCCATTAAGAGAAAATCCTAAATTTTTCACCCACGGAGGCTATCAGTATAAGCTGGCACTTGAGCCAGATATATCCACTGAAATAATTAGAAAAGTCAAGCCTGATTTGATTTTCACGGGTGATGATCACGATTATTGTGATATCACCCATGAGGAGGTCGAAGATCAAAGGGTTAGAGAAATTGCAGTCAAATCTATAAGCATGGCAATGGGAATCCGATACCCAGGTGTTCAGATTTTAACGTTTGTTAATGAAAATAATGAAGATTACAACTTGGGAAATAATTTCAGATACGAAACGAAGTTATGCTATACGCAAACTCCGTACTATAACATTATTAGTTACGTAATCCTAGCTGTTATATCGTCATTGATGATATGGTATTGGGATATTATGCAGTCTGCGAATCACGGTTATACAATATTACCTTATGTCAACGGTGCTACAGAGCCCTCCTTTGCCTCCGCGTCCCAAAAGGAGAAAACATCGAACCTAAAGAAAATTTCGAAATTTATTAAAGACCAGGATGATGAAAGTTATAAATACAATACTGGATTCTCTAAATATACCTCATCTGCTCCTAGGGGTTCGTGGTTGACAAACGTTATCAATCGGATCAAGTTGAGAACTAGGTTCAAATTTCCAATAATTGATAAGTTTAAGCTTAAAAGTAGCCCTATTGTATGCATTAGCCTTAAGAAATTGAATCTCGGCTCTTTCCTCAAACATTCGATTTTGATGGCCATAGTAGTAATTTCCGTTTATTATCTTGGGTTCTGTCTAACTTTATAAACTTTTGGAAAACTTGTATACTAGCAATAAAATGATATCATTTTAAAATGTGTCAACTTTTGTGCGGCTCAGTACTCTTGAGGGATCTGAAACTATTATCACCCGAATATATATTTTAAATAAGCACAAGTAGTTAATATCGGTCTTAGGTTAATAAGTGTCTTCAATTAACATGGGATGTACAGCTAGTTCTGCTATAGATGAAAATGATCCTTTTTTACAAGATAAAAAAATCAACGATGCAATCGAGCAAAGTTTGCAGCTAAATAGACAAAATGACAAGAACGAAATAAAGCTCTTGTTATTAGGAGCTGGAGAAAGTGGTAAATCTACGGTCTTGAAGCAAATGAAACTACTTCACAAAGGAGGCTTTAGTCAACAAGAAAGAATTCAATATTCCCAAGTGATATGGGTCGATCTTATTCAATCTATGAAAATATTAATTATTCAAGCAAGGCGATTGGGAATTCCTCTTGAATGTGATAAAAATGGTAATAAGCTAATGCAATATAAGCAAATCGTCTTGCGTGCTGACGCATTAGATCAAATTGATACTGGAGCTGCCGGTGGAACTAACTTCTTGAGTGACTATGTCGTTAAATATAGTGAAGGAAATCGAACTAAAAGAAGACTAAATAGTACAGGAGCTACTGACCGTTCATTCTTGGACGACTCGCTTCCTGGCTCATCAAATTATGAGAATAGCTACGTCAATGTAGAAGAAATAAGTAACGGGCTCTCTGAAGTATCATGGTCAACTAGAAATCAACAGTCATTTTCAAGGACACAAATTGCTGACGCTATAAACAAGCTTTGGGAATCGGATGGGGGTATTAAAAAATGTTTTGAACGATCGAACGAATTCCAGTTAGAATCTAGTGCATCTTATTATTTTGAAAATGTTTATAATTTTGCTGATCCTAACTATCATTGCAGTGATTACGATATATTGATGGGCCGTATTAAGACGACAGGTATCACTGAAACAACTTTCGCCATAAATTCTTTCAGGTTTAAGGTACTTGATGCAGGTGGCCAAAGGTCAGAAAGAAAGAAGTGGATTCATTGCTTTGATAATATTACTGCTGTTTTGTTTGTATTAGCAATATCAGAATATGATCAGATGCTATTCGAAGATGAAAGAGTTAATCGAATGCACGAATCAATAGTTCTCTTCGACTCCTTGTGTAACTCGAGATGGTTCTCAAATACCCCTTTTATTCTCTTTCTTAACAAGATTGATATGTTTGAAAAGAAGTTACAAAGGTCACCACTAAAAAAATATTTTCCTGATTATAATGGAAAACCAGACGACGTTGATGAAGCAATAAGGTTCTTCGAAACTAACTTTTTGAGATTGAATAGGACCAAGAAGCCTATTTATGTTCATAGAACATGTGCGACCGATA